GCTAATCACCCGTTAAAGGAATATTGTCAAGCGTATCAGATAAACAACAATAACGTGATGCGAACTTGTTATAATATTACGTATACTTTAAGAACTCTACAAACTAGTTCTATAAAGATTCGCATGCTCATCTTGCGGGTTTCATCGATTGAGTTGCGTTATCGCCGTTGTACTACATTTGAAATGATCTGTTTCCGTGTTTGGAAGCGTTAAAAGCATGTATACTCATGTAATATCTTAAGATATATATATATATCTTCTATAAAAGTAATCGAATTCATTCTTGAAACAAGAGGTACGACTCAATCATGATTTAATTGATTGTCAGTAGCATAGACCAGAATATTCTGAATGAAATGTATACTTTATCACACCACACCATGAAATTGACATAAACGGATAAAATAGTAATTAATTCAGTGGTAAAAATAATATGTAGAGATACGATTGATATGATGAGAGAATATCATAGATTAATGACCATTTGAGTCTTTCTTTTTCAACTAGATACGTTATTGTAGATTTAAGCGATAAGATTGCGTGTAAAATATGTGAAGATTGATGAGGAAAGAATGCTGATATGGTATAAAGAAGATAGCATGGGGATGTTGCTAGGCTATTGATCATGATGGGCAAGCCGAGATATTGAAGACGCTGAACATTGGCCAGCATCCCCGAAGGGCACTAAATGTGGGCCATAGCAGTATGATAATGAAGTATACAGCAAGCCCAGATAGAAATTTCGCCGAGAAAAAAAAAATTGGGCATAATCTCGCCGCAAACCGTAAACCACAGGAAAACAAAGGAAAAATAAGGAAAAAACAAATCAAGCATAATAAAAAAGGGCGAAAAAAATAGTACTTCTTAAATAATTAATTTTTCAATTTCCTCTTGGTACTCCAAGAGAAACAGTACCTGAGACTGTTGCCGGTCATCAGATACCATGTTCCTGGATCAGATTTGTTGTACACTTGACAATTTTGGGAACCTGTTTTGTCTTCAATTTAATAGTAAAGTATCAACTTTTTTTTTTGGCATTCTTGTTCCAAATGGCATGTTCTTTTCATAGATGTTCGTTGCTGTGCCAGAAGGGCTACAACTGTCTATAAAGATTAAGGTATCCTTGATGGGTAGATATATCTGTGTTGTGCAACAACATGGACAAGCTATGATAATTGAGGTGCATCTCAGCTATCTAAATATTGAGGTTCACCAGATGTGATAAGCGTTGTACAAGATAAATTGCTACTTTGGCATTCAGAACTTGGTATAAATAGAATAACTCTTGTCTTCATCAATAAATCTTTAGTTTTTGTGTCTGATCTTATTCAAATAAGTCTTTTCTTGTTTTTATAATATCTAACATTTTTTACAAGCTACAAATAATAATCCTTTTACTCTTTGTGCTTGACATTCGTATTTACAGAATTTGAGATATCAATTTTCAAGCAATTTTTTGCCCTACATTTGGCTGTCTATCGTGCGATAGGCATGTAACAGCTGCAGCATTACCACCAGATCAGCCTACGAAAATAAGCACCTGTGTATGATGACATTAGTCTGAAAATAGACTATATATAATTTCAAAATGAATTCTCTATAAATCATCACAGAATGTGAAAGGATAAGCGGTTACGTAGTAGTCGAAAATTCACATTAAGTTATGTGCTGTTAAAAATACGTTTCATCTCTTTCGGGCTATACCTCAACTATGCAAAAGGTAACACTCCACACCAAAAAAAATCTTACATCTCAAGGTATAGTTTTACGCCTGGCCTAACGCTCTAGAGCTAATAAGGCCATATAATTTTTTATATAATATATATTCTACTGTCATTACGAGGTGTCTGATATACATTGGAGTTTGCGTATGACACAATATTGTCATATTTTCTTTGTCTAACTCTCGAGGTAGCATAGTGGCATCTACTGTTGTTATATTTGTTTAGGATATAGATCATCTCTGAGAGGCAAATGTATTAGGCGTTGTATATTACATAAGAGGAACTGAGAATGAGCAGAGATGCATAGTAGAAGTGAGAGGTATTTATTCAAGCAGCACGAAGGAACATGAGTGGTGCCATCAAATGGCTAATCTATATCCTGGTTCTTAGAGAAGAGTGGTATCCTATGGCCTTTTGTCCCTGGAAGTGGGTTTCAATTCCGACAAATGTTCTTCCGTCAAAGCTATTAGGAAGAACATTCTATTCTGGATCATTTTTGTTGTTTATCCTTGACTGGTGGTTCATGAGCTCTTATGCAGCACATCCTCGTTACTGGTTCAAGGCTTATACAATTATCCCGCATTCAAGATCAAGATCCTATTGCTGCGGCACTGTCAAATAACTATAAATACCTTTGATATCTACACTAGTTTTGATCCCTATTCAATCTTGGAATAACTTCATAAATATATTCAGTTCTAATTGTATTTACTCTGTCTATATTTCGTTATTCTAAACAATATCATACTACCAACAATTATGTCTTTTACTCTAACGCGAGAGATCGAGTGATTATTGAAGATAACCTTGAAATACCAATGGCTTTTGGTTTTTGACAATTATTTAGATCATTATAGTTGCCAATCAAGCTACAGTATTTAACTTCATTTTAGTGTTGTAAGCCAATACAAGCCCTGTATTTCGATAGAGCTCTATGTAAAGCACACTGCCGTCATGATAACTTGTAAAAGCGAGACGACTGATCTTTCAACATTGCATTTAGTCTCCCCATTGGAAGGCTGTTAGTCTAAGACATATAATTTTTGCAGTTTCATCTAGAGTGTTACATTATTTGAAGTCAACATTCAATATCAGAATGTCAATTTCTTACACAAGAGGCTGGCTGCCAGTCGAATTAATTTTGGCAAAATCACGTTTTTCATATGGAGTGTAATATTATAGAAGTTACACTCCAGACTTTCAACTTAACTGATTCGCACATGAGGGGCTATGTGTTTATTTAATTGAGCTAAATTTGCGTTTTACGTCTGGAGTGCAACTCTCTTCCTCAGAAAGCTTTAAATGGTTAATCTACACCGGAGGCTGTCAAGGACTTCGTTAACCTGTTCAAAGTTTACATTTGCGATTTCCGTCAGGAGTGTAACAAATTGCTCACTATCCCCCTCCCCTCCCCTACACGTTAATCCCCAAGTATGAATCGATTAAAAAGCGTTTAGCAAGCAAATAATGTATGCCAGATCATAACACTACTCTTTTTATTTCACAAAAAAAAAAACAAAAAAACTCAAATTGGATACAAATGGCTTATCAAACCCCATCTTTTATTTATAAAATATACCATATATCATAGTGAAAAGATTCTAGATCCAATGTGAAGAAACTTGCACATTAATATTGTAGATAGCTAGCCATTCCATAGAAAGGAACGTTGCCCAGCAGCACCGCGAGGAGGTCTATCTACATGCTGCCAATGAAGTTTGACCTTATAGCCTGCATACCACAATAGCCATAAAGTGGCACTACACCAGCAAGCCCGAGAGCTTGGAGGAAGTAGTACAACTCCTAACCCTACATGATTGTCTAATATCTAGCCGGTTACCATGAAAGAAGACTAAACAAGCACATTGAGCGGAGAGGCCGCAAGTCCACTGAGTGGAGAGCAACCAGGTTATAGTGACCCAGGATGACAACTTGCCGTTTACAAAGAACAACGTAATGCAAGCAACTAGGTATATGTACCAAATGTTCATCAAGAAGAAACTTGATATATGTGGTAAAGCTAATTCTTTTTTAAACTCTCAATAGAGATTTTAAGAAAAAAAACAGCTCTTGAGGATGACATATAGAATGAAAAAAAAAAAAAAAAAACTTCCCGTTTCAGATGTTCCTTGATCAATTGCTTGAAAAAAGACGCTTTCAAAGTGAGAAATGTTGGTGAAAGCTTTTGATTTCTAATAGAAAACAACCGCTCATCAATTCCTTGAAGAATTAACAATCTTGTTCAACAAAGCCTCGATAAGAGTCATTGTTCGTCCGATATATTATTCCTTAATCATATCCTTGAAGAGTAGACGATCCAAAAGAAACAAGCCTCAACTAGAGCCATCGTTCATCCGACACATCTCTTGATCAATTCCTTGAAGAATAACGATCTTGTCCAACAAAGCCTTACCAAGAGTCATTGCTCATCCGATACGTTATTCCCTAATCAGATCCTTGAAGAATAGATCCATGCCAAATATACTAGGAAGTTTCTAGTGCGTATACAAGATGTATACAGGATATCCCAAATGCACTACCGCCCGTAGCCGCATTCGGTCAAGAGGCCAAGTTTAGAGACTATCCAGTCTTTACCTTTTCTGATTACTACGGCGCTGTATCATCCTCCAAAAGCATCTACGGGAGGCCGGTCAACTAACCATTCACCAGAAAAGGGGCAGATACCACTGAGAGAAAATCTATAGCGTGATTTCCTCGTCTGTGGCTATAGGGTCTTTTAGCTATTTTACAGTGTACCGGTGCTCTGACGCCTAGGCAAGCAGACCTATCTACCATAATTCAATGTCCCGAACCATCAACACAAAGAATCTGGGCTAACCATAAGACTGAATTGCCGACTTGCACTTTTGACGAAAATAGAGGCTCCAAAAAGAAGAACTACTATCTGTGAAGAAGAGAAAAAGGGAAAAAAGGACGGGAGGGAGGAATTTGACATTTTTGACACTGTGAGAGAGAGTGTAAGAATCACATGTAAAGGGACTGTTAATGAGTTGTTTATTGTTTCACTTGCGCCAAATGTTTGCTTTCAGCCGAATGGGGTAGTAATTAACAGGTAAAAGCTCATAAATCCTGCATTTTTCGGTAAACAAACATCAGACAGTTGCCATTTCTGACAAATACATCAAACATTACGTGTGATGAAAATTTTCTTTGTACAAGAGCAGACAGTGCCAAGCAGTAGAGCATGATTGATTTATTACTAGTTTGGGTATTTCTCTCTAAACAATCCATAAGCACACCCAACAGCATCTACTTCTATTCTGAAATCATCCATTTGCCAGCTAATTCCTTCAATAAATTGCAGTTTCGTTTTTCATCCGCATTCCAAAACACACCGTCATTGGCATCCTCTTGTGGATCTAAATAGCCGCCATCACCACCACCTTCAGATTCAACTTCAAGCACGGCAGTGCGAATTATTCTTCTTGACTGATTATCAAACTCAATGCCATTAACCGTCATTTCCTCTGCCAAATCCAACATGCCATTGATATCACGCCATACTTCCCAACGAAGCAGTAGCATGGCATTGTACACTTGCACTGTACATCCAGAAATGTAGCTCACAACGCTCTTTTGCTTTGCTTTTTCAAAAATGGTCAATGCCATGTAGGGGTCTGTCTTGGAGGCATGTTCAATGGCCTTGGTCAGCACAGTGGGATAGTAGTTGGGATAGTTTTCTCGATTGATCTCGGTTTCAATGTGATGCCAGAGGTCTAATGTGGAGGGTGCTTCTACAATTGCTTGTGTTGCTTCCATTTCCTCCTGTTTCGCTGTAATGTGTTGGTTTTTGGAGACGATGGTCTGATCCCAGTTGTATTCTTGACTCATTGGCGATAAATGCTCGAGTAATGGATCGTCTTCTGGATCCTCTGGTTCCTGTCTGTTAAATAAGGATGATTGAGCTATGCCGCCGTACATGGGTCCAACAGCACTCTGTGGCAAGGGCTTCCGTTTCTTATGGACGGTTTTCTGTTTTTCGAACAATTCCAGGATACGCATTGAAATGGCTTCATCTGATAATGATGGTGGTGGTGATGGTGTTGCTTTCTTAGCAGGACCCTCGGACCTCTTCGTGTTATAGCTGAGTATATCGTCCAGAAGCTGTGAGAACTCTAAAACGGCTTTACTCTCACTGGCATGTCGTTGAACGACTCGAGATGTAGTTGGTCTGTCTTTGGAAGACTCTAATTCCCAAACCTCCAAGTCCTCCTTCTTTTTGGTTTCCTCGTGATGGTGCGGTTGTTGGTCGTCATGCGTCAATTCATCTTTGCTGCCGCTGTCAGTTGTGTATAATTTCGACAGCATGAATGTCTGCTGCTTTGGTAATTTACATAGTAATGCTGTTGACCATTGGAGATGTCAGTCATCAAATCAAATGTTGTACACACCCTAGTTCACATTTACCCTTGTTGGCCAATATTCTCGATCTTATTGTAAGAGGTATCATAGTTTATTAGTTTAACGTTTGCAATGGCAGAAACAGGTATTGACAGAAAAAAAAAAAAAAAAAAAAAAAGAGCAAACAAGAGATCCCTGCCCTTCAGAGCCCAAGGTATTCTGTATATAGTCACATTTGAATAGCAGTACATGCTCCTTCTTCTTATGCCAATGCTCTGTAGCGCAAGGATTCAAAGCATTGCAGCATCGCAGATGCCGTAGGTCTTTCTTCGCCTTTGAATGCTAGTCCTGGCTCAATGGCTGGTAGGATAATAGTGTACATTGGGTCAATCTGATCGCGCATAATATCTACTTTATGCTGGCCCATGGTCACCAATGTCGTCGATCTGCTTTGGCATTTTTGCATCAAGCTGAGTATGACCAACGATGCCTGAAACACATCTGTCTCTGCTCTGTAGCCTTCTTCCTTAATCTTCTTCTTTTCTTTATCTATTAGTCGATGGAGTTGAGTCATGTGTGTTTTGTGTAGCAGCGAATTATCGAATTACCTGGACAATTCAGTACATCAAAGTCAATCCATGGTAATTGCTCATTATCTCCTTGTAGATATATGCACGATTTAAAGTCATCAAAGTAGACGACACCATCCAGGCCTAGCCATAGGCTGTCCAAAGATATACCCACCAATCCAATGCCCAATGCGTGTGCGTCTTTGAGAGCTGATAATAAGGAGACAGCAATTTGTAGAATGTACAGCGGCTCTATGTTTGTGCCTATAAACTTAAATAAGCAGCTGCCCCCGTTCTTGTCTGTATATGGTGTAATTTACCTTGATATCGCTTGCTTAGTCTGTAGTTGGCTAACGTTCCCTTTTCATAGTACGGTTTGATAAAGAACCACACAGCTTGATCTGATTCATCGCCAATGATCTCGTTCAGTGCTGCATTGCGCTTTGATCTGAATTGGTTGATATGGGTGGCCATGCCTCGACACGGGAGTAAATTCTCTGACATCTCCCATTCATAGCGGTTCATATCTTCGAAGTAACTGTCACCGATGGAAGGCACTACACACGTACACATAATGTCCAGCCGTTTGTAGCTTCCCTTGAATGTTATCTCTCGACTGTGGACCTTCATCTTATCCATCAGAGGCTGTTTATCAATGTGAATGAACTGGGGATCAAATTCCAGTGGAAACGGATGATTCACTCGGGCTTCCAGTTCTGCTGTTGTGATCAGGTCTTTCTCCTCGCATTCTGGGTCGCTTGAGAGATCACTGAGACTAGAGGTGTCATCACATAGCTCATCAGAGATTTCTAAACAACGGTTGAGTACGCCACCCTAATTATGAACATCTTGATGCAACAAACCTTGTTTGAGAAGAGACTCTTGGGATCGTCTTTCTATTTTGACGGTTGTGCGTACTTTAGCATTACTCTGTGTCATTGTGAATCGTATGGAGACAATCAAAAATGAGAGAGAAATGCGGATTGTCAATACCAAGGCGATCGAATGAGTGGCTTGTGTGGAGAGAGAAAGGGTATGAAAATTTTGTACTGCAATCTTATACTACTTTCTTTCCAGTATTCAACCATCATAACAACATGTCTTTGACTCTTGACTTTTTGCTTCCTCCCCCTCCTGCTTCATACAAGGCTGATCAAGCCTCTGTTGTTCACGGCTCTTTGAGTGGTAAGTTGAGAATGTATCCCAGAGAGAAAGTTTCCCTGTACTCATCATGACCTTTTCAGCCCCTACCGACCGTCTCATTGAACCCGTCGGTCGCCACTTCCTTGCTCATGCTCGCAGAAAGACTCACAACCGTACTTTCTCTGAAGACGAGATGCACCAAGCTCAAGAGAAGGCCAACCAAGTCGTCGAGGAAGAGACTGTTGAATTCGAGTACGAAGATGTCGATATCACCACTGTCAACCAAGACCCCACCCAATGGAAGTCTCAAGATAACTATGCTGTCCTTGGTTTGACCAAGCTTCGTTACAATGCCACTGAAGATCAAATCAAGAAGGCCCATCGTCGCATGGTTCTCTTGCACCATCCCGATAAGAAGGCTGACAAGAACGACGATGCTTTCTTCAAGTGTATTGCCAAGGCTTACGATACCTTGATGAACCCTGTCACTCGTCGTCAATACGATTCCGTTGATTTCGGTATGGCCTGGTTGGAGGAAGATGCTCCTACTGCCAAGACCCAGGGCGATTTCTACGAATTATGGCGTCCTGTCTTTGAGCGTGAAGGTCGTTTCTCCACCAAGCAACCTGTTCCCTCTCTTGGTGATGCCAACTCCTCCAAGGAAGAGGTTGAGGCTTTCTACGACTTCTTTTACAACATTGATTCCTGGAGAACCTTTGAATGGCTTGATAAAGAAGGTGCTGAGGGTTCTGATAACCGTGATGATAAGCGTTACCAAGAAAAGAAGAATCGTGCTCAACGTGCTCAACTCAAGAAGGAAGACAATGCTCGTCTCCGTACTCTTGTCGATACTTGTTTGAGTGTGGATCCTCGTATTGCCATCTTCAAGGCTGAAGACAAGAAGAGAAGAAACGCCAAGAAGGATGCTAAGGCTGCTGCTGATAAGGCTGCTGCTGAGGCTGCTGCAAAGAAGGCTGAGGAGGAGAAGCTCGCTGCTGAAAAGGCTGAAGCTGAAGCTAAGGCTGCTGCTGCTGACTCTAAGAAGGCCAAGGAGATGGCTAAGCGTGCCATCAAGAAGGAGAAGAAGACCATTAAGGCTATTGTCAAGGACAACAACTATGCCTTAGCTGCTGATGCTGCTCCTGCTACTCCTGCCGAGATTGACTCTCAATTATTCAAGTTGGATGATATCCTCGCCAAGAACAAGACTGCTGAGCAACTTGAAGCTCTTCGCAAGTCTTTTGAAAAGGCTGTTGCTGACAAGAACCTCAACGAGGCCTTCACTGCTGCTCTCTAAATACACCATAGACATCTTTGCATAAAATAGCATTTGAATAAATCCATTTATTTGGCTATTTGTTGAACCAATTCGTATTAATGTAATTAGTGTATATGTATACAAGTGTGTGGGGGGGGGGAGGAGGAGGAAAGGGATAGAAGGTCAACTGCAAAACTAGTGGAGAGAGTGGGGGGGGCGGAATGGTGATATGTACACATTACAGTCGACCTTGCTCCATGTCAGAATCCTCGTCGTCCAGAAAACTCTCGTCTAATCCTCTGTCTCGATCCAAAGCTGTGAATTCTAAAGATGGCTCACGCTCAACATCAGGTATATCGTCGAAATCAATTCGTGTGGATCGTGCGTGCAAAGAGTATTGGTTCCTGGATAAAATGCATCAGCTATGATTCACAGCCTATGGAGAGATGTATATGTATACTCACTTTCGAAGCATCATGAACAGTCGAACTAGCTGGAAACCATTACGAATGACAAGCAAAACGGTATCAAATATGGCTTCACTTCGCTCGCCAACAGAGCAGCCTGTGGTCAAGACAATCAATGTCACTGCACACAGCACGACGAGGACAATGTCCACAACATTCCACACTGATTTCCAGTACCTCTAAAAGCAGGTTGTTTAATGCTGCTTGCCTGTCATCCTCCTACTGTTACTTACCCTTCCCAATGCCAATAAACGGGTTGTTACTTCAATGATCATGGCGAAATTGATGATGGCCTCAAACACGATGAACAATACAGATGGACTAGATTGCATGATGAGACACATATCCTAGCGCACAACTCTATAGTTTGTCTTACCATGTTTCCTTAATAGACTGTAGAAGCAATAAACAAACCAATCTAATCAGTATCATATGCAAACTCTCTCATGAAAACACACTATACCATGACAATAGTGACAAAACTAAGTATCGCCAACGCCAAGTAGAGGCCGATATAAAACTTGGAATACATAAATCGATTCGCCATACCCTGCACAATTTCCGACTTTGTCAAGCTATGTTGCGTTCTTGAAGAAGGCAGCAAGTTGCTGTGTGTGTATCAGTTGAATTGCTCTTGTACCGTCTCATTTGAGCGGCAATTACCTGGCCAAATAGTCATCTTCGGATGCCAGCATATGCATTCTATCGTCGTCATCGTCTAGCGGCATATTTATATATTTACAAGAGAGAGAGAGAGATAATGTAGCCCGTTAAGGTGTTGCCATGAAGATATTCGGAGTTGTGCTCACATTGCTAAAAACAGTCGGCAGTTTTGCTTATGTATATAGTAGTCGTTGCTTGGCAGGCAAGTCCATTTGCCCTGTCTCTCATACCTCCTCGTGCTCTCATTGAATACCTGTACAGTATATAAGGAGTCAAATTTACTTTTGCTTTATTGAATTGCTTGATTTGGGTTGAATTGGTTCTAGATAGATCTTGCAAAAGAATCTCACATCCACTGTCAGTATAACATCCAAAGGCATATCTGTAATCCATACGAGACATTACACAGTTCAGCGCCCGTGCTTCTCAATCCCATCGAGGAACATCTGATGCAGTATACTCTGCTTTATAAACAGCTACTGTCTAGAGGAACGGGCTCCCTCTTTTCTCTCGCCAGTAAATCTATTTATAATACACGATCTTCTGTATTGTGATGTGATACAAGCAAGAGAGGTTTGCTTATTTAAGCAACAATCAAAATTGAAAAAGGCTATTTCTTCCCTTTTCTTCCTTTTTCCTTATTATTTTGTGTGTCAGCTCATACAAACTATGGTTTCTCGACGAGAGTATTTTGTCGACATGGATGAAGAAACTGCCACTGGCGGTGCCTCACAGAGACTCTTGATGGGAGAACAGCAAGAAAGATTAGCGTTCTCCAGCGACTCTGAAGAGGATGATTTGTACAATTACTCTTCTGAGGAAAAGGAGCTGATCCAATCTGATTACAGCTACCAGAAAAAGGTACACTCTGTAAGCTACACTTGATAGACTGGAGCTAATACTAAAAGCAAAGGGTCTCAACTGGATTTGCGTTGGATTTGTGTCCATCTTGCTTTTGGCTTGGATACTATGGACTGTATCAATCGCGCAATTGTTTACTGGCTGTAAGTCTCGATAAACAGAGTAGCATGCAAATACAACATCTGACATGCATGGTAGTATCGGCAGGGGAAGAATCAGATCACCAAAGCACAGACGCCAACGTGGACCACAAGAAGCATTTCCAATTTGAAGACATTTTCAATAGATCATTCACACCTCAATATACAAACCTGGTGTGGGTCGAGAATGGTAATACAAACATGGCAAAATGAATAGAGTTGATCATTCACACCAAAAGACAGACCCCAGAGACGGTATCTACACTTACAGAGACCCCGTATCCAACGATATTCTTTTGGAATCCATCCAAGATAGACAGAGCCAAGTGTTTGTCAAGGCAAGAGACTTGGTATGTGCTTTGTCTCGTGTGTGATTGCATAGTGTGTGTGGGAATCTCATCTGATGCATCCTTAGACATTCAACGGCATGGAACTGAACGTAGATTCATTCGAATTATCGCACGATGCGCAATATTTGCTGCTCAAGACCAATGTGTCTAATGTTTGGAGACATTCATCCTTGTACTATGCATACATTTACCAAGTATCCAGCAAAAAGATTACCCCACTCACTACATCCAACAAGATTTCATATGCTGCATGGAGTCCCACAGGCCATCAATTGGTACTATAAAGCATTGCTGCTATACTCTACGTGCCCTTGTGTTGATACATTTTTTTGTATAGACCTACGTTATGGACAACGATATCTACATCACTGATTTGATCAAGCATAAACGAGTGACATTTGATGGATCACAGACTGTCTTTAACGGCATCCCTGACTGGGTCTACGAAGAAGAAGTCTTGGAAACCAACTTTGCTCTCTGGTGGGCTCCTGATTCATCGCATATAGCTTTCTTAAAGCTGGACGAGACCAATGTCCCTGAATACCATCTACAAATGTACACTGGTACCCGCAATGGCTCATATCCCAAGGAGAACAAGATTCGTTATCCCAAGGCAGGTGCTCCCAATCCACTCGTCTCGTTGCATGTGTACTCTGTCTCTGCTGACCGCGTGATTACTGCATCAACCACCTCTGCCCAAAACACATACGCCAACATCATGGGGACAAGCAACATCAGCGACTTTGCTGAAGACGATCGACTCATCATCGATGTTGTCTGGGCTACTGATTCACATACCCAACTACTGTTCAAGCAGATGAATCGTATTCAGGACCACCAATATACCAACCTTGTCGATATCAATAGCTTCCACCTCGAGAACAGCACTGTCAAGTTGGTGCGTGAATACAAGCCCACGGATGGTGGTTGGATTGATGTAGCTCAATCCATGGTCTATTTACCTCCCAACAACAATAGCACTCGAACAGATTTGCGCTATTTGGACATTTTGGATAACAAGGATGGATTTGCTCATCTGGCTATTGTCACTGTCAATGAAAAAGGCAGCAGTGTTTCTTGGTTGACCTCTGGTGAATGGGAAGTCATTACAGAGACTGTGGAGGTAGATGCCAAACGTCAACTCATGTAAGGACAAGCTGTTTGTATGTCTTTTTAGGGGGGCTAATTTTTTTCTTCTCCCACAACATCTAGTCATTTTGTTTCTACCGAGCGATCACCCTATGAGCGTCATTTGTACAAGATCTCGCTTGACAATAAGAAGCCTGCATCAACCAAATCATGCCTGACATGTCCCTCTGACCCTGAGGAACATGCCTACTATTCTGCCTCTTTCTCTCCCAAATCAGGTTATTACATTTTGAACTATGAAGGTCCTGGCATCCCCAACACAGTTGTCAAAAAGGTCGATGATGCTTCATTTAGAGCTGTATTGCAAGACAATCTTGATTTGAGAATGTTGTTGCAGGACTATGAATTACCGAAGACACACATGAAAACCGTATCCAGCGGTGGCATTGGTAAGCCTTGCATATATATATATACGCAAAAATTGAATACACAATTAAGATGTGCCTTTATTAGAAATGACAGCCATGGAAGTTGTGCCTGCAGATTTCGATGTGCATAAAAAATACCCTGTTCTGTTTCATGTGTATGGTGGTCCAGGCTCTCAGTTGGTGTCGTACCAATTTGATCTGAGCTGGCAAACATTTGTCGCTAGTCAGTTGGGTTTCATCGTTGTAACAGTAAATTTCAAAGTGGAATTCTCATCATGATAACACCACTAACGGAGAGCATCGCTTTTAGGTCGATGGAAGAGGCACTGGTTTCAAGGGAAGAAAATACCGCGTTGGTGTCAGAGGAAGATTGGGTGAACTCGAGGTCATTGATCAAGTCAATGCTGGAAGGTAATAGTGCAGCATATATACAGTGCTGATTTGATGATTCATTGTACTTATGGTTGTGTTTGATAGACACTGGGCCAAGCTGGACTATGTTGATGAATACAGAATGGCTATCTGGGGATGGGTTAGTAACAAGCATCATGGATTTACAGGACTAGCTGACATTAATTCATCTGTTTAGTCTTATGGCGGTTACATGACCACCAAAGTGATTGAAGCCAATGATGGCGTCTTTTCTACTGGTATGGCTGTTGCGCCAGTCACCGACTGGAGATTCTATGGTAAATATAACATGGCGTATTGGCTCGATCTACCTTGCTAACATGTTGTACCATGGTCTAGACTCTGTTTACACTGAACGTTATATGATGACCCCCAAATTGAATCCAGTTGGATATGAGAACAGTGCTGTCAACAATATGACGGGATTTAGAAATGCAAAATACCTTTTGGCCCATGGTACAGGAGATGACAATGTGCATTTCCAACATACAGCTGTTCTCGTAGACAAGTTGACATTAGAGGACATTCACAACTACCGTGTACAGATCTATCCTGATAGTAACCATGCTATCCGACATCACAACGCCAATAAGAATGTATACTACTTGCTGACTGAATTCTTGATTGAAAGGTAAGATAGGATTGATTGTATGAAACAGGGCATCCATGTTGATGTGTTTTACGTTTGATTAGCTTTGGTGGACATGAATACAAGCACATTTACAACGAAATGCATGGCAAATTCTCTGGTCCTTTGCCCAAGGAAGATTAAATGAGAAGCGCAGGCCGCTTCAAATACTTGATATATTGTGATAAACTGCTTTTTTGAGAGCGAGAATGATGTTGATATTGAATGTCTTGGCAAAATGCAATAAACTCTTCTAAGCCGTTATGAACAGCTAGAAAACTTTAATGTGTTGTCTACCATATTTCATTTTCTGATATTCCATGTCATGTTTGCCATTAATATCCAACAACAAAAGCTTTGATTGGGTGACCTTGCCGGGAGCAATCAGCTACACCCGAGAAAGTGTTCAACGGAGTTGCAAAGGATCCATCAGTGATATTGGCCTCACCAAGGTGCAATAGTTGAGATCTTCCCTTTTTTGCCATCATGGTATGCGACACATATGCTTGAACGAGAGATAGATGGATACAAAGACATCAACTAGACGACGGATGAGAGATGCAACTTTTGGATGGTGGCAAATGGATGGATTGATGGATGGATGAGTTGAAGAGATGGTGTTGGATGATGGAAAAAATTGCGCTCGATTGGATACACATGTGTCAAAGAGACAGAGAGAGAGAGAGAGAGAGAGAGAGAGAGAGAAATATGCAGAACAGTATGACCAGAGCAGTATGACCACAGCTTCAATTCGACCAACAGCACCTTGTCCTCTCATCTGGCGTCTAGCTGATATCGACACTGTCCATCTATGCTCTCTCAAACCCTACATGTCATGTCAAATCTAACTCTTTTCATAGTCTCTTGTAGTTCCCGAGAGAAATCATTTCCAGCACATTATCCGTCTTCTCAACACCAACGTTGACGGTCGTGTTAAGATCCAAATTGCTTTGACCTCTGTCAAGGGTGTTGGTCGTCGTTTCGCCAACATTGCCTGTAAGAAGGCCGATATCGATCTCACCAAGAGAGCTGGTGAGCTTTCTTCTGAAGAGTTGGAACGTATTGTCACCATCCTCCAAAACCCTGCTCAATACAAGATCCCTACCTGGTTCCTTAACAGACAAAAGGATATTGTTGATGGCAAGTCTTCTCAAGTTATCTCTAACGTCCTTGATACCAAGTACCGTGATGATCTTGAACGTTTGAAGAAGATCCGTAATCATCGTGGTCTCCGTCACTACTGGGGTGTCCGTGTTCGTGGTCAACACACCAAGACCACTGGTCGTCGTGGACGTACCGTTGGTGTCTCCAAGAAGAAATAAGCTGGTAAGTCTATTGTGTGTGTGTGTGTGTGTGTGTGCCGTAGTCGGAACCATGTAGTCTAATGTCATTATGTTTTGTCTAGTTTTAATTCTCGAGATTTACATTTTAAAAAGCATAATAATAAAGAAAATAAAAAAAAAACTATTTTTTTTCTTTTTTATTATTCATTTCAAGGTTCTTGTCTTATTTACTGTCTTATTTACTATTGCACTGTTGTTCTGAGTTGTGTTTCTACGAGTTCCCTACTTGTATTGATGTCGTCCATCAAATAGCGCATCTCGAGCAATTTGGTGGGTGAAGTGACAGATCGAGCACACGTTTCAGCCGCTGTAAGGTAATCTAATCGCTCCTCTGAGGAAATGCTTCTAAAGAGATTGTCAGCCAACTATCCTACCAAGTCAGATAACGCAACTTACGGTAACTGAGATAATGCGGCAAACACTTGAGCAGCAGCATCATAGCGCTTGTTGTATCTATAGTACGCAGCAAGCAATTGGAGACGCTTGTATTCAACAGGATGCTTAAGATATTGCTCTAAATTGGGTGCATTTTCCTACATTGAATTGATGAGTCATGCTGTAGCATGCCAGCTAACATGTGTGTACATACTTCTATAAGCACAGAGACAATGTTTTCCCTCAGGAATGCATCGTATGCGTAGAACTGGAAGGCCTTGTCATTTCGCGCGGGATCAAAAGCTATGAGCATGATCTTTTTACGGTAGTCAGCGGGCTGAGATGGATTCAGGAAGACCTTCTTGAGGATTTCAATAGCAATGTCATAAAAGGGCTTCTTTTTAGTAAAGATACCCTGACGAGCATCACCAGCAGGGCAGCCAGCGTCCAAGTAGGCAGTGGCATCATTGAGGGGATCTCTCGCTTGTGCACAGTCTAGAGCAAGACAAATACCATATTCATGATAGCCCAATTCTGCGTATTGAGACGCAAATTCAACGGCCTTACTGTGTGAAATATTGGAGGCGATACTGGACAATGTAGTGATGGTATTAGCCAAAATTTTTCTGGCCTGTTCTGCATTGGCAGTTTTTGCAGAAGCGATCTGTTTAGCAGCATTGAAGATCAAGACATCATCGGCGCGACAGAAGGAACCGCATTGGCTTGTAAGCATATCAATCACATAGTCAATGTTGCCATCATATCGTTTTGTGGTATAATCAATCAAGGCAGCTGTCAAATCACTGGTGACGGTAGACATGCCTTCTGGTGTAGTGAGCAGTGTATTGATGTCATTTTCCAAAAGACGAGCTTGAGAAGCAGGTTTGCTGATGGTTTTGATGATGGCGTTCAGGTCGGTATCAATCAGGTAGATAAAGAACGACATGGATTCTTTGAGGTAGTCAATAAACGTCAGCAGGTGGTTGTAGGATGCCGTCTCGGGTGAATCCGCTGCAAAATGGAACAATCCCTGTTTTTGATCAATGACGTTTTTGATGCTGGACAGGGTGTTTCTGATGTTGCAGAGCTCTTGCTTTGCAATGCTGTTTGTGTAAAAGGTATTGGCGGGCGTGGTTGTCGCCTTGATCAAGTGCTTGCCCCAAATGCCTTGAACGCTGCGATAGACAAACAAGGCCAGGCCGTCGTGAATGCTAGAGTAGGAGCGATTGTTGAAATCCGTCAATGCCGATGTCACTTGGCCATACTTTTTGAGCAGTTCCAAGGCAGCATCCTGCACTGGAGAGCTGATGGCACTGTTGCTGTACAGAGAGTCAGGGGTGGGTAAATTGGCTGAGCAGATCAAGTTGAAGCAGAGCGAGCATGCGTTGAGGTAGCCAAACTGGCTAAAGAAGGGCTCGAACTCGCGCAAACGGAAGCGCGTGTCAGGGGTTGTTTTTAACAAGAGGTTATGCAACATGTCAACAGGTCTTTGCTTGGCCAAGATTGTAACACCAGATGTTGTCAGCACTAAAAAGTGGCGAGATGGTGTGTGGTATGCGTATTTGAACTCGTTGATGTCGTCAGATCCAGTGGGTGCTTCAACGATAGAGAGAACTTTGCCGTGAATATCAATCGTAGTGCCGTCTTCAATCAATTGGGCGGTGGAAGTGGCTAAAATGAGATTGCCCAAGTTGGCCAGATTAGGTGAGTAAGCGACAATCTGTGATTGCGTAGGGTTGGCATCTGGATTTTTGACAAACAATGTGAGGCCGTTTCTGTAGAGACAATGGCTCACGGCATCAGTAGGTGCTACGCTGTCGTCAGGTGTTCTCACATGCACTGTGATCAGTCCAGTGGGCTCTGCATCGTAATTCATCTGTTGAGCGTTCTTTTGGTTGTTGTAGTAGATTCTGGATCCATTGGAGGTGATGGCAACCAAGTGGTAAGAAAGAGACTCGGCTTTTGTGGTGGTATGGATGGAGACGATGCGTGTTTCGGGTGTGAATTGCTTGGAAGAGGGCTGCGATATCTTTGCATCGGCAATGCAGTCGTGCTTCCTGTAGGCTGTGTTGTAGGTGAAGCCGTCTGTGCCCAGATACACGACATGGATGCTTGAGCTTTGGGTCAGTTGGTATAAGACGGTGCCGCTCTCATTGACTGCAAGTTGTACAATGGGGTCTCTTGACTTGCCAAACAAAAAGTTGAGTGAGCTGCTAGAGGTTTGTAATTTCTTGGAACATTTGCTAGAAAACCAAGTTTCCTTTGCCTATTAAAAAAAAAAAAAAAAAAAAAAACCAGCTCAATGCCTGTTTGCTGACAGGAAGCATCCGAATAACCCGCCGCACTTACCTTGTAGTCCAATTCCCACACATTGTCATCATTTCCCAGCATGAAAATACGGCCCTGACTCGTACCGACGATCTGACGCATACAGACACGGTTGGTCAATGTGGTCATGTATGAATTTACAAACTGCAAGCCATCGGGGCCATCAGCGATACCAAAGACTTTGATCATTGTGGTGGTTGCAATGACCAGCAATTGCTTGACACTATCCAAAAAGATGCCAGGCTTGGGCGCAACAAATCCTACGCCCACGATATCATCATCCTCTTCGTGATGTGAAATGTCTTGACTAGATGTCGTGTTGGATGAGATTACAGTTTCGTTGCTTTGTGTGTGTATGTGTGTGCAATGTACTACCTGTTGGCATAATCCAATAGACAAAGACGGTTCTTGATGACAAAGTAAGCTCTGTTGATGAGAGGAGCGAATCCACAAGGGCTCTTTTGATCAACTAGAAATGCAGGTTTAATATACGAGGCTTTCTCATCCAGGTTGTGTTGCAATTGCTAAAGACATACACTGTTGAATTTCTGACAAGACAGATGTGCTTGTTGTAACGGCCTTCTTGAAAATAACATTTCTATAGTCATCAGAAGCGTTTTTGCAGTACTTGGGATGCTCTGTACATATGCTTGATGGTGAATAAAGGAGCTCTGCCATGCCGGGATGTTGCATTTCTTACCTGTGAATGTCTTGTAGAGATCAGGGAATTTTCTATCAACCACAGCTTTGCTCTCCAATGAAGCTGACGCATCGCTTATCGCTTGAAATTCTTTTCCAGGTTCTGTGGTAGTCATCATGAACAAAGTGAATCGATAGTGAGAGGGTTGGAAAAGAAAGAGAGAAAGAAACGCGAAAAATCCCTGCCATCCTTTGTTTAATTTTTTTTTTTTTTCAATCGTCACAGACAGCATCATTTAGTTGTATACATGCATTTCATATGGAAAGATCGGATGTGATCTACAAGGCATTCCAACAGTAAATAGCACCCTAACATTTATCAAAGCGCTTTGCTGGATTGACCTATATCATTCTTTGCGCTGGGTGACTCGATGAGAAGCCACCCTTTGCTGCCAATGTTGATATATTCATGTGGATTGCCCCAGAGCAGTGCATCATAACGGACATTGAATGGCTAGATGCTGTATAAAGCACTCTGTAACGTTCGAACAGAGAACCCCTTTTACTCTTTCCTTTTTTTTTTTTTTTTTTTTTTTAATACGTTACGAGAGAATCCTATATATAATGGTGCCAAACCCTACCTCGGACTGGACAGAACTGCATGTAAGTAGCACTCGTTGACTTGGATCCTATATGCGACATTATTCTTACCTTTGCTTGCGATACAGGATCGTTTCTATAGGTAAAGTACTAGTGTTTCTATTGTGTGCTTTTGTTGTATCAACTGGTATGTATGACAGAAAGCAGGAAATCTACTCTCTATCATGGAATCAGACCGACCTCTCCAAGTTTATGATTTCTGGCGCTCAATACGGTGGTCCTATTGGTATGAAGTTTGATTTATGCATATTGCAATCTCACTCACGTGTATTGCCTTTTGGTTCTGTAGCCATGATAAGAGACGACAAGAAGGTCTTGCTGCTCCAGAAACAACAGCCCATTAAACCCACCATCTACATGTATACCAGTGCTGGCAAATTGATCGAGCAAATTCAGGTAGATAGTACCAAGCACGACAAACAACACAACCACTGACCAGTGTGCCGTGTGTATAGTGGGATAAGGGCCGCATTGTAGCATTGGGATGGACGGATCAAGAGCAACTGGTTGTGGTGACAGATGATGGTTCTGTGAGGCTGTATACACTCTATGGACAGTATACGCAGTTTTCTCTGGGCAAAGTAAGTTGATTGTGTGCGTTGTTGCCTGGATCATTTGACCTGATTGCGTGTGTCTAGGATGCCAAGAACGATGGTATCATCGACTGTCAAATTTGGGGAGGTGGCCTGGTAGCGATGACCGGAAAATACCAACTGATCAGCTTGACCAACTTTGAGGAACCACAACCCAAGATGATGGCTGAACTCAAGCTGGATGAACCTTTGCACAGCTGGACAGTCGTTCCTCCTCAATTCACACTGAGTCGACATGTGGAAGTCTTGATTGCTACAGGGTCTACCATTTTGGTGGTAGACAGTAAGGAAGTGACAGATCAGCACTTGAACCAAGGCCCTTTTACCAAGATGGTTGTTTCGCCCAACGGTAAATTCCTGGCACTATTCACATCAGATGGCAAACTGTGGGTTGTATCCACTGATTTCCAAAAGAACCTGTCTGAATACTCGACCAAGTCCAAAATTGCGCCTCAACAACTGGTGTGGTGCGGTACTGACTCTGTAGTGTTGTATTGGGACAAGATTGTCCTGATGGTTGGCCCCTTTGGTGACTGGATCAAGTATACGTATGAGGATCCCATCTATTTGGCGTCTGAAATTGATGGTGTTCGTATCATCAGTAATGATAAGTGTGAGTTGCTACAAAAGGTGCCTACCTCCACTGAAAAGATCTTCAAAATTGGCTCTACTGATCCGCCTGCCATGTTGTTTGATGCCTTGGATCATTATGAGGTATGTAGTATGGGAGAAGAGTGTGCGGATCGAAATTCACCTACTGGAGTCAACAGCGCAAGAGCCCCAAGGCAGATGAAAATATTCGAAGCATCAAGGCAGAGTTGATCGACGCTGTTGACAGCTGTATTGAGGCAGCAGGTTTCGAGTTTAGTCACTATTACCAACGAGCCTTGTTAAAAGCAGCTTCATTCGGAAAGTGCTTCCTGGACAATTACAATGCAAATGAATTCGTAGACATGTCGCAAACGATTCGTGTCTTGAATGCTGTGAGATACTACGATATCGGCATTCCATTGACCTATGCACAGTGAGTGTTGATCTGATGGGGGGGCGTATAGGATGCGTATTGACACCTCAAGCTAGATATAAGCGTCTCAGTCCGGATGTATTGATTGATCGTCTGATTAATCGTAACAACCATCTACTCGCTATTCGTATAGCAGAATACCTGAAATTACGCACGGACAAAATCCTGATCCATTGGGCCTGTGAAAAAATCAAATCCAGCACTGAAGATGAGGAGGCCATTTGCAGAACAATTGTGGACAAGCTCGCCAAAAAGCCCGGGCTATCTTATGCCGAGATAGCAAAGACAGCACACGATGCGGGCCAAACACGCTTAGCCACCAAGTTGTTGGATTACGAGCCTCGAGCAGCTGATCAAGTGCCTTTGTTGATTTCCATGCAAGAAGATGAGACAGCCTTGATCAAAGCGATTGAAAGTGGAGACACAGACCTGGTTTACTTGGTCATCTTCCACCTGAAACGCAAGCTTCCTTTGGGCGAATTTTTCCGCATGATCAACAACAAACCAATGGCCTGCAATTTACTGGAAGTGTATTGCAAGGAACAAGACACTGAATTATTGAAAGATTTCTACTATCAGGATGACAGAAGAATTGATAGCGCCAATGTGGTTTTATCAGAGGGGTTTGCTGAATTGGACATTGCAGAACGCATCAAGAAACTCAAAATCGCTGGAAAGATTTACAGCGAACACCGCGAACAAGCGTTTGAAGCCAAGGCTGTAGACGAAGCCGTGAAACTACTGCAATTCCAACTTACACTCGAAAAAGATACCCAACAGTCATTCACAGGTCTTTCCATCAGTGAGACCATTTACAAATGTACAACACTTGGCCAACACAACAAGGCGTCCAAGATCAAGACAGATTTCAAGGTGCCAGACAAGAGGTTTGTTCAATGATATAGTGCAGAAGGAGGCATTGTGCTAATGAAATTAACCTGCTGCTGCAGATTTTGGTGGGTCAAACTGCGTGCCTTGGTGGAAGTTAGAGATTGGGAAAATCTAGAGAAGCTCTCCAAGAGTAAAAAATCGCCCATCGGGTATGAGCCCTTTGTTGAAGAGTGTATCAAGGCTCGACAATATCAAGAAGCATCTAAATACATTCTTAAATGTGACCCTCCTGTGAGACCCATGTTGTTTGTCAAGATTGGAGCCTTTAAAGAAGCAGGTGAACAGGCCTATTTGAACAAGGATGTCGAAGGACTCAGGTATGTTGTGGATTTGAAAGCAGCGTGTGCATATATATATATATATATATATATCTATACTCATCTTGTTATGATGATAGGGAAGTAAGAGCCAAATGTACAAACCACATTGTAGCGCAGGAATTGGATTCGCTCCTTGCTCAGCTTAATGCCAAATAAATCCAATAAACATACTATGCCTTACACAAGACAGGACACATCGTTCTCACTCTACAATCACAGAATATACAAACGTAAATGAGGAGCATAGCATCAGCATCCAGATACCATGCATCCCAGAGCCTTGTTTTTATCTGAATGGCATTATCGATGAGAGTATATACAAATGAGCGTTTTATTGATCTGCAATTCCACGTATACATTGTGTTGCAGTAAGGTATCGTTTGGTATAAAGAGATTATTGTCGTTTTGGTGTGGCTTCAGGAGGAGGATTCAGCACTCTTCCAGCAGACAAGAACCTACAAATGTATCAGTGGCTATTTCAAGCGAAGTACACAAGACACACTCACACTGCCGATTGCAAGGTGGTTAATTTACGAATAGATGGCACTTGTTTGATAGTCGTGTCCATATTATCGCTTAGTTTAACAGTAGTTTGCTCAAGTTGCTTCAGCTGCTCGCGCAATTCCATAAATTGCATCGCTTTTGACTTGTGAGCTGCTGATGGTTGCATGTTTCGAGATGGTTTGAAGCGCGAGAAGAGGAAAAAAGCAGCTTCGAATGTGATGGAACGCGTCGGACTTGGCTCTATTGCCGTGCTGGCCCAGCTTCAAATGAAGGGGGCTCCTCTAAATTGCTCTTCAACCTGCTTTTTTATTTAGAAATGAAATCTGCTAGAAGATCACTAAAAGACACATCAGATAATAAGCGTCGATGGCGTGATAAATTCAAAGAGCAATGCAACGACAGAATGAAGATGGCTCGACAGGAGCAGATTAGTAAATTACGAGAGAATCAGGTAAAAAATGAAAACTGCTTCATTGCATCCCCTTCATTGCTGACTTGCCTGTCTCTCTATCTCAAGTGGATGACAAAAGTGCTGCAGCAAGAATGGATTCAGTTCAAAATGGACAACGAAGAAGCAATGCGAAAAGAGGGCATTGACGACATGGATAGTCTGATAGAACAGAGCATGCTGGACGACGAAGCAGAGATGTATTTACGACAAGAGGAAGAAGGACTAGATCAGGCCCTGGAGGAATTATATCAAACGGTGGCGTGTGTCAATTGTCAAAAGGCAGCGCTGACCTCTTCTCAGATAAAGGGTGTGCCAGTGTTAGCCTGTCCCCAATGTGGATTTTATGCAACCGAGACGTGCTTGAGCACCATCTTGAATGCGAGTCATGGCCATGCTACCTACTGCCATGGACTGATATCTTACTCTTTGGAGCCTGGCACCGACGATACAATCATTGCCGCTTGCAATATCTGTGATTTATGGGATATGTTTAATATGTAAATACTTGTATATACTGTGCATCGTGTATGTGACTGATGGCAACTATCTTTTGGACGTTTTGGGTCTCAAAATTATATCCCACTTTATCAATAAAGCCTTTCTTTCACAGCATACATATACAACATTTGATATGAGAACTACTGTCTTTTCGTCTTGCGAGCAGTACTTGTTTAGCAGGCCGTTGGATTCTATTCGAGTAAGCTTTGAATGTCTAGATCTCTCTCGTAGAACAGTTCTCACACCTTGCATTGTTCACCAAGGAACGACCTCCTGGAGATCCACAATCATACAAAAGCAGCTCAACTTCACTGGAGGCATTGTTGCAGAAAAAAGACTCATCCAATGAGCACGTGTTGTTGGAATCAATCAATAGTACAATTGACTCGCTGAAATGTACAAAAGATACTGTAAGCGCGATACTGACTGTGTCATTTCAAGCAAGTTGTATGACATGTCTAACCTATGTAAATGATTAGGGTTTTTTAGAGGCTTCAGCTTACACCATCATGCATGATTTGTTGCTATTGATCAATGCCGAGAATGAAGACTTGCAAGCCTCCGCTTATGTTTGCTTACAGTATCTTTGCGAGTATGCAGATCACGATGAAGTGGCATACAACATGATGAACGAGCTCGTCTGTGTGGACTGCAATTACGACAATCCACTTGTGTCTCTTCAGAATGCTCGCTTTTCAGCTGTTCTTTTGGAAATGTTCGGCAAGAGTCTTGAAAGGATGACCCGAGCTAGAGATTGGATGTTGTATCTCACCTTGCTTGCCAACTTTTTCGTCACACATATTGAAGCGATGGTCCCAAATTTGATCCAAGACTCGTCATTGGGATCCCCCCGTCCGCCTTCCGCTTGGGATAGCTGTTGTATACTGTATACCAATAGCTGTCTTGACTTTGTCCACTTTATTCACTCCAAGACAGTAGCAAAAGAACCCTCTACGTTTCCTGTAAGGGGCTTGTTCGTGGCATGTGTGCAAGGATGCTAATGCAGTTTGATAGTTCAACTCAACCGACATTGGGAAAGAGGATGGCGATACCAAGAGACGCTATCTTGCTTATTTCCTTACCAATTTGATTTTGGAAAACGTGGTAGCGAATCTTGATTTGCAATTATCAGACACCTACTTTAAAATGCTGAATCCAGTATACGCATCAAGAATCAAAATACACAGATCAAGCGCAAATGCACCTGTCAAGTCAACGGATTGTGCCTACAAGCCAATGTATGCTATTGTGCATCGTACCATGGTAGTATAACAGGCACTTGACGTCTAAAAACTCACGCACACACACACACTGATCTGTTCTGTGCAATTTAGGAATTGTCATTGAAGTATGGCCTTTCATTCAACAACATGCATCAGTTACAAATGTCGCTTTATACTCACACAGATCCAAACTATTCTGAGGGCAAGTGCACACATTGCAAAGAGAGTGCAAATTTAATAACGTGTTGGTTGTAGAACAAAGATCCAGGGAACTTGATTTGCAGGTGATCAACAACAGAGCATATCCATTGAGTTTTAATGGAGCTGCCGTGTTGCTCAGTCTATCATTGTATGACAAACTCATTTACTCCACCATCACATCCAAACCATCTATGGGACTTTATGATGACACGATTGCTATTTACAATTTGACAAAGCAATACTTTGGTATTGCAATGAACTTGTGTCTCAAGTGAGTTAGTCACTATCTACTGTTATATCTCCTTGGGCTTACTTTCGCATTAGATGTCAAGATCAAATCTGTATGGCAGACAAAGGCATTTTTGTCTTACTATTCATGTCTCAAGGAATTGACCATGTCAGAGTTTCCATGGACATGTTGGACAAACAGATACCTGGCCCCTGTGCAGGCCAACCTGCCATCACTTCATCGAGCGCTATACAGGTAAGAACATCTATGAAAAATCCGCGAAATCAACTTGCTCAATCATTAGGCTGTAGTTGCTTACTACTGTAGCGTCAGTTTGCCCTGATTCGACTATCCGATTCATAACATACAAGCTGATAGAAAAATTCATCAGTCTCGGTGACGAACAAGTTCAGTTATTCTTGTTTGAGGAACTGTTACAGACATGTCCGTACCCAAGCATGAACGTAGCCGCTATTGGGCTTTTGAAAGATCACGTCTGCAAGGTATTCGAGGAAAAAAGGGTAATATGAATGTCCTAGTGCCATCATGTCCAGAGGTCATGCTAATACATGCGGATGCAGTTTACTTCAGCCTTTGCAAGCCCTATTATTCTGACAGAGTTTGTGCCCATCATTCTGAAATACAAGGACGTGTGGGAGACAAAGCAATCTGAATTTTGGGATGATTACAGCTATATTATGCAGGCACTAGTGTTTTATCGCACAGTGTGTATCAACGATAAGCAAAAACTGGTACATTATACAGAATGACCTAAAATAACATTGAGAGTTAATCAAAATGCGACAGACTGCACTGTGGGATACTGTAGATACTATGAACGAGATTTATTTTAAGCCGCTGTCAAACTTGTTGGATGAAATAGATACGCAGGTACAAGTGAGGCACCGGATCTGATGGTACTACAACTTTTTTATTCACCTTTTTTTTCAAAATCATAGCATTTAGACAAGGAGATGCAGGTTGAAACAATGAAGCACCAACTTGGACTCATTTATAGTGATATTCTTAATCATAAAGATTTGCAATAAATTGGCATTGGCTCTCCTAAAAAAAAAAAAAAAAAAAAAGGTGAATGAATGTGGCTGCATTAAATACCAGTGGTAATGCACAAAATTAGTTTTATAAAGCACTATGTTTTTGCATTCAAAGTATTGTAGAAGCTACGTAAGGCCATGTTTTAACACTCTTCAATTCGCAATCCCCTTCTAGATAGCTTTTAACAGCATCCACTGTCCTCACAAAAGGTATGTCATGACAGTTGTCAGCCAGCCGCCGCCAAAATATATTCACACTTAGACAAGTATTCTGCTGTTAAAAATTGGTCAAATATTAATATTTTCGACTTGATCAGACTATTTTCTCATATTCGACTATGTAAAGTGTGATGATTGTTGCATCTTCCCATAAGCTTTCTTGAAGCACTTTTCAAAGCGCATCCAATGGTGCCAACTACAAAAGGCGCTATGACTAAAGTTTTTGAGCAATTTTAGAAAATATGAAATGACGTTTTTGGCGAAAATGTCTAGATTTTGCATATGTAGGTCTTACAAAGGTAATATCTGGGGCTGCTTTGGATCGATAGAAACATTTTGAATTACTATACATCTTAATAAAAGTCTTCATTTTTGCTGTTAAAAATGCGGTCGTTTGATTTTCAATGAAAACCATGAGGGGTACCTCATGCGTTTTGATCGATTTTTTGACGAAGTTTTCTTGGTCCCAAAAAAGTTGGGTAAAGGTGCCAGCAAGTTAGCCCTAGACAAGGACAGATGTTTCGTGCTATTCTGGCGGTCTAAAATGGCTTGCAAGGCGAGGAAACACGGCTCAAATGCATCTACATTTCGCTGTGTTTGGTATACTTTAGAGTAGTAAGAGCTAATGTTAGCATGTTGTGTGTCCTTTGATGGATGCACCCTATGAACATATACGCATAGTATTATAAAACCGTTCTGCTAACAGGACTGTACTACACAGCAATTTCCCCATACTCTCAGGCTTTAAATCAAACTTGTTACATGAGTAGTTAATCCACTATTCTCTATGAAGAAATCTTGCTTACTACAACTGCTGTCTACACGATTTGAACAAGTTGGAATTACCTGCTTTAGTGCAAAAATGTGTGACATTGGCCCTGTTCGAACATTCGTTTGAAAAGCACCATACACACACTTGCTCCATTCAGCCACAATTGCTATTGGCAGCTGGTGTCTAGAAACATGTGTGGCAATCAGTTGTTGGCAATTCAAATTGCTTGTAGTGAGTATAGAAATCCTGCAGCAGTTAACATTACGCCCAAATATAAGCCCGTTTGTTTATACCTATAAAATCAACAATACACCATATCGTTCAGAAGTTTTAAACGAGCTACATTGCCTCCCCAAGATCAGAGTGATTAATTGTCGTTGCCAACCACTTTTTTTTTTTTTTTTTTTTTTTTTTTTACAATAGACAGCCAGGTAATGAAGCATTGGTATTGACGTCTTATTTGACAGTTTGTCCCAATGTATAAATAAGCTATGCATGTGGCATATACAAACATGATATGCATAAAACCTAAACTTACAATCGTTCGTTTCAAACTCTAAATCTATATTTACAAGGGGGCCGCATAAAATCTACTTTATTATTCTTTACAGGAGCAATATATGAATGGATGAGTATGGGTGTATGTTGTAGCTAATAGTATGAATGTAATCTATGGAAAGAGGGAAAGGGAAACTGTGGAGGAAGGGGGGAGGGGGGGGGGTATTCGGCTGTGTATGTTTAGTGGTCCACAGAAGCATAGGCACACATCCAAATACGAGTCTTGTATATTTTGAACAGTTCGCGAACCAATTCACGAAAGTCAATACGCTCATTTGCCTTGAAGTAAAATGTCAATTTGCGTCTGTCCCTGTATAAACGAAACGTTGTTAGCCAAAGTGTACACCTCAAGACATATACACACGCACTGACCATTGATATTCGGCATCCACGACTTCCATGTTTAAATTCTTTTGCTTGATTTTGGCTTGACAAATAACCAACGCCTTGTGTTCATCTTGTTGTTTCAATTGATGCGTAGCCAGTTCAGCGGGATTTGCATGGCGAAAGATACGTTTGACACTTGTTACGCCCTTTTCTAAACAAGATGTTTGGCTGGTATCAATGACTTTACCCAAATCATAGCCACGGTCTGCTTCAACAATCACCATTTCGTTCAATTGAATGCGAATCTTGTCATCGTGCTGTACATAAAACCAATCTGATCTGTAATCGCCCTTGAATTGCACCAAGTACACAGTCTGTCCAGGTTCAAGTTGGTCTATAGGGAGTCCCTTTCCTAGGTACTGGACATCAATGGCAGCTGTGGTTGGGCTGAAATACTCGTCAATCTGCTGTTGCTGCAATTGCTGTACGAGATGTTGAACTGGATATTGTTGCTGTTGCTTTTGCTTTGGTCGCTGTTGAAGTGGATGCGATGGAGGAGGCGTGATGGGTCTAACATAATGCTGCTGTGTTACAGCAATTGAATGACGACGATCGTCCAACCTCATCAAAGGATTGTTGTTGTAATCAAACGACCAGATAGACGTTTTATCAGCATCATTTGCCATGAAACCACTTGAAGCCAGCGGAGATGGAAGAGGTGATTTATTGAAGCTGCTGTAATCTTGCTGACCACTACCAATGCTGCTGCGATGAGCACGATAAAAGTAATCATCCGCAGTAGGAGAAGTGTCGTAATATGACGAGGGCACTTGCATAGACGAGAAGGAGCGACTTCTCTTTTGCGGCTCCGTCGCAGCAGCTGTAGTAGCATTGCTGTTCTGCCATGTCGATGAGCTCCAGAGTGCATGCCAAGCAACTCCTGAATGACTGGTGCTGGTAGATGGACGATATGAAACAGGAGATGTTGTTGTTGTTGTTTGTTCATTCTTTGCCATCGGTGGAGAAAGAGGTTTGATTGACCAAGGATAAGAGTCCAGGTTGAAATCGTTCGTAGCCGTGGTCGCTGTTGTTGTAGTCGAGTTGGATGTTGTGTTTGACGGAACAATGTTATACAGTTCGTTTTGCTGTTTCAGATGATTGTTATCAAAAAACCAGTGCTCCTCGTCCTTTACTTCCTGCTGATTTTCTGCTGTTGTCGTATTGTAAAAAGTAGCCATTTTTGTGAACAGATACAAACAAGTAAGATAGAATGAAAAGAAAGAAGAAAGAGAGAGAGAGAGAGAGAGAGAGAGAGAGAGAGAGAGAGAGTTGGCTTTTAGAAACAGGTTGAATAATATAATAGTCTGACTTTTATGCAAAACCATCAACCTAATGAGGAAAAGGCCGCGCCCAAACAAACATATACACACACACCCATATTACGGCAAGTAGAGAGAGAGAGAGAGAGAGAGAGAACCATTCATATACTCACGACACACAGATCATGAATACAGGCTGAATACATGAAACGAGGAGTCTCTATGATTCATGCAGTCTACTAGCATCCGTACCGTACCACGCATTGCATTCTCTCAAAACAACAGACCTTCATTTTCATCAGACGCTGATTTTATATCACACTCTATTATCATATGAAAATGTCCACCCCCTTTGTTTTTTTTTTTTTTTTTTTTTTTTGCTCAATTGGACACAAATGAAAGAAACCAAAAAGTGTTTATTATATTAAAACATTTTGAAAACGAGACACTTAAAGATCCTTCTTGAGAGTACCCATGAATTGGTGCTTCTCGGCAGGAGTTTGGAAACGACCATGACCGAACTTGGAAGAGGTATCGATGAACTTGACGTTGACCTTTTCCAAAGCAGAACGCTTGGTGTGGACAGTGAGGGACTTACGAAGAGTAATGACACGCTTCTTGGAACCAGCACAACAGCCCTTGATCATAACGAAGTCGTCATTGACAACACCATAGTGAGGGAAACCACCCATAGGAGTGATGGGCTTCTCGGTCAAATCGTAATCAGTGGTACCAGACTTGGCATCAGAACCAGTGGCGATACGGTAGATCTTCTTGTTGATCTCAGTACGACGGTGGTAACCACGTTGACCAGCACGAGCAACAGAGTACATGACTCTGCTAGGATGCCAGGCACCAATACAGGCAACCTTACGGAGACCACGATGGGTCTTACGAGGCAACTTCTTGGTACCCCAACGAGCAGTGACACCCTCGAAACCGTGACCCTTGGTGGTGGCAATGATATCGATCATCTCATCTTGTTCAAAGATGGAACCAACGGTAACTTCCTTTTCAAAGTGCTCGCGAGCCCATTCAACCTTATCGGCGACGGAACCACCGTTCAATTGAACTTCCATAAGGTGAGCCTTACGTTGGTGGAGCTTGGCCTTGGAGATTTGAGTGTGAGCAATGACACGGACGACGGAACAGTACTTCTTGATACGCTCGAGTTCACGAGTGACATCCTTGGCACCTTCAGCATACTTTTGAGCATACTTGGTGAAGGCCTTCTTCTTGGAACGGTACCAGTTCTTGTAGAAGCGACGCTTGGCCTCTTCAGAGAGATGTTCAGCCCAGACGGTGGTCAAGGTACGGAGACCACGAGGAGTCTCGACGTAACCAACGACACCGACAACAACCATAGCGGGAGCTTCGATGACGGTAACGGCTTCGACGATTTCCTTCTTGTGCATCTCTATAAGCAGATTTTGACATGTCAGATCACCCATGCCATGTAGATCATCTTTGTGAGTACTTACTGGAACCAGGACGTTCAAGATCACGGACAATGTGGGTCATACCAGCCTTGTAACCCATGAAAGCGGTCATGTGGACAGGCTTCTTGGCATCATCCTTAGGGTAAGCCTTAACGCGACCACGGTGAGATCTAGTTCTCTTACGAGGACCGAAACCCAAATGACCGTGACGAGGAGCTAGATGTCAAAAAATGTTAATTCAATGATTCGCTGGTAGGAATACAATAGGGCCACTTACCCTCAAACTTTCTATAGATGGCAATAGAAGAACAAGGTAATGGTTAGTAAAGCTGTAGCGTATCATTGAGCAATGAGCAATGCCATCAGATCAAATGTCAAGCCAACATGTCCTTTTTTTTTTTCGAGAAAAAATAAATGATCCACGGTAAATTTGATTGACATTTGATGTGATGGAAATTTGCTATCGTTGCCATGGCAATCGTATTGAGATGGATGAATGTACCTGTGCGACTAGAATGTAAATGTTAGTATGTGATGGATGGATGGATGATGGCTGTATAGCATCTTACCATGGCTGTTATAGAGACAATAAAAGAGGAAGATTTGATGCCTTGCTGGATGGATGGTGAGTTTTCTTGATTTTTTTTTGGCCAAATCTTTGTGTCCGGGCAAATTTTGTAGTGTTTGTATAAACGGGCTCTGTGATCTCGGACAAAATGCTAATCAATGAGATAGATGGATGTCATCGACCACACACTACGGAGTTGCTATTCCTCATTTGAAACGCTTCTAGTTTCCATTTCCCCCCTTCGAGAGCTTCATCTTGCAGAGCAGCGCGACTTTTCCTCTTCTTTTTCTATTCAATTTATCGTTAACAAACATTATGGTAAATGCTGCAACATGTGAGGAGCACATGCAGTACCAGTGCTCTCAGAAATGGAAAGCAGAGCAAAAGAAATACTAACATGTATGATACTATGTAGTCTACTTCTAACTCTCAAGGTATCAACACTCTTTTGGACGCTGAACGTGAAGCTTCCAAGATTGTTCAAAAGGCCAAGCAATGTAAGTTTTTCTTTATATAGCAACAGCACCATGACTTACCAAGCGGCATGTAGATCGTGTTCAACGTTTGAAGGATGCTCGTTCTGAAGCAGCCAAGGAAATTGAGGAACTCAAGGCACAAAAGAATACCGAATATCAAAATTTCGTCGCACAGGTAAAACTTATATGTTTCATGATGCTATGGGCCTCTTTATTCAATCTTGTCGTTAGCACTCTGGACAATCAGATCAAAGCCTTGGTAAGGTCGACCAAGAGACTGATGCCAAAATTGAGGAGATCCGTACTGCTGCTAACAACAAGAAACAAGATGCTGTTGATAAGATGATCAAGGCCATCACTAATGTTGAAACCAAGCCTCATGAAAACTACCATGTTTAAATCAGATTTATATAACAACAGCGCATATTTTCTCATTATAAACTTTGTATATCCTGTGTTTCTTTATCGTCTCTCCCTTTCTACAATAAAGAAGAAGAAGAATGGTATATGATGCATTATTAAAATGGCTTGATTTGGCTTTAATAAGATAAGTCTTTAATAGATAGAAAAAAAAAGTGGAAAATGGTATATAGGTAAAGTAAATTGTCTCATGATTACTACGAATAAAAAAGTGAGAGAGAGAGTGGGGGTTGGTGAGTGAGTGAGTGAGTGAGTGAGTGAGTGAGGGCGTTTGGTATTAGTGAAAGTGATTTCTAATTGTGGAAAAACATAAAAATATTACATTGAAGAAAAGGAAACATACAGGTATATAGAAGAAAAATAAAAAAAACATTGGGTATGATGAAGTAGTATAAAAAAAAAAGGGCTGTGCATAGATTAAAGGAAAAAAAAAAGGTATGGCAGTATACATAAGATTATAAGGGTTTTTGATTAAAGATTGGAGTGATAAGGAAGGTGAAAGGAAAAGGGAGCGAAAAAACGAGCGAGATGTATTAGTATACTGAACGACGAATGTCTTCAGGTCCCTTCAAGATACTAATAACAACAGCTGCAGCCAATACACTCAGGAATCGACACCATTGCAAGCTAGAACATGTCAAGTTGTAGATCAAACTGCTCGAGTATTTCATAGCAAGCTGGCACCAAGCGCTAGGTTTCAACAACCACAAGATGTCTTTCAGCATAAAATCCGGTGGAGCTTGCTTTGTATCTTGACGACGGAGCTCGTTCATCCTGGTTTCTATTTCCGATAACGGACGACAGCATAGATCAGGATTCTCGAGCAAAAGGTACACATCTTGTCTGAATCCGCCATCGCTGCCATTTTCGCTGAGACCGTCCAAGAAGCTCATGGCATCGTCTAGTACGTTACGCTCAGAATAAAGGGTATTATCCCATGTCATGTCATTGAAATCGGTGTCGTCATGGCTGGACAACCAAGCTTGCATGGGATCTTTCTTGCTGTTCATCATGGGATGTTGCTGAATTTGATCAAAGAAGCTACCAGTGCAATGGGGAGGCGGTGTGGTAGGGGATAACGGATGACGAAGATAGATTTCATTGTTTTGAGCCATGGAGAGACCAGAAATGGATGAGAAAGTCGACAGATCATCCGAGATGACAGATGCATCGTCTTCAAACTGATGCTGGAGTTTCTCCAATTGCTGCTTATGGCGCTGACGACGCTGGCGACGTCTGGACCGAATTTCAGCTGAATTGTTGCAAGGGGCAGGCACCGTTACGGGATCTTGTTGGTTGTCATGATAGACACTTCCACAGAAACTACCAGCTCCGAAACTTCGCTTGCCTGCTAAATCATAGAAAGGATGATCCTCTGCGCTTGCTGAAGAAGCTGAAGCTGACTTCCAGTCCGAATTGCCAATACTTTCAATTTGGGAGATATCGTCGTCATCCTCCAGGGTGGACAGTGATTCAAAAGGGTCTTGTTGTTGTTGTTCCTGGATTTGCTTTTTGAAATGTTCATGTTGATCGACTCCGCCGCTTACACTGGTTGCACGACTGGTTACAGCAGAAGAGGATGATGATCTACCAAAAATAGAAGACATGAGAGACAGGGATGAAAGTCTAGACATTGACATGGCTGTCAAATTGGAATCAGATTTCTCCATGGCTTCAGAAGTGAGTATCGTTGAGGGTTGATCTACTACTGGATTTTGTTGCTGTTGTTCTTGTAGTTGAGCAAGATCCATTCTATGCGACTCGAGTCTCTTTTCAAGAATATCCATTTGTCGATTCATCTTTTGTGTACCCTCAGCTGCCTTTGATTCGTCAAAAATGGTGGATACAGTGTCAATTGTAGTAATAGCATCCACACGCAATGTCTCTAATTGAGTTTGTAATGAGACTACTTGACGCATCACATCCTGCAGGCCTTGCTCAAGCATACGACGTCGTAGACGAGCAGTGGCTCTTTGAATCAATTCTTGTCGTAATCGCTGCTCATCATCATTGCTCTCGATGCACCACGATGTTCTCTTTTGCTGTTGCCCATCGGATTCAGTGTCGGCATGACTGACATTCTGATGGATGTCTGTACTGAAAAATTGTTCTTTTGTCATTATTTCCTAAAACTAACAAAGCCTTTAGACAACTCAATTGCATAAAAATTGGGGTTTTGAGAGAGATCAATGGCTTGGTTTCTCGATACATTTTCCATTTTGAAAAAAAAAAGGAGAAAAAAAAAACCAAAATCAAGGACCATTCTTCAACACTCAATGTTTGCACGTACCGAAAGTAGAAAGAAGAAGAAGAAAAAAAAAGCTCAAATGCGAATTTGTTGTTATTTTCCGGATAGAAACGAATAAACAATGTTTGTATTTGTGTGAACAGAAGAATTAAATTAAATAAATAAAAGAAAAAGAAGAGGAAAAGAAAATGAAAGAGTGAAATGTTAAAGAAAGAAAGGGAAAAAAGGGAAAAAAAAAAGAGAGAGCAATACATTTTTATGGAGTCCCCTTATAATGTCTTCAATTGGACCAAAGTCATTTGTCTAGAGTACATTTGAAGTGTAAATATATATATATATAAATGTATATTGTATACAGTATTGCTTTGCATTAACGTGGGCAGTCATTGCATTTGGCCCTGAAAGCGTCCTCTTTTTTTTTTTTTTTTTTTTTTTCTGTGGGATCACAAGAGCCGCTCAAGATTATGTGGCCACTTTCAGTTGAGTGAACAATGAGCACGTTTTTCTTTACAATTATATCAATATGTATATTTAGATACCCCACGTTTTTTATACAAGGCATTCGAATTCACAGCTTTGAGGGTTTGCCCCAATTATATGTACAGTTAGCCCCTGAATGATGGCTTCCTCTACATCCATGGTACATGACATGAACCGGTATAGACATCTGTCATTTTTCCTGTATATGAATGTACATATTTTAATTAAGCCATATACATCCTATGGATCTTACCCCACTCTAAAGCGACATTGGCTCCCTTGAATTCTACTCAAGTTATAGTTTCGCTGATTTTGATCGTCATAATGAAATGTTGTAAAATGGCATTTTATTATCACACACACACACACACAAACACACACACACAAACACACACACATTTGACTAAAATACCCAAAATTAATTTCACTTGTGTGAATGCCCAAAACTTGTTTTTTGATCCCCCAATCTATTGCGGTGAGACAACAACTTGTGTGTATCGTGTTTGGGGTTCAAGGAGGAAACAGACATCTGGGAGAAACTCAAGCTTTTTGTGATGCATTCCTACAAAGAAATGTTAATATAAATACCAACTCTCTTCAGATCAGAAACATTTCAAACTGGCATACGTACATGGCATTGAGTTGGTCCCTGTATCGCTGGTTGATTGCCGTGCGCTTCAATTTCTGCGCAGCTGTCAAAAGACCCTATCAGCGTGAACACAAGATGTTATTTAATAACCACATCATTTGACAGAAATTACAGGTGATGAAAAAAAAAAAAAAAAAAAAAAAAAAAAAAAAAAAAAAAAAACTTACATTTTCAGAAGACCATTCCTCGTGAGTGAGATAAACATCATGTATGATTTCAGTTCCTTTGAGCCCGGAATCTTTTGCCTGCTTTAAGAGTGCCACAATAAATGCCTTCTTGATATTTTCGTCATGACATAATTCCTCAAATGATTTGCTTTCAGTTTCGACATGGATCGACTTTGCCATTTCTTTGAGAGCAGGCTTTGCAGGCATTACAATTGCAACCGGGCGAGGAAAGAGGGAATCACCATAGACACAAATGTTGCTCACTCCTAAAGCCGTCTTGTACACCGACTCCAGCTTTTCCAATGCAATGTACTCACCATTACTGAGCTTTACCAAGTTTTTAATACGATCAATCACATTAAGAGTGCCATCTTCGTTCCATTCACCGATATCACCGGTTCTCAGCCATCCATCTTCGGTGAATGCTTCTCTGGTCAGCTTTTCTTGCTTAAAATAGCCTTGTGCTATACTCGATCCACGCACGTAAATTTCGCCTTGGGGCTTCTCATTTGTCGACAAGTAATTGGCGTCAGGCACGTCAACTAGCTTGATCTCACAACAGGGCACTGGCCCACCCGATGCACCGACCTTGAAGTTATCAGGCGCCATCAATGCGCACATACCAACTACAGCGTGGACATATGTGAGATAAGATCATCACCCTTGTTGCTATTGCCATCGCATCATAACAGCTCCCCTCCCCCCCCCTTTTTTTCCCCCATCCATATTGTACATACCTGATTCCGTCATGCCAAAGCCGTTCAAGATGGGTGCTAATGTAACAGACAAGAACTTTTGCGTTTCGGCAGAAATAGGAGCACCACCAGACAAGCCGAATCGAAGACGACCACCTACTTGTTCCTTGATTTGATTAAAGACCATGGTATCCAGAAATCCGCTGGGCAGATTGCGGTCCATCAACCACGATTTGGTGGAAAAGGCACGATTGAAGATAGCTTGTGTGGCAGGACTCATCTTGGCCACGTTACTCAACACGCCTTTGCGAATGGACTCCCAGACGGCAGGGACACCGGTCATGATGGTTGGTTTGAATTCTTTGATATCACCCTTACAATTACGCACGGATGCGTCGGTCAGGGTACGTGGAGAGCCGTAGCCTAATGTAACGCCCCAAAACAAACAAATGTTCTCGACCAAGAACTCGAGTACATGTGCTAGTGGCAAATAGGCCATCATTGTATCTTGTCCGTCGAAAATGTAGTGTCCCACCAAGAGATCAACGCCAGCAACTATCAAGATCCATACAAAAACAAACAATTAAGGTTCAGTGTTTTGATCTCAGTGATAAACTCGAAACATACCGGCGCCTACAAGATTGGAGTGATTCAAGACAACACCCTTGGGTGCCCCTGTGCTACCTGAAGTGTACATGATACAACACAAATCATCGCGTCCGGGTTTGTTGGGCCTGGCAGGGTGCTCTTGACCTACAGTCTTGAGTTGGTCCAAAGTGATGACACGGTCTTGACCCACAATGGCTTGGATAGTACTCAAATCGTCTTGTTTTACTTCGCCTGTATAGACAATCAAGGGCTTGACAACGCATTCGGGTAAGACGCTTGTTAGTGTTTTCAGTAGTTCGGCAGTGGTATAAATGGCCTCGACTTGAGCCTCGTTCATTGAATGCAGCAATCCCTCAGGTCCCAATGTTTCGTAAGCAGTAACGATAGCAATGTTTTGGGTGAACGCACCATGAGCAACTGATAGCCATTCGACACTGAGAGCAAAGGAGCGTGTGAGAGCTGGTAGACAGGATGAGCTGTTAAATGCTTACCTCGTGGGAGCAAAAATTTCAATTTTCGATTGAGCGGCAAGGCCGTAATGCAACAGACCCGAGCCAATATCATGGACCATGGTAGATAGCTCGTTGTAGGTGATATAGTGGTAGGCAGAGAGTTGAAAGTACTTCCAGGTCTTGATCTGCTTGGTTTCCACACCATCAATCACTTTGGTTACTTCCTTGTCCTCGCTCACCATCTTCTCAAGACGACGATAACCCATAGCCTGCTCGTCACCTCGTCTTTTGACACTGTATTGCAATACATCGTAAAGCGTGTGGACACCTTGAGCGGGTGTGTCAACAATTTCATCTTGAGCTAATACGGAGCGATGAACAAAACTCTCGCCTTCTGCTTTAGATCCAACGGTAGTGGATATTTGTGGAGACATGTGTGCGTTTAATAAATAATAGATAAGAGAGAAAAGCAAGTGGGAAAAAAAAAAGATTCAAGCTTGATTTTATACACATGTAAACAGATCTATATTCGGAGTCAATGCTCTTCCCGTTTGACTAGAAGCATATGCCATTGAGTAATTACGTATTATAAAGCCAACATGGATGGATGATTTATTTCAGATACAGGCACAGCCAATTTTCACATGACAAATAAAAAGCGCAAATCCTCCACTGACAACTTGTCCAACGCATTCGAATTCTTACCCACTGTGCTTTCAACAAGGGCAGTCTTCTTTTCCTGAAGCTGCACGATACGACTCTCGATACTGTTTTCAATGATCAGCCGCGTAATTTTGATGGGTCGATGCTGGCCCAGTCTATGAATACGATCCATGGCCTACAAAAAATTTAAAGCGGGTTAGCATGCTTACATTAGCCAATTCCGATTTTCCTTGTGCGTTAATTTACTTGTACTAAAGAAATAGATCAGCATGTGTTGGATAACAAAAAAAAAAAAAATACAAAACTTACATTCAGCAGCCTATATGGAAATATTATAGGAAAAAGGAGGGAAAAGATGGTTAGATTTTAGAAAAATCATCCAATTTGAGATGTAGCTCCAACTTACAGGGTTCCACCAAGGATCACTACATAGGAACAAGGTTTAGATACAGTAAAAGTAAGATGATGGCATGATCATTACCAAATAAACACTCGACTGGCTTCGGTCAAATTAAGTGCAACACCGCCTGCTTTAAGACTAATGAGAAATACAGTGCAAGTGGGCTTTGTCATGAAGCTACAGATCATACATTAGCATAGCTTAGCAAGTGCTGTTGACATTGGCAATACATACTGATTGATAGCAGCTGCACGCTTCTCGGGTGACATGGTACCATCGAGTCGAATACACTCAAATCCAGCTCGTGACAATCTCCAATAGACGAGATCAAGGAAATTGACGAATTGAGAGAATACAATACTACATTGTTCGAGTCAATAGGGATGCTCCTCTCATAACACCCAGCTTGCTTACCTCTTGATGGTCTTGTCTTCGCGACGCAACTTGGATAGCTCTTCGACAAGCGCTTCAATCTTGGTTGAGCTTCTCCACTTGTCCATGTCGATACGGTTTACAATACTTGATTTAGAGTAATTGGCGTTTGCACCAGGGCCACCAGCGACTTCCAGGGCAGGCTGCGAGAGATCCACTGAAAATTCAGCAAAGCAAGAGGGACAGCGAGGGCTCTCACCACGCTCATCATCAAAGCTATTGCAATATTGAACGCAACATTCTCTACAGAAAACGTGCTTGCAAACAGCAGCAATGGCATCTTCGGGTGGGTCATTGCACAACATGCATACCAGTTGTTGGTTGTCAGTCTTCTTCTTGGTCACCAAGTCTGGATGGTCAGCGCATTGACGCATCTTCATCAGCAGCTCAAAGATATTGGCATAGTTGTTCAGCACGGTTCCTGCCTCCACGTAGGTGGTAAAGGTGCGAGCGACATCAGAGTAGAGAGAGGTATAGACATCTTCTTCTTCGTCACTAAAGTAATCACGACGTACAATGACTGTACGAGGAGGAAGGCCCAAATCATCAGCACACTGGATTTTGGTGCGTCTCAACATGATTCTATCCAACAAGAGGCCCAGTTTTTTGAGTGCAAGGCGACCATCATTGACGTAACCGTTGTTTTGGATGGGCTTAAGAACTTCATTGTTCCACCAGCAGACATGGCTCATGGGCGTATGGTGGCAGGTATCGCAAGTACGCTTGTTGGAGAAACGCCAGGCAATCTCTTTGCAAGGACACTTGGTACAATAATAATAGGCAAATGGATCGGCTTTCATAAAACGAATCAACGAGTACAATTCGCCAACACGGTTTTGCAGAGGAGTACCCGTGAGGGACCACTTGAAGTTGCCTTGTACGTTGAATACAGATCTGGCAGTGTTGGACGATCTGTCTTTGATGTTATGTGCCTTTGAAGAGCACCAATTAGTATGCCACTGTATATACTAGTGTTAGCAATAGATGGCTTACCTCGTCCAAGATCACGCGATGCCATTTGACTTTATGCAGTATAGATTTCTCTTTGTAAATGGCGGCATGGCCCACCTTCTTTACACCGTATTCCTGACGTCGAAACGCCGACTCCATAATAGCATCTACCATTGCGATCAATACCAATGTCTCGCATTCAAACCACTTTTACAACTTACATGTCGACAAGACAACATCATACTTTTCCAAGTCGGATTGTTTCTTGGTACGATTGGAACCATGGAACACATGAACAGAAAGCGCATTGTCAGTATGCTTAAGGATCTCTTCTTTCCACTGCATAATGGCCACGGTCGGTGCAATGACAAGGTTGGGTTTCTTCTTGTCACTCAGAAGTAAAGCAATGGTCTGAATCGTCTTGCCCATACCCATTTCATCAGCCAAGATACCACCTTTGAACTAATGCAAGATGGCATCAATATCACCTTCTCGCAGCACTCTCTCTCTCTCTCTCTCTCTCCCAATACTTACCGTCTCTAATTTCTCTTGTGCCAACATCCATCCGACTCCGTAGTTTTGAAAGGGCAAAAGAGGCAACTTCAAGGCAGCAGGCTGTTCAATAGGGATCACTTTAGCAGGCTCAATCTTTTCTAGATTCTCCCAAATATCCTCTAATTCTGGATGTTGGATCAGGACCTTGTCTTGCGTTTTCTTGTACTACAAATAAACACCAAAAGGAGAGAACGTGTTGAGCGCGACTTCTTGTGTACCATTGCATAAACACACTTACATGAGGCACTCTAGCCGCTCTACGTCTTGGATTCACTCTACGTCTACGGTTGTTGCTGCGATCGGCTAAAGGACGATCATCATCAGATGAGTCTTCATCATTGGAGGTGGACTCAGCTTCAGAGGAGGATGAAGAGAGGTTGGGTTCGTCTTCGAATTCGTCGTCTTCTTCTTCTTCTTCTGTGTCTTCTGAACCAAAAGTAGGGTGTCTACGGGATGCCAGGATATTCGAAAGCGCCAAATCCAAGTCGACCTCATCATGATCTTGTGTTTCGTTATCAGAAACTTGCTGGGAGCCAGAATCAAACTCAGTTAGAGTAGAAGGCAATCTTGGAGAAGGAACTGCGGAATCAGCCATGACACTACCATCCAATTCATACTCTGTATCGTTCAGGCTTGCAGGTGATGTGGCACTGCTGCTGCTGACAATACTGCTATTGGCCGAAGTAGATGCTGTGTGATTACCGCTGGAGCTAGGATTTTCAATCTTGATTATAGCAATTCGACGTCTCAAGACACTGGCTTCTCTCTCAAGCTTGGGACGAGGAAGGGGCGGATGCATGGACGCTTCTTCCAACTTGGCTTTATCCTTACCCTTATTTCGAGGCGAAGAACGTAATGCCCTGGTAGCAGGCATGGGAAGTGGTTTTTGGAAATCGCCATCGTCATCGTCGTCCTCCTTTAGCTCTATGGAGTGTGCATGAAGAGGATTTGACAGTGAAAAGGAGCTGGCAGGAGTGTCAATCTCCATCTCATCGGATGAAGAGGGTTCTAATCTTTGCTTCTTGGATACTCTTGAAGATGAACGACGAGCAGCTACCATCTTGACGTCTGCGTGATATAGGTGTGTTTAAAGGAAGAGGAAGAAGAAAAAGAAGAAGCCTGTCTCTCTTGTTTTTAACAGGTGGAGCGTCAAGTTTGATTTGACGCTCTTCAATTGAGGGTCAATTTTGGTTTGATGTCTAGTAGATTATTGGCCGAGGTTGGTGTGCCTTGAATAGCAAATATAACTCAAGTGGTGGTGTTCTACAAACAAAAGCCAAATGAAAACTGCGTAGTAAAGCATTTCTTGTATGTCTATTGAAGTATCGTGAAATAAATCCTTTCAAAAAGTCGAAGCGCTCATTTATCATAGTCATTTAATTACAACCGTTGCTATATATATATATATATATATATATATATATATATATATATATATATATATGCTATTGGCAGATCAGAATATGAAACCATACGCTCGATCATCATAATTTACTACGGATTTAAGCCACCGTCGTTTGTTTGAATAGCATTTATGTGTAACTTGAAATTAGGCTATCAAGCAAATGCCATTCGTCAATCTAGCGTCTTTGTTTGGGCCCATCGGTTCAGAGAAACAAGTACCTGTAGTTCGTTCATGAGACTACATTTAGGCATTATTCTCCGTGCCCTCCATCTTTACTGGCATTGGATCTATCAATTGACTTGATCCATTTAGGCAGAATGAGGTGCATGTACAGCAGCAGCAGAAAATAAGTTCAAATCCCGCTATTTTCCACATGTCACTCGAGAATCGAAATTGTGAATAATTCGACATTGAATTTCCTGCTATCCGCAATTTCTCTAAATGCACTATAGAAAGTGTACAAAGCACATTATTGGTTGTAGAATCAGCTTTAAATTCTCTATCGAATGGTACTAAAAACTCTTTCATGTCTTACCAAAAAATATTTCCCAAATTAGGAAAGCTTAAAAATGCTTATTTAGCCGAAAACTCGCATTTTCTACTAATACACATGTTGAATTTTAGTTTTATCCGATAGATGAACTCTCAGGCTTCCATTTCATTAATATATGTCATGGTAAAAAACGTCGTCTTGGGGGGGGGTGAAAAACGCAATCGTTTGATTTTCGAAAAAAAAAATAAAAACACGTGGTACCCCCTCATGAAAAATGTGAGGGTGTAAGTCATGATTTTCGACCTAAAAAAAATCGAGGAAATGCTATAGCAAGCAAGGTACAAGACAAGAGAAGTCGTTTGGTGCCGCTCTGGCAATGTAAAACGGCCTACAAAGGGAAATACAGCTAGACTAAAATCCTCGGTTTTTGCTATATTTGGTTTATTAATGGCTCAAAACTGCTGAAATTGATGTACTCTATGGTCTGAACATGCTGTATGAACTAAACTACATGCTGTGCGTCCTCTGAAGTTGGAGATACTCTTCATTGCTTCATTCTTGGGTAGTTTTGCAAAGTACATTACGCTGAGCCTAACAGTTCAAGCATAACGCTGTAGCTCTAGTGAGCGACTCTACTAGCAACGTGTTTTACTTAAGAGAAAATGGTACCTTGTATGCTTTCGTGCCAACAGGTGTTTCAGCTGACACATGCCACGTTTGAAACCTTGTAGGATATAGGCCTGTATAGAACATTGAGCAAAGACATTTAGCTGCAGGCAGTTTGGTCCAATCCATTAGCGAGTAACCAGTCTATTATAACTTATTCTCTTGAAGCTGTTCAACCCAATAGAAGTGTGGAGCTCCTCTACTTTTTCCATTTATTCGGAATCAGTACAATCCACCCACAGAAACGTATGCAAAATCACAATTTATACATTCATAGATTTGAACGTAGGCACATCGCTCTACTGACCAGTGCTAGAAGCGCTTTCTACACTGAATATACATTGAATATGCTTGATGAAATCAACCAACGGTATGCCAGGCAAATGGAGACTGCACTACAATTCATACTTAGTTTATGGCTTTTGCTCTTACAGCCATGAGGCTGCTGTACCTATGTCGCGTATCTTGACCAGTTCCTGGCTGATTATTTCCACAAAAAGTTTTCACTACTTCAATATATATTTTGACTGATTTTTTTTTAAAACTAGACTGTTGTATCATCAAACAACATCACATTGGGCTTGGGCTACATCTACAGAATCTATTCAAAACAGAACAAATAAAACAGAGGTTGTTTGAAATTATCTGAGCATGTATAAATCTTGAATTTTGCTCGGAACATGTATTTAACAAGAGTCATAATATAATCTCAATTTGATAGAGACATACTCTCGTTTTGCATAGAATTGCATAGCCTTCCATATTTGAATTAATCTTCTTCCCACCCAACCAGCTTAACCTCATTGTTAAAACTAGAGAAACGACTTGCGTCATGCCTGAAGAACATAAGCAAGATACTTATAGTGACAGACCAAATATTATTGCTTTTAAAGTCGTTATTAGAGTGATTTTCAAAAATCATGGAAAAGAAATTGACGTTGTTTGCGGGGAAGTAGCAAAAAAGCATAAAGACAGTAAAGTAATAACAGATAAAGGAATTTTGAGCCGCGAAACAAAAGATGCAGTTGACTCGATACTTGTGTTGGTAGAAACAACAGCACAGACTTGTAGCGTACAAATCAGTGGCAGTGCTTGCTTGATAGCAACACAACAGTTGACACGAAATGGCCTTTACGTATCTCATCCAGCATATAGCTTTTCATTGCCTCAAAAAGGAAAAAAGTTGGTCTAACAAGTATTTTGATAGACTGGCGTTATTAAATATGAAATGCAAGAAAAACAGCATGAATAACGGTAGTGCTATTTAATTTTCCACCTACTTTCCATACGCTTCAAATAATCTATTACTGTATTGCCTCCATGATGGAAAAGGCATTGAGTTTGTCAGCCGGCTCCACCAGCCAAAACTACTTCAAACACAGACTCCTAGTCTGTTTTAGATTGGCCAAACCTTGAGGACTTTCGACTCGATTGAACTATTCTGTCAGATTCGACTATATAAATCGTGTTAATCAGCCCATACCCCCCCTAATGCATCTTTGGAGTACTTTTCAAGGCGTATCCAATGGTACCAAGTAACATAGATGTTTTAAATAAACTTATTTGGCAATTTATGAAAATATGAAAAGAGGTTTATGGCCAAAAGTCGAAATTTTACATATCAAAGTCCCACGAAGACGATTTCAGGAGTTATATTAGATCGATAGAAACATTTTGAATGAATATATACTATAGTAAAAGCCTTCATTATCAAGATAAAAAACGCGGTCGTTTGATTTTCAATGAAAACTATGAGGGGTACCTCACGCTTTTTGGTCGATTTTTGTCCATGTTTTTTTGATCTCCAAAAAGTTGAGCAATAGTGGCAATAAGTAACTGTCAGACGAGAGCAATTGTTTGGTGCTATTCTGACAGTCTAAAGCGGCCTTGAACGCGAGAAAACTTAGGTCAAACGCACTTGCATTTTGCTGTATTAGCCACACTGTTGACTAAAAAGGGATCATATCTGTATGCTACTTGCCTGTATATGAAGTATTTACGTGAATACGGATGTGGAGCATTGCATAAGAGTCAGATTCACAAATGATGTGAAGGATTTCCATGTGTAAGTAGATGGGCAAAACGAAAGTAGCAGTATTTTGATAAGATACGCAAGGGCAGTGGGTAGCGTGAGCTGCCGCTGCGCGAGTTAGTTCTCACCGAACCGAAGTGAAGGTAGAACATGGCATACGAAGCATAAACACTCGTATTTATTTAATAAAACTAGCTGGCCTGCTCGCTTCGCTCATCAACGGCCAAGGAGTTTTCAACATGCTTCTTTGCTTTATTACACCTCTCAACAGCCTTGAGAGGTCAGTGTGGTCACGATGGCCTTCAATCCTTAACACTCATAAATACAGAATCTCAATAATTCATTTAAACAGTACAACATAGATGAAAAAAACGGTTACGACAATTTCATGATTATCCACAAGTTTTTTTTTTTTTTTTTTTTTTTTTTTTTTTTTTTTTATTTGACAAAAAAGATTTACAGCTAATAAAATTCATCAAGTTCGTTTGTCTAAATCTAAAGCTTGTAGAAAGATGTCAATAGTCAGATTATTGTTGCCAAGTTGATTACTCGGGCAATTTCCTCGTCCAAAATGGGGAAACAGCTAGAATATATAGCAGCGCGGCCAAGGCTTCTACGTTGGTTTATCACTTCCGTTCCTCCAAAACAGTGCAATTGCACCATGAACATCTGGTCTTTTTCGTCCGGGTAACCGCAGGTATATATTGTACACTGTTAAAGATTTAAAAAGAGAAGGGCAACGAATTAACATCTCGTATTGCTGAAGCATGCAATACGACGACTATAAAAGATTGTTTGCAGTGGGTAAAACACGCTGAATCCTATTGAGAGAGATGTATTCAGAAAGAAAAGGGCTTAAAATAACTAACGCCATGCTTTTGTCCTTGTCATTTATATATATATATATATAATGTCTACAAATTATCTTGTAAAGCTGAATTCTTATTTTCTATCATCTTCTCAAAATACTGTAAATTATGCTCATGGGCATTTCAAAATGCGCTCAATGAATGAAATCCAGGAATAGCGGTTCTATTGTGTTCACAGCTGCGTGTACTCATAGTATCTCGCAAATATTGAAAAGAAACAGCATGGATTGTATTCGCGTTATGTGTGCTTATGCGCAGCATGCTCATACGATCCATCTCATCAAGTAAAAAAAAAGACATCATGATATTGATTTGCCCCAATTTGGGCTTCTTGTAGTGTTTGTAACAACGTATAGAAGAAAATGACAAACGATGATGCAAATTACTTTGTTTGGAAGCGTTGAATCTGGATGTAGGAGCCAATGGTGGTACAACCTGTACAGGATTGCAGAAATCGGGTAAAAAGTCACCGTGTGTCCCTCCCTTCTTTTATGAAGCTCACATCCATATAAGAACCAACATCCTTTAAATAATCTCCCACCTCTCTCACTATCTCTCTCTCTCTCTCTCTTTTTTTTTAATCTTACATTATCAAATCATATTTTATAAACAACATGATTGATTCTAAATTGCTTCAAGACAATTATCAATTGGTGCAAGACACTGTTCAAAAGTACCTCGAAAAGTATGTGCTGGAGCCAAGCAATCTGGAGTACTCTGAAGCCAAGAAATTAGCCATTCAGCTTGGCGTATCTACTGCTGTTGCCTACTTTTTGTTCAAGACAATACTGTACAGACTTTATATCAACCCTGTCAATCGCATCCCGGGTCCCAAAGTAAGCTGGATACCTTTTATGGGCAACTTCCCAGAAATCATCAAGGAAGAAGCAGGTGTACCTCACAAGAGATGGGCCGACATCTACGGCGGTATCTTTACATACCATGGCCCATGGAACATACCTCGAGTTACTGTGACAGACGACGTCCTCTTGAAACAAATCTTGACCTCCAACGAGTACGACTACATCAAGACACCTGAAGCATCTGCTTTTCTGCGTCGCTTCTTGGGAGACGGATTGCTTACTGCTGAAGGTCAAGCCCACCGTCATCAACGCAAAATGCTGAATCCTGCCTTCTCTGTCAATGCGATCCGTTCTATTCTCCCTCTTATGGCTAAACCCGGTCATCGACTTCGCAATGAATGGTTGGACATGATCAAGGGACCAAACAATAAGGTCAAGGCAACGGAAGACGGCCAAGAATACACCGAAATTGAAATCTCCACTGGTTTATCCTTGGCTACGCTGGATGTAATTGGTTGGGCATTTGGTCAAGATTTCAAGTCGCTGGAGCATGCTGGTACACCTCTTCAAAGTAAATTGAGTCAAGCTTACCTCCACATCTTTTCAAACGATGTCACCTTTTGGCGTGTACTGTCGTTCCTGTTCCCCATCTTCAATCACTTGCCCACCGAGAGAAACTTCAAGATGAAGAGAGCTGTGCGATGGCTTGAAGATGAAAGTAGAAATCTTGTACAAGCGGGTATTGACAGAGCCCAGGAAGCAAAGGCAAAGGGCATTGTTGATGACAAGCCAAAGGATCTGTTGGCTACTATGATTGACTTGAGAGATGAAGATACTGGTAAAGGCTTTACATTGGAAGAGATCAGAAACCAATGTCTTACCTTCTTGGCTGCTGGGTACGTAGTGCCTGGATTTTGATACAAGCAAACGCATGCTAACATGATCTTTTTACTGTTGTCTGTATAGTCATGAAACTACCAGTGTGAGCTTGAGTTGGTGTCTGTGGTTGCTTGCTCAAAATCAGCAAATTCAAGACGACTTGAGAGCAGAAGTCCGTACCTTGTTCCATGAAGACGATGAAACACCCTCGTACGAAGACATCAACGCATTGCCCCTCTTGAATAACGTTGTTCGCGAGACGCTTCGTTTGATCCCTCCTGTTCCTACTACCAGTCGTGTTACACGCGTCCCTGTTGTCCTCGGATCTTATGTCTTACCAAAGGGTACCACTGTCTTTTTATCCCCTATCACAACCCACCACAGCAAGCAAATTTGGGGTGATGATGCTGAGGAGTTCAACCCTTATCGTTGGGAAGGTGATCGCTTAGGTAATGCTTACCAGTACATGCCCTTTTTGGCTGGTGGTCGTCAATGCATCGGCTACAAGTTTGCCTTGGTAGAGTTCAAGATCCTCTTGGCTATCCTTATCAGAAACATCCAATACATTGAAAAGCCTAACTTTAAGGTTGGCAAGAAGCAACAAATTACCTTGAGACCCAATCCCAACATGGTTATCTGGGCCAAGGCTATTTAAGCGGCTTAAAGCGCAATATTTTATATTTATTCTCTGTACCATATAAATGCAATTCATTAAACTACTCATATATGCCACTGCTATTGTACCATTGCAAATCAACTCACATTTGCGCAAAAAAACATTAAGGTGAGCATAAAAATCAAGCCCTTTTTATATATATATATATATATATAAATTAAAACGAATCTAGGAATTAAATATCTGCAGATGCAGCCAACAAATCAGCAAAACGAGTAACCATGCGCTGCATGTCGTTGGATCTTCTAGCACTGGTTTCCAGCACTTCAGCGTGGTTGGCAAATGTCTTTTCAGTATCTTCTTCCGTGTCTTTCTCAGTCGTCAACCCTAATTCTCTCATCACTTCCAGTTTGGCGTCCTTTCCTCTTGCTCTCACCACATCGTTGGTGATCAGACTGATGCCCAGCACCTTCAAACCAGCATGACGAGCAACCACGACTTCAGGCACAGTAGACATACCCACAGCATCAGCGCCAATGGAAGCCAAATAACGTGCCTCTACACGGGTCTCGAAACTAGGGCCAGTTACCATACAATACACACCCTCGCGAATGTCATTCTGATCAATGCCGACTTCAAATGCTGCCTGGAAAGCCAATTTACGAAGTGCATATGTGTATGCATCCGAGACTGCAGGGAAACGAGGACCAAAGGAATCGAAATTTTGGCCCACAAGGGGATTGTTGCCTGCCATGCCAGGAAGAGACAGATGGTCATTGATAATCATCAAATCACCCACCTTGTGCTGAGGTTGAAGGCCTCCACAGGCATTTGTGACAATAAGGTATTGGACACCCAGCATGGCCATGACGCGCACAGGAAGTGTACATTGGAGCATACTGTGTCCCTCGTAGAAATGGAATCGTCCGACCATAAAGACAGTGGGAATACGAGCTTCACCCAAATGACCAAACACAAGCTTACCAGCATGACCGACCACTATGTATTAACTCGCACTTTCAGTTTCGATCCTCTCACTCTCTCAACCCCTTCAGAAGCTTCTTTTTTTTTATACCTGTGCTGGCAGCAAAACCAGGGATATCCTTGTATAAAAATTCAATTTTGGTGGATTGATCAATGGTGTCCACAAGGCCACCTAAACCAGAACCACAAATAACACCAAGCTTTGTACTTTGGAAATCCTTGGGCAAGTTGGAACGGAGGAAATTAGCACTAGCTTGGTAGGTGGCTTCAGTGATAGCGGCAGTGGTCATGGTGATGGATATGTAATATTAGAAGAGATATGAAAAAGAGAGAGAGAGAGAAAGAAAGAAACCCGATCATTGCCTACTTTTTACAATGAAACATCGCGGCACATCAATTACATTAGAGTGTCTTGATAATGGCCCTTTTTTCTTTTAGACGAATGACCTCTATATCGCAAGGTCGTGGGAAGACTTCCATCCAACATGACCTACACAACACGCCAATGATAACATTTTCCTACAAAGATAGGCGGTATATCGTGTAATCAGCAGCAGCGTGATTTCGTTTATTGTGTACTAGAAAAGAGAGCGCTGTGCCAAGTGGGATCAGAGATATTTACGGATTGCAGCCAAGTTTAAATTTGATACATGCTTTTTGCGTTTGTGTTCCCAAGGACGCTTGCATTTGATAATAAAGAGATCTGCTCTTTCCACGTTGTTTCTGTGATAAGCTATCTTAAAAGCAGGGTTGAGTCTCTGGGAGCTCATCATCATTATCGTCTTTGTCGTCCTCGTTGTTGACGTCGCTGTAATGTTTAGCTTTCATGTCTTGGTCATTGGCCAGGCTGTTTGGTTCTTGCCGTTCTTGCTGTTCTTTTGTCGGCATTATGTAAGTCTGATCTATAACGTTAGCGTCTGTTGGTGGTGCCTGCAGGTCGAGGTGTGCCTGTTCTATGATTTCTAGGCTTTCTTCTTCTTCTTCTTCTTCTTCTTCTTCTTCTTCATGGTGGCTCTCTTGAATCTGTTGCAGCGACTCTCGCAATTGCTGGTTATCCGATAAGCTGTTTGAAGAAGAAAGAGATATAATCTCTTTAACACTACTGCTCAGCGAGTTTTGAGAATGCGAGGATCTCTCATTGCTCGAGTTGTAAAGACTGACGGATCGTAGTGAAGCGTTGGATATAGGAGAGACATTTGACACGAAGCTTGGTAAGGTTGGTCCCTAGTGAATTGTATGAGTGGACTTGAATACAGTATAGAACGCTGACGCTTACCTCTTCATCTGTAGAATGTGATGTCGTTGCCGATGGAGGCGCGTTGGGGTCGTATGCCACTGTAGATGTCTATGGCGTGTTCGAGTTGGTGATATGTGTAGAGAAATCATGTTGTCAGCTTACCGATGCGTTGCTTTCAACGCTTGAATTTGCCTTTTTCCTGCTTTCATTTGAGCTGCTGTCATTATCCTCTTCGCTTGCATCATAAGAGCGCTTCGTCAGCAAGGGTGACGTTGGTGATGAGGGTTCTTGCTCTTCATGCCGCTGTTGCTGTTGTGGTTGCGTGCGCACACGTTGATCCAGCGCATGAAGCATGACAGCTGCACAATGCTTACAATTTCCCCAATTGCCAATAGGACATGTGCATTTTGCTTTGAGCAAGGTATACGTGTCGTCTTGTTTACTGAAAAAGATGGTAGATGTGATGAAACCAGACGAACTCTCAATGGGTAAGCTTCCCATCATTTGCACCTGGACTTTGTCGTCTTTTATGCTGCCGACTGACAGTTGGCTGACTTGATGCTTTAATTCGAGTCCACGTTCAATGTAGGCTGCATTGCCGATGAATGCACTGATCTTTCTTTTTGTCAAGCTACAAATGACATCTTGTAACATTTGTTTGTGGACGGCGCCTTCATCTGGCTTCTCTTTGGCCTTGCATGGCTGCACGCCAGCATCATTTGAAGAGGATGGAATAGTATCTTGAACGGTGATATGCACCAGGTCATGCTGTAAGCCTACGTTTGCCCATCTATCAAATACCTCCACTGTCTATACACAGTATGGGTGAGTTGTGGTGGGTTAACCAACAAATGGTCTCAACCTACCTTGGCAGATACGGTGTGTCGAATATCAAATGTGATTTCTTCTGATTTCGTCAGTGGCAGGCCATTGTCTGCGCTCTTCAATAAGGGCACTCTGTATGCATTCGCTAGGTCGTCCTCGAGTTGTCTATCAATTTGCAGCAGTGAGTCAAAAGGACTATATAGCAGAGTTCATTTGCAAGCTTACAGTATATCTGGATTCACATATTTCAACTTGTCTTTCAAAGATGTGGTCTCTAAAGATTGGCTGTGCGAATCTGATGAGATGCGAGTTGTCGTAAACGAAAGCACGAAAGAACTTACTGCAAGTATTTCCACTTGGATATGTTGAATAACGGCTTTTGCTGGAGGTAGATGCAATTCAGGGTATAGAAACTGTGATGGTCTAATGATTTGGTCTCTTTTTTCGACCATGTGAGTAGCGTAGAACCTGCAATGTTGAGGTTGTGGCGATGTTGCAATTGCGCCAAGCTTTGTAATAAGTCTAAGCTAGTAGTGTGAAAGTAGTCCAGTATATAGCAGTAAATAGGGATGGTAGTATTGAATGATTCCATTTTGTCGGATACCATCTGCCTGTACTTTTTTAATAGTATAACTCGCCTACATTGAAATGTATTAATGCTGCCGCCAATGCTCCAGCTATTTGTCAAGTCTACCCATTTTGATTGGTATTATAGATGGCATCTCCATAGAGCTTTTTTTCATCAATGATCCATATAAGCGTTCTGTGTGCAGAGTCAGTCATTCCATCAAGATTGAATATGTTGAGGCCATACCTGAATTGATGCGGAGAGGCTTCGATCCAGCCTTGGATCGCGTTTTCCGCATTCTCGGATAAAATCAAACCTTGATCTGCGTCAAATGACAGCAAATGGTGGGTGAAATGAACAAACAGAGCCTATTCAAAACACACTGTGAATCAGTAAAATCAAACAGCATTATGCATTATGAATGCTAGTGTAACCTCCTTGTTGAATATCGACGCTGACATGGCAAACATGGCTCCAAAATCGTTGCAAGCCGACTGTCCTGATTTTGTTGTGGGTGGTTGAAATGGCACACATGCTTCTGGATTGTACGTCCCGGAGCAGAGCTGTTTCCAATGGCTATTTGTCAATCCTGCAGACCAGCCTAATAACAAGCTTGGCTGCAATGATGCGCAGGGTATTGATACACAGAAGCAAGTTAAATCTGGCATGTGCTTTAAAATATAGTCAAAGATGGATCTTCGCTTAGTGTCTGAGCAAGGCTGCTCAAAGTATAATGCAACCTTCTTTGTCTGATTCTACGAATAATATATATATATATATATATATATATATATCAGCGATCATCCTTGCAAGTTGTGTCAAGGCAACTTACAACTCTTATGGTGCTCATGATGCTTCGAGCCACTGCACGAATAGGGAGATCCTTGTCTGGACAATGGATGGCATGTGTCTCTCTCAGATACTTGTAATAGTAAAGGTTGGCAATGGAGGGTATCGATTGAATCCAGAGCACATCATACTGGAGTATCTGCATTGCCATGGTGTTCAGATATTAGGAGGCGAGCTGAAAAAGAATTTCTATAGCCCTTCCAGAATCTCGATGGTGTGTGTGTGTGTGTGTGTGTGTGGCATGCTAAAACAAGAAAATGGAAAATTCGCGTGTGTGCAATGTCAAATTATTTGAACCGCGTTTCTCCCCCCCCTCCCCCTCGCTCCCCTTCTCTTTTTTCTTCTTCCATCCTCTCTTTTGTCCCTGGAAAAATGAATGTCTTGTCAGCTTTTACAGAACAAAAAAAGATTAGACCAGTGTATCAATTCAAAAGAGGCAAGACATTTGTATCGCTCAAGCACCCTGGTATCGATGCACTCAAACCAACATTCCCATCCAACACCATGCTGGCTAAATCAGACAGCATACTACCACAGTCTGTATCCTCCTCATCTTCCACATCCAGCACGGCAGAGGAACAGGCCACGCCTGATCAGGGTGAGGAGGACGATGCTATTTTTGATTTTCCAAGTGCATTGGATGAATTTGTAGAAATCAAGGTCATGGTGGCCTCCAACAGAAAAACCATCCCTGAAGCACCTAAATTGACTAGAAAACAATCCAAGCCCAAAAAGAATGCATCGCCTGTGAATCAAGCCAAAAGGACGACGCAAACAACAACAACAACAGCAACAGCAACAACAGCAACAACAGCAACAAACAAACCTAGATCACCAGTAAATCATCCTACCAAAAAGAGACCCATATCCACTGGCCCCAGCGTGCTGCAGCCCAAAGAGCCTGTGGTACCTGCTGTTACCAGCAGCAATGCGCTACCGTGTGATGATCAAGGCGAATTTGATATTTTTGCATTCGACCCTCAACCTACATCTCATCTCACCCACAAGCGCAAACCAAAACCCAACCCTTTCATGGCCGCATCACCTTCTCCTTCTAGACGTGAACCCACTCATTATACAGCTAATACATATATTCCTCCCATGCCAGCATATCAAACTAATCCAGCGCATCACCCTTATCATCATCATCATCATCATCATCATCACCATCATCATCATTATCAACCCATATCCATTGCCAGTCTGCTGAATGAACCATTGCCATTGCAACCACGCCCTGTCGAAAAGAAACGAAAACGAAATCTAGTGGCTCATCTCAAAACAGCAAGCGGTGAAAAGGAACACAAGCACTTGCAAGAATTCGATTGTTTATCAGATGAAGACGATCTAGCTCTAGAACAGCAAAAGAGCCCTCCTCTTTTGCCTCTTAAAACCCTGATCAAAGATCCCAGTCTATCTCCTGAACTCACCTATGAAGAAACCATGCAAATGCAGCTGGACTCGTTGATGCAAACTGAATTTGGAGAATCATCGTATTCACAACCATCCGCTCCAAACAAACGACCACAGTATCAGCCATCCAACAAACTAAATGTGAGGGTGACATTTCAAAAGAAACAATAATAAAATGCTTTTTATTTACTATCCCAATATGCCTTGATTGCTTGTTCGCACTCCTCTTTAGTGCCATTGGGATGTTCCAATTGCCATGTCATTTGCACCTTGAGTAATTCAGTGACGACAGGCCCCGTCTTGACACCCACCACCTGTGCTGCTCTTTTACCATCCACCATGTGCTTCCAGGTATAGCAGTCTGTGATTTGGTAGTCTTTTGCTGCTTGGATCAATGCATTGTACTTTTCGCAAATAGCGTTGCCTGTCTGTCTATCAATGGCAGTGGGATCCAGTGACCAATTCAAATCGGGATAGGTCTCTAATAGTTCCTTGACAGCGGTCATTTTGATGGCTGTTTGCCATAGAGCACCTAAATCACGAATAAGCATGCCCAGTTCGGAGCGCTTGACTGGCTGGTTCATGTTGTTGTCGGCCATGTGCTTTAGTTTATCAACACCACGGAAGATGGTATTCACTGTAGCAATATCCGTATTGTTTGTCTAATAGGGAGCATCATGAGTCTCTCTGTGCTCTCGCCATACGATGGATATCACCGCCTTACCTTGATGGAATCGCGCAACACAAGCTGCACAGCAGGTATATCCCTCTTTTTAAACTCTGACACAGCTCCATAGTAGGGCAACACACTGGCAGTCAATACGAGTGATCTCTTTTCATCATCTGAAGTAGCTCTTAATCCGTCGTTTTGCTGCAGCCACTGCAAAATGCCCACTGCTTGCACAGCCGACAGCGCATCGCCCACTGTACCGCTCTTGATGATCTGAGGTGGAGCCATGATGATGGAGTACAAGTCCAACTGATGGATCAACTGCAAGGACAACAAAGGATACGGCCCTGTAATCATCTTGTCAAACTCAATGCCGATGCGTTCTCTGCTGATTTTGTGGATCAATGCACTCTTAATCTCGGGATGCTTGGCTGCCTGGCATAATTCAGGTACCATATCGAAATTGAATCTACTGGAGAATCGAATACAACGGATCACTCGGAGTGGATCATCACGGAATGTCTCAAAGGGCTCTAATGGTGTACGGATCAATCCCTTGATCAAATCTGGGATGCCTTGCTCTGTGAAATCCTCGACTTGATGCGAATTGACATTGTAAAATAGACTGTTAATGGTGATATCACGGCGATAAGCATCTTCTGTAGGTGTACCAAATGTCTATCATGCCAAGAGTGAGTCTTTGTATATCTCTCAACCGTATGCATTTTCACAAGGCTTACAATCTGTAAGGGTATACGGCTTCCTTCTTCGTAGATTTCAGTTCGCAAATTACAAAAGTCCACTTCTTGGTCGAATAATTTGGTAGTGGCAGTTTCTAAGTGCTTGGATTTCTCGGGATTGCTGTCGATTTTCGCAATGGATCTAGTGGGTACACCTTGACTTTCGAGGTACTTGTTGACATATGTAGCAAATTCGTAGCCCATCATGTCGTTGATGGCAATATCCAAATCATGGCACTCTTTGCCGAGAAGCTAGAGAACCTGTTAGTTTTTTTTTTTTCACAAATGGCTCGGTATCTAATACAATGTCTTTTTTTTTTTTTCTTTTACCTTATCACGAACCCAACCACCAGCAATTCTGGATTCAATGATGGGCAACTCGGGTCGTTCTTGAGCAATGAAACTGGAAACACCTTGAAGCACATTACAGATCTTGGCCTCCTTCTCGTTCAAGTCTACCTTCATGGTGATGCCATTTTTGGACACGCCATAAGTCTTGCTATCCATTCTTATGTGTCTTTTAGGTGTATTGATGATGATAGATGATAAACGAAACGACGTTGGTGGTGTTGGTGTTTTTTTCAAAAGACGGAACATGAATAAAATGTTGAAAATTTTGTGATTTGGCCAAAATTCACTTTTTTGAATTTCTTGCGAAATGTAGTGAGTGATTTGGAAATCTACAGTGACAGCAAAGATGCAAAGGCGAATTGCATGAAAAATACTCGAGTGTGAGGTAATCAATCAAGATGTGTACATGACAAGCATCCAACCCATTGGATGAAACTCCATTTCTGGGTGGCTGTTGCTCATGCCAGAGTCCTCCTGCTCAGAGAGCATCCAGAGTGACTCACTAACCTTTCGATCTGAGCGGGTGCACACCACGAATAAAATTTTTCAATCAAGGGCCAAACCATTGATTCGACTTTCTTCCACTTTACAACAAAGCTTTTTTTATTCAAAATGGGTCGTATGTATACTTCTGGTAAGGGTATCTCTGGTAGTGCCCTCCCCTACCGTCGCACTCCTGCCTCTTGGGTCAAGACTACCCCCGAGGAAGTTGTTGAGCAAATCTGCAAGAACGCCAAGAAGGGTCTTTCTCCTGCTCAAATTGGTGTCCTCCTCCGTGATTCCAACGGTATCCCTCAAGTCAAGTCCATCACTGGTAACAAGATTCTCCGTATCCTCAAGTCCAACGGTCTTGCTCCTGAGGTTCCTGAGGATTTGTACCATCTTATCAAGAAGGCTGTCTCCATCCGTAAGCATTTGGAACGTAACAGAAAGGATAAGGACTCCAAGTACCGCTTGATTCTCATTGAGTCTCGTATCCACCGTCTTGCTCGTTACTACAAGACTGCTGGTCAACTCCCTCCTACCTGGAAATAGTATCCTTTTTTTTTGTGTGTGTTGTGTACTAACATGTAGTGTGTGTGTGTAATGGGATATGGGAAAAACAATTCGATTTCTGCCTATATTGGACATTATGTCAAGAGTCAACGTCTCGTTTGCTTTCGAGTGAATTGAGCGGGCTCGGTAACTGTCTACCTTAACCCTCTGTTTTTTTTTCTTTCTAATAGTGAGTCTGCCACTGCCTCTGCCATGGTTGCTTAAATTGGTTCCATCTGACAAGAGAAACCTTCAAGATCATAAACAGTATTTATATCTTTTTCGTTTCAATCCAAATGAAATTGCGTATACTATACACGTCTTTTTGAATAAAAATAACCATTTTGTTATTCATAACGAACTCTTGTTGGCTGCTTTATGGGTTGTGTGCTGCTTTATGGTCAAACGTTCTAGAAAATGTCTATCATGAGTGTGCGCATTACATCATGAAACAGGGCATCGTAGCTGATTCAAACTTTATTCCTCCTAGTGTGAATGCTCTGGTATAATCCATGCCATGTGTGTAGCATTGAATCAGCATCTCTGTGCTTTTGTATACGTGCCATGATAGCATGGCTTGACACTCTTTCGGCGCTGAATGCGTATCAAAGTGGAGCATGAATACTAGCATTCCTCTTCTTCTGCTTATTCTCGTTACTGTAACCTATCAACAGATCATTCAAGGTACATTACAAGCGTCTCAAGGTGTTGTCTAGGATATACAAAGCGCAATAACGTATATATTCAACTACAGTCGACCTCTCAGCAAGTGCCATTGCAGTATTGAAACTCGCGCTAGATTCAAGCTGCCGTCCTGACACATTACAGCCACTCCTGTTTTGTTATAAGATTTGTTTAAAAAGGCAAATTCTATCACTACCATGACAATAATGAAACTCCTTGATTGTTTTGTTTTTCGTATTTCTCCTCCTTTCTGTTTCTAATCATTTTTTTTTTTTTTTTTGCAACTTGTTCAATATGGGAAATACTTGTAACTCTTGTTGCTGTGGCAGTCAGTTGAATCAGTGGCAAATGTCCATTTGTGTCGTACACTCACACATAGGATTCATGTAGAAAAAAGCAAAGCTGGTTTATACGAACCTCTGTTGCAGGAAAACGAAAGAGAAGCCATCACAGAGCTACTCCACTTTCTTGAGAGTAAAGTTCAGTGCTCAAGTTGCCACTAAAATAATCAACACTCACATGCTTCAAAACAGATCGCAACAACACAAATTTCTTTGAGGGAGAGCCTCTTCGTGCGCTTTCTACGCTAGCATTCTCAGATAATGTCGATTTGCAGAGATCAGCTGCCTTGGCTTTTGCAGAGATAACAGAAAAAGGTACGTCTTACTAGATAGAACTCCACTTGCATGAAGGCCAATCCGCCTCATTCTACATAGATGTGAGACAGGTGGGACGCGAAACATTGGATCCCATTTTATTCTTGCTTCAGTCGCACGATGTTGAAGTACAAAGAGCTTCCAGCGCTGCTCTCGGTAACCTAGCTGTCAACAGTAAGTTATGGTAGATTCTTGAGTACAAGAATTTGCCTCCCCCCCCCCTCTCCTTCCTCTCCTTGCTTCCCCTTAGTATTCACGCAATGTTTTTCATTACCTAGCTGAAAATAAGCTGCTTATCGTGAAACTGGGTGGATTGGATCAACTTATTCGACAAATGGGTAGTCCAAATGCAGAAGTGCAATGTAATGCTGTAGGATGTATCACCAATCTGGCTACACACGGTAAGCTTGTTGGTTTACTACTAGAATTTCCTTTTTAGTTACATTTCAAAATGCGTAGATCAAAACAAGTCTCGCATTGCAAATTCAGAGGCATTGCGTTTATTGATTGATCTGGCAAGATCAAAGGATCAACGAGTACAGAGAAATGCAACAGGCGCCCTGCTGAACATGACACATACACGTTGGTTTTTTTTTTTTTTTTTTTTTCAGGCATGTGTTGAGGGGGGGGAGGCAGTGGACACTCACATAGCTTTACATGTAGAGGAGAATCGACAGCAGTTGGTCAACGCAGGCGCTATACCCATCCTCATCAGTTTATTGAGCTCCCATGACGCTGATGTGCAATACTACTGCACAACGGCATTGAGCAACATTGCCGTAGATGGTAAGTCCTTACTACTCACCATTGAATCCACAAGACAACCAACACCTATTATACAACAGCCGTCAATCGAAAGAAGCTGGCCCAATCAGATTCCAAATTAGTACAATACCTCATTCAACTGATGGACACAAAGAGCCTTAAAGTGCAATGTCAGGCAGCACTGGCATTGAGAAACCTTGCATCTGATGGTAAAATAGCCAACACACCATCATTCCCAGACAAACACATTAACAGCCCCTTAACACTCTGTTGTAGAAAAATATCAGTTGGAAATTGTTCAATGTAGGGGCTTGCCACCATTGCTTCGACTGCTCAAGTCTTCATTTCTGCCACTGATATTATCGTCTGTTGCCTGCATCCGAAACATCTCCATTCATCCAGCCAATGAATCGCCCATCATTGACGAGGGCTTTGTCAATCCCTTGATTGAATTGCTCGCTTACGACGACAATGAAGAGATCCAATGCCATGCCATCTCGACGCTCAGAAATTTAGCTGCTAGCTCTGAACGCAACAAGAAGGCCATTGTGGAAGCAGGCGCTGTGGAACGCATCAAACATTTGATCAAGCAGGTGCCAGTCAGCGTCAAGACAGAAATGACAGCTGCTATTGCTGTGTTGGCTTTGAGTGAGGAATTGAAGCTTCGATTATTGTATATGGGCGTATTGGAGATACTGGTGCCCATGACACAGTACAATCATCTTGAAGTGCAAGGAAATGCTGCTGCTGCGATTGGAAACCTCAGTTCCAAAGGTATTGTGTATCCTGCTTACGAGGTACAACAAAACACTAAGCAACATACAGTCCAGGATTATACACCCTTCATCAAGGCTTGGGATACGCCTGATGGTGGACTGAACAGATATTTGACCACGTTTACAGGTCAGGAAAGTAGTGTTGCATTTCAGCATATTGGTGTATGGACAATCGAGCAATTTGCAGAAGGAGGATGTAAGTAGCATCAGTTGGGTGTGTGTGTGTGTGTGTGTGTGTGTGTGTGTATATGTGTCTGTATGCTGACAAAGGATATAGGCCCTGAATTGATGGCCAAGATTGTGGGATCCAAAGAGATTGTTGAATCCATTGCTCGCATAGCCAGCAACAAGAAATCAGCGTCAGACAATGGTAAACCCTCCGTCGAAGAATACACTGAAGGTGACCTACAGTCTCTGGGCAAGAGAGTTCTCACTACATTACAAGAATATCAAGTGAAATTACGTTCTGGTATGATTGCAACAGAGGAGAATAAGAAATCATCAGCAGGCCACAAACAGCGATAATTTGATACATTCAACATGACACATATACTACAATAAATCAAATGACACTCTGTTATGCAATTCCACTGTATTACATTGATAGAAAAATCGATTTACGTGCCAACCTTTTAAATATTGCCTAGAAAAGTAATCAATATAGACGTTGGGTATAATTTTGCGGGGAAAGTAGCTAGTTTGTGTGGAATAAAATTGTACGACAGGGTGCTTTGTGTGTTGAACACATGTCAATTCGTTGCAAAATGATACCACAGGGCTAGGATGATCTTATCTTTTGTGTTTGTTTGTTTATACCATTATTTAGATGAGGTATATCAAAAAAAAAACAACAATGGTTGTGTATACGAGTTGTACTAAATATTTTTTTATTTTGTGGGGAAACTAAAAAGCGTTGCTGCTCACATATATGAAAATCTGGGAAAACATGGGCAATTACAGAAAAAAACAAAATAGCTTTCAACAGACAAAAATGATATTTTGGTCTATAAAGAAAAGTGTCTATTATTATGAAATGATGGGATAATCAGAAAAAGAAAGGGAGGTGTCTTTTTTCATAAATAGGAGAAAGAAAGGAGAAGAATTACATGAATAAGTTATATACTATATGTGTGTGTGTGTGTGTGTGTGTGTGAAATGCGTTGAGTGATTTGTTTCTTTTTTTAAATTTGATGAGCAACAGCTAATTGTCGATCGTGTTGAAACATATCATGCCAAGTCTTGAATTGCTCTAATACAACAAATGTGATGATGGTTTGAGGACCTAAACGGATAAATGCAGGTGTCCATCCCTTGAAGAACGACTTGATGCCTTCAGACTTGAACATTTGCTTCATGATCAAAGTGGCTGACATTCTGTGATCACCAGTGCTTGCAGACATGATACGAGTTTTAACTACATCAACAGGAGAACAGACAGTTGTAGCCACCAAACCAGCCAAAACACTGGATGTTAAATGAAGAGCAATGCCATCTTGCATAGGGGTATGGTTCAAGAGGATGGCCTTGAACATATCATAAGAAACACACTGCGATGAAGTCATCAAGATGGCTCTGTTGATGTTGGGTCCAAGACCACGGAATAATGCAGTTGTGCCCTCTTCTTTGCTGATACGAACGATACCATCGATGGCATGTTTGTAATTACGACGCTGCTGAGGAGGCAATTGACCATCATTTTGCATGCGCACATTGATCACATCACCGGGATTACCACATGCTCCACCCAAAGCACCAGCAACACTGGAACATATTAATAACTGACCAACATTTGCCTCTATAGATTAACAATTTATAATTGGATGAGTCATTCCAGCGTATATAAAATGGTTGATTTCGATCTCCCCAGCGTCCAGCATCTAACCCCCCCTTCCCATCTAAACCCCCTTTTTTTTTTTTTTTTTTTTTTTTTTTTTTAAATAGTCAACTTACTTTGTTGTGTAGTGGATTGAATGTAGTCCTTTAACTTTTCATAGACACCAAATCGCACAGTGGAGTAAGTAGCTTGTCTTAATATAGAGGCTGATAGACCGGCATATAGCTTGAAGAAGCCTTCGTTTTGTGCAATCTTGACCATGGTGGAGAACATACCATGATTCATACTACCTTTGGTGTTCTGAAGTCGAACTTTGGTCAAGTCGAAGGGATGTACGACGATAGCTGCAACACAGGATGCTGCTCCACCAAAGTAAAATGGATAAGACTTCTTTGCTGTGGTTGGTTTTGCTGCTACTGCCGTTGTAGTTGACATGATGATATAATGATTTATAAAAGAAGGGTTGGAAACAAGAGAAGGAAAACGGCAGAAACAAATAAAAAAAAAACTGGAGAATTTAAGTGTTTTTTTTTTTGGCTTGTGGTTCCTACAATAAAAAAATTTATTTGAACTACCGTGAGCAAAACCATGGAATTGCTTTGACCCGATTATGAAATGGGCTATTAAGGTTTGGGGCTCTCGACTTTCCGGTTTTTTTTTAATATAATTTTCGCACAATGCTTAATTGCAAAATTATAGACAGTTCAAGTATATATAACTCTTCAAAGTCATCGTGTGTGCTTTTTGAATCTGTGGTATCACAGGTCAATGAGAATGATGCGTCATTTATATACACTTGGATAATACAATGACAATGACGATAAACCTGAATCTGCTGAAAGCTTTAAACTCTTTATGGTAACGGGAGGCTTCTCGATCAAGAAAAAAAAAAAAAAAAAAAAAAAAAACATGATCTTGTTACTATTTAGGATCTGGGTCGCTCATGGCCACAAATATGTGTGATGGGATTCTACAACTCCAGGCTTTTATGCATTGGATTGCAAATGCCTCAATGGCATTTCCTTTCTCATCAAGCACGATGGTAAAAATAAGCTGCATGCATGCACACGTATATGTTTGCGCAATATGTAGGCCAGCTTTTTCTGCCTCTCAATCTGATTTAAATGTGCTGCTTTTAGCGTGTTATCTCTCTCTCTCATCGCGGCTACAACAGGCAGCCCCTCGCACATTATTACATACAAACATGTACTCACATTGGTCAATACCAACATGCTCTTTAACAATTAGCAAGACGCTTGCCTCAATTTGAGACCTATAACAATAGAATCGGCATTACTTGCTTTATGATGATCAAATTCATCCATCAACCTGATATCGGTACCTGAATAATATAGGATTTGGTAAATTGTAAAAAATCTGGGCATGCATCAAAAGCAGCAGACTTGATCTATGAATGGAATGTGCTCATGAAGGTTAGCTTATACGCTAGCGCTTTACCTATCAGCCAATATCTAGAGGTACAAGATTAGGTTAGAGCATGAACGAGGCTGCTGTTTGTTTGTAAGCTATTAAGGATGCTTTGGTTGTGTATATGTAGTACAAACCTTCAAATGGTATATATACATGTTTGGTCGTGAGACGAAAGCACAAGACAAAGTACATGTGGTTGCGATGAAGCTTATATCTAAAGATTGGTATTGTAGGTCATTTTTTCATCTGGTCACTTTTTAGAGACATGCCCATACGCTTTGTAACGTCAAAATGACCTATGCTCAACGACATTGATGAAGCCATCTACAATGTATGAGTGCCTGTTAGCAGCGGCGACTCGCCTTAGTTTCTCTCGTTAAAGGAGAGTAGCTCCTCTGGACAGACTACCAACGTAGACTTCTTTGCTTACCATCAAGCAGTGGAAGCCCTCCATGACTGTGAGTCTGTTTCTTTTTGAGTGTTTCACGTCTGTTTCTTCGTGAGCAACTCGAATACGAGCAGGTGGCATACTTGGATCACCACTTACTACTCAAAAGTACGGAAAAAAAAACAGCAAAACGTGTGTGCATTTGGGCCGTGCTTTCTCGCGTTAGAAACTGTTCTAGACCATCAGAATAGCACCAAACAATTGCTATCATCTGGCAGTTACTTACCGACACCTTTGCTCAACTTTTTGGGGATCAAAAAAACATGGCCAAAAATCGGCCCAAAAGCATGAGGTACCCCCCTCATGGTTTTCATCGAAAATCAAACGATCGCGTTTTTGGCCTTGATAATGAAGACGTTTACTATGGTATGTATTAATTCAACATGTTTCTATCGATCTAACACAACTCCTGAAATCATCTTTGTGGGACCTTGATATGTGAAATTTCCACTTTTTGGTCAGGAGCCTCTTTTTAAATTTTCATAAACTACTCAATAAGTTTATTCAAAACATCTATTTTACTTGGCACCATTGGAAGCGCCTTGAAAATTACTCTTGGAAAGCTTAAGGAAGGGTGGAGCGATCATCACAATTTTATAGTTGAATTTCGTAAAATAGATTTTTTTTTTAAATTGTGTTTATTGATTGAGCCGCGTACACTAGGAGTACTGGGTCGAAGTGAAGAGGCGGGTGCAATTGAGAAGAAATACTATAAGAACATAAAATACTAATTAATCTAATCTAAAGAACTATCTAAACTATCTAACTACAAGGGGGAATGGATTTGATCCTCTTCCTCTGTCTGGCGAACAGTGGAGCGGATATTCTCCAGAATCGCCTCAGGGACAAGGATGATGTTGTGTAAAATAGATTAAACAAGTCGTAAAATAAGCAAAACATTGCCACTTCAAACGAAACAATAAACGTCGGAGCTTTAACATGTTTTGGCTGCTGGCAAGATCAATGTTGTCTCTTTTAGGATATTTCTGAAGCTTACAAGAAAGGAATTGCAAACTGAAAAGTGCTATAGCTTAACCAAACTACGTGAGCACTTGGTAAAAGTATTGTTTACTGTGGGAGATTATATTTGCATGCTTTTGAGACGTCTAACAAAGACTGCACCTGTATAAGTGTCGGCCTTCATACCTGGAACAAGAAACCACTGACAGTGCATACAATGTCATCTCAAAGCTTGATCTTCAGAGCCATTTGTGCGCCTTTATCGCGACATCAATATGCATAAAATCTTTAGCTGTATATTTGTCAAATCATTCTTGTCGTGCCATTGTCTAGAGAGGCAAAATTTCATTCAAGTGGCATCAAAGCAGGTTTTCAAGTCCATCATCTGCCTCATGATTTGCAATTTCGTGCTTTACGAGCTTGAAGAGGTAAGTCTACATGTGTATATATATATATATATATATATATATACGCTCTTTTATCAGAGATGCGCTGTGCTACAACTGTCGCAGGAATATTTTGATGGTATCAAATGATAAGTAGACAATTGTCATGCATTTTTCCCTTCGAGATGGCATTTACAACAGTATTGTGCAACAATAGATGCACTAGATTAAGTAATCTCGGATGTAATTTTATCAGAAGCCGTTTGCATAGCCGCATACTCACGCTAGCAGAGGTTTCCTGCTTAGCAATAGGAAATCTGATAAAATAGCAAAGGCGGAAAGTGTGCAGTGAGGGGGGATAGTCTTGTGTACTACACCCTGTTAAAATATTTGCCCTTGATAATTTAAGTTTTCAATGATCCACCAACCTTAATTTGTTTTTAGCAATTGCTTGATTTGGTGTGATAAATACAACGAAAGCGACCGTGATTTTCATAAAGTTTCCATTATCACCTTAATAAGGAATTGATATTTAAGAGTTTCTGACATTGTTCTCTGTCTCTCTCTCTCTTTCGCTATCTTGTCCTAAATAAAGCTGACTAAATTTTCAAAGGACCGAGGGAAGCATGATATATTTTATTCTTCAAATGAAACCGAAAAAAAAAGGCACAATCTCTGGATGACAAATTGAATCAAGTGTGCTACCGACAGCTCGCTGCTAAATCATGACGGATTATCGATTTTCTAAAGAGACTTTTTCGAATGATTCACACCAGAGGATCAAGCATTCAGTATTGTCGTGTCGCTGAACATGGATTTCATGTGTCTTTTGCTTTGCTTGTGTGCTTGAATGCATCACTGATGTGAGAACAACCTTTTTCCCTGTGACTAGGCAAACATCGGAAGGAAAAGGATGCGCACACAACCCCTTCCCTTCTTGTAACTCCCTCCAAAAAAAAAAAAAAAAGCTTTTAGGTAGATAAACAAAATTCTCCCCCCTTTTTTTTTTTTTTTTACACTTTCTTCATTATTATTTTTCATTCAACAGAAAATAATAGGATGAAAGCAAGTAAATTCATATTTTCACCCAATGATCAGAAAAATGTAACTACTTCATCCGCTTCAACATCTCAGTCAACAAACAAAATCATCTTGGATTACCTGCTTTTCCTATCAATCCAGTCTCGGTTGAAGCAGGCTCGTGTGGAACTATTGGAATTATCCACACCGCTGCCTCAATCCAAGGAGGACAACACAACGGTAGAGATTCGCAAGCAAAGATGGGAAGACACCGCATCCAAGGCAGAGCAGGATAAGAATGCAGTAGAATCCATTGTAGCTGGTAAAAGTGGAATAATTCTACCTTTTGTCAATAGTAGCTAACGACATCGACAGGCATCCTATCAAGCCACTGCAACAGAACCCCATCTTTTCGCATTGATTCCAATTTTGAGCAAAGACTGCATCTCTGTCAATTGACAAATCTTGTGTTTGGCCGCTTTGATGCCCTTTCAACAGGGCAACATGTCATTGCACATAGTTCAGCAAGACGACGAAGACATGAAACCCAAATGGCTGTTGTCATAGAGACAGATATTCACGATGAGCCTTGTGATATCAAGCGTCGTCAGCGTATATTTGAGCGACCCATCGTACCGCCATTTTGCAGAAGACATCGAATCCAAAGCTGCTATGGTTGCCGATCGCCTTATTTGAAGGACAAGCCCACAAACGCCATGCTGATGGATAAATTACACAAGCTAGAAGAGGAGCACCACGACGATACTGAAGATCCACAGCAATCGTTCAAAACATTGGAGTTGGCAAACATCTTGCCACCCACACCGCCAGCTGGCCTTATTGAAGCTATCCCTACATTTTTACGCACCAGTGCAGACATGCTACGAAGAGCACTAGAGAGTGAGGACGGAGACGGCGCTACTGCCAAGCCTATGATGTTTGCTGGACAAAAGGTTATGGGAGGAGGAATGCCTCCACGTTGGTATGATTTGTTCCTGGAATTATTAACACAAGCTGCCATTGAAAGCTATTTGTGCGATACACAAGCAGGTCTTGAGCCTATTTTCGAAATATTTTCATATGGTGATGTGGAAGATGAAGAGCATGAGGACGAAGAAGATTCTGACGATGACGACGATGATGAGCCTCACGAGCAAGAGATTGATGAATGGGGAATTCGCGCTGCTGATCACCACTTGCTATTTCCAAAAACCCGTACAATGCACCTGTTTAAAACCCAAGTGAGAGAGCGAGAAAAGGATGTAGGTTCACGTTATAGTGTATCTGTAATGCAAGGTGGAATTGACACAATTTTCAGTTCTTGGTCGTTGAAGGTGTAGATTTACAAACACATTTCGAAAAGTTAGCGCAGAGATTTCCATTGCAAACATTCGAGAAAAGCATGGGTGAATTTATACAAATGATTTTGGATTCAATGGATATACCAGCCCTGGATAAGGTAATGATACATTGGACCTGTAAGGCTGCTTGCCCATATTAACATCATATCTAGTACGAGCAGAGCATACATGATGCTGAAAAGGGCAGTGAGGAACAGCCATCCACAGGGCCATCCGTATACAAGTATCCAGGTGATGGCTCACTCTTGATGCCTGAAATTCCAGATGACGATGAGAAGCATCAGCAGTCCACCGCAAACACCAAAAAGAGATCAGCGTCAATCTCTGAAGAACAGCAGCAAGAAGAAGAACCTCCTACCAAGCGTAATAAATAAAGCCATGTGTGTGTGTGCATGTGATCTTAATAAACTTTAAATTTTATTCAACTTGGTCTGATCTGTGGAAAGGGGCTGGTTAAGATGTAAAAATGCTTCATCTTAATCGCTATCGTCTGATGAAGAGTCGCTATCAGAAGAATCGGAAGAGGAGGATGAAGAATCGGAATCAGAGCTGGAATCAGAGGATGATGATGACGATGAGGCAGCAGCAGCAGCAGCAGCAGCGGGAGTTTCAGCAGGCTCAGCCTTCGTTTGAGTGGGCTTTTCTTTCTTGACAGACTCCTTCTTGGCCTTTTTCTCCGTATGTTGTGCAAGTTCGGGATGAGCCTTTTCATAAGCAGCTACTTCCTTCAAGTACTTTTCTCTTTCCTTCTTGGCAAGTTCAGTGAAAGGCTGTTGTGGGGGGGTAAATAGATGAGTTGAATGAATTCATGCAGCCATTTGCCCCTTGTTGTTATCGTACCTTTTTCTGTTCTTCAGACAATTTTCTCCATCTGGCACCGTAAATCTTTGATTTTTCAGTGAAGCTAGCTTCAGGATGTTGCTTATCAACCTGTTCCCTGATGGAATTTGAGAACAAGAAGAAGTTGGAAGGAGGCTGTTTGGGCGCATTAGGGTCTTTGCGCTTTCTTTTGTGGTCATCGTTGGCTACAGAAGCAGGCGTATCGTTGGCAGAGAGCAGGATTTCAGCAAGATCTGTGAGGTCCTTGGTGATGTTGGCAATAACTTTCTTGACCTAAAATTAAAATTCCAAATTTTTTTAACAAGAGACGCGATATAACATTTCCAATTGCTTTAAATTACAGACGAAATCACATCAAATACGCGTTGAACTTGATTGACTGAATATCGAAAATGTACTTACTCTTTCTTCTTTAGACATGTCGACTAATATATTTCGTTAATGTATAACAAGTTACAGAAAGAAAAGGAGAGGGAGGGCGAGCGAGGCGTGGGGCAGGAAATGGAGGAAAAAAAAATATTTCTTTTCCAGTCGACCGCTTTACGCCCGGGCATGCTTGTGTGTGAATGTGAGAGGATTGCCTGTACTCCTACTCAAAGATTATGAGACCACAGGTTATGTGGCCGAGAATTGTTCGCCTAGACCAATCAATATGCCCAGGCGCCGTTTTGATGCAGCAAAAGAGGTGCAGCAGCAGCGAATACATAGGCAACAAAGCGGCAACACTTCATCAATGACTCGGGCCCTTTTTTTTTTTTTGCCTCTGGATACTGATTGACTAGAATGCACCTCTAACCTTGTACGCATTGGCATCGATTTGCAAACATCCTCCCTAAGCTATCTACCTACCTCAAAGTCGATTTTGACCCATGAGCATACTGTATCAACGAAAAGCAAATGTCTAAAGTTTCTGGTGCTCTTTACTACTACTTCCAAATCTTGATTGCCGCCTTCTTTGATGAAAGCATCATCACAACCAGCTTTAGCTAGTATCTGCCATGATGTCGACCGTGTTGCCTCCAGTTTTGTTAGGCCAGTGCAGCGACGCAAATTCAGATTGAACATTTGGGCCAGTGGATGCTTCCAGGCTTGCATTGGCATCTGATGTTGCTTCCTCTCTCTCTCTCTCTTGTAGCATGGTATGCATACTAAAGACTGTATCCTAAACAGCAGTTTATTATGAGCATTTGGTGTAAGCTCTGCCTTTATCAAATCTTGAATGTGGAAAAACTTGAAAAACAGCTAGAGTAGAAATGTCTCATGTCTAGCGGTCTGGTCGCTGGTAAAAGTAGATTTCTTTAACCTTGGTAAACAGCACGCATAGTTTCGGGATGTATTATACAAAGAATAAATGAATGAAAGGGGATTCTCCTCCAGCAGCATCTGTAGTACTACCTGCAGCAGTTCAAGAAAAAAAAAACTTTGATCGCTTCTTATGTCTGAACGACTCGATTATATGAATAGATACCTTTTTGATATGTTGGCTCGATCTGGAGATGAAGCGAAAGAATTGGGCTGTAAATCTAGCGTTCTATTCAAGTATTTAATCGAAACACTGCATCAATTCTTGTATGCTTAGAATTGAGCCATACCGCCTCTCAATTACATAACAAGATGCAACATCAGACACTTTTATTCCGAGTATATCTATACCCTCCAATTTGAAATCAACATTTTAGAACAGGTAATTGCTATGCTATTTATGGTCAATTGTAGCTAAAAAGGTATATAGCAATCTTCGGAATAAAAAAAAAACCTCATTTTGCTTTTTGACATGCACATATACATCGTGTAAGGTTACGCATTGGATAGACATGTAGCTTGTTCACACACTCACACAAAAAGAGTCCTATCATCCTCTGCGTTTTGCTACCTTATGATCAGTTGGTAAGCTTCTAATGGACACAGGATCACTTCACACCAGTCACTTGCATGCAAAATTATGCCTTATAAATAGACACCCCCCCCCCCCTATTCATCAACTGTATCTCCTTTCTTCTTTTTCTATTTTACTTTCATCATCCAATTAATGCCAAGTAATCCAAACGCTTCGTCTGCAGCATCGATAGGCAAAACTGCTACCCTCGTCTTGGTAGTAGGCATGCTCTTTTCAGGTAATTTGATGCTCACGGTTCACTGTGCCAAGATGAATGTTGACATTAGTACTCTAGGTGTCTGCAATACCATCCTCAACAAATTCCAAGATATGCAGTGTGTTGGCAATTGTGATGATCCCGATCCAAAGAAGAGGTCTTATTTTGAACAACCTATATGGCAAACGTAAGTGGTTGGAGTGTCATGATGCAGAATGTGGGCCGGTTTTCTTATCTTATACCTCGCTTCAAGTTTAAACATGTTTGTGGGTGAATTTGCTGTTTGGTCCGTCTATCTCTACCAGAAATATCAGCATAAGCTAAACAAGATCGCCGTTGCTCCACCCTCAGCTATCAATCAATTGGACGCAGCTGCTATTGTGGATGATGTCGATCAGCGTATTACAAAGGTCGAGGATGATCTCCCCGAATTGAAGGGATGGAAGGCACTTTTGTTCTGGATACCTACCTTATGTGATTTGACCGCTACAACGGTACATACTCTGCAAACCCTCTTGTCAATATCGTCTGCTGACTAACTTGATCTAGGTAATGAATGTTGGTTTGATTTTAACATCAGCAAGCGTCTATCAGATGTTGAGAGGAGCAGTTGTTATTTTCACAGGCCTATTCAGCTATTTGTTCTTGAACCGTCGCTTGCGGGTATACGAATGGGTATCATTGGTAATGGTCGTGGTAGGTGTGGGTATCGTGGGCTTGTCTTCAGTCTTGTTCCCACAGAAAAAGCCTGATGAGACAGTGCTCGGAGGTGATTCATTCGATTATTCTTCCTTGATGGGTGTGGGCTTGGTTTTGGGTGCACAGATCTTCACTGCCTCTCAATTCGTCATTGAAGAAAAGATTCTAGTGCGCTACAAGGTAACTCCTTTGAAGGCAGTGGGCCTTGAAGGCTCTTTTGGCCTCATTTCTGTTTTGGCTGCTATGCCAATCCTCCATGTACTTTTAGGCAAGACCCATCCTTCATTCGATGTCGTCCAAGGTTATCACGACTTTTTTGATAATGCTCGTGTGTGGCAAACTGGTTTAGCCATCAGTGTTTCCATTGCTTTCTTCAACTGGTTTGGACTTTCCATCACTTCAGCCGTATCAGCCACTGCAAGAAGCACAATTGACGCATGCAGGTAAGCATGAATGACATGAGGCCAAAGCTGTTAACAAAGCTAACCGCTGCCCAGAACTTTATTCATTTGGATGGTGTCCTTGTCGTTGGGTTGGGAACATTTTTCATGGATTCAAGTGGTTGGCTTCATTACAATGGTGACCGGTACATTCTACTTTAACGGTGTACTCAAGTGGCCATTCGTCACTGATGAAGAAGAAGAACAAGCTGAAAATGAGCGTGCTCCTCTTTTACCTCGTGATGAATGAGGTCTTGATAAATTCGACTACTACCATAGATACACACTACCGTTATTCCCCTCTGATTTCGATTGATAATTTCGCATTTAATTTACAGTTTTTCTCATCTCATGTTATGCAATGTTATTAAAGCTGTTGGTGTATTTAAAAGAAACAGCATGGAGATCCTGTATTAGGGTTCAACATTGGACAACATCTGATTGACCTCCATACAAAGCTCAGGAGCAAGGCATAATTCGAGTTTGAAATATACGCAGGATTGCAAAATGCTTGAAACTCCTATCTTGTAGATGAATCTCGCTAGATCCTGTATTAGAATCAGCATTCGAATGTATCGACCAGCAAAGAGATGGCTTGCTCGTTTCGCCCACAAATCTATACGCAAGGCTCTCATACCTTGTTTGAAATGATCTTGGAAGGAAACCTATTATGTACTTTACTATGCACTCCACTGACGGAGAGATGCCTAAATCATGTCTAGATCTTTCAAATAGCGGTTGTCACTCTTCTTTAAATCAAAACTGATGTGACTCGAAGGACTGTTTAGAAGGGAAAAAAAAAAGCTTAAATAGAAATCCCCATCATGCCTAGGGTATAGATCTTCTTCAAATCTTTAATAAATATTTGAACAATGGCCGATATTTCCACCACACTCGCAGGCGTCAAGCTTCCTAACCTTCTTTTCAATGCCTCAGGTGTTTGCTGTCAAACTGAAGCTGATTTGAAGTTGATGGTGGAAAGTGAGTCAGGATCTTTGATCACCAAGTCGGCCACTTTTGAACAACGTGATGGCAACCCATCTCCTCGTTACACTCCTTTACCCGGTGGTATTGGTAGTATCAACTCTATGGGTCTCCCCAACGAAGGCTATGAGTATTACTTGAACTACGCCAAAAACTACGATTACAGCAGCAAGAAGCCCTTGTTCATCTCTCTTTCAGGACTTTCTTTGGCTGATAATGTCAAGATGTGTGAAGCCTTTGTTGCTGCTGATTTGCCCTGTGTTCTCGAGATTAACTACTCTTGTCCTAATGTTCCCGGCAAGCCTCAAATGGGTTACGATCTTGAAGCCATGGAACACTCTCTGAGTGTATTGGCTCCCCTCATCAAGAAGCCTTTCGGTATCAAGTTGCCTCCTTACTTTGATATCGCTCATTTCGATCAAGCTGCTGCTGTTTTCAACAAATTTGAAAACTTGGCTTTTGTTACTTGCATTAACTCTGTTGGTAACGGTTTGGCTATTGATTTTGAAACCGAGGAAGCTTTGATCAAGCCCAAGGATGGTTTTGGTGGTTTGGGTGGTTTGATGGTGTTGAACACTGCTTTGGCTAATGTCAATGCTTTCCATCGTCGCTTGCCTGGTAAGCAAGTCATTGGTGTCGGTGGTGTTGTTAGTGGTAAGGAAGCTTTCCTTCATGTGTTGGCTGGTGCCAGTGCTGTTCAAATTGGTACTCAATTGAAGGAAGAGGGTCCTGGTGTCTTTGCTCGTATTGCCAAGGAGTTAAGCGATATCATGGTCGCTAAGGGTTACAAGACTCTTGAAGATTTCCGTGGCAAGGTCAAAACTTTGTAAATTTCTTGATAAATAAATACTGTACTTTATATCTATATTCCTCAAACATAAACCATTGATGTCTTGTTTAAACTTGCTCTAACAAAACATATATGCTGAGGCGTTTTGCAAGTATTCAAACAAACTTTTTATATATACGAGTGTTTATGCTTCGGATGGCTCTCTACCTTGGCTTCGCTTCGGTGAGAACCAACCTGCGCAGTGGCAGCTCGCGCTATCGATTGCCCTTGCGAATCTTACCAGAATACTGCTACTACTTTCATTTTGACCCTCCACTTGCACATGAAAGCCTTTCATATTATCTGTAAATCTGACTCTTATATGATGCTCTACATCCATATACACGTAGCTAGTTCATATACGGGCAAGCAGCATACGAGTATTTCCCATTTTTAGTCCTCAGTATCCCTACTACAGCAAAATTTGAACGCATTTGGGCCGTGTTTTCTCGCGTTAGAAACTGTTCTAAACCATCAGAATAGCACCAAACAGTTGCTCTCATCTGGCAGTTACTTACCGACACCTTTGCTCAACTTTTTGGGGATCAAAAAAACATGGCCAAAAATCGGCCCAAAAGCATGAGGTACCCCCCCCCCCCCTCATGGTTTTCATCGAAAATCAAACGATCGCGTTTTTGGCCTTGATAATGAAGACGTTTACTATGGTATGTATTAATTCAACATGTTTCTATCGATCTAACACAACTCCTGAAATCATCTTTGTGGGACTTTGATATGTGAAATTTCGACTTTTTGGCCAGAAACCTCTTTTTAAATTTTCATAAACTACTCAATAAGTTTATTCAAAACATCCATTTTACTTAGTACCATTGGATGCGCCTTGAAAAGCGCACCAAGAAAGCTTAAACAAGCAGAGGGTGATTATCATACTTTACTTAGTCGAATCTGCAAAAATAGTTCAATCGAGTCGAAAGTTATTAAGATTTGGCCAATCTGGAGTAGACTGAAAGTCTGCGTTATAATTATTTTTGGCTGGTGGAGCCGGCTGGTAGATTCAACAATGCCCTTTTCATCATGAAGGCAATACAGTAATAGATGTCCTCGAAGCGTATGGAATGTAGGTGGCAAATTACATAGCGCTATTGTTAGTCGTGCTATTCTTCTTGCATTCTATATTTGATAGAGCCAGTCTACCAAAATACTTGTCAGATCAACTTCTTTCCTATTCGAGGCTTTGAAAGTGTCTAGGGACTGAACATTTATTATATTATGATGATTTATTATTGCGTTTTAAGCTGTAGTTTATGTATTATTTAAGTATTGGGCGTTTTTTTTTATAAACGAAAAACATTACTGTGCTGCAGCAAGCTGCTGTTATTACTTGACGATGCTGATGACGCTGATGGAGTAGAAGACTGTTGCTTTTGCTGTTCTTCGATGCTACTGCTGATACTGTAGCTGCTGGTTTCAAAAGGCAATGGCAGCAATAAAGACGATGTGGAATGGCTCATGAGTTGCTTTGATTTTCTGCTGTAGTCTACAAGCAAATCTGATGTGTTACCAAGCTCTTTGAACGAGGTTAACATGGAGTTATTCAATGCTTGTTGCTGTTGAAAGCCTTTGAATTCATTATAAGTTGCAACAGGCATTTCTTCCTCCAGACCATTGTGTGGTGAGCGACCAGGAGCCAACTCTTGGCTGAGGTTTACGGGTTGCAATTCCTTCTTCTTGATGCCAAACTCTCCCATATCTTCATCACAAGGCTGTATGATCATGGAATGCGTGTATCTACGACGGTCTTGCTCTGGACGAAGGCTCTGGATAACATCACCTCTACTTTTTCTTGCTGGAGACAAGGGAGGAGGAACATATTCTTCTTCTTCGCGCCTGATTTCATGTTTTTCAGTAGTTGAAGTATGAATGCTTTTCATTTTTAAGCTTTGTAACTCTAATTCTAGCTGCTGTTGTTGATAGTGTTTTGAAGCAGCTTGAGCAGCAGCGATGGATGCAGCATTGTTGTAACTTGCTCTAGAGTCATAGTAGTCTTCTGCAGACGGCAATCCCTTTTCGTCAGGTATGCCTACCTGGAAATAATCGCTGCTTGCGCTGATAGAGCCCTTTGTAGATCGAGGATACATGCTATTGCTTTTTCCATTACTGCCATGGCTGACTTGATGATGAGATACCAAAGTTGTCATGGAAGGAGCTGTAGATGCAATAGAATTGTTCTTGCGGAATGCTTCAGTGGTAGATGTTGCCTGTGATGTGGACGGAATAATAGGTAATGGGCCAAATTGGAATGCACTGTCGCAATTGCTGCTGCTGATGGTACCTGATTTAGTCAGTGGATGACACGACTTGTACATGTAGTCGCTGGATGACTGAGAACTGCCATACACAAGTGTAGGCGCATGTCCGTAGGTGTTTGTACTGCTGATGCCACTGTTATTGTTGATTTTATTACTATCCTCAGAGTAAATTTCATCACTTGCTGGTGCTGCTTCTATTGAATGATTGTGTTTGGGATGGAAAATCAAAATCATACAAAGCCATGTGATAACAGCGCACATGTTAACTATGGAAGGAGGGTCAAAAGAGATATATAATACATTTGAGTTGACAACATACTGTTACAAATGAAGAAATCGGCCCAAAACTTGTGCATATTCAAATATTTCGGTGCGGTGAGGCCATCGCAGCTTAGGATTGTTAATAGTGTACCATGGCCACACAAAACAGTAGATAAAACAATGTTGATTTCTTGGAAATAGAGAACTTTCTGAGTAATGGATCTACCATTAGGGGTATCACGGGAATTACGAAGCAGCTTCTTGAAGCGAAAATGGGAGACGACACCTAAGCAGGCTACAATGAAAAGCTCTGCACTAATTTATCAGTGGTCAGCCATTTTGTGCCGAGTAAATTGTCTTACCAATGCCATACACCATCTCTGGCATGATTTCTTTGATAGTGGGATCATAGATGCTTCTTGAAAAGTTGTACTGTAAGAGCGGAAAGATGATGAAGCTCGAGAATGTCCTAATTATTGAGGTATGAGTGCTTTGTTTCAGCATCTGGTAGTCTTGCTAACGTACCAGCATATATAAAACATGAATTCTTTGCTGCTCATGAAATTTCTTTTCGCAACAGAATTGGCCAGGTAGTTCCAAAAGCATTGCAGTAGGACCAAAGTGCCTGTCTGTAACGAAAAGCCTATGACCAAGCTATACTCTGTGGGTATCACTAGCGCTTTATCTGCTTTTGTCCACATTTGTTCAGGCTTTGTAAAGATGTTGCCCAGCACATTTGCAAAGCCCTCTTCGTATTTAATCTTCACGGATGTTATATCTATTCAATAGGTTCACTTTTTTTTTGAATACAATGTATGTTATATTAAAGCATACACATACCGTAGAATAGCTGAAACGGTATCATAAACAGAATCAGCATGGTTACTATACTTTTCAGCTCTCCTTGTCGAAATCTCTTTGGATGCAGACAGCTGAATCTATCCAACGTCCACACTCTATAAGTGTACCAGATGTACAAGTAAGCGAATGATACCATTCTTTCTATAAAAGCTTGTGTCAATACGATTACTCACAAACTAGTATTCTGTGTTGGTCATACGTAAAAAACTAAAATCACTCAAGTGTGTCATTTGTATTCTTGATCAAGATTTGAAGATATGAAAAAGCAAAAAGAAGGACAAAGAGGTGCTCCACAATTCGCGTTTTGTATCTTATTCTACTGTTTGTTTAAAGGAGAAACTTGTTATATTAATTTTTATCAAGCTGAGCAAAGAAAGAACTAGGCTCAAAGGAGGCCAATAAACATCAAAGCATAGCATCAAAAGGCAACAATGAATAAGGGAGACAGCACAAGTGTCTTAGGGGTATACAACTGGCAATATCTTTTATCAAGGAGAAGAATAGATGTGTCAATTTACGTTTATTAACAGGCATCGTTTATACCAGTTGTGTGGAAAGGCATGTCGTGGAAGTACTATACCGTAATAACCTCAATGATTAAAGTTCATGTGCATGACCCCCCCCCCTCCTTATGCCGACTTGCGGCTACTAGATGCATCTACACACAATCTTCCCCTATCATACTATGCATAACTGCTTTCTGGGTAAACTTATTTGAGTTTGTGTATATGGGATTTAATGTTTAATCAATTACACAGCAGATTGGAGATTATCCAAAACTGGGAGACGGCATCTGGTCATGCTACTCTCTAGATATAAGGATTCAAGGGCGCACCTGTATTATCAAAGAATCATTCTAGAGCCTCAAAAGAAGATAAAATACTTGAAGTAAATGAAAAATCATCTCAGCATGGCCCTCATCGAGATATGAACCACGAACCAACCATTGCTGCCTGCCATTCAATAGATAATATAGCCGAATTTCTACCACACGTTCAGTAATACACCTTCATTTTTTTGAGGGAGATGCCATGTTGTCTCTTTTGCCAGCAAACATGCAAAAATGGCGACAAGCGATGTTATATGAGGAGTGATTCTTTCAGGGGACCTTCTAGAAAGGGGTGAAGATATTTCCACCCACCTCAATTGATTCGGCAAATCAAAGTAAAATGTGAGAAATCGCATTGTTCTTGTGAAAATAGTCGAATTTCATTATAGATATCCGAGCGACTTGGATTATGGTATAGCCCAATAGTATATCCTACGTATGAAATAGAATATATCGTGCCCAAATAGCCTAATATCTCATTGTAATCAGACCTTCACACTTGACTTTTTGCGGCGGATATTGAACGAGTCAATAAGCATTATGCAACGTTTTTTTCCAGGCTCATGTGATTCTAACATGCATCAGATTTCGGTTATAAACTTTTCTCTTCTTTACATTCAGGGCGGTCGATTCTTCTCATCGTCTATCAAACATGTCTCAATTAACTTCTTCTGTCAGAAAAGGGTAATATAACAATAGGGAACATTGGGAAAGGGAGACGTTATAACACGCCATTTACTTCATGCATAGGAGAGTCATAAGCCATCATAAACTGACAATCTTGTTTTACATAGACACGAACTCAACACAAAATCACTCGAAAGCTATCTTCTAGAGGCTATCCCGGGTTTCACTACTCCTTTACATGTTAGCCAATTCAATCATGGTCAATCCAATCCCACTTATTTATTGAAAGATGGAAAGTAAGCGCTCTTCGAAGTATGCAAAGAAAATGTATTAATATACGACAGCCAGCAACAGTATGTATTGAGAAAGAAGCCTCCAGGCGCTCTGATCTCCAAGACAGCTCATGCAGTAGAACGTGAGTATCGCATCATCCGCGCTCTTGGAGAAAACTCCAATGTACCTGTACCCAAGGTATACACCTTGTGTGAAGATGTCAGTGTCATTGGCACACCATTCTATGTTATGGAGTTTCTCAAAGGCAGAATCTTTACCGATGTCAGAATGTTAGATATACCTTTCGAGGAGCGTAGAGCATGGTAAGTACTTTTTTATTGGAATCAGAAAAGAGAGATGGTATGACTAACTTACAAACCTGCGAATTAAAGCTGGTTTTCGGCAGTTGTTACATTGGGAAAGTTACACTCTGTTGATTTCAAGGCTATTGGATTAGAGGGATATGGTAAAGATGCTGGTTTCTATACACGTCAAATGAAGTCTCTTGGTAAAGTATCTGGTGCTCAAGGAGCAGTTGTGGACGAGGAAACAGGAAAAGAAGTAGGTCCCATCCCTCGTTTGGACGAGATGTTTGCTTGGTTCAAACGCAACGAAGTAACAGATCAAGCAACTATCATTCATGGTGATTTCAAGATTGATAACATGGTACGGTATTGATGATGATGCCTATTCTGTGAGATGATGAATTAATATTGCGCAATAGATTTTCCATCCTACTGAGCCTCGAGTCATTGGCGTACTTGATTGGGAGTTGTCGACTATTGGTCATCCTTTGTCAGATTTGTCTAATCTGCTTCAGCCTTTTTACATACCTCAAGATGCTGGATTAATGGGCTTGAAAGGTCTTGATCCATTACCAGTTCCCAGCGCTGAAGAACTGATGCAATGCTACTGTTCTCAGCTAAAGGGTATGACATACCCCATTGATAAATGGATGTTTGCCGTAGCATTCTCCTTCTTTAGAGTAAGTGTGTGTTTGTGCGTGTTGAAATATAAAAAAAAAAAAAACTCACACTGTCCACAGCTGGCTGTTATCACTCAGGGCATTGCAGCTCGAGTTGCTCGCAAACAAGCATCGTCTGCACAAGCTAAGATTGTAGCCCAAAAGTTTAAACCTGTTTCATATTTAGCCCTAGACATTGTTGACAAAGGCGAATTAGGACGACAAGCCAATAGTAAATTGTAAATGTACTTTATACTCGTTTAGTACTGATTAAAAAAAAACATACGCACGGATGCAAAGACTCAATTTTGAAACGCCATATTGTGCGTGGATTGTTTCAATCCTACAATAAGAGGAGCTACTTATATATTTATTCAAGATATAAACAAACAGTGGTTCGAAATTCGGGTTATGCTGTTGTGTGTGTGTGTGCGTGTACGTGCGTGTGGAGTAAATTGCATTCATCCCCTTGATTTGGTTATAAAAATGAGCTTATTTTTTTACTACTCATTTGCTTTTTTTTTTTTTCTTCTTTTTTCTTTGCAAACAAAGTTTCTCGAGAAAATGGATATAGCTGAACTTATCCATATAGACCGCACATGTCAGAAGCAAAAGAAACATTCATGCAAATGGGCAGGATGTCAGAAAGCATTCAGTATGTCGTGAATTTAAATCCTACTCGAAATATTCACTGGTCATACTCACTGCGATTGCATTCTATAGATAGACCATCCGACGCTGCTAGACATTACCGAATCCATACAAATGATAGGTGCGTCTCAATCATTGCTTGTATATGCAATTCAAGTCTAGAATCATTATATAGACCTTTTCAATGCACAGAGCTTTATTGTGGCAAACGTTTTATACAGGTAATATTATTAAAGACATTCAATGTATCACAACAGCATCAAACCTGTTTTGTTATTAATAAACTAAGCCTTCGTTTTTAATATATAAAACTTGTATTAGAGATCGGCTCTGACGGTTCACTTGAGAACTCATTCCGGAGAGAGACCACACATCTGTGAAGAACCTACATGCCAAAAGAGTTTCAGTGATAGCAGTTCACTAGCAAGGCATAGGTAGTTGGATACATTGCAACACGAAGCATTATGCAGGTACTGACAACATCTATATTCTTGGTTTACATACAGACGTATACATACAGGAAACCGCCCTTATAAATGCCATGAGTGTATGCGAAGGTAAGTTGCAGATATCGGTAGTATATGCTATTAGAGTTTTCTGAAATGCTAAAATTTGCGCTGCCAGTTACACCAAGAAGACATTGTTGATGCGTCATTTACGTATGTATCATGAAGGTCAATCATTATCAGCAGCAGCAGCAACAGCATCGAAACACGCCCATCTCATGGTTCACGACCTGCCCTCCCCTCCCAACAGCCACTGCGGTGATGCCTCATCTTACTCTACCCTCTAAATACTATACAAACAGTTTGATACATTGCCATTTTAATAATAAATTTAAGCTTTTTGGTGTTGTTCCTTGTCTTCAAAGTACTTTTTCAACACCTCCAAAGCCTTTCCACGATGAGAAATGGTGTTCTTGATGTCTTTATCTAATTGAGCATAACTACATGAATAGTTTTTGCTTAGTTTTCCTTTCCATATATGTTTATATTACTCGACTTACGTCTCTTCAAAGCCATCAGGTTGGAAAATGGCATCCCAACCAAAGGTACCAGGACCACGTGCTGCCACAATCTTACCCTATATCTCAATGTGAGCCATCTTGGCATTTGAGAATAAAAACAGCATCAGCAGTATAGACTTACATTGGTTCTACCCTCAAAGATAATAGGCTCATGTCCAGGACCCTCACAGTAGCCAAATGTACAGAGTGCATAAGCTGATCTATCATCAAATCCATCCAACATCTTATTGATGCCAGCATGACCAATGGAATCTTGGAACCATTTACTAGAACAAATAATGAGTACAGACGCACATCAAGCAGAGCAAGGTTTTGTGCGTAATCTTACATGTAGGGGCCGGGAAGTCCGTTCAAGGCATTGAAACATAAGGCTGTGTCTTCTGTAATACAAGGGCCATTAAGCTAACGGCGTTGCAAAGTTAATATTTTTGTGGTGAAATCATCCTACATGTCGCCTTACAATTTCAGCGGCAAGCTTAGATTTTTGCTTGGCAATCTCTTCAGTATGACCTTGAAGTTCAGGCACTATCCATAGCAAGTACATGTTAGGATGTTACAGACACTGAAAGTGCAGCAGTTTTCTTACAATCAATCTTGTGAGACTCCACATCAATGACACCCTTCAAGATGGCTTGCACCTCACTGAGCTTGTTCTTGTTGCCGGTGACAAACACTACATGTTGCTCTTGTTAGCATGCCGAGTCATGGTTACGGAAGCTTTACTTCTTACCAAGCTTGGGTAGTTCCTTGGTGGCACTCATTCTAAATCAACAAAGAAAACGTTTTAGTAAAAGAATTTAGAGGTATTCCTTGATAGACGGAGAAAGAGGTGACTCTCGTTTCCAGTGTTACCAGATGCTTTAGACATATGTCAATGTGTCAGTTCTGACTCATCTTTTGACTTGCCTATGTTGTACCTTGTTTGCTCTGATACATACAGCAATTTTACCTTTTCAACTGTCAGCTGCCATATGACAGCCATTCATAAACGGCCTGTACTTGTGGCCCTGATTCTTTTGTAATGCATCGCATCCATACTAATGAGAAAAGCTTATATTTAGGCAGATAGCACACCTACATTATCTCTTCTCACCCAAAAGTATACCAAACACGACGAAATCTGAATACATCTGAGCAGTGGTTTCTCGAGCCAGAAGCCATTTTAGAATGCCAGAATAGCACCAAACATCTGTTCTCATCCAGCAGTTACTCGCTGATACCTTTGCTCAACTTTTTGAGGACCAAAAAAAAACATCGTCAAAATTCGGCCAAAAAGCATGAGGTATCCCTCATGGATTTCATTGAAAATCAAATGATCGCGTTTTTGACCGCAAAAAACGAAGACTTTTTGTTAGAGTATATATTATATCAAAGTGATTCTATCGATCTAAAAGCAGCCCCTGAATATACTTTTGTGCGACCTTGGTATGTAAAATTCTGACATTTTTGCCAAAACTCCTATTTTATATTTTCAAGAGTTTTTTTTTTGATAAGCTCAGTTAAAACACTTTTCGTAATTATTATCGTTAGGTACGCCTTGGAAAGTACTCCAAGAAAGCTCAAGAGGGCTGAGAAGATCATTTCAGTTCACATAGTCGAATCTTACAAAATAATTCAATCAAGTCGAAAAACATTATAATTTGACCAATCTTGAGAAGCAGGATACGAATCTGCGTTTGAATATTTTTGGCTGGCAACTGTGATGCCATGCCTTTAGTGTAGACAATTGATGATGCTGTTAAAAGCTGTTTATTATTATTAGAAGTGAATTGCAAAGCACTACTACAACCGTTTAGCTTTACTACATGATTTTGATTTTGTCATTGGTTTCTATTTAATGGTTGCAAAATGCTCATTTAAATGCTAAATGTATGCATGTGCAGATCAAATGTTTACCTTGTTAACTTTATTATATACATTGATGTTTTACAAGATACTGCAACTAGTCTTTCTTGGGCCTTGGATCCCACAAATTGACTTTGAGTGTTTTCCACAAGGCAGACAAACTTGGCCTTTGATCTGGTAACATAGGATACTGTATTTGAGATGAGAAGTTGTGAGAACCCAGTCTGACGCACCTCTAGTTGTCAATGTATTACCTGTAATTTTGGTATAGGCTTGATAGGTTCTCCATAGAGTAAACAATTAAAGACATAGGCAGAAAAGTAATGAGCACTCAGTCTCTTCCAAAGCAGCATGTATTGAAAGAAGATAGCACCTAGTGGAATAGGCATATTCTGGCAAAAGCTATGAGTAGCTAGTAGGATACATGTTTAGATCGGTAAACTTACACGCATCCACAAGTAAGCGCCACGTTTACCAAAATGTGTACTCCTTTTGTTTTGGTGAGTGGTTGTCGTGGTTGTAGGTTGAGACTTGGCGTTGGATACAGTACTCGCAGCTCCTGGGATTGCAAATGAGACAGAGCGTTGCTTTTTACGCTTGAATTTCTTTGGTGCTAAAGAGGAGCCAGAGGAGGAATTGCTGTTGTTGCTGCTACTGAAAGACTTTTTTGATTTGAACTTGAACCAGATCTGCTTCAATCTATGCAGCATACCATGGTGCTCTAGTAAAAATTCGTCATTCTGAAATATCTCAAACTGGAGGCCACCTGGTAGTCGATGAGGGTCTTTGATGCGCAACATGATGGCGAATAAGGGAAAGTGGTTAAAGAAAGCTAATATGGTCTCCATGATGGCCTGCAAGAATATCACGCCTACACGTCCCTGATATCAATTGTTAATTTCAGCAAATAGCAATCTCTACAGCTCAAGAAGCTTACCAAAGCAAATGTCAAATAGTAGATCAAGATGGTAGGAAACAGAAATGTGAGTAGAGTAAATAGACTTGTTCCCAGCAGCAGCTGATCTAAATCATAATCGCAGGAATCGATACGATTTCGCAGTATATTTCTCTTTTTGCCTCGGAACAAGTTGAATAGCGAACTCAATATGACCAACTGCCAATTGAAGATACGAGCAGCTACCATGTAGAAGCAGTAAACATGGAGCGTCATGAATGCAAGGAAATCAGACGACAGAGAGATGATCATGGTAACGCCAAATACACCAGACAATCCAATTAAATGAATAATCTGAGGAGTGAATGGTTCAATGGTTTGAGTGCACAGAGTCCAGAGTCGAATGAGCCAGAGAAACAGCTCACTGAGAAAGCTGCCCAGCTCGTGATTCAGTTTTAGACCAGCTGGCGATTCCAGGAACCATAGCATCATGGATTGGAGTGATTCAACCGTGTATTCCTAAAAGGAAGGCTTGTTAAAACGATGTCTAATAGTCAAGGTTGAAATAAGTCAACTCGTACATGCAAGATTCGATGCAACTTGTTTGCCATGGCTTGATTATTGGCAACCAGAAACGAACCGATGGCGAGTCCAATGATGATGTCGTTCGCTACGAGCCACATGCTGTTATAGAAGCTGATGTAATAAGCCCTTGTTTTTGCTGTGTTTGCCCAGTTTTGTTTTCTGAGCATCATGTATTGTCGTGGCCAAAAGAACAGCTGCTGTAATCTCAAATCTACTTGTTGTCCAGCTGCAAATAAATCTTTGAAAGCAACCCCATTCAGAATGAACTTTGGCAACCGTACGCTCAATAAATGCAATGTTACTTCTGCCAGCACAAGTACCAAGAACAAAAGGCACAAGGATACATTCATGATAACTTGTTTGATGTGATAGCCGATGAATCCCTTGGGGCTGGTAAAGATAATGCGCACCAGATCATTGGCAGCTGTGCGCATGAATCGTACCACTCGATCCAAGGTGGGGTATCTTGCAGCGTTCTTTTGCTTGTGGTGTAAGGAGAGAAGTTGGATGCCGTGCTCTAGGAAATAGGATGAATTGATCTAAAACAGCTGCTTAATTTCAGATAAGCTGCAGGCATAACATATGAGACGCACCTGAACAAGCACAATGTCGAGATCGTCAGAAACAGGCGTCAATTCTCCATTCAGCAAGTGCCCAAAATCCAGAATCTTCGCCATATTTTTCGCTGTTGTTTCTTCCACTGAAAGCTTCTTGCTACTTGGCTTTGATGGTATATTCATTTCTGTCGAGGAAATATCTAGTTCTAATGGGCTCAAAGCTAAAAACTGGAGTCGTTTGGGGTTGGGTTGCTCGTAAAAGATGACTTGATTTGTCTCACAATCCAATGTCTTGTTTTTGGAGTTGAGCGAGAGCAATACTGGTATATAAGCTTTATCCAATCCTACTTTTATCCAAACTTTTGATAGATGGTTATTACTGTAGCTGGAGTGATCCGAGTGACATGCAACTACCTTGATCTGCAATCGAATAATCACAATCGTCATCTTGCTCGTGAACCAGTACACCAACAATTTGGGGAGGCACATTGCACACCTTATTGATGTGGGTAAATTCAGAATGCTCTCCAGAGACACAAAACTCTTTGAGCAGCTCCTGAAGTTCCCTCAGCTGGATGGTGGTTGTAAATTAGACGTTGCTGGATTGGGAATATCGCTGTGTATTATATACCTCGACATCAGATACAACCGAGGCAATGCATACTGTTCCTGTTGTATTGTACCAACCGATTAGAAATCCATGTTTTGTCTTGGGTGAGCACAGGTGTGAGGGCCAGAATAACTTGACGCCTTCACCGGATGCTAACATTGATTTATTTCTAGTAAAGCTGTAATGTATGAACTTTCATCTTTCCATGAAAATGCACTCTCCATTCACACCCAACGCTTGTCTCCAATAGTCACATTTCCACACATCAAGCAGTTACATGTCCTTGTATTTGGAAAGCTTTCATGCGCTTATTTTTTTTTTTTTTTGTTTGTGATCTATTTGAAATGCGTCTTAGCTTTGATCAGCATGTCAGGCAAGATGCTTTGGTTCTTCATGACACTGCTCATTGGGATCTTCTCCTGGTGATGAGCCTGCTTCATTTGCAATTCAACCTTGATGTGTGCTCGACTCTGGTAGTCACTATTTCAGGGACAGCCTTCATTCGACAATGAAAAAGGCCATGAATGGGTCTTTTACACAGACAATGAAAACTTTTTCCTCTCTCTGATATCAATGTTGCGACGTTCATTAGGTTGTCAGCATAGCAAGCTTGTCTTCTCGAAAGTCAGTTGGTACAATATTGCATTGAAAGCCGTGTTGCCAGAAAAGACATGTGTTCAAAGAGCAATTCAATTCCAATGCAGCAGGACTGTAGCGACAATGGCAGCTACAGCGCTGGACGATATACAGCAAGACATGGCAACTGAAATACAGCAACTGCCGCCATTAGAGCCACTACTAAAAACAAAGATACCAGCAGACATTACTACTGTAAAGAGTAAATCATCAGTGTCACACTTCAAACGCTGCTGTGGCCACAGAACAAGTAAAGAGGGAGGACAATGCACTCGCCTTGTAAAGATAGATCTAGAGCAAGCAGAGGACAAGGTCTACTGCTACAGTCACCTTCCGAAATCACAAAACAAAAAGCATTTACCAGCCACTAGCAAAGAGATGGCATTGCATAAACACCCTAGCAATCATGCAAAACGAAAAGAGAGAGTAAAGCAGCCTGCTACCCGTCTCAAACAAATGGAGTTACAACCGTTAATGGGCAATGTTCACAACCATGACCACAGCCCGAAACTGCGAAATGAAGAACATTCACCTGCCATTGTCGAAAAGGAGGTGTTGTATACACACCACGCCGATGCTGCAAAAGAAAAAGAGACAACGAAGCAGCATGATATTATACATGATTGTTGGCAATGTAAAGTCGAGTCATGACCAAACGCTGTATACAGACTAACATGTCTTGTATGAAATAGTATGGATTGGAGATCATATCGCGCCAAAGAGAAAATCATTGATTAGACAAGTGATGAAGGATCCAATTTCAGATCGAGATAAAGCAGGCTACATATACGGTTTTCTGTTGGAGGATGGACCACGCGTATCACAGGTGGAACATGCTTATTTCAAAATTGGACGCGCCCAGAATCCACATAGACGCATGTACCAGGTAGCTCGTAGTTGTAACCTTATACCCAAGCTTGTCGAAGTGATCCCCAAGTTTCCCGAGAAGCCCTCTGCGCAAGACAAGCAATGGATCATGCCTGTCAATGTGGATCTAGATGCAAGCCAAGTAGACAATGACAGCAATGCCATGGAGACAAAATGTCCCATGTCGCATCGAGTCGAGAGATTGATACATTTGGAGCTAGCAAGTCAGTATCAGCGAGCAGGATTCAAGTGCGACAAATGTGGATCTACACACAGAGAGTGGTTCAGAGTCGATAGACGAAGACACGCAAATGGAAAACTCATGACAGATCAAGAACTATGGCACTCTGACATTAGGCCCATTGTCTTGAAATGGATCCAGTTTGGTGTCGTTGCAACAGCACTTAAATCATGATAGATATATATATATTTTTTTATTATGATACAAAGTGTTGAATAAAACAAGATGGAAAGAGTTGGTATCTATTCTTTTTGATCTATGCTGTCTCTGTTGAAACGCCAGCAGACAGGTCGTTGGATTCAGAGCCACTGTCAGCGACATTGGCTGATTCAAGAGGCACGACATGAACAGCACCAGCACCAGCAGATAATCGATCTCTGACTTCTTGCCACATCAATGTTCTTTCTTTATTTACACCACCCAAGACAGACGAATTTTCTTGAGCACGACGAAGCAAGTAAGGGATCACTTCGTCAATCATACCGTAGGGCAGATACTTATAAATGGAGTAGCCATTCTTGCCTAGCGTGTAGGAGATTTGATCTTGCATGCCAAATAATTGGCCAAAATGGACGACTCCACTTCGAGGCAAAACATGTTGGCGCTCCATCTCTTCCACAGTCAAAATAGTAGATTCACGGTTATGGCTAGCCACCATAAAGACAATCGGTGCGGTTGTAGCAGTCAATGGGTGGCCTGTGGTCTCTTGATGTTGATGTAATTTGCTTAGTAGGAAGATGACGCCGTTGTTGTAGGATGCATGTGTGTCCTCAATGGTGTTGTGAATGGGCGACTCGTAATTTAATTGCTCGGCTCGCTATGGAATTGTGAAGTCTTTTCATTAATATCACATGAAAATGAGGCAGATTATGGGTCATATCTCTTTACCTTCCGTTCCGAAACCATGTAAGCACCACGCACTAGTTTAGCAGCAAAAGCAAAGTTGCCTTTTTCGGCTCTCTCCACATCCCGCTCCAATTTTCTTTGAGCTGCCTTTGTATACATTTGATCTAGACAGATTGGATAAAAATGAGCATACACATGACCATAGTAAAATAGTATGTGAGCGATGACTTACAGGTATTGTAGACGGTGGGAGCATGATCTTGGTCATCTCGACGATTGTATTTCTCTTGAAGGTTCATTGCCACGTGGTCAATAGCTTCTTGAAAGTAAGATTGTTCAGCGTCCACCATAACACCAACTCTGACACTTTGTGCGAGCCGACACACTTGGTCTAAGCGGTCCACCATTCTGTCATAAGCGCCCAGATCTTCCTTGGTCAAGAAAACTTGGCTCTCCGTCATGGCATCACTAGTACCCCACCAAATATCGCGATCAGAACCCATCAAATTAAACAGCTTGGCATACTCTGTATAGTCTAACGCCTTGTGTTGATCGGCTAGCTGCGATAAGATTTGGTTTCTTTGATCTTTTTGCTGCTGGGTGATTGGAGGGGGACATATATGATGAATAACATGCTTTAGGCAGGTGCTATCGATGTGGCCATCCACTTGGTATTCATCAAAAGCCTTGTCCAGGTAGAACATGACCTGATTCAAGCGAAGCAGGAGCTCGGGAGGTGCAAATGCTGTCACCTTGATGGCTGTGAAAGCTCCACTAGTTGCATACTCTTCATGCTGTCCTTGAGCAGCAGTTTTGAGGCAGTTTTTGATCATGTTGAGAACAATGTCAGCCTTGTGTTCTTGCTCGCCGTATTTGCCAGAGACAGAAGTATCAGACTTGGCGTTCGCATCGACGTGAAGGTCAGCCTCTACACTAAGATCCAAAATGCAGTTGATACCCGATTGAGACAGACGAGTCATTGTGGCGACACACTCTTCAGCAGTTTCACCACCACAGAATTGAGTAAAGAAAGTGTTCTTGACAAACCAATAAACCGGATCCTGTAAGTGCAATGTCTCTGCAAGCTTAATGATGTGAGGAGCAGCATCCACAATCCACGGATAGGTGCATAGTTTATACACAAACAGAGCCAACAGTAATTCAGATGTGGATTTTGCTTGCATAGCTACTCTGTTATTGTCATCAAGTAATTGAGCAATGGTGCTAGTCGAATTGGAGGTACTGAAAGCAGAAATGGGAGCAGAAGCCATTTCCGTCACAGAGGACGTTTTCTTCTTGTCGGATGCATCCGATGAGGATGTCGATGAGGAATCGAGGTAGTAGTAGGAGGTTGCCATGGAAACAGCAGCGATAGCTGTTAATGTCTTGATGGGCAAGCCCAATCTGCGAGCAGGAAAAAGAGGATGGGCCGACTGTTGATGGTAGCCATATCTTGCAAGGAATGCTAGCTTGGCATGTTGATTGAATGTGTTGGCTAATCGAGTGCTACTTTGACTTTTTAAAGAGAATAAATGAGACGAATGACGGGAAATAAAATAGCGTTGCATAAAGCTTTTGTTTCTTTGTATAGTATGTAGGGTTTTAATATGAAAAAGTAAAAGATAGATATACGCGAGGAATCTCTGCTTTATATATACTCGTAGAAATGTTGGCTAATCTCTATCAACTAAAACACCACGATCTAGGGTTCTGTACGCATCTATATAAGGTAACTTTTGTTCGCACGAAGTGAACCAATCATGAATTCATAAAGTGCATATAAGCGTAAATTATGATTGACATGAAAACAAAATACCTTAATTTTCTGTTTTCATTTGCATTGAAATGTGGAGTAATCTCCGCAAACGTGAATTAAGGCTAGATCTGGCACTAGGAAGGATTCAATCATAATGATTTTATTCAGGCAGAATGTTCGGCATATGTGTGTCTTTGTAATCCAACCAAGATCCTTATTTACTTTATTTACTTTATTTCAACAAACATTATTACATGTAAAGTATATGTTTCATCTAGACCTTTCCTTTGCTGCTCTGCTGTAGAGAGCTACATCCACTACATGACATCTTTAGTAGCCAACATATTACAACTGACAGATAGGTAATGAGGGCCTTCTTGATAGATAATTGTTGTTCTCCTTTTCAAATTCTTGTTGTCTCAGTAACCGCATCGTCTCAAACAGCGCAGTATCCATCTGCTCCCTTAGTCTGATTTCCTTGATCTCGTTCCTTCTTGCAGCCGCAATGTCCAATTTCTGTTTAACCAAATCCTGCTTCCTTTCCATAGGCTGGCACGTATTCACGATGCACATTTGCTGCTGATCTGTATTCATGTCTTTGTTTTCGTCATGCTGTAGCAGGCTCAGTTCTGTCAAGATGGATAGCTTCCAATCATCTTGTTTGATGTGAATAGGTTGGATAATCATGCCAGCATCATTATTCTCATTTTGTTTGTTGGGTGGATCTTTTTTTCCTTTTGCAGGTTTGTATCAATGGAATATACTTTCTACATTGAAGAGAGAGAGAGAGAGAGAGAGACATACCTTTGTTTGTTGGTTTGTGTTGCTTTATGAGAAAGATGGATGATAGTTTTCTACAGCATTTCGCAAATAACCTATGCTTTTCTTTCAATGTTCGTTTGTTTATTATTTATTTTTCGAAATTACCCTTTTCTGGACAAAGTTCTATCGTCGATCTTTGCTGCGTTTTCCGCGTAGTATTTCTTGAATGAGAGCATATTGAAATATAAAAGTAGAGCAAAGGAGAGCGTTGAGAAAAGAGAATGTTGAGAGAAAAAAAGAGAAGGAAAAAGAACGGAAATGGCGGAATCAGCCCCGAATTGGCCATTTCTTGCTCTTTTTTTTTTTCTCTCTCTATTGAAATGCTCCCTTCAGTTTATATTTTCAATCCATGTTGTATTCTTGCTCGCCGTGAGCATTCCTTACAGTTACACATGTTTATTAATTTTCGGATTGCCTGAACCTTGTCTTCCGTAACTGATTTCAGCTTCCGGTTTTTGCAATTGCAAAATGCTTGATAAAGAATTGATGTAAACAATTGAATTTAAACAGATGCTTGCAAGATGTAGTACCAATTGTATGTGATACGCTACCAAATTATAGATGGCTTATCGTTTTTCAACGCTTTCAATGCAGTGAATACGCGCGTTGATTGCAACATGTGTGCGGATAAACGCCGAACAAGCATACATGTATTAAACAAGTTTGGATGCTATCGACATGCAACCGGCTTTGAGAGAATCTGATTTTAAGAATGGTGAATCTTGTACAAGGACCTAAAATTAGCCCTGTTGCTTCCAGACTGTAATATATACTTGTAAACAAAATCAAGGAACCAAAAATACAGACAAATTTACCTGTACATTTCCGATGCCTTGTGCTACAGTCATTAAAGAAGATATTCATCTCATCACAATTGAGCAAGTTGTATATATATATAAGGGGTCAGGAGTCCTCCTAAAACACTCTTTTTTCATTTGCAATACCTATCTAAATGGTGAGATCAGAAGAGATAATATATATCATTTGATGCATCCAGACAGTGTACATTCGTGCATTTGGTAAACACATAGAAATCACCAATGAGGATCGAACAAACAGCCATCTTGTAATTCAAGTAATTCCCACATACATAGATATTTATTCAATCTGCCTAGTAATAGAGTGCCTTTCTTTTAGGAGCACAGTAGTATTTGATTCATCATATGACACGTTATCATCCGAGAGAGTGACACCTATCACAGAGGAAAGTGTCTTGGGCAATTGATGTTGTTGTATAAGATCATCTTTAGTTTCCGTTAATCTCTCAATGACTTTCTGCTCCCACGCACTTGCTTCTGATCTAGCCATTTTTCCATGAAAGACGAATGATAAGAGCATAACAACACCCGCTACAATGGCTTGAAAGACAAGTGCATTTGTCATGGTGTTGTCAAGCTGACTGCGTGTTGAGTCCATGATGATGACAAAAATGAATCCAAATAATTGTGCGCCTTGCCATAGTAGCGAATTAGTGGTTGCTTCTGCTACAGGATATGATGCTATGATGACTATGTGTTACACTCCAGGATTGTCATATCTACGTATATCATCTTACTTTCTGAGCCGAGCTCAATGACTACTGGCACCAAAAACGACAAAAAGAACTGGTTTAATGCTGTAACAAACAACACTGCTGCATAAGAATCTTTGCGCACTACGTAAGGCGCTTTTTTTTAGTATGCCATGTCAAATCTGTACATTCATCGTGATCTCTACCCATAAAAATAAAGGCAATGTCTGTGACAAATACCATTGGTGCTATCAATTTGAGAAACAATTTGTGTTGCTTGGTCAGATCTAGCACGGGTCCAGAGATAGCTATAGTGAACAGAGAGCAACGTTAGTACGTGTGTCATGATGATGAATAAAACCGAGACATTACAGCATCCCAAGGTACCGGCAAAGAATGCTAATGCATTCAATTGACCTGCCTGTGCGTTTGTATAGCCATGCGGTGCCAATATTTGCGCAAAAAGAGTACAGAATGCAATGCTCAATCCTACATTAAAGCTTTGGATAAGAAACAGTATCCAAAAGTTGAGGTTTTTTGAGAGAATGCGCAAGCCATCAAAGAAAGCAGGTCGGTCAGTCTCTTGAACCCTAGTAGGCGGTGTTGGAGGTTGATTCGGCATGAATAACAATGGCAGGAATATAGCTGCTGCAAAGCCAGCTACAAGATTGAGCTAGCAAGATAATCTTTTAATGAGCAATTACATTGTAATTGTAGTGCGGTACTCTTACCACCATGGGTATATACGTTGCATTCAATGTAATGGTAGGAATCACAAACATGACGAGAATAGCACCGTAATTCGAAGCTGTTCCAGCAAGATGTGAGATGAGGAACAATGTAGCATTTTGATATACATTTTCTTACCTACAAACATGCCAGCTGTTGCGCGCAAATTTTCTGTAAACCAAGTCGACGTAAACTATTGAGCAAAATTAAGTAAGCATCTCAAAATCGAAACTATGTAACATGTATTTACCATTGTCATTATGTTCAGAGCCAATGGAGCTGCTGTTCCTCCAACAACTTGGCCCACCATGGTCAATACAAACGAGGGCGGGTTTGTTTTTGCAGCTATACATCGAATTGCACAACCTAAAGCACATAAAAATCCCGAGGCCGTGATCTAGTCAATAGTTGCATGTATAAGTATTTAAAGAAAGCTTAGAACATCAAGGTCCCCATATCACATTTTAAATATATAAATTACAGATCTTTTGACACCAAGTTTCTCGAAAATGATGCCGGTAAAAAAACTCATAAACACATAGACGATGCATTGAACATTGGCAAGCCAGTTGACAGCGGATAGCGATACACCAAAAAATTCGCTTGTAATTCCTGGGACGACGCTGAAAGTAAATTGAAATACACTGACAGCTGTACGCAGTAGTATCAGCAACAGTAGCGCAATCCAAGCTTGAGGGTATGTCTTTAATTCGAATTGAATGCCGGGGATGATAGCTGCTGCTGCTGTTGTGGGTGCTGGGGGCGTTGGCTGTAAGCTGGTATCGTCTAGCTGTGTTCTTGCGAGGTTGTTTTTGCGCAGAAATCGCAAAAACTTACCATTTGAAGAGGGGTACTTTGAGGTAGTAGCGCCGTATTTAGCGTCAGTACTATTCATTGAACACGAATCAGTTGTTGCCGATGATAATGATATGGAAAGATCGAGCAAGGTTGACATTTGAAGAATTGCATGTATTTATACCATATTGAAGCTAATCAACAAGCAGATGTAATCGAAATTTCTTAATAAAGCATGCTGAATGTTTATTTACTTTGTGCTAGCTAATATTGAGGATCACAATAGCGGAACCGATCATTTATGGACGCGATGATGTTTCATATACTGATCTACAACAACTATAAGCTGTAGGAAATTTTATTGTATCTCTTAAAATTAGTAACTGTCAAATAGGAGATTTCAGACTATCAATATATCAAAGATAGCACTATGCAGTTTTCAGTAGTGATTGTCTTCAAATATGTGGTGCTAGCCTATATAGGACGTCAATGACATGATGAGATATGTATGTATATATATATATATGAAGTTCATAAATTTTTGGTGTTCCTGCATGTTGTTTCAAAAGAATTTGATCCACAAACTGCAACTTGGTAATGTTAACCAATTTACTACCCGAATAGTCTGATGGCCACTAAATAATCCCTTATGTTCTTTTGAAATAATACTTCTCCTAAAAAGCTTCTTTTGGAATGATAGGGTCTATTGGTTGTTTGATCCATGCCGAGAAATGATTTCTCAAGTCATCATTAGCATTACTTTTTATGCTCGTATCATGGTAATGATTTTGTATTAAAAGTAGCAACATGTTGTGAGTAGAAAACTACAAGGAATAGATCATTGACGCAAGCGGATAACTTGGTCGAAAGATATAGTATGGCTGGTGAAGAGCAAGCGTATGCTTTGAATATTGGATGCCTTGATACTGATCACAGCTGTCTTGTCAGGTCTCATTCTTTTCTCTCTTGACGTACCATTTGTGTACGGTGTATTGTCTTTGAGTACAAACTGCTTGTCGGTCTTCCACCTGCCCTCCCGTTGATACCAAATGACTACATTGTCTATAATTGATTCCAACGCAATTCTTGCGGGCGATGATCGTCTGAGGCTGAAGAAAGGGCTGATATTGATAGAGAGATACAAGATATTTAGCTGATTAAAATCCAAAGGTAGATTGTAATGATTGCTTCCAACAGATACCAAATCAAATCCTTTGGTTTCTACCTGATTGAGTCGAAAAAACCAACGACCCAGGTTATGTATCAATTAGTTGGCTTGAGGGGTATAGTTGTCGAATGAGATGTTGGTAATCGTCAAAGCTTGCGTGTCCTCGAAAGCACCAAATGTATGAATGAGTGGACCAAAGTCTGCATCAGAGCTCAGGTTGACAACCAAATGAGACAATAAAGTACAGCGGTGCTTCAGATATCGATAGAGCTGTTGAGATAGGAGAAGGTCATCGACCTTGAGAGTTTCGAGTTGGGAGGCAGGATTTAAAGCTGTTAGAGTGTCGTTTTGTTCATCACTCATCACTTTAAAGCTAATGCTACTGTGCATTCTAAGGCACAACACTTGCAACTGAGGGCATGCGCGGATGTCGGCATCAAATACAATAGGACAAGAGGTATCGAGTGACAAGCACTTGAGGCGAGGAAATCGGCGCAGGTAGTTTGCAGTACTGCTCAAGTCAAGATGAATAATATCTGAGGTAGCAACATGGACACACAACTGATTGAGTGTAGCACGATATTTGCATGCGAGATTGACATAGTCATGGTCGAGCATGTGGTTGGCTGAACGACTTCCTATGCGAATGAGCTCCAATTGTGGCAGTTTAACGTTGTGTTGTCTACACAGGGAGTGAATGTAATAGAAGGGATTGACATCAGTAAATACAATCTCTGCAAGATGGGGACATCCATTCATGAGGTCGATAAACTCATGTTGATTAATTGGATCGCCAGTGCTAGTTTGCATGATAAAATACATTTGACGTATACCCAAACCTTGAGCAGGATTAGCAGCTACTACTGCTCTTGCAAGACGTCTGATGCATTCATAGACATAAAGCTCTACCTTATGTGTATTGTCTGATGTGAATATATGAGCTATCACGTTTTATGATCTGCACACTTGTAAGCACTGATGTTGGCTGTAGATGGGTAAATGCTGAAAGGTGTTGAGAAGGATCTCGGCTGGAAAGAGTGCCATGTTAAAGAGATGATGAGTGTATCAAGAGAAGAAAAGAAAACAAATTGGGTAAAGGAGAGGTGCTTTTTTTTTATAAAAAAAATGTGCAATGAATCAGTATTCTACTGATCCATAAGAGCAACATTGACCAGAGTGGCTCTTTGCTCCTTTAATACTAGTTTTGGTTTTTTAGATGGCATTGATGTCTATATAGTGAATAGATGATGTACCGTATGTAGGTAAAAGAACATAATTGCAAGTAGTATAAAACAAGGTCAAACGTAGATTTCAAGCATAGACGACAGCATTTCAATGCAGAGATAGTAGTATTGTATTGCTAGACAGTAACAGCAGCAAGTGTGGATCTAGTATCTGTAAACTAAGATCAGTAGTCCTCAGCCTTGGCTAATACTATGTAGAGTCACCAAATACCTGGCAAGTCCAAACCAAGCTGTGTGCAGCTTTTGACATTCAAAGAGTTGATTCATGCAAAGAAGAAATAAAGTGTCAGTTGAAAAATGCTTTATTCCATGTGTCTTTAAATAATTTAATTGGGGACTACTAGTGTACAAGTCAAACAAATAATGTGTATATCGGATACTTGCTACTTATTTATTTTCGTTGTAAAAGGGGTAATCAGTATAACCTTTGGCATCATGGCTGTAGAAGGTATCTATCTTGTAAGGGTTCAGTGGTGCTGCAAGAACAACACGGCGCTTGAGAGTGTTGGTACCGACCTTGACAGGAGAGAATAGTGCTTGGGAGCTCATTGTTAATTTTTGTAACGTGAATTAATTGGATTGATTTTGATAAAACCTAGATCTGTTGACATTTATCAGGGTATTTATATGCTCTGTTGAATAATCCAAGCAGTCGGTTATCGCATCCATTGTTTCGATCAAAAACCCCTGAATACTACTTGATTAGGCAAAAATGGTTTTAGAAATGCCTACTTCATGAGATAATCGACATTGGAGATGCTATTTTTAAACGGGGAAATATGCATACACTAAATTGGAAGACTTATTATAATCAAACAACGCAAGCTACAACTGTCTAATCTTAAAAGCAAGGATCTTCAACATGTCAAGTATTCATAGATAACTTGAAACTAGCAAGTTAATATGGCCCTTTTCGTACGCTCCGATTTTTAAAAGGCTAGGTCAAATTCATACTTGTGTCGTGTGCACATGCGGAAGGTCGACGGAGCTTCAATTTCTATTGTTCTGAATGAGGATCCATGAGGTTCCGAAATCTATCGACCTTAAAATTACGAGTTTCTTGATAGTAGACACCCCTTCAAACATATATGAAACTCGTAGAGAATTCAAAGGAAAATACAATGGTATTTATATCAAGTCTCTGGTGTTTGTTGTTGAACTGATCTTTGATGGGATAGCTTTTGCGATTTTTTCACTGTTTTCTAAAGATTAGTCAGTATCTGTCATCAAAACATTTTGTTAAGCATTACTAAACATTGTAGACCAAAAATTTTCCTATCGAAAGAGCTATTGCTTGTAGCTTTGGCATGACTCTATCATGAAATATTAAAAATCTTGTCCTGACCAAAAAATCGTCACCAGATTTTTTGCTTGCTATCACAGGCAGATTTTGAAGAAAAATCGACGATTTTGCATGATACCCTTTTTTGGCCATATCTTGACAAATACTCATCCAATCCTCACAAAACAAAAACCATTCAATAGCTCTACGTTATATCTATTATAGTGTAAGAGTTTAAAGTACCAGATGTACGTTCCCTTCATAAATTTGCTCAAAGTCTTGTATTTTATGAGCTACAAGCAGGGGATATTCAATATTTTTTTTGTTTATCTATAATAACCATACCATCGTATAGAGAATTGAAAAAAAAACAAAAGCTATTGGTTTTGCGAGAAAGATTAAAAGTGCCTAAAAGATTAAGGTATTCTTGATGGGCAGATATGTGTATGTTGTGCAACAACAACATGGACAAGCTATGATAATTGAAGAAGTGTATCTCAGTTATCTAGATGCTGAGGCTCCCCAGATATGATAAGTGTTGTACAAGATAAATTGCTACTTTGGTATCCAGAATTTATTAGTATAAATAGGATAACTTTTGTCTTCATCAATAATTTTTTAGTTTCTGTGTTTGATCTTATTCAAATAGGTCTCTTCTTGTTTGCAGTGAAATCAGGTTTGAATAGGTTTCACAAAAAAAATAAAGTAATAGTAAAATACAATAGAAATCAACTGTATTTTATTTGTGTATAAAATGAACTGAAGATCCTGGAATTATTGAGTAAAAAAAAAAGAAGAGTATTTATACATTTGCAACTAGCTTGTAGGATTAGTGATGATAGAGAGCAATAGGTTCTGCTATTGCGATATCTGGCAAATGTTGTTGATGTTTGATTTAAAGTGGTAATTAATGCAAGAACACTGGCCATAAGGGGTCGATTTAGGTAACCTTGATGGGCTTGAGTGAGCTATCGTCATAGCATGGTTTAATGTAATCTTGATGGTTAAAAGTGTGATGTTTGTTATTGAAGTATGGAACCCTTTATCTGGGATATCGTGCAACTATGGCAGCAGGGCATAGTTGTCATATTTGAATATGCTTGTTATTGATTTGATTTTATTGGGATAAAGGTACCATCACCTATTACGACCATCATGAGTGTGATTGAATACACTGTAATCAGGAGTGATTCATTCACACGATGTGCGATATAAGCATGCATCTTTACTTTAGTATGTTTAAATGGTTGTTGATGTACATTTGAGCGCTTTATTAATAGATTCAAATAGCATGAATTTGAATGAGTGCTATTTGATGAACTTTGGTTTTCAATCAAGTTACGTTTGGGTGGCTATTTCATTACAATAGTAAGCAGTGACTTTAGTTTATTTGATGGCGAAGACAATTTAACTCAAAAAAAGAGATTCAGTTACAAAACCAAAGTCGGTTTGTAACACCATTACTGAGATTTGCTGTCAAGAAACGGAGAAGAAAGACAGAAAACAATATATAAAACAAAAAGATTTTCGTGAGACGTTTTAAATTAAAAATATATTAAAATGATTCTGTCCGGGTTCGAACCGAAGACCTTCGCCGTGTAAAGGCGACGCGATAACCAACTACGCCACAGAACCCATTCATGGTAACAAAATTTAAAGCATTAAGATAATAAAATTTAATCAGCATAAGCACGAAATCACGTGACTATTTTTTTTTCTACTTGCAATTTCATGTAAGGGTTTTACCTTGATAGATGTCATCAGTGCATATGCACTTTAAAACCAAAAGTATCATACACATTTGAATCTGATGTTACTGGTTGAGTAAAGACGATGGAACAACAGCGAGGAACCACAGCATTTGGACGATGATGCATTTAAATCACAGAGAAATTAAAGAATATAATAATATAGTGGTTCCCGCTTCTCGGATTTACTCTTACCCCATTAGATTGTGCAGAATCTAGGATAAAAATCTTGGCATGCATGCACTTTCTAGTCAAGGAGCCTATATATAAATATATATGTCGTAGCTGGATTGAAATAAGATCATCTCTGGAATTCCACTTTTATCTAGACAATTTTCATCAAATGTTCTCTTGTATTCATGTGAATGGAATTTTGCAAATAAACATTAAATCTGGCTCATGTCTCATGCTCTTTTTACGCAATGATTTTGTATTGAATGGGCCAAAAAGATAGATTGAAGTGTACATGCTATGTCATTCAAACTAGTCCTTTCTTCTGTTTGTTCTGATCTGACTTGATTCAAAAACCTATGCTATTTCATAGCAGCAGATACCCAATGTGATTGCTACCCTATTGGGTGCGTTTAAATGGAAATAATGAGATTTCTGATGCAGGATCCATTAGTCATCGTTCTTGAATTTTTCGTCCGTAATATTTCCTTATCGATCCCTTGATCTCGGGCAGCTCATTGCACGGACTTCTAGTATTATCGTCTTCTTTGTCCATCTGGAAGCACAGAGAAACTGATACTCTTGTCTCAAAAATTGACGCCATTGATAATTGAAAAGGTGAGACATCTTTCTGATCTGTCGCAATATCCAAGCAATTCATTTAGCATTAACAACAGTGGTTTCCAGAAAAATGGGTGAAAGTTGCCCCGAGCTAAATGGCTTCCTTTTCAAAACTAGCTTTTTTTTTTTTTTTTTTTTTTTTTTATACTTCACTCTTTTCATTTTTGGTCATTTCTTCCTTCTTTACTATTTTTTTTCCTTTCAGTTACATATACCATCACACCATAGACAACTGTTGAAAGGATTGAAATACAACATCATGAATCAAAAGATAACAAAGCCATTACCATACAAGCAACTAGCAGTGATTTGCATTTGTCGGTTTGCCGTAAATATTGAAAAGAAAAAGCAAGTAAATGGCATCATGTAGACTCATTCTTATGAAATTTAGGAACCCATTTGCTTTACTGTGATATTCCCTTTCATTGTACAGGTAAGGTTGCACAAACTATAAGCCTTAATAGTAGCATGCTCTAATGCCAATGTTATTGTTTGTGTGTGTGCTTATACAGATGGTCAGAGATTTCAACATTGCAGATGAGAAAGGTGTAGGATACTACGTTGGGCTTATTACATCATGCTTTGCTTTAGCTCAGTTATTGACAGGTAATAACAAACAGTAGCCTTTTGCAACCCAAAAATTAACTCATGGTATAGGTATTCATTGGGGCATGTTGTCTGATCGCATTGGCAGACGGCCAGTGATTCTGCAAGGTTTAGTGGGCACAATTACCAGTATTTTGCTTTTTGGATTGTCAAAGTCTTTTATTTGGGCCTTATTATCTCGTAGTTTGTGTGGTTTGCTCAATGGTAATATTGGGGTGTTGAAGAGCATGGTGTCTGAATTGACGATCGATCATCTGCCACATCAGAGAGCACAGGCATTCTCACTGCTTCCACTGATGTATGGTCTTGGATCCATCATCGGCCCTATGCTTGGCGGTTTCTTATCTCATCCAGTTACCAGCTATCCAAGTGTATTTGGTAATCTGGGTGCTCTGACCGATTTTCTGACAGAGTATCCCTACTTTTTACCTTGCTTTATCTCGGCATTCATCTGTATCCTTGGCTTGGTGTTTGGTATATTCCATCTGCAAGAAACGCACGTCGTCTACCATGAGAAGCACGATTCCAACGATGAAGAGGAAGCTTTATTGAGCAACCAGTCTAGCCAATCCACCGATCCTCACTACTCGACATTCCAGACAAACTCAAGCACAGGAGCCGTCAAAGTGCAACACTCACCTACACCCACATTGCATTCACCACCCACGTTGAGAGAATCTCTTACGCCCTCCGTCATGGCCATCTGCATCGCCTATGGATTCTTTGCCCTTCAAGCTGTCTTCATGGATGAATTGTTCCCTTTATACACCGCCAGTAGCAGAGAAAATGGTGGGTTGGGATTCTCTCCTAATGAAATTGGTATTGCCCTCAGTTTTGCTGGTGTGATTACTCTGGTGGGTCAATTATTCGTCTTGCCTGCTCTTACAAAAAAGTATGGACTTTTGCGTTTGTTCCAGATGGTGCTCTTTATTTGTATCTTTTTATATCTCTCACAAGGCATCATTCGTACACTCTATTATGTACCTGATTTCCACGGTGAAACCAACACTAAATTCTGGGTATGGGTGGGTTTGCTGGTCTCTCTCACCATCAAGACCATTGGTCATACCATCTGCTTTACAGGTTGTACCATTCTAGTCAATAACGCATGTCCCAGAGTGGATGCTCTCGGTGCTGTCAATGGATTTTCTCAATGTAAGTGGTTTTCACTCATTTCGTCACATGCAGATGACTGATGGATACTCTGTTTTAGGTTGTGCAAGCGCAATGCGTGCAATTGGCCCTGCTATTTGTGGCGCTGTTTGGTCACTGTAAGTACCATGGCTTTCGATGCATACAACTGTCGTTCTAATGATTGCTTTATAGCTCATTATCTTCCACTGTCATTCCTTATCAAATTCGAATCAACATTACCTTTGTGGTATTAGCAGCCATCGGCACAATCACCTTTGTTTTGAGTAAGCGATTAGATGCAAAGGATTATGAGACAGCACTTGCAAGAGAAGAAGTTGTACATATCAAACAAGACGGTCAAGCAACAGAGGAGGCTAGCAGTAGTCGCAGCCATTAGCCTCGGTGTTGGATCCAATGCAATTTTAAGAATAGAATAAAATACCATATCATTATTATCACTGTGAGCATTTTAAAGCTTGGATTGAATTTTATTTGAAATAGAAAGACCCTCTTTGATGTTGAAACAAACATGCATATAACAAGGGCAGGAATGGCGGTGGGGGGGGGGTATAAAACGTGTATATACAATGCTTGCTTTATGGTAACGTTGTTGCATCTCTCCTTCTCTCATAGCCATTCTCTTGACATGTTTGGTCGTAGATCCCCTTCATCAACAATCAAATCGTCCTCTGTCACCAACACAGATCGGTCCAGCATAGATGTCTCGCTGTTTTGGTCTATGCGATCACGAATCCAGGCATCTTCTTTGAGTTCAATATCGACTTCATCCTGACTATCGCGAATAGAATCTGCCATTTGAAAGATGTCAAATGTGTCGTTCATGCAAGGTTGATTGGGATTCGAAGCGTAACTCGTTGTGAAATTGTTTAATAAAGCGGTTTCGAGTAGTTCGTTGACAAGCTCGGATGCGTCTGTGTAGTTGAGTGCTTCATGGTATTCAATGATTGCTCGGGCTGTATTTCCTTTTAGCTGGTAAATCATGCCCACCGCTGCTCGAGCATCTGCATTCTTAGGGTTGCGCGCAAGTGCGTTTTCAAAGCAACGTAATGCTCGATCGTAATTTTGAAAACTAGTGACATGTTAGAGGAGGGCGACTTGTGCATTTGCTTGACAACGATGTCCACTTACGGAGGATGGCGATAAACATGGCCCAAGTTACACCAGATCTTTTCCCAAATTGGGCTTCGTTGGCATTGACGTTTGTTCGATAATGATAGAGCAGTGTGCAAATGCTCAAGAGCGTCTTTGTATCTAGATGACTCGTATGAGCGCATTGAAAAGAGAAAACACGCCATGGCCGCACTTACAGTCCTTGCTTGTAATAATACACAGCTATTTCGTTGAACAAGAATGGGTCGTGATTGCATTTGTGGAGACTCTTGGAAAAGTATTCAAATGCCAAATTCAGCTTGTTTTGTTCCATGTATTGCATTGCAATGTTCATGTATGGCAGGTGCGATCTATGGTCAGAGTGTGGTCAGTGCACACTTTCCTGGCCTCTTTTTCTATGCTGCTTACCCAGGAATCAGTCGACTGCAAGCCATGTACGCATCAATAGCCTGGTCATGGTCCTTTTCCAGCGAGAATGAATGGCCATAGCCCAGCCACGATTGTTGAAAGAAGCGATTGATGGTCAATGCTTGGCTAAAATACCGCCTCGCCTCCAGATTCTTCTTGATGTAAAGATAGTAGAGCCCAACAGCATGCCATGACACTGCCTCGTCATTCAATCTATCCACTAATTCTTGCGCATACTCGTACAGCTCGTTCTTCATGCCCAACTCGTACAAACATGACAGGTGAAGAGGTATCGATTCTGTAAAGAATGCGTCCTGCATCTTGATCTCTTTGCAAATCTCCAAACAATCCTCATATCGGCTTTGCGAGAAATAGCCTTCTGCTACGCTGAGCTGAACATCCACACTTTTGGCGATATTATCAGAATCAGGGTCCAATCTCTTTCCGTTCAAGATGTCCTTCTTCAGTTTGAGTCCATACAAATATCGAAAGTAGCCTGAGTCTGCTCCACAGTGTTCCTCATAGGGTAGCGTCATTACAAATTCCCATTCTAACAGTAACCATCGTCAATCATACAGCTTGTTGGGATGAGCTAAATCTAACATTACCTGCTTTTTCCTCCATCATATTGTATTTAACCAGCGCCTCCAATGCATCATAGCATTTCACATCCACTTGCAATGCTTCCTTGAAACAATCTCTTGCTCTGTCGATATCCTTGTTCAGCAAATATGCTTTTCCTCGAGCATAGCACATGGCAGATTCTAGCTTGATGCATCCTTCCATTGTGTCGTCCTGAGCCATATCTGTATGCAGGAAACTGAGTACACAATCCAACATTTTATTCACTTGAAACTGACCTTTTTTCTGTGAAAAGGGATTTTTATGGCCCAAGTAGTCTAACGCATCCGAGCCGTTTTCCAAGGCAAGCTACAGATTCAATTCAGTCAATACTAGCTGGCATACACTCGCATGCTCTTGCACACTTACCGAGCACAGAGCTGCGATATATCGACATTGGACGCTTTGATTCAAGGTTTTCTTTTTGTTCAGTATCTCAAGCGCTCTTTCGTATTGTTGTTGCTGGTAATAAGACAATGCAATGTAATAAATATCATTCATTGTATCTAGGTCTGCGTCAGCTTTCAGAGATAGTGTTCATCGTTACTGTCGCAACTCACCTGTGGAAGTCATTAGCTTCTCTCCAATGAATGAAGCAGTGCCTGGTAAAAAGTTGTTCATGGCGTCTTGTCGCAATGTTCTCAGCCGATCCTCTCGAGTATGATGCTTTCCTGTAAATGAAGATTGCTCGGGAGCAAACAGGTTTTTTGAGATGCCTGATGTGCTTAGAATATGATCTGAATCGGTGGAGCCAATGCTGATGTGATCACTGACAAGCTGCTGTGTAGCTGAGAATGTTCGCATATCATCGCTTCGGTCAAAGAATGGGCTCTCACCGAGTCCTCCTCCTACTCCTCCAGATTGTCGACTATGAAAATTGATAGGTGAGGATGATAAATCGTCAAAGTCGCTGGTCAAGGGTCTTGGTGGCGTATTGATTGAACGAGAGCTGTCATAAGAAGTGTCAGCGCGAAGTGGTGTTGTCCTCGTTCGTGGCGGTGATGTTGCGTTTCTAGGATGCATGTATATGTATATGTAGAATTTCGCGCTTAAAGTCTAGCAATGAAAAGGGAGAAGGGAAGAAAAAGAGCAAAGGACAGCTGCATTTCAGTCACATATTTAAGCAAAAAGTTTGAGTTGCAGATCAGTGGAAATGTTCCATCCAAATTAGCATGATGAGTTACATACAAACAACTTTGGGTAGCTTAGCTTACTTCAAATTAGTTTGAATCAAGTGATGCACGCAATTCTTTGTCTGCGATGGAAATAAACATTTCATTTTGTTCCTGAAATTAGCACATAGCAACACAAGTAGGCATAGAATGAGCGTGAGCTCAGAAAGGACTGACTTGATGATGATCAATAGCAGCCACTTGTATGTGACAAATTGCGGCACGCATGCCTAAATCAGCAAAATGGGTCAAGATATATCTCATTCTTTATAATACTGAACGCTGAGCGTTGTGGTGTGGAATCAATCCCTGTAACTCGATTCTGAGGTGATTGCAGTCAGGTACTGCTGTTCACGCCTTTCGCCCTAATGTGAAAACACATTTGAGACCTTGTGCACTACGAGAAAGAGCCAGAGTGTGGCTCTAGGTTAAATAGGCCTACATGTTGACTGACGATATAGCAGGACACGGTTTCTCTTTAGATCTATCTTGACTGAAGGTTTGAAATAAACAACAGAACTGTGCCTCCTTGTCATTTCGCTGTTCAATCCAAAGTGAAATAGCTATTAAACTGTGCGCAACCTCAAAGCAATGATTCTGAGAGAGGAATGATCCTCGTGTATAAGATATTTATTGTGGAATTGTGATGTAGAGAGAAGGAAAAAAAAAAGAGAGAGATATTATTTGGAAATAGATGGATCGTTATATGCAATGATGTAGAGTCAACAGCTTCCTTAATAAATATTTTATCATTTCTATGTATCTTACAAAAGCGATCTATTTACAACTTGGCTTGAGCAGGAACCTCTGTCATCAACAAATCACGCAATTCATTACAAGCATCTTCAAGACATTGCTTGAATTGATAAGTGCCTCCAATGTACTTTTTGTCATGAACCTCAAGATCCTTGACGCTAGCAACGTTGAATTGAAGAGCATTGTTCTTGATCATGTAAGCACAGCCAAAACCATCATTCACAACTTGACCCCAACCGTAACCATCGAAATGTTCAGAGGACAATTGAGAAGTAGAGAGGTACCAGTGAGAAGAGTAGGCAAAGGCAGGATCAGTGAACAATGCAGGCTTGGGTTCACCAGCCTTCAAGCTGTTCTTCAAACCAAACAAATGACGATCGACGCCATGAGCATTGACAGCAGTGGCCATGTATTGACCTTGTGATTTAAGAGCAGCACGGAAAGCAGCAATCTTTTGCTCATTGGGCAAGTTGGGATCCTCCATGGCCTTGACAAAGGCAACAGATTCATCAGAGACAGTACGGGATGTCTCGGTACGACCACGCTGGAATTTACGAGTTTGACCAGATTCATAAGTAGGGCGAGATGTACCGAACATCTTGTAATAAGCAAGTTGGATGGCCATTTGAGCGAAACCATCGGGAGAGCACTTGAACTTTTTGATCAAGTTCTTACCAAATGACTGATAGGCGAGGACAGTCATCTCATGGTTGGCAATCAATTGATCAAAGGCCTTTTCAGCACTTTGAATGGAATCCTCAATCTTCTTGTTGAGTACAAAGTTGAGTTGTTGGGGTTGAGGAATGTTGGAGCGAACACTGTTGTGACCATGCTTGATCAAGTTTCTGGCAAGACTAAGAATATAAAAAGGGTATGAAATTTTCCTTTCCTGGTGATTTTGATGAATAATGCTATATAGAAGCGTGTCCTTACCCGTCACAGACGTATTCGTTCAAACGACAAGTGGCTGTACCATCCATACAAGAATGCTATGAATTCAATTATGTCAGCACAATACATCTCCAAATCACAAGATTGCATATGACGCTTGGTCATGCTAAATTAAGCACTTACCTCTCCCATGAAACCAGCTCTACCGTTCTCAAAAATGATGAATTGAAGAGGTTTGTCGAAATAACGGTTGCGACCATCACCATGCCAGCAGGCACGACACAACTCGTCACGGGTCTTGGGTGTTAAATCATCAAGACAAACAACAAATGAAGAGGTCTCGATCTTTTCCAAAGCTTGCTTGTTGAGGGGGTTGGCAGCCAACAATGCATCACGGACCTGAATCAACCTTTAATACACACATGCCAAGCACTTTTTTGAATGCCATCAACTTACATCAGTCCAAGTGTCACGATTGTCGGCAGTCAATACACCAATAGGAAGGCCTTTGATATCACCAGCTTGATCAATGACGCTTTGGAATTGTTGTTCGAGCTCCTTGGTATTGAGTTGAACACCATTGTGGACGGTATCGACAAAGTAGAACTTGTTCTTGCGGATGGCAATGATGTGAGTGTTCTTGAAAGGATCATAAGAAGCAGCCAAATCACTGGGCTTCTTGGCAATACGGCAATTGTTGAACATGTACTTGTATGAATCCATACACAAAGGCTCTCCCTTGGCATATTCCGGCTCCAGTTTGTTCTCAACGACCAGCTTCTTGAACTCGAGAGCAGCAGTGGTGATGGCAGCAGCACGTTGAGCAGGGATCTTGCGGAATTTGTCATCCTTGTAAGCAAAGAAGTAAGATACATAGACGACGACAGGATCACGGTAACCCATATAAGCTTGATCGTTCCACCATTCTTCCATCCAGTTGACAATTTCAGGGTTTTGAGCACGAGCAACAAGACGCTTTTGCAGTTCTTGGCCTAATCCACCGGGAGCCTCGAACTCCTTGACAGCTTGCTCAGTACGCTTGTATTCTTCTTCGCTCAAAAGGGGATGGACAGACTTGAGGTACTTTTGAAGTGTCTCACTGAGAGCAGGAACAGGAAGCTTGGGGAGGTTCTTTTGGTAACGCAACATAGGGCCAGCAGCGTTAGCGTCAACAGGAGTTTTAGGGTTCTGCTCGAGATATCTGTTAGTCATCTATTGCTTTCAGTGATGAAGAACTCCCCCTACTTACAGGTGCCATGTTTGATTGTGATGTCTCTTGCTTTTACAAAAAAGAAAAAAGTTGGGTAGAAAAGAAGAAGAGGAATAAATTATAGTCTCCTTAAAAACTAGTCCTGTTATAATGCTATTTTTGCGGGGTAAATCCCAACTGTCAGCATAAATCAATTGGTTATCTTTGCGTCTTGCCAGGGCAACAACGTTTTGCGTAACCTTATTAATCTGCTTTAGTCATAATTTAAGAGTTTTTTTTTTCTCGCAAGGCCAAAATGAAAATATAAATCAAAAGCAAGATTTGTTGCTTTCACAAAAAGTAAATGTTTGCTATTCTCTCTCTCTCTCTCTTTTTTTTTTTACTCCCTCTTTTAGGCGATTCATAAAAGTTTGTCGTGTGAATTAGGAGCTCGAATGTATGGCATGAAACGTCATGTACCTTTGTCTTTTTTCGTGCAAAAAAAAAACATTGTATCGGATAGCATCATTTCATATATGCTTACACACAACAAATAAACATTACGCTGAGTGCCCTGTTTGCCTCAAATGTGGATGATCCCCATACATTGGAAGCTGAATTTACATCAACAACTTCAATTTCCCACGGGCGGCATATTTACGATTTGTAATGTAGAACTGTTACGCTCCTTGGACATGGATAAAAGATGAAGAGTTGTATAGTGCTGTTGCTGTAGATCACATTGCACTTACTGTTTCTGCGCATTGCACCCGCTATTTGAGCGTTGGGAAATCGTAAACTATTTTCCATCTCATTTCTGCCATTCCGATGTGTTTCCTGCCAATAACTGGCATGCGATGAATTTCTGTGCCACTGTATTCATGCATTCTCGGGTCCCGCAGGGTTCTACATGGATTTTACAGTCTGTGCAAGCCCTGGAGGAATCAAGAAGATATAACTTGGTCAACGTTTTGACACAATTTCACTTTAGAGGAAGGGTGGAAAGCATGTTGTCTGTATGATGATCTCGTTTTGACATAGAATTTAATGTTAAATTGCTTCTTTAATTTTATTTGACATTACACTAAGCGAGCTTTGCTCACAAATGAGACATCAGTAAGCAACAATCAATTGGCAGTTTAGCATATCTACTTTGAGCACATTTGATTCTTCTTTAGCCATATACAACAGACACTTGATTCTCATTACGAAAATATCAAACAACAAAGATGAGGTTTAACTTTGCATAATTGACAGCAGGCTTCTTTTCAGGATTGACAAGGTCTGAGACCATTGTAATAGCTAAACAGCTGGCAGCAAGCATAAAGTATTATAAATAGGAAGATCTGCTGCGAGATATTGAGGGAGATGGGCACTTACTTTATTGTGAATCAATCAGTATTCATTTTAGATTTAATAATAAAACATCGTCTTACACTGCTTTTAGCCTTGCTGCTACGTTCGCATTGTATGTTATATATGTGAAGAGGTTAAAATCAGTTATCATAGTTGTTTAATTGCTTTTATTGCTGTATCAGATAACATTGCCATTAATAATGGCTGACAGTACCCTGTATACACCTTCCTTTAAAGGCCAAACAAAAGGGTTACTCCTAAGTTCAGCTTGTCTGACGTTGAGGTATATGATGCAAAAAAAAAAAAAAAAGTAAAAACTTGATTGTTTGCCGTATACAAAGGTGGACTTCAGATACGCTAGTACTATAAGATTCATACTATATAAGATATAGGCTATAGATGGCACCACGGACATGGATAGCGCTATTATAGACTTATACTTGTATTCCGACATTGACTACGGATGTTGTTTACCATATCTGGATAGGCACCAAGATTAATGCAATATGAGCTTGTTCCTTCAGATGTGCACTTCATGATCCACGCTATAAGACACATGCTTATATCCGTGATACTAGCTACAGATACTTTATGTACTACAGACTTGTACTATATATGAGATATGATGCTATAGACATGCATACGATATGCTATATATAGACATGCCATATATCCAGATACATGCTACTAGATCGATATTAATTATCCTTGCAGTGAAATCAGGTTTGAATAGATTTCACAAAAAAAAATAAAGCAATAGTAAAATACAATAGAAATCAACTGTATTTTATTTTGTGTATAAAATGAACTGAAGATCCTGGAATTGAGTAAAAAAAAAGAAAAGTATTTATACGTTTGCAACTAGCTTGTAGGATTAGTGATGATAGAGAGCAATAGGTGCTGCTATTGCGATATCTGGCAAATGTTGTTGATGTTTGATTTAAAGTGGTAATCAATGCAAGAGCACTGGTGGCCATAAGGGGTCGATTTGGGTAACCTTGATGGGCTTGAGTGAGCTATCGTCATAGCATGATTTAATATAACTTTGATGGTTAAAAGTGTGATGTTTGTTATTGAAGTCTGGAACCCTTTATCTGGGATATTGTGCAACTATGGCAGCAGGGCATAGTTGTCATATTTGAATATGCTTGTTATTGATTTGATTCTATTTGGATAAAGATACCATCACTTATTACGACCATCATGGGTGTGATTGAATACACTGTGATCAGGAGTGATTCATTCACACGATGTGCGAGATAAGCGTGCATCTTTACTTTAGTATGTTTAAATGGTTGTTGATGTACATTTGAGCGCTTTATTAATAGATTCAAATAGCATGAATTTGAATGAGTGCTATTTGATGAACTTTGGTTTTCGATTAAGTTGCGTTTGGATGGCTATTTCATTACAATCCTTATAGAAAGGATAGATCAGGGTACTTTGGATGATGCGAGTCTAACTATTCATCCAGGCAAAGCTAAATCATGATTGGCTTGCTGGAGTTGACTTTTAGCATGATTAGACATTAGTTGATCTGAGTTGACTTATTTGTCAATCTAATTAACAGAACTTTTATCCATTGTTATAGTAGTATATTATAAGAAGGATCATCTACCTGGCCAGTAGAGAGATTTCAGCTTACTTTACACCTGTCAGTTTGATAATAAAACATTCCTTTATCAAGTTGACTTTACTGTTTTTTTTTATTCTTTTTTTTCCGTGAATTTTAGTCTATCAAGCCTCAAATTCCACAGGCCGAATCAATTTTTTATAAATTTATTTTTCGAGTTTTAAATATCCTCTGCTTGTAGCTCATAAAATATACATCTTGAGCAAATTTATGGAGGGATTGTACATCTGGTGCTTTTAACCCTCACATTATAATAGATATAAAATAAGCCTATCGAATGGTCTTTGTTTTGTGCGGATCTGATGAGTATTTGTCGAAATATGGTAAAAAAAAAAGGGTATCATGCAAAATCATGGATTTTTCTTCAAAATCTACGTGTGATAGCAAACGAAAAAATTGGGTGACCTCCTTTTGATCAGGACAATATTATCAATATTTCATGATAGAATTATGCCAGAGCTTCATGCGATAGCTCATTCGATAGGAAATTTTTTGGTCTACAATGTTTAGTAATGCTTAACAAAATGTTTTGATGACAGATAGTGATTAATCTTTTGAAAACAATCAGAAAATTCCAAAAGCTATCCCACCGAATATCAGGTGAACAATACGCATCAGACACCTGATATAGATACCATTGTATTCTTCTTTAGATTCTCTACAAGTTTCATATAAGTTTGAAGGGGTGTTTACTATCAAGAAACGCGTAATCTTAAGGTCGATAGATTTCGGAACCTCATGGATCCTCATTCAGAACAATAGAAATTGAAGCTCCGTTTAGCTTTTACTGCATGTATACACCGCATAAGCATGCATTTGACCAAGCATTTTAAAAATCGGAGCGGACGAAAAGGACCATAGTATTAACTTGGTATTTTCAAATTATCTATGGATACTTGACATGTTGGAGAACCTTGCGTTTAAGATTAGACAGCTGCAGCTTGTTTTGTTTGATAATAACAAGATTTGCAATTTAAGGTATGCATATTCTTCTGTTTTCGTTCATTATCTGTAGCCCATTTTTTTTTTGATTGGGTAGAGTGTTGTGTCTACTTTTGGATTAAATGCCTGCTATTCACATGGTACTTTATTGGTAACCATGTCTGGTATACCTATGGTATGAAAGCTAGCCATTTACACATGCGTAAAGGATTATTATTCTCTTTTTTTTATTACTCTTGTTTATATACAATCGGCGTTTCATATTCATCGTTATCTTTTGCTATGTACCTTTTGCAGAAGAAACTCGCCTTATCGTTACCAGCATTTATTTCTTAGAAACTTTACTTGCTAGATAGAAAGCTTTAGGTACTGAATCAATTGCAAATGCTGAAAATTGCTGGCTTCAGAAAACCGATCATTTGGATCAAGAATTTCATGCAAATAAAAAAGGTACATTTTGATTGGCTGCTATTAATGATCAATTCAGGTACACTGATTTAATTAATTTACAAAATCGCAACGACTGCAAGAGATGGCAAGCAAACAGAGACAATCGTACAATACTGGGTAAAGAACTGATGTACAAGGAAAAAACAAACCATCACACTACTGCTTCGAAGGCTGATGCTTAAATACTAATTTGGCTAAATGGTTCAGTAGTAAGGTTGTTTGCGTAACAAATCAACAACAATGAAACATCCTGTCGGTCAGATGCACCATTCGACTGTTGAAGCGGTTGAATTTTTTCTTTTTCAAAAATCAGAGATCAAGTATATGCGTCTATGATGATTTTTAAGGTTGGTAAATAAATGAGATGTAAGAACAACGTTTTCTTGTGACATGTGGCAAATATTTGGCTTGTAACATATTACACAAAACTCCAACGAATCTTTGCGTGTTACGTACATCTTTTTGACTGACATCTTCCGCTTTCAACGCTTTACACAATGTAAATGTTTACTGCATCTCTATGCTTGTATGTAAGCAAGACAGCTAAAATGCCATTTCCAGTCAAGATAAACAATGTGCTAGGTTGTGCGATTATACAGTCGATGCACACACAACTCCTTTTTCCTGAACAAACTTGCCAGTTACCTGACTGTGCTTCGCTTGCCGTTACATAGTAATACCCAAATGAGAATAATAAGAGGTTGTTTAATGACATGTTGGAATGACCAGACATGTATCTATGGTGGCAAACACAGATGTAGTGAAAGAGAAAAGGAAGCACCTTGATAATTAAACATCAACAATGTCCAACATTTGAAGTGATGATAAACCTTTGAAATGCATAGCATGTGTATATATATATATATATAAATTTTAATAAGGAAAGGAGGCCCGAGTAGCAGGGGGTCAAACTAAAGCTGGGGGAGGTAGCAATTTATGTGTAGCGATGGAGAGGACGAGGAGAAACATGATGAAGTGAGGAGTGTAATAGATGGAACAATGATAATCTAAAATATATATATCGTAATCTTGATTGATTTAATGTGGTTCTCACTTCATGGCAAGTGTTTGTAGGTTATATAGATAGCGTGTAGTTGTAACAATGAGTCGTAAAGACAAAGTTATGATATAGGTGTTGTGTGATAGTATAATATATATTAAGGTTTATGTGGCCATGATAGAGCCGCCTTAAACAAGAATCCGCTGGTTGATATCATTACGCTGTTGTCGTTGTTGAGGTGGTGGAACGATAGGGCCACCAATCACGTCTTCCGTCCTGCGGCAATTCCTCAAACTCATAAGGGGGATATATCATATTTGTATTGCTATTACTATTGGCATAGGTTGTTAAAGATGCTGCTGGTTGATGATTGTGCTGAGATTGCGATTGGTGATAGTATGGCTGTTGTTGCTGTGGCCGCTGCTGCTGCTGCTGCTGCTGCTGCTGCTGATACTGTACAAAAGAGGGTCGATGATGAGAGTAAGATGGATATTGATGTTCACTGACGGCAGATGGAGAAGTTGCTACATCATCATTTCTGGGAGAACTCGCTTCACCGTCTTCGGCAGAATCTGTCGTGCTTCTTGATTCATAATCAGAGTACACTAGATTGGGTGTATTACTGCCATTGTATGGTTGCCTTGCGAGTGTGAGATCACGATCGGCTTCTTCATTCGTGGCACCACCTACAAACGAGCGTAATCAGACGTCGTTAAGGAAACAATGGTAGAAACGATATAAAAATCATGGTTAGATGTATATATATATATATGTGTGAAAAAAAGGATATCAATTGTGTAGAGTCTTTCAGGCGGAACCCAGTATTCGTCACATTCTTGACCAGCATCCGTACGTTGAGTTTTTACTGTGATATGTACATGCATAAATATAACCAAATGTTAGTAGACTGTATGTGTGGTTACTATTTTGAACAGTTTGTTTACATTGTACGTTCAATTGTCCTAATTCCTGTTCAAGTCTTGTGATCTTGTTTTGCACATTTTGAACAAGATCTGAGCGTACCTTTTTCCTAGCAAACTACATCAATGTGTGTGTATATTAGCTACCATTTCTAGATACAAAAGTGTGCAACGTTGTACTATGAGAGAAAGGGTTTTCCTCTCCCATTTGAAAGAGGGGTGGTGCGGGGGAGGAGGAGGAGGAGGGGGGGGGGAGAAATTTCATTACAAAGTGATGTGTAAATCATCTCACTTGGCCTTTCGAAAAGGGAAACAGATATACTTACATAGAAATCATTCCAAGCTTGCTTTTTCTGAGCAGCGAACCAATCATGGATGGATTGACGTTCAAGCCTTTGCCAGTTCTCTATTTTTTGTAGACGTTCAAGCTTTGATTGATCGAGCTCTTTCATCAGGCTGGTGTACTCGGGATGCTGGGTAGCATCGATTTTACCTAGAGACAATGATTCATTGTCCTTGTCTGCTTGTTGACTAATTGAGCAAAGTAAATTAGACAATCCACATGTAATACAACATATCAAACGTTACATTTCATCGTCTAGGCCATTGTCATGATGCTGTTCTTCCTTTTGTTGTTTTTTCGATCGCATGTCATGATCCACATCCTTCTTACCAGGCTTTTGCTTCTTTTTCTTTATAGCAGAAGACTTTGTCTTTTGCAGCATGTTATCATTGGAGGCTGTGGCAGCCTTTTTAATGGAGGATCTGCTACTACGAGTAACTGAGGAGGTCATTTTTCTGTGTTGCAGTGATGTGAAAAGAAAAAAGAAATAGGGGGAGCGACGGAAGTGTGAATTATGTGTGTTTGTGTGAATGCAGTATAAGAATTCAGTACTTCAGTACGTTTTGATTTTGCAAGAAAAGAAAAGCAAAAGGGGAAGGAAAAGATGCAATAGCCACACTGATTCTAACTTTAAATAGCGTTGGGTTAGAAATGGTCGTTTGTTGATGATGTGTCACAGGCCAGCAGAAAGTCAACCACAACAACACTGCTCTCCTCGTCCTCTTCTTGCGCTCCTTCCCGAACAGGCTTCCGTGTTGACGACAGGCTAATGTTTGATGTCACAGTCATTCAGCATGCATCATGGCGAGAGTCTATAGCTGTAGTCGTTGCTGTTCAATATCGATGAATGAGCAGTGCATATAGTAGTTTAAGGAACATGAGTCGTCTGTTTTTTTTTTTTTTTTTTTTTTTTTTATTTTTTTTACCAAGTTGAAATTGATATTTTGCTCATGGATGATGGTTGAATATTGATCAAATGCCTAGTTGAGCAAGTGATGATTCATTCGAGAGACATGCCATCACTTTCGGCTAATTTTTCATGTCCAATCATTGGTATTTACGGTAGTCAATTGATACTATGCAAATCCATAAGATCATCCTTCGTTTATCATTCATGATTCCCTTTTTGCCTTGATACACACATATGTGTGTATCACCCCCATTTTTGAAGGACAACGAGTCACTGGACAACCAAAAAGTTTGATCCGGCTCAATTAAACTCATCAAATGTCAGGCCAACATCTAACCTGCGCACCCCAGTTTTCAGTGCATGGCATTTCAAATTTCTTGTCCCTGGTTTTCTTTTCATCCTCTTTCTTTCTTTCTCTCTCTTTCTCAAATGTCTTTAGCAAGATCCTTATTACGTCCCATTGGCAGATGCGTTACTCCTCGCCGTTCATTCCATTCGACTGCAGTATTCCGAGCCACAGCTGAGCAACAAGAGGAAGCAGCTACACAACGTAAGTGGCTGAATTGACACAATTTGACATCAAAACCCCACCCCCTGCTGGGACTCACCTATTAACATGTTGTGTCTGATTGTTAGGCGCTGAACGTACCATGACACGTTTTTGGAAACGTGCTGGTATCAAAGAGGATAAGGGTAAATGATGCATCATTCATTGAATTTTGAAACAATCTAATATTTCCTGTTTAGACAATGTAACTGTTGTTCTCGATCAACGTAACTTGAGAACACCCAGTAAACACATTGTGCAGTTTCCTAAAAAGCAAAGAGAACTCGCCTTATTGACAGCTGCTGAATGGGATGCTCAAACAAAGAATTTGAAGGCTCATACATTACCTCTGGTACGGACTCATTTTTATGCATACATGTCGATAGACATCCATCTCACTGTGTATGCTGTAGACTTCCATTGTTGCCCGTGCTATCGACGCATTTGATCCTGTACACGCTGAAGATCCTACTGTCAGAACAGCTGTTATCGACAAACTCATGCTCTACTTTGATACCGACGCCATTTGTTATCATGAAGAATTTCCAGAGATTTTAACCCAACTCCAAGACTCATACTGGAAGCCCATTATCCATTGGGCCGAGAGCACCTACAATGTCAAAATCAACACAACCACAGACATCTTTGCTGTTACTCAACCTGACGAAACCAAAGCTAAATTCAGAGCCATTATCGATCAAATGGGCCCATTGGAATTAGCAGCCTTCGAGAAGGCTGTCATGAGCTCAAAGAGTTTCTTGATTGGATTTGCGCTTGTGCATAAGGGCATCACTGTCGAGCATGCCGCACAAGCTGCTCATGTCGAAATGAATGCTCAAATGGATAGATGGGGAGAAGTCGAAGACAGTAAGTTGAGCTTGCCCTGGCTGAATGATGGTTCTGTGATATTCATGTGAGCTTTATAGGTCATGATGTTGAGCGTGAATACATTAGACAAACACTTGGCTCTGTAGCGATTACATTGATGGACAAACATCAAGGTTAACCTGTCATTTTACCCGTGGATACGTCAAAAACTTGTAATATAGTAATAAATTTCATCATCTCTGAGTAGAAAGAGTCGTGCTTTTTGATCCAACATGTGCTATTTGGCATACTTCAGCAAGCATTGGACCTGCTTTCAACAAGAGCTATCAAACCGAAACCCTAGTATGATGGAATGAAAGCCTTTTTTTTTTTTTTTTTTTTTTTTTTTTTTTTTTTTTTTTTTTTTTTTATTGCATAGCCATCAAACAAGGACGATTAGAAAAGGGATGGCTTATGGTTTACACACAAGAGCCTCATAATATCAGACATAGTAACTACCCCAATGACATTCTTTGATTCATTGGAATCCAGAATCCAAACACGATGCGTATCTTCTCTCAACATAATAGCAAAAACGTCTTTTAGAGTAGCATCAGGAGTTGCAGTGCTAGGAGTCAAGTAATCAGACGTATACTATAGTCAACATGTTCAGTACAAACAAGCCATAGACAGCTCACTCTATTACCTTGATGTATTCCTTGCAAGTCAAGGTCAACTGATCAATGTGCTCCAAATTAGCACTAGGTAAATCTTCGACACATAAATCGCCCTCAAATTTGCCATGCCTAATCAAATATGCCATGAATACTAGCTTGCATGCCAAATCGCCTGTATAAAAACTCACACATCAATCACAGGAACACCACTTAAATTCTTTTCAGCCATCATGCGATAGACCTGTATAGCTGTTTCCGTGTCGGCAGCCATAACCACCTTTTGCTTTTGAATAAGGTTCAAATCCTGTACACGACCGTCTAAATCAAGTAAGCCGGCAACGGAATCTGGATGGTTGATAATATGTCGGATGATGTCCGTCTGAGACAAAATCCAAGGCTTCTTCAGTTCATCGTCAAATTGAACAACCAAAGCCCGGTGCTTTCCATTAGAGAAAGCGCGTAATGTCTGTCCACAGTGATGGTGAGTCTACGGTAGTTGCCATGCCAATGGGAAACGCTTACCTCAATCAGCTTATCTTTGCGATCCACTTTGTGGATGCGATAGCTTTCTCTGTCGGTATCCAATCCCAACACATTTTCAACAGGGTCATCCAGCCTCAACTTTTCCTTCTCGATAGTAGCAGTGCTTTCACCAACCAAATAGAGCAAAATGTCAAAGAGATTGACAATACTGACCACCTCGGTATTGTTGTGAGAAAAGACAGGCAAGGATGTGATCTTGTTGTGCTGCATTTTAGAGAGTGCCGTTTGAATGGAAACAGTAGGACTGACCGCGATCAACGCAGGCTTGGATTCGGCAAGACTCAAATCAATGGGCCTGAGATCTGTGATAATACATGAAGACATTGATGGTATAATAATAATAATAATAAGTTATCAACTAAAAGAAAGAACGAAAATACCGTTTCTCTCTTTCTTGTCTTTCATTTTATTTAGTCACACGCATGAATGCATGAATTCAGCCGCCATAACAATAGTGACTCAGAAGCCTTTTACTTCAACGCCGAGGATGGGAAACCGGCATGCTGTATGGTATGGTGTGTATAGTAGCTGAGTGATGATACCAACATCATACTGAATCCATCGACATTTGCATATGGCACAAACATCTTGTCGTGTGCATTTAGGATCTAAACCGGGCATGTTTATTTGTATCTAAATATGCATCCATCGTGCCATTTATTTCTTCTAGATAGAGAGCTGTTCAGTGTAGCTTGACCAGCAGGAACAACAGCACTTGTGTACAGTAAAGTCTTAGAATGTGTGTATATTCTAAAACAAAGAATGAGAAGAAGAATAAAGCGGAGCCATAGTCATCCAGGACACAACGTAATGCTCATCTATTTATAAACCATTTGATCAAACCTTCAAGCCAGTGCTCCAGCTTTTAAATTGACATTTGCTCAAGACAGCACAGCCATTCAGATGATAAGCAATCTCTCTCAGAATGCGATCAAGTATGCGATAATGTGGGGTGGCTGTATAGTGTACTATGGTAAGGGAACAGGCCCTCGCATGCCTCTCAGGGGTAGATGGTATGACAAAATTTCATCATTTGAACGCACGGAACTTGCATGTTCATCTGTTACATCACTCTCACCATGATAGAAGCCAGTTCCTGTAGTGCGAAAGACAAGTAGCCAAGCAGCGAGCTTCAGGAAGTGAGAATGATTCGAGATACTACACAGGATTTTTACCTTGAATAGCCTCTACTCCTACATTGGGTGGTTATGCCAATGCATTGCATGTGCAATCGCCAGCCAATATTTTCACTAGTGCACTATCCGTAGCATCGTTCCAAGATGTTGTTGTGTGATTCTGTATTTGGCTCTTCCAACTCTATCTACCCCGTCTTTTCTCATCAGGAACACCATGCATCTTTAGTACAGTTTGACAAATCAACCCTCTTCTTAAACTATAAGTTTGCACTCCATGCATTTTATTGGCTGTGGATGTATAATCAATTCTACTGGATAGGAAACACTAATCCCCATTAGTCGGTCCTCCCCCATTGTTTGAGTCGATTTCATGTTCAACATTTGATTCTTATGAATGATTAATAGTTACTGCCCCTCTTATTGTTCGGATAAAGTCGTGATATCAAATAGAATACACTGTTGTTCTTACCAATCACCGTGCCAAATCAAGGTAGTATGATTGTTAAACCGGCACTTTTTTGTTGTGTTTGATGTCTGCCTCAAATTAAGAAACCTTGTTAAGAAAAAAATTTGAAAAAGCGTTTTATATCTCTTCTAAACATTTCCTTTGCTTCTTCTTCCTCTTCCTCTTCCTTCTTTCTTTCTTCTCAATAGCTTCCATATTTCTAATAGACAAGCTACTTTGCTAGACATTGGAAATCACTTTTTTCGTCTCTCTCTCTCTCTCTCTATATACATATACCTTACACAAAGTAGACCAGAAAAAAAAAAAAAAAAAAAAAAAAAAACATGGAAAATTTATTGACTATCCAGCCCCAAGCTGTGCTTCGACATGATGAGGGCATGGATCTCGAAGAGTTCTTTAGAGACAACTTGGAGCCATTGATGAAAAAGTTCAAATATAGACTCTCACAGTTTGAAAGTGCAGTTGTCAGCAGTGAATCAATTCAAAATTACACAGTGTCAAAAGTCAACAAAGCCTATCTTTTGCTCGAAAGTCTCGGCCAAGAATGGGACGAACGTCGACAAAAGGCCTTGGAAGCCAGAAGAAGAATATTGCAAGAGCTTGATGTCAAGAAATGCGGCGACGATGATAAATCCACCTACTACATGATGACACCGCCTGATCTTTTGAGTGCCATGATGGAGCTCTCCAAGAAATACCATGAGCTGGAAATGGACAGCAACGGTGAAATGATCGATAACACAATTGATGCGTTTATGCTCAAAATGGAAGAATTAGACGGCAAAATATCAGACGCTCTCGGCCGTGCTGATAAAATGCGTGAGCGAGTAGAAGAGAAATTGATGGTGGTGGCAGGTGTCGCTAATGATCACATTGACAAGCTGAAATATGCCATGTCTTTTGGCTCGAATCGCTTGCTCATGTACGATGAACTTCCAGGCCCTTGGCAAAGCAATGAGGTATATGGTATATTACAGCTAATGTAATACTAAATTAAACCTTATGTTCCAAGTGTATAGCTAACACACACCATCTCTTTAGTATATCCGAACTGGATACCGCTTTTTAGATTCAGCGGCTGATTGCTGGTACTCTCTCTTCTATGTTCACAACGAAACAGGCAACATTTGGACACATCTCTTGGGCTTCGTGGCTCTATTCAGCGTGGGCGTCTATGAGCTCTTCTTTTCCGAGCTCATGACGAGTATTCCTGTCCAGGATAGATTGATCTTTTTGGTCTTTTTCTTGGCTGCTTGTAAATGTTTAATGTGTTCTACTGTGTGGCACACTTTATCCGGCATCAATAATCTAAAAGTCTACCGTCAAGTCGCTTGTCTAGACTATGTGGGCATCTCTGTACTCATTTGCGCAAGTATCATGCTCTGTGAATACTATGGTTTCTATTGCAATGATGCCGTTCGCAACACGTATATGACTGCAACCACTTCATTGGCCGTCATTGGTGTCAGCATGCCATTCCAAGCTTGGTTCGATAAGCATGAGCGTAGATGGCTTCGCATTGCCTTTTTCATTGCATTAGCCTCATCAGGTGCTATTGTCATTGGCCATCTTGCTGTCATGCGTGGTGCAATTGAAACGTTTACTTGGTTGGCGCCCGTTTTCAAATCGATTGCCTGCTATCTTGCAGGTGTCATTCTTTATGGAAATCAGTTTCCAGAGAGATTTTGGCCAGGCAAATTCGATCATTTCGGCCACTCTCATCAATTCTGGCATCTCTTTGTCTGTGGTGGCATTTGGTTCCATTATCAAGCAGCGCTTCAATTTGCATCCAACCGTGAAATCTTTGGTCAATGCCTACTCATTTAACTTATTTTCTAATAATAATATAGCCATGATATCCCTTGTGTCCTAATACAACATAAACACTCTTCTTGCATGTAACACTACTTGTTTTATTTCAGTCTATTTTTTTTTTTTTTTTTTACACACATCAGATCAAAGATATTCTCGTGCGAACTAGACCGCCTCTAAAGTTTTTCATGGGTTGAGGTACTTGCTGTAGTCTTCTAAATGCTTCGTGAATGTGTTCTGCTAGTAAAGGCGTTTGCTCTGTGCTTGGTAAAGAGAACAATCCGTTACAGAATGAGTCTGGTGATCCAGGTGTTTCAACCTTGTCCTCCTCATCTGAATGACTGTCATCTTGTTGAGGTGTTGAGACGGTACCGTCAGCTGCTGTTGCAATGATGGCTGCCGTCGCTGCTGCTGGTGTCGATGATGCTTCCATTGCGTTGTTTGTTTCCTCCTCTTCTCGCTTTCGTTTCAGTTGTGAGCTACCCAGAGACACTGGCTCACCTTCCTTTTTGCCAGCCGCTTCCATCAAATCACGCTTGATGCTAATGGCTGTCATTGTCAATTTCGACACCATTTCATATGTCAAAAAACCCAAACTGTCCACAATATCGTCGTTAGGCTTGACTTCGACAAACGAACTCATGTTGGCCCACTCTCGAAATCGCTTTCCTTTGCGATAGGTAAACGATGCCTGTCTACACTCGGAATAATGAACATACTCTTCGCGTGTCATGGCTCTTGTGATATCATCCGCATCTTTCAGTCGCTGTATAGAATCGTTGTAAGCTTCCAGCTCATCTTCGTCCTCTGATTCATCGTCTCCTCCATTGATGGATTTTGTAATGACATCTGAAAATTGATTGACCAGCTCCCAAGGTAGCTTGATGATGCTGCGATGAATCTTTCCAGTGTTGGTTTCCTCCACTACGTCTTCCACTTGATCTCCAGACGCATCTTTGGCATTCTTGCGTACATCTTTCCAACTCAAAAAGGACCGCAATCTATTCACCTTGGCACGGTCATGTCGCATTAGAAAGATCAAGTCTTCAGCACTGAGGTAGCGTGAGTTTCGTCTACTTGCTTGGGCTGCTGCCTGGATAATCTGTGGACCGTTCGAGTGTGAGTGAGCGTCGCTGATGTATATAAGAGATGATACGTACAATTTCTATCACTTGGGATCGAACAATGTCCTCCACTAGAAGTGTTGCTTCCTGTAGAGGATCAGCTACCTCTCCAAACACAAACATCATTTGCTGAATTTCGCTTTGGAAACGATATTTTGACTCATTGGTCCTGTGAATACACTTGTTTGCAACCATTCATTACAATGTACTTACTTTTTTGGCTTCAGTCATTGTAAAGGAGCGTTATGTATAAAAGTTATGTACAGTTGTGAAAGAAAAAAAAATGTTTATTGGCCTCTCTGCAAGCCTATACTATTTTCATCAGCCAGAACTGGACAGCCAATCAATCTATGGCAAACTTGAAGTCATTTTTTTGTACAGGTACAGTTTGACAGTGCCATATCAATCAGTGAGAGAAAGAGAGCTTAGATTTAACGCATCCTTTATTTAATTATTTATGTGGAAGAGGGAGCGGCAGTTGGAGCAGGCACAACGGGGTTAGATGAAGGGTCGGTAGGTGTAGTAGGTTGTTGTTGTTGTTGAGGGGCAGCAGCAGGAGGTGGCGGATTCAGTTTGGATTCAATCTTATCTACAATAGCAGCTGCCTCCACTTTGCCAAATTCAGTGTCAATGGTAGCATACTGATCTAATGGCGTATCCTTCTTTTCGAGGTTATCATTCCTTCTCTCCATCGTTTGCTGCACCACTCTCCAAGCACCACGAGTCAAATGATTTGCCTTTTGTTCAATCTCACTGACCAGATCTACATCGTCATCCTCGTCTAAAAAGTCCCATATACTCTTCATATAAGCTTCACCACGATCATCACCGTACAAGGGATAAATATAAGAGGCATCCAATGCTGTGTAAAAGGCACCTGGCGGCTGGCCGCCCAATGTAGTGAATGGTCCGTAATCACAGAAATGAGCTGAATGCACCAAATGCTTGTTGTGAAAAAAGTCGTCTGTGGAATGTCGGTTCAAGAAAAAAGCAGATGGTAAAGCTGCAGGATTGGCAATGGTGAGCTGAGGCGGGTCAGCGAATGGATGCTCCTTGGGCAGTAATGTATCCAGATCAGACACTATATAAGCGAGTCAATAAAGCATGAACCATATCAAGTGCCTCTGCACATTACCTCCTCCCACAGTGTGCAATGAACCATCAGGGCCGTATAAAACACCCGTGTCTGCCACCTTCTTCTTCTTCTTTTTATAAGGCGATGTCAATGAACGTATAGGTGTCATGGCGCGGGAGCTAGCAATATCCACACTAGTTTCCCTTGTATGTATTTCTGACCCTTGTCTGCTCTGTTTTCTCAGTGCCGGTATGCTACTATCAATGCCCATGATATCCACATCCTCTTCCTTGACGCCAAATGACTCTTTACGTTTTGAAAATGAGATGGACATTTTTCTACTGCTGCCAGTGTCCTCACTTGCTGCTGCTGCTGCTGCCGGAGATGCTTTGACAGCGGTTGCATTGGCTTTGGCGATAGCAGTGGCCTCTGCAGCAAGCGCAGCTTGATTTAACTTTTCTTCTTCAATCTGTTTTGCTGCACGATCAATTAGTTTCATACCGAAATCATGTAGCTTGTCTGCACTCTTCCAGTAGATGGTTTCTCGCGAATTGTAGATTTTTGCGTTGGAGATGATCAACTCAAAATCATGACGAAAATCCTCTCCAGTCTGGTATTTCCCTGCTTCAATGTTTTTGCGCATCGTGGAGAAATCCATAGGCACTTTGATCACCTTTAGATAATCGGGTACCAGCTTTGGGTCCACAGGTTCCAAAAAGAAGCCATACGCGTCTCGTCTGAAAAAAAAAAAAAAAAAAAAAAAATATCAATCGAGTGAGTTGGCTTGATACAAACTGTCAAATTGTTTTCCTACTTTTGAATGTTGTCTAGTAACTTGGTGAGAATGGATTTCGTGTCTTTCTTGGGTACTTCAGGCACTTTGGGAGGCATGGCGGCGATGATGGCTGCAGCTTTCGCTTTGTTTGTAGGGCGACCTCTCTTTTTAGGCTTCTCTCCACTAGCAGCAGCAGTAGCAGCAGCACCTGCATTGGGCTTCATGGAAGAAGAACGTCTACCCTTCTTGTGAGAGATGGTGGTGGGGTGAGAAGGTGTAGCACTTGCCACTGACTCCAAGGGTGTAGGAGAGGCATCGTATCGATTGCGATCGCTGCTGCCTAATCTTGGCTTCTCTGTATCTGTTGGATGATAGCTCTCTGTATCGGAATCTTCCTCAGGATGTTGATAATAATCTTGATCGTTCGGTTGCTGGTCGTGTTGTAATGAGGCAAAGGGTCGTTTACCACCCACATAGACGTGCTCTTCAGGTTGTTCGGCATATTCTTCTCCATCAGAGTCATCTGCTGCTGCTTGTTTGGATCGCTTATGCTTCTTTTTATGCTTCTTTTTATGCTTCTTCTTCTTGTCTGTTGTTGTTGTTGTTGTTGTTGCTGTTGCTGTGCTAGCAGATGGTAAAGGGTTCAGTTTTAGTTTCAATTTGATAGTAGGTGTGGCCTTGGCTGATGGCTTCTCTACTTCGTCCTCTTCGGAATAGTTGATTGGAGAAAGTTCTGGGGAATACGACATTTTCGGTTTTCTTTTGTTTAATAATCCTCGTCGCTCCTTCACGCCAATTTTTTTTTTTTTTTACTAGAGAAAATCCTTTCGTCTTTTCAATAATAGAGCAAGATTATAAGGAAAAAATTCTCTCTGCTCGCCAACCAACCAAAAGAAAACTTGCACAGAGTCCAAGTGATGTCACAGCGCGGTGCTTTTTTTTTTTTTTTTTTTTTTTTTATCTTTCCAACACTGTCTCATTTTTTTCGCAACGTTCCATTTATAAAACTGATGTTTTGGGTATTAAACCATCCTGGACATATGTTAGGATTAACGTATAACTATTTTTTTTTGTTTTCCATGTCAACCAGCAATGGCAATAGAAGATGTAGTCTACATGAATAGCACTACTATTGCCAGCCAAAGCTGATTGAAGTTCCGCTCAGTTTCTCACTAAAAGTAAAAAGTTTGACCAATTTCGACTTGATTAATCTATTTCGGCAGACTCGACTATGTAAGTCGTCAAGATCATCCCATACTTGCTTAATCTTTCTTGGAGTACTTTTTAACCCGTATCTAATGGTACCAAGTAAGATAGATGTTTTGAATAAACTTTATTGAATAATTTACGAAAATATGAAAAAGAGGTTTTTGGCCAAAATGTCGAAATTTTACATATCCAAAGACCGACAAAGATGATTTCAGGAGTTGCGTTGGATCGATAGCAACATCTTGATTCAATACATACCATTGTAAAAGTCTTCATTTTCGACGTCAAAAACGCGATCGTTTGATTTTCGGTGAAAACCATGAGGTATCCCACATGCTTTTTGGTCAATTGTCGACGATGTCAAAAAAGTTGAGCAAAAGTGTCAAAAAGTAACTGCCAGATGAGAGCAACTGTTTGGTGCTATTCTGACAATCTAAAACGGCCTTGAACGCAAGAAAATGCAGCTCAAATGCACCCAGATTTTGCTGTATCAGGGACACTAAGGACTAAAAAGGGGAAATACCAGTATGCTGCTTGCCCGTATACAAAGTAGCTACGTGTATATGGATGTAGAGCATCACATAAGAATTAGATCCACAGATAATATGAAGGGTTTTCATGTATAAGTGGAGGGTCAAAATGAAAGTAGTAGCAGTATTCTGATAGGATACGCAAAGGGCAATCGGTAGCGCGAGTTGCCGCTGCGCAAGTTGGTTCTCACTGAAGCGAAGCGAAGGTAGAGAGCCATCCGAAGCATAAATACTCGTATGTCATAATAAAAGTCTTCACTTTGAGGGTAAAAAACGCAATCATTTGATTTTTGCTGATTTTTTTTATGAGGTACCCCTCATGCTTTTGAGTCGATTTTTTAGTTATTTTTTTTTAATTTTATTTTTTTTGATCCCAAGAAAGTCGAGTAATGGCATCAGGGGGGGTAAATGCTGGACTAGGACGATTGTTGGGTGCTATTCTGATGGTCTAAAATGGCTTTTAATGCAAGAAATCACGACTCAAACGCATCGGACGTCGCTGTGATTTGCATAGTTGTAAGTTGTAAGAGGTTATACAAGTTGGCTACTGGTATATGGACTATTTCCATTGACATGAAAATAGAGCAACGCAGAAGAGCCAGATTCACAGTTGCGAAGGGACTCTCGCATAATAGTAGAGAATTGAAAAAACTGCCATCAGTATGATATCCAGTGTAGGTTGATTCTCGTTGAAGCGAAGGTATAGCGTCATCTGAAGCGTTGAGGCGCTTATACATTCGTGTTTTATTTTCAAGAACATATTTAACAAACGTGTTGCAGACAAACTCAAACCTGTGTACAGATCAAACACTAGATGATTTATGCAAAGTTACCGTTTGAGTACACAGAGCAGACGACCTGTCTCTCTGGCTGTGTCTGTAGAGCAAACTCAAAAGCAGATCTAGGATTGGCTGGGCAAGGTTTAAATGGTTGGATATTATTGATCCTCCAGGGAAAAAAAAAAGCACTCTTTTCCTTTCTCTCTTTATTTTCTAATCATTCATCAACATACTAGGACTATCCAACACACTATGGCAACCAAACGTAAAGGGAAGACTGTCCCCTGCGAAGGTACCTGATTCTAGAACACACCCTCCTAAAACCAGTATTGAGCAAGATTGTAGGTTGCCGAGAGAGAAAAAAGAAATGCACTGCGGGACAGCCTTGTGAAAGGTAACTAGTGTGTAAGCTACTCATTTGTATAGTGATAGTGGCTAACCATAACATGGCAGATGCAAAAGACTGGGTATTCAGTGCTATTATCTCAAATCAGTCGCTCCGTCGAAATTAGAGAGCATTGAATCTGTCAATCACCAAGAAATTCAAATGCATGTTGAAGTATTGGAAGATATCATGAGAAGTATGGAAAGAGAATTGTACCTGTTGAAATCGCCATTTCGAGTCAAACAAATTGCTCAATACAGCGAGGCGCTGCATTCTTCTGATGCAGATTATACGACATCTGATGAAGATTTTGACCATCATCATCATCAAAACAGGCTCAACTCAACCGCCACTGCGAATCGATTCTTTAGTCAACATGAAATGAACTCCAATTGGCAACTAACGTTTAGAAAAGATGGTGGCATCAGCATCAACACGGATATTCTGAATTATGCCAACCTAATGAAACATGTGGAGGCATTGGGAGATCTTTCCAGCACCATACCCATCATCAAACAGCCTACATTAGCTTCTTTATCTGCTGGCGGGGGATATCTTCATCGAAACGTGCTGTATACAGTGGTTCGAAGAGGAAACTTTAGAGCTATTTTGAGCTGTATACAGAATGAAGCGAGAAAGCAAATCATCTCTGCATCCACCATGACACCACCGCCATCTCAGCATCATCCATGCTTATTGGAGTATGATCAGCACAGTAATAGCAGCAGCAGCAGCAGCAGCAGCAGCAGCAGCAGCAGCAATAACACACCCAGCATCGTCTTTGAAAACAAGAACTTGGCTCAGCAACTGGTCAATGCCTACTTTGCTTGTCGCTTTTTGCATCGAGTTGTGTTTCATCAAAAGACATTTTACGACATGTTTGTCAAGGGCAGATATGATTTGGAAACATCACCTGTAGTGTGTGCAGTCTCTGCTGCTGTATTGACCATGCATTGCAAACATGTCCTGACATTTGTACCTTACGATCAGCAATTGGGACTAGGGGAATACTACTTTGATAAGGCTCGTTATGCTGTATCGCTCCAGTTTGACGAGCCTTCCATGGAAACCATGATCACGTATCTCTTCATGTCCTTGTACAAGTCCAATCTGCTTCGACCGCAAGACGCCAACATGTATTTAGAAATAGCTATTCGCATACGACAAATTTTAGCTGAGACTGTATACAAGCATCCTCCTCCATCACCCATCTACTCTAGCACACCGTCTCACCCTAATACTTTTAATTCTATTACTACAACTACTACAACTACTACAACTACTACTACTACTACTACTACTACCAATACCATTAATCAAACCAACACTGACGCTATTCACACGACTGCAAATGCCTCGCCTAAACGACTGAGCAAATCCAAGACGATGAATCGATATCTGGGAGAGTACGAAACGTTCAAGCGACTGCATGCTGGATTCCAAGACTGTGTACAATTCATCCAATTCATCAACAACCAACGAGGCGTACCCGCAAAGAGCCTGAGTCCGTCCAGAAACAAGCCCTCCATGCTGAACCAGGAAAACACATCATTCAAGCAGCTGTTTCAAGAGATTTGCGCAGAGACCTATGATCCCAAGCCGTTGCCAGACGAATCCAGACACACTGCGCGAGCCATCTTAAAGGAACACTATGTGGGTCGCATTGCTAAAGTGGTAGGCCCTTATTTCAGACGTGTGCGCTGGAGTGAAAGTGATTTGATTCCATTGTCCTTCTTGATGAAGACAGAGGAAGATCTAAACCAGGTGTACTTTCACCAAATACCGCTGGATTTCAGATTGGCTCCCTCTATCTTTGAAGACGGTATCAGCAATACAGAGTTTAGAAAGAGACTACAGGAAGACGGTAGAACAGACATCAACTCTGTCACCATTGCAGCTCGCTATTATCAATCGTTGCTCGCATTGCACGAGCCATTCCAGCCCACCATTCGTCGATCTCGCAAAGGCGTCCATGACATTACACTGTTGGTGCCAGAAAATCTTGAGGATTTCGACTTTAAGCAGCAAAAGAAGCGCAAAATGTGTTTACTTGCCACATCAACATCATTACCATCATCATCATCTGAAGAAGAAGAGGAGGAAGAGGAGGAAGAAGATGATGCCAATGTGTTATCTGTGCATGCGCTAAGAGCACAAGAAGTCTGCTACAAATGCTCCATCCTTGTTGTACGTCTCTTGGAATTCCAATGCACCGTTTTAGAAGCTTGCACTATACCAACACCGTCCCTGTTTTGTGCCTGGGACACACTGATGCGCAATTCATGTCTCGGCATGGATGAAGACGACTTGAAGGCATCTGGCGTCAACAACTATCTCAGTGCCAAGGACATTGAACTTGCTCGTGAGTATGCTGTTCGTTGCATCGAGGTGCTTCGGCGAGGCTATCTGTTCAACGGAGCAGAACGAGAAGTGTTTGAATATTATGAGAAAATCGAGAGCCAGCTGTTGACTGCATTATGTAAATCCGCCTCCCCAACAGCGAAATATTGGGAACCTGTATCAAATTGGTGATGGACCGTGCATACAAAAAAAAAAAAAAAAAAAAAAAAAAAAAAAGTGAACTTGCATTGTAAATATCGTTTGTATTAAATTTAATTATCTACAGTAATAAACATGCTGTAAGTGTACACTGTCGTTATCATGGAATGTTTGTGCCATGACATGTTTCACAACAGGATCATGTACCACTAATGGCACGGATGAAGCTAAATGAACCGATAATTGACAGGACAATTTAGCTGCAGCGGCATCTCCTGATCTAAAGAATCCGCCAGAGAAATCACCAGCATCGCGAACAAATCCCCAGAGCAAAGGTAGATCCGTGCCTTTGGGACCCACTACACGTTTTTTTTTTTAGTACAGTGCTTTTTACTAGATCCGTTACGATGATACTTGCATTGGACAAATATTTGCTGTGCTTTGATATCAAAACTACGAAACATCCAATAATGCCCATTGTTTGGTTGACCTAAGCAGAGCTTACATGGCACATTGACATGATAGCCTACCACATTGCCACTGTGCTCAAAATGTCAATCATAAGCAACAGTACTATTCTATTAGTCTCTTACCAGTTTTTGCATGCAATATCTCGTACACGGCATGAGCATGATGCAGCAGCATAATCACCGTGAACAAATGCAACACTAATATCGAGACATTTGGTTATGACCATCTACACTTTTTTTTTTTTTCTTCTTCTTTTAGCTTGGTCTTACCTATCAGGCACTAGATCCGTTGAAAATAGCTGGACAGATCTATCCGATAATAACACAGCCTAATTAAACAACATATATGGTGAGAGAAACCATCATCATCCCATCTCACACCGCCTTACGTTCATGCCACGATCTGTCAATACTGAGCTGCAGTCATTGCATTCAATGCGATACACATGCTTTCGCTCGTACTCTGTTGCTACTTGATTCATTCTCTGGTATTCTACTAAGACTTGTCGATGGTAACTTGTCCTCATGAGCCTTGCATTTCTTGATTCACCATGGTCTCTCATTTTTGTTGTAGAATAGAAATAGGGAAAATCATTTTTTTTTATTACACACAATTTATAATATACATTCAAGATATCCTCCTCGGTCAAACCTCTCCCCCCCCCCAACCTCTAATTTTAACCCATATTTTTTTGTTTGTTCATTTCGACGCTGCTATTTCTGTATCTGTTTGGATGTTGTGTCCATGGCGGTGTCGGTCCCCGCCAAATAGAGCTGATGGTAGGCGTTGTGTTTGTATGGTGGTGATGCTGGAACGGAGTCATGCTCCGGTCTGTTGTGGTACTGGTGCTACATATGCTGTTGGTCTTTTCAGAGGGCCTTGCTGCTGCTGCTGCTGCTGCTGCTGCTGCTGCTGCTTCAGATGATTGTACATGCAGTGGCGATAACGAAAACACTCTTAATTCGTGCGGCCCTTTCTCTGCTTCTTCGTGAATGATGTGAGTGGGTGTTGTCAATGTTGTATCCTTAATGTGATGTGGACGAGGTGGCGACAATGCGGTCTGAACAACAGTAACGTAGTCTCGTTGCTGTTGCTGGAGGGCCACATCGATATCCGGACGCTTTGGATCATTCGCCACAACACCTTCGTCTATGGTATTGCTGTCAACGGATTGCTGCTCCTGCTCCTCCTTGCTCAACACATTGATTGTCTCGGTGTTTCGACGATAGTACAAGCAGTACATGACAGTGGCATTGATTGCTAAAAACACAGCTATTCCAACCCCAATTAAAGCCCATTTCCATGATTCCATTTTTAGGATGCCGTATGTAAATAAATGATGAAAGAAGGAAGAAGGAAGAGAAAGAAATAAGCTTCAAACTCTCTCCTTTTTATTCTCATTTCCTTTTTCATGGTCTTTTTTTATTATTAGTTAATTAAATGCGGCAGACTGTATTGTCTCTTTCTCTTTCAGAACACATCAGATGGACAAAAGAATCCTCCTGTTGCAGGAGTCGCAATACGTGTTGGCTTGTAGCCTAGCCAATCCAAGCCAAACAGATACAGCGCAAACCAAAAGTGAATGCTCAGCGAGTGGTGTCCTGACGCCATGGTAGTGTTGGCATGTCATGCTTTCATGAGATTGGAAAAGGTGGCATCTGTAGGGTCCCGTGCTTGGTAATTTACAGAAATAGGCAGCTGGATAGTAGAGATCTCTTTACCGGGTAAATAGACTACAATGCCTGCTTCTACATTGTTGTTGAGCCCTTTTCCTATCAGCAGCCCTGTCATGGCGTCCTTGGCAATGACTTGGATGCGATTAAACCTGGTGGCGTCGGTTGTCCATGGTGATATTCAGCAGCCATGTACTCTCAAATGCCACGTTGCTCGTTCTACCTCCTTGCTGTGTTTGTGTTACTTTGGTGGGTACTGTGTTGATCGCTCCTTTTATGCGGATCAAGGGAATACGTGGCCAGAAGAAGAAGACCAATACGGCAGCCATGAGCACCGTCAAAAATACCAAAATGACCCATGCTCGTCTTCCCCAGCAACAACAGCAACGGCGACGTCGATCTGCATATTTGGAGTGTCTATGGCTTGATTGGTCATATGGGATCCTGCTTGCTTGACCCTGCCCACTGTATTAAACAGCAACTGCTGACCCAAATACCCTCTTTTGATTTCTTTGATTTCTCAGGCACGACATTATCGTCTACAGCCACGGCTTTGATAATGTCGATTTTGTTGTTTCTGCTATGTTTACAGTGGTGGTGCTGATGGTGTTGCTTCCTGTGTAAGTTTGTTTTTGATTTCCTTTTGTTGTTATTGTTGTGCATCTCGTTGCATTTTGTCTTTCTGGTCGCCATGATGGGCCTTGATGCCGTGGTAATAGTAGTGGCCATAGATGCTTTTCGTTCGATTTGTTCGTGGTCTTTGTTATGCAATGCTATACGAGTGTTGCTGATGTCCATTTCGTTGTATGATAATCAAGATGCAAAAAGAAAGAGAAGAATAAAGAAGCATTTGTTTGTATCTGTTGCTTTTTATCCCTCCCCCCCCTTCAAAATTTGGTTTCGATCAAGGTCTCCTACCTCTTTCTCTGTTATATGATGTGTGTAGTACCCAAATAGTAATTGGGCCAATGCCATTCATACCTCCAAAGCCCAAGATCTTGATCATGTACAGTATTTGCGCATTGATTTACATGATCCAGTTGCGTGTTTGTGCGTGAATATCATATAGACACTGACAAACACTACACAGTGCTGTAGATGAGAGCATGACCCCATGTTATCGTGTACTCCATTTTCATCAAATGACGAGAGATTTGCGCTTTGAAGCTTACTTTTAAATTCTGCCTTGTAGTGTATATATATATACACAACGGACGCACTGGCACTTTATTTCCCTCCCCCCCCTTTTTTCCCTCTTTCTTCCTCTTAATTAACACCAGAGAAAAAAATGACTGATAGTCATCAACCGACCCTCAACCAAGTGCTGTCCGAAACAAACTCACAGACTTCTCTGGATCAGAACAAAGACCAACAGATTGCAGCCATTCTAGTTGTAGGTTTTCATCACGCTTTCGGCCCCATTGTAGAGTTTTGCGTACCTCCTTTACCTTATCACGAACAAGGAAAGACACAACAAACGTTAGAAAAGCTGGAGCTGCCAGAGGAATGGAGTTTCTTGCCGTTTCTAGCGCTTCCAGGTGAGTGGGTAGTGATATCCAAGATGCAGCTGTTTGTTCAACAGTAACCATTTCACATAACAGATGGTGCGCATCAAAAAGACGAGGATTTTGCTTATTTCCATTTGCCACCTGTGCCAGGATGGTCAGTGGCAGAAACAACACTGTTTGGCATTTCCTGTAATAGACAAATTGCATCCAAAGTATGGTAGAGAAATTAAACGTAGAACAACAGGTATTCTAATCACAGTGGAAATAGGATTTGCTTGTCAAGACACCAGACATCACTCGATCCATTGTGCAAAAAGCAGTTGTCGTACTAGCTAGACAAGTAAGATCAAAAGATATATTACCTCAAGTCAGGGTTTTTCAACATGCTTTTCTACAGCCAATATTTGGACCTTTACGACAGAAATTGGCAGTGATCACTGCTGCGTGGTTTAATCAGCGAGATTTCACAAAACTCGACATCCTACATGTAAGTAGAGAGGCATTTTGATGCTTGCCAAACTCACCATCGCACACCACTAGAATCTATACAACAACCTGAATGGCACCTTCCATGGTCCCATTGATGACTCTACTTTGTATATGGGTAATGTGCTTTATCTCTCTACCGTTCAAAATTCATGCAAATGTCCTTAATTCAAATTCAATTTTTCTATAATAGGCACCTCGCTCAGGGAGCTAGTGTACAAGTTCAAATCAAAGACGCTCATGTTGCTGAAGCTATTACTGCTTGAAAAACGAGTGTTATTTTACGGCTATCCAGTAGAAACCCTATGCACATTTCAATACTCGCTGATTTCGCTGATACCAGGATTGTTGCGCAATTTACAAGATTCAGGCGCACCAGAATTAGACACATCCGACGAAAACATGGCAACCACAGAGGCAAAAGTGCTAGCGGATGGAAGCAAAGAGAGCCTATTAAAGTACATGGGCCTGCCATTGCACATTTTTGAAAAGGGGTCCTTCTTTCAGCCTTATCTGCCACTGCAACAAATTGAAATGCTCTCATCTGAACAAACAAAATCATACGTCGTAGGCACAACAAATCAAATATTCTTTCACCATAAAAGCGATGCCAAAATCGATGTGCTCGTCAACTTGGACAATGGTGCTTTGGAATTCTATAATCAGCAGTTGGTGAGTCTTGTCAGTCCCACCATTGCAGATCGCCGATGGATGGAGAACATTGTAAAGGTGGTGAATGACACTTGGAATCAAAACGGTAGTATAAAACATAGAGATGATCATCATGCATACTTACTTGTTGTATGTATGCTTTAGATCCGAGTAGACCGTTACAAAACACATACCTTGGATCTGACGATTATCTAAGAGCTAGATTTGAAGAGTATATACTCTCCTTACTCTCCAGTGTAAAGCACGCTCAGGCACATAACTTACTGGACAATGTGTACGAAACGATGGAGAATGGAGCCATCAGCAGCGAAGAAGTGATGACGGACGAGAGCGAGGAACACAATTACTTGTCAGATTATGGCATGAAATGGTTGATGGCTTGGGGAGAGACCAACAATTTTAAAAAGTGGAACCAATACACAGATCATGAAATATACGAAATTGTGGAACCAGGGCATCCAGGCATGGGCAACATTTCCATGGCAGATATTCAAAACACACTCTCAAAGTAAGTATGGCGCGGGTGGATCGTAAGAGACAGGTGGATGATTAAATGGCACACACTTTAGTCGACTTCGAGATTTACAATTGAAGCAAAATTTGGCACCCATTCGAAATACGTTATCAAGAGCCATGTCAGGTGGAGCCAAAGCCATGTTCAGTGGTAGATCCAAACTGAATGCCATATGGACCGAGTTTGAGCGTGGCGCAAATGAAGAAAGCCATGCCAAGGGTTCACCCAAGTCAGCGTCTCGAGGTAGTTTCCAATCAGATGAAAAATCGGCTTCAGCGTCGCCACAGCAGCCACAGACAGACACCTCTTCATCACTAGAATCAACTTCTCAACAAGCAGGCAGATTGTTTTCCAACTTTTCTTCCTTTCTCAGCAGAAAGACAAAAGAATTCTCTCAGGCCATGGAGGTAAATAAGTGTCAAGATGTCATTATTGGGATATGCTGATTGTTCATACTCTCCTCCCTGCGCAGGAATCTGTGTCAGAGAATAGCTCGCCTTCAAGCAGCAGACGGACATCTACCGGTAACAAACGACAGTCTACCACCGGGAATCCTGCGCCTCATACAGATGCCCTCGTATCCGATGATGATGATGCAGGATCCGCTGCATTTGTGGATGTTGGACAAATGTATCCATTTACAACAGCAAAGAGCCATGTCAAGAAGAATGACGAAGATAAAATACTCGACGTGTAATAGATTTCCTAGAGTAAATACCTTCAATAAATGATGCTTTTTTATAAAAAAAAAAAAAAAAAATAAGCCTTCAACGAAAGAGTCTGACATGATTTTACCCACTATAATAAAAGGAATGTTGCAATTCCTCTTGAAAGATAAACAATTTTATAGCAGCAGAGTTTCGTACGCATCCATTGCAGATAAACTCTCCAGGACATTACATTGTGCCTCGATGGTACTCACTTGAGTGCATTAGGCATAATAAAGACTTATGCGAGACTATATATTTGTTCAATATGGGACTATTACGATATGAAGGGGAGGGGGGGGGGGAGCAAAGGGGGGGGGAGAGAGAGAGAGAGAACTATACATTTAAAGGGGCTTGATGAGAGAAAGAAAGTATTACTAAATGATGACAGATACAACCATGTTAGATTATGACCAGAATTAATGGTTTTGGATATGGTAAATCAGGTAGCCGGGAAGACCATAAACAGAAAATCCCATCGCTTTAGCCATCTTGGCAAAGCCCTCTGTTTCCACTTGATGCTGATATGCAAAGGCTGGAAAATTAGCACCTTCGCGATGGACATGCGCTTTGACAAGAGTAAATGTGGCGCCCACTCCATCTAATGCCACTTTGTAATCCTTATCCACATCTGTTGGCATGTCTACCATCTATGAAAACATGGTTAGGACAGCAGGTAAGCTCAACATGGCGTAGATTAGACATTACCAAGTATCTGTAGGTGGGAAACTCATAATAGCCCTCCAACAAGACGAAATCCTCGTCCAAACCTTCCTGAATTCTCCTTGATTCATCTGTTTCTTGCCAGTTATTCTTATCATAAGCCCAAAAGGCACGATCGTCTCTCTTTAGTAAACAATTCGGTACCACCACATCGGCATCTGCACGCATCAAATCTTGAAAGATGGAGGCTGGATACTCCACCACATCGACATCAATCCAAGCAACCCAACTTGTATCTGACTTGAGTGCCGCAGATAAGAGCCAATTACGGGATCGAGCCATGATGCTTCGACGCAAGGGCTGCATCTCATAGTCATGTCTCTTTGAACTAGGCAAGTCAAAGTCGAAATCCTTGGTGAAAATACGCACAGAGTCAAATCGATGGCGGTAGTTCCATCTGGTCTGTATAGCATTGATGTGGGATTGCAAGGCTTCAAGTGTGTTGTCGGATGAATCCGAGACTAAAAAGGCTAGTGAAATGAGATGGTTTGGATAGCTAGTTTCGTCTAGTAATTTAAAGTACTGATCCAGATATGGGCTGGCATCCTTCAATGGTGTCAGAACCAGGATCTTCTCCTTGTTTCTCTGAGCGTGGCTGGCAGACGATGTAATGCGATTCAAATTGGTGAACAAGTGGCTGTTGCTGCTGCCAAGGTTGAGTGATAGAGAGGGAATACTTACAGCAGACAGTAGATGGCATGGTGATTGGCCAACAGTGGTACTGTATAGTGTTGAGAACAGTAATATAAATAAGATGGCGATGGTGGTGCAGAGCACAAGTATCCTTTTTGAGGATTTGGAGCCAAGAACAAAAGACATTTGGTTTGATGGTTAAAAGGAAAATAAAAAAAAGAGAGAGCAAGAAACCCAAAGGATGATTTACCCATTCAAACACAATTTCAGGGGAAAACAAGGGGCGAGTTAATGTGAGCATTCGCCATGAATACAACTGCAATCAACAGACTCGGGTGAATCAATGCCTGCATGGCGGTGGTCTCAGTTTGAACACAAAGTGATGAATGTATGATAGGTTAAACAGCAAAGCAATTGGCAACGTTTAAAAAAGATCCTTTTATGAGTTTTAATCATAGAGAGTTTATTTTGAGGCAATTTTGTTTGAGTAAATGAAATTGACATAGAGCTGGTTTTTATTATTTTTATTATTATTTTATTATTATTATTTTTTTTTTCTTATTTTGAAAGGGTAATTCGACATTTGGTTTTTATATTTACATAACATACAAGATTGGGTGGTGGTTTTGAGGGAGAAGAATGCTTGACAGAGAGAGAGAGAGAGAGAGAGAGAGAGAGAGGCGAGATCATGGATGGGGGATGGATTCAAGTGGATACAGCAGGTCTGGGAGTCAACCATCCCAATCTACTGAAAACACTCCAGAGCGTGCTGGTTTTATTAACATCAATTCGCACACATTTCTGGGCGTCTGACTTTCTAAACGGGATATGCAATTTATCGAATTCCTGAGCAGCCAAGATAAGAGAGCGTCGACATTTTAGATATTGTTCTGGTGTCAGACGCAAGGTGGAAGCAATGTGAACCTCGCCGGGATGTAGCAGTTCATAGTAGGGCAAGTGATCAATGGATAATGGAGATCCTATTCACAAGATAAAAAGGGGGGGGAGGTGTTATTCAATGGCCCCAAACAACAAAAAAGAAATGTTTACCTTTCCAAACAACTCGAACAGCTGGCACAGCATCAAATGCATCCATATCAGGTATCCATTCGGGATCTTGAAAAATAGTTTCATCGCTCATGGTAATGTCCACATTATCGTAGGCAGCAGCCGCGTCCGTCTTGGATTTCTTGACATTGCGTTCTGTATTCAATAAAGCACTAAAGGTAGGCTGGTGGGTTTGTGTCACTGGAATCTCCGTCATTCGTTCTTGCTCTGCTGCTTCAGGATTCCGTCTTTTCCTGCTCATCATTCCGCTGCCGCTTATAACACCGTCTTCAAAAATGTCCATTGTAAAGCTGCCTCGAGTAGATGGTGAAGGGGATCGGGTGGGAATTGATTTGGAGCGATGCGATGGTGGATGATGCGATGAGGCATTGGCAGCAGCTAGATAGCAGCTACCTTCCATTGGGAATGGATCTCTGAAGGTAATGACATCTTGAGAAGACATTGACATGGCTCGGCTGTATCTCTTTACGCTTGATTTACGACGCAGATCAGTAGCATTGGGAGGAGACGACGGGCAGACGAGAGAAGGTGGCAATTCCAATGCATCATAAGGTGGTGTCTGAGGCTCATCTGAATGCTTTGGAGTGACAGGAGGACTAATAGGAATTGACGAGATCATTTCGAGTGTTTTTGTGTTGAAAAAGAAGAAAGGAAAAAGGAAGAAAAGGCAAAGAGGAAATAAATTGGGGGAAGCGTTATATAGGTACTCGAAACTGATCAAATTACACACTAATTATAATCTCCACTGCGCATTTATACTTTTTGATATGTGACGAAAAACGACCTTATTTGATGATTCAGGCCGGGGCCTGATTTTTTTTTTCTTTGTTGATGTTGCAACTGGATACAACAAGAAAATGGGACGCACGTGGGATCAGATCTGTTCTCAGCCTAGCCACGCTGAAGGCCTACACATCCATGTCCATTTTACATCCATTGCATGCCATCCTTGCTATGAATCAGGTCAAGAGAAAGCTGTTTTGCTGGACATCAAACTAGACTAAAAGAAGCAAGCAATTGCCAAATAAATGATTAGACTCGTTCAAGCTATTTGGGTTACGTTACAAGAATAATTGAAGATCCCTTCTGGATCCATTGATTGGCTGCAACTAATTTTTAATGCTGTCTTGGCGCCGCTGTCTATAGTCAGAAGAGAAGCAAGTGAAACTGATACATTGGATGGCCATGGATGTTATTGTCGAATGCTGAAAGAGAGGGTTACCCTGCCAATGTCAATGATGCATGTTTCCATAGCAATGCCTCGAATTCCTCCCCCATCAGGGTCACCTTGCCGGATCGTGTCCCCCCCCCTCCCCTCCCCCCCCTTCTGCCCTCTGCCTCTCTCTTCCATCAGCCAAATGCATGGAGAGAAACAAGAGCGATTGCTTAGGTGATAGAAGGAGCCTGGTGACTAAAAATAAACTGAGAGAGCGCATACACTGTAATTGAATTTCATATAAATTATTACATATGTCAATGTACGACATTTCGTTCTGTATCATCTAGCTTGTGTTTGTTATGTGTGGCCTGGATTCTCTTTCCATTCGCTCAAAGAGAAGAGTCGAGTCCATTCTCCAATCTCACATTAAGGAACCGCCCATCCACCAAGTACAAACAACCGAACATTTCTTGGTGGTCTATTATGATCTCATGATTAATATGATTAACCATGTTTAGTTTTTCTCAGCAAAACTCAACAAAAGACGATTCTATCACAAATTGAATAGGCATATCAAAAAATGAGAGGGATCGACATCATTGCCACTTGGTTGCCCTAATAAGGCAAGTAGATAGGTTCATTGGGTCCCTTGATTTTTTTTTTTTTTTTTTTTTTTTGAAATCGCTGTTTTGCTACTTGGTGCGTTGTGGCGTCAAAAACACACCAGTATGGGATTTTTTTTTTTTTTTTTTTTTATTATTCTGTTTTTTCATATTCGCTTAATTCTAATTTAGCTTTATCTACATCAATAAAGCAAATGATGATGGTTGCTAATATAAACAATCCCAGCACAAAGGGCCAGCCCTTCCAAATGTTGGACGTGGATTGCGTAATGGCTCCAATAACCACTGGACCGATCCAAGACGACGCCTTATTGACAACACCAAACAATCCAAAGAATAAGTTTTCTTTTCCTTTTGGCACTAGTTCTGCCAGCATGGTTTGCTGCCAAGCCCAAATGGGCGCCGTAAATAGACCTGACCACACATTCAGCACCCACAATTCCCAATGTGTCTGTTTTATAATTAGCATTTTCGACTTCTTTTTATAGCAAATCACCTTTTTTTTTACCTTGATGCCAAAATTGTCAAATCCAATGCCAAAACAGCCCCAAACAGGAATGACGCCTGTGAGAACCACAATCATGAGCAAACTCGTTTTGGTCCGTATATGAAATGTCTTGCTCAACCATAAAAAGAACAGACAGCCGAGGATGGAGGTAACGGCTGTTACAAAGCTAAATATAGCATTCTGCTGTGCTGAAAACGCAGTGAGTTCGCCTTGGATGATGCTCGACATTTGGTTAATGGTGGATACAGCATCAGAGAACATGAAATACGCGAAAATGTACATGAACAAGTAGCGAAGTTTTCGAGCTTCCTTGAGTGCCAGGACAATGGATTTCCAGCCAAATGTAAAGTAGTTGGCGTCGGCTGGTAATGGAGGTCCTTTTCTACCTCGTGGCGTGATCAAGAAATAAGGTGTCGCATTCACCGCCCAGAAACAAGCGCACACCACTGTTGCAATGTAATTATAGACGGGCGCATTACCTAATGTATGGCTAACACCGTTTGGAAATGCGTACTTGCCTTCCCAATTCACGAACGATACAGCAGAGAGCACGCCCGAGGTGATAAGAAACCCAACGTTGGAAAATGTGGTCGATACAGCAGACACCTGGTTTCTCCACCTTTCTTGTACCTGTTGGCGTTCGGATTCCGTGATGTTTGGGTTCGATTTCGCATGTCGTACAACAGGTAAATTGTCGCTACAAGTTACATTAATATACACGATGCATGAAATAGCATAAAAAAAAAGGGGGGGGGGAGCGAGTCCTACCTGACATTGGGAAAAGCAGCGGCATAAAATACGAGCGAGGTACCATATGAAATCAATGCAATATTCATGATACCCATCATGACATTCCAGTGAGATCCATCGTCATTGACCAGCACAATCGGCAGTGCTTGAAACGTGCATCCAACGACGGTGGATCCCAGTAGTATGTATCGGTTCCATTGACCGTAATCTGCCAAACTGCCAAATGTTGTAAACAGCAAAAACTGAATCGAGAATGCAATGGCTTGCACATAGAGCAGCATAGAGGATACGGGTATTGATGAGCCCATCCAGGCTACATAACATGGCCGCAATGCATTCTGAATATCGCATCCTTTGACGTTTGGTGTTTCGAGGTAAAATCCGCCATGGTAAGCGAGTGATTGTAAAATGAGTGGCATGAAGCTATAGATTGTGTATCCATTGTCCTGATGTCAGGCTTAGTATACGGTTCTGTTATAGCATCTATGTTATAGCGTATACCCACCCCATTGTAATACAAATAGTAGCTCCATAGTTCCCATTTTGTGGTCGGTGGTTGATCAAATAAATCTTGCTGTTCCACATAGCCACCTTCATCGTCTATGATCTTGAATGGATCCGTTTCATCATACACAGTCTTTGCCGTCTCTTGTTGCTTGTCGGCAACCACAGATGCTACTGTGAGCGTGGAATTGGACATTTATTGCGAAATAGAAAAAAGAAAAGAAGGAGGAATAACGGTGAGTAGGAGCAAAAGGGGAGGGGGGGGGGAGGGGAAATAAAGGAAAAAACATTTAAATTTACATCTGTACAAATGATCAATATACAGCTTTCTTACAAACAATCAAAATCTTGATTATATGTATATGTATATATATATATTATATATATGTACACATTTAATCTTCGAGTTGAATTTGATCTAAAACTGGCAAAATGTTCTCCCAAATAGAGATGCTCTGTTGATTTGATTTAATTGCATAATCACTCTACGGTATCGACCCAATCAACAAACCTTTTTGTAAAAATCAATATGACAGTCTGCGTAGGCTGCCAATCCCTGCTTCAGTTCAGCTTCTCTAGCCCTTTGGAAAATCTCAAATTCCTTGATCATTTGACTGGAATAACTGTTGTTGATATCGTTTGCTTTGGCAACTTGATCCTGCAATTCTTTGATTTTGGATTCCAGCCTCAACACCCGTTCATTTCTCGTCTTGCTGGTATCGCTCATTTTGTCTGTCATTAGCTCGGTGATGTTCATGCCCACTGTGGTGCCCATGTTCTTGCCCGGATACAGTATTCGCTCTCTCTCCAAGACAATCGACTGAAGTGCCGTGGACGAATCTTCAAAATCCACTTGCTTTTGATCCCTTTCTAACAGCTGGTCCTTGGCTGCGTTACAATAATTCAATAATTCATGCATATCGTTCAAGAACAATAAATCCTCTTGCTTGCGCATCTCTTTCAGTGCCTCCACATACATCTCGGTAGCCTCTGCAAATTGGCGCAATGGCTGATCCACGTTTGTCTCGAGTCCCGATAAGCCTCGGATGCTGCCTGCAAAATGGTCGTAATTCTGCTCCAATTCCTGCTGTCGTTTGCTGATTCTCGAGTATAACTTTTCCACAATAGTCAGGTTGTCTTCAAACTTGTCAATCGTCTCCTTCATTTCCTCGAATTTCTCGTCCGGCTTCTTCACCTTGGCTAGTGACTTGAAAAAGGAGCCAAACATGGAATGTGTGGATGGCGCGGATTTGGTCTGCATGTGCTTGTCTGCATTGAAATCAGTCGACTCTAGAAACACCTTTGTATGTTTCGACGTTTGCAGCTTTGGATGTCTTGCAATTCGATCCATGAACCATTGCAGTCTATTTGAATCAAACACACATTAGCGCAATATACGCACACACTGCACTACAACAAACCCTAATCTTCTTTGCTCTATAAACATTGGATCAAATCGATCCCCTTTCATGTATTCTATTTTCAAATAAATATACAAACACAAACAAATCAAACAACAACAACAACAACAACAACAACAACAAAAAAAACCTCGACTTACTCATGCGATGTTTCTCGGGCAAAGGAGGAATAACACAAGCAGGGAATTCAACACTCAATGCATTATGTAGCCATACAAAATCTCTGAATCGTCGTCGCACGGGTCGATTATCCACATTGTACATTTCTAATGCAGTCTATGTTTTGAACGCTAGAGATGAGTGGGGTGCAAGTGTGATAGAGGCTTGTATACCTACCATTGTAAACACTCGGTAAGTGATATATGAACCATCGCTGCCTTTGACTGGATCGTCCACTCGAATCGTCATCGGTTCAGCCTTATTGTCGTCATTGTGTTTCTGAAATGAATGTATTGGCTTTTTACTATTATACGTCGTAGCTGTATTGTACTCGTCGTCGTTGCTGTCTTCAGATTGAAAAGGGTCGAAAGCAGCAGCAGCAGCAGCAGCAGCAGCAGCACTACTACTAGAAGACGATGCTCCGAAATGCTATTCGATATCAATATATATATATATATATATATATGCAAACCTTGCGGCTATCCCACTCTCACCTGCGATTGCTCGAAATAGGCTGATCGAGAGGTATTAAACGCATTGCTGCCATCGCCTTCAATAGACCAAGAAGGTCCTGCATCAATGTCTTGATCAAAATGAGACATGGTGTATAGTGAAAAAAAGAACAAGAAACAGAAAAGAGTGCCAAAGAAAAAAAAAAAAAAATGGAAAAATTATTTATTTGAAACCCCCACATACAGCACCACACAACTCACACTTGATCTTGGGCTTCCTGGAGCATATCTACATCTGATCTCTCGCTGAATAGCTGATAACTGGGGTTTTGCGAAGTGTATCTACGCTTTGATTTACATATTTTACAAGTTTGAATCACACTAGGCGTTGGTTTAGCTAGTTGGAACATGTGTGAGTCGTACATCAGGCGGAGGGCATGGATATCACCTTTACATTTTATGCGGCTCGTGGATGTGATCACTGGGATAACCGGTGTGTCGCAGCGCTTGCATACGGCTCTTTTCACGCTAGGGTCTCTATTTAGATGCATCAGAATGTGGCATATAAACACAATGCCTGTCTATAGTCAACATACAATCGCATCACTAATTTGCCAGTGATTTGCTTCATGTGATGGTTGAGATATCTAGAGGTTGCGTGCAGTGTGCCTGGTGGATCTCCTTGCCAGTCTCTGACATGATGCTTTGGTGCTGATGCTGATGTAGATGGTTTGGTATCGTATTGGAGGGTCGACATGAGAATAGCAGCTTGATGAAGAAAGCTCAAGCGCTCAAACGCTTGCACATTCTTGACAATGCCTGCTTGTTTTTCCTTTCCTCTTGCCATGTCTTGATGCGAATGCTAAGAGATGAGCAGAAGATCCATCAAGCGTTTGCACCAAAAAAAAAAAAAAAAAAAAAAATTCATCAAAAAAGGTGATGTGACTACAACGATAGGCTTTTTTTAAAATCCCATTCAAGAACAGTAGAAGGATCACAGCCTTCCAAAAGGATGGTACTGTGTGAAGACAACACATTGTATGAGCGATACCTCCAATTCAACACCACCAACAAGTTAATATCACTTTGTAAGCTATTTATTATATCTAAAAAAAAAACATTTCCTCTATGGTAAAACGACATACTTTTGTAAATGATCAGGGATAGCACTGGACAAGTTCTTTGAATCCAACCATTGACGACTGAACAGACGAGATTGATATCTGTAGGCACCATCACACAAGAGAGTCACCACCTTCTTGCCCTTACCGAGCTGCTTGGCCATCTCAACAGCGGCTACAACATTCAAAGCAGAAGAAGCACCGACATAAATACCCTCCTCATCCAACAAACGATACAGCATCTTGATGGTATCCTCGTCCTTGATATTCACAGCACCATCGATTAAATCCACATCAGGGCCCAAGTTATCAGTGATACGACCTTGACCAATACCTTCAGTAATAGAAGATCCACTACGCTCAAACAACTTGTGGCCACTGGTAAAGTAGCTGTAAAGCACAGATCCAGGAGGATCGGCCAAAAAGATCTTGACATCGTCTCCCTTCTTGTCCTTGAGGTAGCGCGCTGTACCAGCAAGTGAACCGCCTGTACCTGTAGCACAGACAAAACCATCTACCTCACCGTTTGTTTGAGCAAAGATCTCAGGGCCAGTGGTCTCAATGTGTGCACGACGGTTGGCCGTGTTATCGAATTGGTTGGTCCAGACAGCGTTCTCGAGAGAATCAGCGTGGCGCTTGGCTTGGTGGTTGTAGTTTTCTGGGTTGTCGAATGCAACGGCAGGAACAGGATGCACTTCAGCACCGAGCATGCGCAATAAATCAATCTTTTCTTGAGACTAATAGGAGCAATTTGAGTTAGTGTCCTGATCACAATGGGATACGCAAGTAAGCCTGTACCTGAGTGTTGGGCATGTAAATGACACATTTGTATCCCTTGGCACGGCACACATGAGCCAAACCAATACCAGTATTACCAGCAGTACCCTCAACAACGGTGCCTCCTGGTTGAATCAACCCCTTCTCCTCAGCATCCTTCACTACGAACAAAGCAGCACGATCCTTGACAGAGCCACCGGGATTCATAAATTCAGCTTTGGCCAAAATCTCAGAACCTGTTTCTTCACTGAGTCTGTTTAAACGAATCTACGATGGGGTTTAGCAGCAATCCATGTACTCCATGCCTCCGTCTCTATGCTTACAAGAGGAGTGTTTCCAATAGCACCAATAAAGCCATTAGTAATCTACAATTCACAATGTCAGGTTTATATGTCTGCAAGGGACGCATGATTTTCGCTTACTCCAGGGCGTCCACCTGGATGAACAGTAGAGTAGGCACGACGAGCAATTGTACGCAAAGAGTTCATTTCCCAATGTTCTGATGAATGAATAAATGGAAAGAGAAAAAAGAGCCGGGGTAAAACTTTATTAAATAAGAAAGAGATGGTTTTTATTGAATTAGCTGTTTTGTGTGTGAGAAATGGCCTTTCAACAAATCAAGGCAATTTCAAATGACGCGATTTGTTCTTGACTGATGGCATAAGCGATTTGCCATCGCATTCAAAGTCAGAGGGGTGGGGGGGGGGGAAGGCAACACATTAAGCGTTCAACAATAGCCATTGCTGAGGATCTTCCACGCCTACCAGGTTCTCTATGCATTCCATGGCTTCAGCCAGCTCGCCCGAGAATGTAAATGAATTGACGGCAAAGGCACAGTAACTGGGAAACGTATCGTTGTCCAAGTTCTCGGGATATCTGGTAATCGCTTGACTCATCCTGCGAGCAAGACGAAGTCGTAATTCAGTAGGAGAGAGCATAAATGGCGGTAATGCCATTTTAGAGGCGAGTGTTGCGGATAAAAGTTTCATGATGGATAAGATGGAAGCAAGCTAAATCATCAGGGCCAGAATCAGCCTCTATGTCACATCTTCCTGAGCAAATCACTTACATATTCCATTCTCTCCTCTTCAATCACTTGCACTAATTTACGCTTCCATGCCTTGTCAATGGATCGAGAAGCAAATGCCATGCCTTGCAATAAATCAGCCATATTATCCAACTTTTCCACAAGTTTGGTATATTCTTCTACAGGGAATTTGCCTCGCAATGGAGGCTCCAGCTTGGTGATTTTGAGATAGGTTTGTTCGTCTGCAATCTGTCGTCGAATACCCAATGCTAGTTTACGGAAAGCTTTGCGTTGACCAGGCGTGGGCTCAGCGTCCGTTCCCTTGGTTGCTAGAATGTCACTCACAAGAATGCCGTATAATTTGCTGAGGTCATGCATGGTGCGAGAGATACGCTTACGCAGTTCTACTCTGCCTGTAACAGCCTTGGGGAAAACGGCTAATATAGCTGCTGCTGCAACGCCAATGATCACTAGCAACATGCGCTACAAAGGCAAAGCATGTGTTATTTCGCGTTGATTGTGACATACTATATATCAGCAACCACGTACCTTGCCAGCCACAATTTCCACAGAATCAAAGGTAGGAGCACCGCTCACCACATAGGTATACTCCATGACCACAACCAGAATCAATGTAATCTGTGTCATGATGGCCACAATGTTCATGATTTGGCTAGTAAAGAAAATGTAATACAGGGGCATCATGACAACGAACATCAATACCGACAGGCCATAAGGATTGCCTCTTGTAATCTCCCATACGACGATACCTGCAACGCCCCCCAACACGGTGCCAAGCACTCTCAGAATGACACTATGCACAACACACTGATATTAGCACTGCGACTCCATGTAGCATACTTTGTGATATACTTGCGTGAAAAAGAACATGCCGGCCATGGGAAACATCCACAGCATCAAGGTGATAGTAGCCCATTGACCTCTCCAAGCGAAAAACCACGTAGCACTCGAGGCAAGAAAAGCGGGCAGTGACAACAGAGTAAAACCAGCAGACGTCTTGAACGCAAATATAGCGTCTACACTCTTTGCCCAGTTGACAATGTGATATACCTTGTAAAAAAAGTTCTCCGATGCCGTTTCAGGAGGGTTGACATCAGGGTCTCGAGGATAGGCCTTGCCTTGACGGTTTCTGCGACACACCAGTTCCATGTCATCGTCTCTTTCGACATTATCAGGTCGTGTCATGGTTTGAGATAGCGTTAAATCATTGACCATACCACCAGCACCTGTACCGCCTGTTTCAGGACCACTGGTTGCAGTGCCTACTTGACCGCCTAAATTGGCACTGACGCTCAACGACCTGAACCATTTGCGTAGCTTGAGATGAGGAAACCACAGTCTGCGGCTGGTGCGAGTGGCTTCAATGCTTTCGACACAGGCCACCAAGGATCGCAGCTGAAGGGCATGTTCCATCAGATTGTATTGAAACAAGTAGATGATCTGCAGTAACCCATTGAAGCGTTCCTCAAACTTGTCAGCTCCAGGCTCAATAAAGATGTGCGACGTCTTTTTGCTTTCCGTCTCGTACTTGTAAATGACTTGATCCAAACGCTCAGAGAGACTCTGAATACGTGTATGCCGTTGCTCTTCTTGTTGGATCGCCTTCTTGCTCTTGTAGTAGTCTCTGATAAAGATACGAGGAAAGGGCCAAAAGAGGCTGCTCATCAAAGACCGAGGTTTGCCTGAAAACTTCATTAGCCGTTCATTGCACTCGCCCAGCGTCATGACACAGGTGTCTGTCAGTTCCTGGCTGACTTTACGCAGCTCTTCCAATCCTAACAAAAACTCCTTCTTGTGTTCACTTTGATCGTCTGCTACAGCAGCGGCAAAATAAGGTTGCTTGACTTGTTCCAGTCGCTCTGCTTTGGTGATGAGACTGAGACCAATGCCATGCAAGGGTGAACGCATAGTTTTGACAAGTCGAGTAATGCTGTTAATGTCGTCATGGGCGAGTCGGTTGAATAGAATCTCTCGCTGTACTTCACGCTTGCAATCAATCAACTTGAGAATGCTGTTCTGCAGACGTGCGTGCAGTGAGGGCAATGTCATGGCTTCAGGACTGGTCGTGATGGAGAGGAATGCATTTGAGTGTTCTTGAAAGAAGCTGTTGTATTCTTTGAGCGATACGTTGAGAATGGACATGTACTTGGTAATACTGTCATCGGGCCATATCAGCACATCCACAGCTAATGCAATGCCAGCAGATAATGCAATGGGAATCAAGAATGTATACTATAACGTTGCATTCAGTACACGAAATGTTTTGATTCTTCTGGAGTGTAACATACCACAATAACAGGCTGAAATCCTGGAGTGACAGCAGCTTGAGTCAAGGCAAACTATACAATTGAAATGGGGATCAATACAGTATCCATCATTCGCCTCGTATACAACTTACTGCAGCGATCATACTGGCAAAAATACAAGCAAAATTTGCTTTATCATCGAAAATAATGAGTACATACAAATGCAGCCTCTAGATCAATGCATTTAGAAACTCTACCTTGTGCAAACTTGTTACGGACATAGGTTAATCCGAATACACCTATGAACATAAAGACGGCTAAAACGGCGCTCGAGTTCGGCTGAACAGGAGTAGGGATTGCAGGATCACGAGCGAGGTTTCCAAGATACATGCCTATGCGAATCGATTGCACCATTAGAGATTTTGACCTCAATCTGCAGCGAATGATAATATACATACCCAACATGCACCAAGCAGATCCAACCAGTGCGCCAAGTAAACCTTGAATTGTAGCCTATAGAGAGTCTGTAAGTGAGATAATCCATGATTCTCTGCATTCACATAAACCGCTTACCTCTAATTGAACACCTATTGTTGTAAATCAAACCCCCCCAAGTATGAAATTAATGATGATTTAGGCACAATCTAATGACTATACACATACCCAGTGGACGGATAGGAAAATGAAGAATAGTGCCAATAGGCACTAGAATGATACCTTGTCCTATCGCATTTCTAGTTGTATCCACAAATGCAATGATCAAAGCGATCAACACTGCAAACGATGCTTTGACAATGGCTCGCATCAACGGCACCGGTGGCATCTTGGCTTTGATTCTTTCAGCAAGCGTCTTTTTCTGTTCAATACCGTGTGTATTGGGTGGGATGTGTATACTACTTTCTCCTGATATTCTAGGTTGGATGTTGGCTGTCATATCATCATCATCATCATCATCATCATCATCATGTTTGTAGACGTTGCGAGCACTCAAATGATCTGCTGTATTGCTCAAAGATGCTTCATCCAATTGAGCTGTGGTTGCATATGATCTCTTGGATGTCTGTTGAGATAATTCTATATTTTCCATGTCTATTGTTCATGTACCAAAAAATAATAATAAAAAAAAAAAAGAAGGAAAAAAGAAAAAAGAAGTTCTTTTTATAGGCTTGGGATGAAAGGAAAGATGCATTGATGTGACTCTTTGAAACCCACACAGAAGCTCAATCTCTCAAACTCGTTTGCTTACTGTCATCATCTATTGTTACATGTTGCACAACATATTAGCATTACTTTTTCCTCTCTGAAATTAATCATCCTATTTACAAATATTCATTATTTATAGCTTAGATCCAGTTCAAAATGATTTAAAATTGGGATTCTTGACCGAAAATGATGCTAATTATGTTCATTTCCCCATGTACCACACAAAACGACATCTGAGTGTACATGCAGCTTGAAATGTCTGATTTGACTCGGGAGAGACATCTTTAAAAGTCAAATTTTTAATGTAAAAGTGCACTTTACATTGATTTAAAACTAAAAGTGTGCTTCTGAACCATGTTCATATCTTTGAATTGCCAGGATATGGCCCAGATGAATGCATTTGGGCTGCTCATGCCAGCCAACAAAACTATAAATCAGCGACTTGAATGACACTTTATGCGTGATCTAGACGTTCTGAAGGCCTCGGAAACACACCCAAACCGTTTCTCTAATCCCACTGCATCTGTCTGATGCATTATCCCAGTTTTTTTTTTTTTTTTGTCAATGATTTTCGACCGATTTCGCCTTGCTACTACAAGGGAAAATAGGCCGGTTTTTTAGGATAGCCATTTTCACCTCCAAAACGGCACTTTTTTTATTATGATGTTCCTAAGCTCGAAATAACCGCCATCCTTTAAAGTTTTAGTTGCACCAACAACCAAGTTTATTTTTGTTGAAAAATATGGAGTTTTTAACGAAAAACGGTGTATTAAAGAGTCAATTTTTCTCATTGAGTTTGAGTGCAGTTGCTACAAAAGTTGTTCTGTCAGTTCCACCATTAAAAACTGCACAATTAGCAATAAGGAAATTACTTGTACTTACTAGACAGTTTCTCGAGAAATTTACGAAAACGTGCTACGAGAGGGGTCAAAATGGCAATCTGGATCCAACCAGCTGTCCTATGCGCGGAAATTGAATTTCGTTTGAGAAGACAGTGGCACGCTTTGGTCAGTGCTGGCTCATGATTTTTACCAAGATTTCAACATCTCTGATTGCTCTCAGCAGTTTTCATATGAAAATACGTTGATATAAACAGGTGATGTCCCTTGTTGTAAGAAAAATCTTGAAACAAAAGGAATTATAGACCTTTTTCGAGCTTTGCACGCCTCTGAAAGAGAGCGATGTAAAAGCATTTTAAACATTGACAGGACGCCATGGCACTAGCATGCTTCGTGGTGTCGGCACGTATAAAAATGAAGCAAGCCAGCAATTTTGCGAGCAGTAAATCTTTCCATTAAATCAAACGGCCTAAACGGCAAGTAAAACCGTGTGCCTAGATCTAGATATACAATATACCCTCTATTTTGGTAACAAATTCGTGCCTGACATGTGTAAAGACAACACTATAGGTTTATTAAAATCACGTTCTTTTTCTGTTATAAACTTTCTGCATTTCTCACTATTTATTTTGCGTTTTGCTTTCTCATGATTTCATTGTAGAGTAATCTATTCCATTCATCGACAGGGCCAGGTATACAGGTATGCAAGCAATCTGCATCAGGTTTTGAATGAGCATCGCCTCTCTTATTTGACATGTCGGCAATGTCAAACAAAGCAAATCGGTCATCTTGACTGTGTAATAGCTCTTTCCAAATGTTATCAAACTCGTGGAACAGATGCCATTCGTATTCGCCTGTTTTACCAGACGGCGCTAATGGGTTCTCTTGGGGCTCTTTGTATTGTGAGCACTGAACATGGCCATAAGGTGTGGTTCGAATCCATACTTTCTGATGAGGCTTGACATGCTGATCCAAGTAAGCAATGACTGATGTCATGGCTGTCTTGAATGCATCCAACAATTCTTGTTCATTTGTATTAGGTCCCCATTGAAGATTGGGATGCCAGTGAGGCCCCTGAAAGACAAGGTGAGTACAACTTTAAGATTGCTGTGGTTTGTTCTGCAACTTACTGTGTTGATGATGATATAGTCGAACTTTGACAGGGCATGCACCCTACACGTTGAATCGGATGTTATAAACGGCTCTTATTACTCACTTAAACTCGTCTTACCAAGGGTAATTCTCACCACGACCCAACTGTGTGCCTACGGGCTCAAAGGGGCTGATCACCTTAAAATCATCCAAGCGAAGCAAATAATCAGATCGGATGTAGGCCATGGCTGCTGTGTCCCTGTTTTCTGGTGCCTTTTCGTTGACTCGGATTTTTGTGTTGCCACCGTTCAAATCAGATTTAGCTGGATGTCGATTAGGAAAGTGTTCTCCTAGCAAACATCCTAGACTCTCAAATTGTAACTGTGTAATAGAATCGCCAACGAACAGCACTGGATGATCGGTAAGGTGATCTGCCAATTTCTTTGTGTTAAATTCTAGCATCTGACACTGATTTGGTTGCCATCTATAATCCATACTACATATACGAATGATGAGTATATCATGGTATGTTGATTACGATAATGTTGTCTAATGTTACATTTTCTTGGCTCGTAATATTTCATCGCCGCCTCGTCGAAAGCATCTGTGAGCAAACTTCTTGATGCAGTGATAGCCTGCTACTCGAGCAATATCAGCTCCTGAAAAGGGCTCCTCTAGCTGAACGGGGTCATACACCCATTTTCCATCGTTGAACGTCTCTGATGTACACATGCTTTCGGTAGTGTGGTTTGTGTTGGTTTTGCTGTTGGGAGCTTGTTGCGGTGCTGGCGATTTTGGATTTTCTATATTCTTCATTGACGGGTTTAAGGAGCTGGGAGCTTTGTACACAGTGATCCAGAGGACAATGCAGCCCACTAGTGCAGCTATATACACATACTTGATATTGGAAGCGTTGTCCCTTCGCACTGTAACTGATGGTGATGCTAAAGAAACCATGTGTCTGTTGATGATGATTCTTGGGATCGATCAAGAAGTAAGAAGAAATGAGAAGAAGAGCAAGGGATTCTCGAAAGGAGAGTGAAATAAATCCAAGTTGATGGCATTTCTTGTTTCCTATTTAAGTTACATGGAGGCAAATTGATCTCTTAGCACATCAGACATTAAACGCAAATTAAATGAACTGATTGAAACCTTGAAATGTTTATATTTGACGCAATAAAGTAATTAACCACATATCAAGTAGTTTCAAGGGGTGTATAGAAAGGTCAAGAAAGAGCATAGCCATTTGCTTGGGCAATCATGATTTGTTTGCATTTCTGGATATACAAATGAATCCTTCCCACATGTCCTTTTATTCAATAAGTTTGTATCACTTTATAAAACTCAACTGGAGCGACGATCAAATCATTCCACAACAAAACAGAGTAACGCTACACAAGGAAGTGCTTCTGTGCATCTGTCGAACCAACTCTGTGTTGGACAGTTGCTCAATCTTTAGTTAATGTTGCCCAGCGTGAGAAGCATTTCATCTTTTATGCTATCCAGTTCAATTCGTACCAGACATGGTAATAACAACCGCATTCATCCAAACCATGACTTGTAGTAGTTCAAAATTACGTAGCGCACATGAACGCTTGAGCCATCTTGATAAGACATGCTGTATCCCAGACTCTCTTACAACCAATCACAGTTTTTCTGGTTGCCATGTAGTAAAGTAAATATGATTATACCGATGAAAGATTCTTTCCATCGAATTTTGTATACAAGCAATGTCTGTCATTAACATGAAGAGATTAGAGCCAAGTAGTTGCTGGCTTCTGAAGAGCAGGAATGGTCCAATATCTTACGGCAAGCTTCAAGCGCTACGCGACAATCTTATTACAGAAGCTGACAGCGATTGTATCTACTCAAATTATCGAGAGGAATCATAACGTCGGTTGATCCGAACTGAAAGGCACCAGTTGGACGCTACAATTGCCCCTGAGCCCATGTTTAACGCCCAGACGAGCGCCGTCAATTGTTTGATCTGGATATCTCTTCATACCTTTTGACATTTGAGCATCGCTCGCCGTAAATTCATGGGCTATTGATATTTGCTCAATGCAAATGACATTAAGATTTCAAGTTGGTTGGGTGCTGCAAGTTGATTTTCTTTTAAATTTCAATATAGATCTTGGATACTATCAAACAAGACTCAATGGCATCCACGCCTAGAAATTGTTCGATTTGGAGCATGCAATGCCAGCCTTAAAATTGCGTGGTGATGAATTAGAATAAGTATGCCCATATATAAAATTAGAATGAATCGATTTTTGGAGGCAATTTTGCCGAGTAAACAGTATAGCATGCGTCCTCCATGTTTTTTTTTTTTTTTCATATTGATGCTTGACCACATCTTGAAATTTCAGATGACATACATCCAAATATACATTTGAAAGCGTTATAGGCTATGTCCCACATGGCAATGGTACGTTTCTTCTTCAGAGTTGCTTTTCCAATTGAAGCATTGATCAAGAACATCATGACATGTGCCTCCTCCCATCTATATGAAAGCCCTTCCAAATGTGATACATCTATACAAGACTACGCTTTACATTGGCATTCACATTGCTGTAGCTAATTGACAATAGACAACGCCCTGCTGATCAGATAGATGCCTTGCTAGGCCAGCCATCGTGATCCAATGGCCAACATGTACTATAAGCCGTAAGCGGGTTCACTAGCTCACGATATGGCGTATCGTAGTAGAGTCACAACAGGGCCCTCCCCCCTCACTTTGAGCAAAGAACGGAATCTAAATTCGCAATACGCACCACCCTTCCCCCAGTTTTCAGCTTTGTTTTGATTTTATTTCTCTTTCTTTTTTATATTTTCAACCCCTCTCCCCTAGTTTATCATTAACAGGAAACTAAATATGTTGAGAAACGCTACTCGTCTTGCACGCCCCACCTTGGCTGCTTTCGCCAGATCCACTCCTGCCGTAAGAACATGCAAAGAATCAGCTCAATAGACTCCATATCATTAACATTCTTCTAGCGTCTCAACCTCGGTGCTGCTTCTGTTGCTATGAGAACTTATGCTTCTGCTAAGCCCTCTACCTCTGAAGTTTCTTCTATCCTCGAGCAACGCATCCTTGGTGCCAACTCCGAGGTTGACCTCCAAGAAACTGGCCGTGTCTTGTCCATTGGTGATGGTATTGCCCGTGTTTACGGTTTGAAGAACTGTCAAGCTGAAGAAATGGTTGAGTTCTCCAGTGGCCTCAAGGTAATTAACATGAGGATAAGCAAGAGAAGGAGATTGGAAGAGAGAGAGAGAGAGGGAGAGAGAGGAGTCTTGGAAGGATAAATGGCAGAGAAATTGACACTTGATATGTAATATGTAGGGTATGGCCCTTAACTTGGAAGCTGATAACGTCGGTATTGTCGTTTTCGGTAACGATCGTTTGATCAAGGAAGGTGATACTGTCAAGCGTACTGGTGCCATTGTTGATGTCCCCATTGGTCCTGGTATCCTTGGTCGTGTTGTCGATGCCCTTGGTAACCCCATTGATGGTAAGGGTCCTCTTGACACTGTTGGCCGTTCTCGTGTCCAAGTCAAGGCTCCCGGTATTTTGCCTCGTCACTCTGTCAACGAGCCTATGCAAACCGGTATCAAGTCTGTTGATTCCATGGTCCCTATCGGTCGTGGTCAACGTGAATTGATTATTGGTGATCGTCAAACTGGTAAGACTGCCGTCGCTCTCGATACCATCTTGAACCAAAAGAACTGGAACAACGGTTCTGATGAAGCCAAGAAGTTGTACTGTATCTATGTTGCTGTCGGTCAAAAGCGTTCTACTGTTGCTCAACTTGTCAGAACTCTCGAAGAGAATGGTAACTATAAAGCGTGTTGGATGAGAAATAGATCGTGTGTATTGACAGGCTTGAATTAGATGCCATGAAGTACACCATTGTCGTTGCTGCTACTGCCTCTGAAGCCGCTCCTCTCCAATATCTTGCTCCTTTCTCTGGTGCTGCCTTTGGTGAATGGTTCCGTGACAACGGTCGCCACTCTTTGATCATCTATGACGATTTGTCCAAGCAAGCTGTCGCTTACCGTCAAATGTCTCTCTTGCTTCGTCGTCCTCCCGGTCGTGAAGCTTACCCTGGTGATGTCTTCTATCTTCACTCTCGTCTTTTGGAACGTGCTGCCAAGATGAACAAGAGCTTCGGTTACGGTTCCATGACCGCTCTTCCCATTATTGAAACCCAAGGTGGTGATGTTTCTGCTTATATTCCCACTAACGTTATTTCCATTACTGATGGTCAAATTTTCTTGGAAGCCGAACTCTTCTTCAAGGGTATTCGTCCTGCTATTAACGTTGGTCTTTCCGTCTCTCGTGTCGGTTCCGCTGCTCAAACCAAGGCCATGAAGCAAGTTGCTGGTTCCATGAAGCTCTTCTTGGCCCAATATCGTGAAGTTGCCGCTTTCGCCCAATTCGGTTCTGATTTGGATGCCTCCACTCAATTCTTGTTGAACCGTGGTGCCCGTCTTACTGAATTGTTGAAGCAACCTCAATACTCTCCTTTGTCTATCCAAGCTCAAGTTCCTATCATCTTTGCTGGTGTCAACGGTTATCTCGATAAGATCCCCGTTAACAAGGTTGTTGATTGGGAAAAGGACTTCATTAGCCACGTTGCTACTCAACACAGCGATATCCTCGAGGAAATCCGTGCCAAGGGTGTCCTCTCCAAGGAACTCGAGACCAAGCTCCGTGATGTCTGTGATAACCATGCCAAGGGTTTCTATTAAGTTATATTGAACTAACAAATGCTTTTTTTTTTCCTTTCCTCAACTCTAAACTACCTTTATTATTAAAAAATCATCAAAAAGAGAAAATATTCTACAAATCATTAAAGATCTATTTGTGTCATCCCTATTTTACATTTCATTTTTTTTTATTATTTCTCTAAGGAAGTAACATCAAAAGCTCTGCATTTGTTCTTGAACACTTGTAAGGTACGTTCTCTAATAATTTCCTCTACATATCGCTCGTTGGAGACGGATTGACGCTGTTAAATCAAAGTTGAATCAGCAAACATCTTTGCTTTGCCATCAAGTATGAGTACATTACCATGGATTCTTGGGTGAAAATACTGTTCTTGATGTCGAAATCATCGGGATCCTCTTGCAACTTTTTGTTCTTTTTGTCAAGATCCTCATCCATCAACTGATGTCCACAGCATTGTTAAAGACGCACGCACACACACACACACGTAAAATCTTCAATGTCAATTTACATACCTTGAGACAGTAATCAATGGCCTGATCACGTTGTGCATATGCTTCAGACATTTGCTTGAAGAATTCTCCACATACACCTTCGGCTTGTGTCGAGGTGGAGTTGAGTCTGTTGATAATGTTATCATCTACTTTACGGAATTCCTTCATAAAGTCTATCATGACTATTAGACAACGCACATTGTATAGGACGTATTTGCTGCTATTTTACCTTTGAAGAAGGAAAAGTTGAAACAAATGGAGGGAGTGAGTTCTCTTTTAGCGGTGGACATGGCTGATAGTATTTGACAGAAGAAGAAAAAAATGCAAAAGAAGGAATTTTCAAACCAGGCAAGGGTGATTGCAACTTGCCTGGCATTTTCACTTCGGGAAATGAAAGATGGAGTCTTCCTCAGTCTACTGGAAAGGGGTAGCCATCCAGATGACATTCAATAAAAAAGTAACTGTGTTTTCATTACTGCTGCTGCTGTATTCCAGGTTATTTAGTAAATCAGTCAGTTGCATGATACTACTGCTGCACAAGGGTAAACTTGGCGTCTTTTGCTTGATAGTTGGCAACCATTCATCATAGTTTGAATTTCTAATCATGCTATGCATGCCAAATCATGTGAGTTTTTACACAGAGAAACTAGTATTACATTTTATTTATTAAAGACAAAGATTATATTACAGACGAGCCTTAGCAGCAATTTCCTTTTGCTCCTTCTTCACCCAATCCTTCACTTGACGTCTAAGGATCTTTCCACTAGGACTCTTGGGAATAACATCGACAAACTTGACACCACCACGAAGCTTCTTATAGTTGGTGACATTGGATGCCACATACTCGTCAATAAGCTTGGCAGTTTTATCACTCTTTTCGACAGAAGGTTGAAGAACCACATAGGCTCGAGGAATCTCGGTTGCTTGGGACTCATCGTATAGACCGACAACACAGCAATCAGCAATGATATCAAGACCCATAAGAATGGCTTCTAATTCAGCAGGAGCCACTTGATAACCCTTATACTTGATGAGCTCCTTGATACGGTCCAAAATGAAGAATTCGCCAGTCTTGGAGTCGTATTTGCCAACATCACCTGTGCGCATCCAACCGTCTTGTGTGAAAGTCTCAGCATTGGCCTTGTCGTTGTTGAAGTAGCCCTTCATGATACTAGGCCCACGGAACAGGAATTCACCCTCTTCATCATCACCCAACTCTTGACCCTTTTCATTGACAATCTTACATTCCATGTTTGCACTTAAAATACCAATGGAGCCTATTGCATTTTGCGTGAGAATTCGTATTACCTAAACTGTGGACATTATGCCTTTTTTTCAGGGCAATTTCCTTACCTGGAACACCACCTTCAAGACTTTGGGAAATTACACCAGAAGTAGTTTCTGTCATACCGTAACTATAATGTCGGTTAAAATCCACTCCCGTTTTTTCAACATCACAACAAATAAATAACTTACCCTTGCTTCAATTGAGCAGGAATACGTTTGGCAAGAGCCTCAATGTGCTCTCTGCTCAAAGGGGCGGCGCCACAACCCAAGAGTCGAATGGTGCTTAAGTCGTATTTAGCGACAACAGGGTGTTTAGCGAGCAAAACAGCTATATATATATATATGCAAACATCAGATTTCCCATTTTCTGGATATTCCGCACAAGTAAAACCTACCGACTGGAGGGACAATACTGGCCAGTGTCACCTTATACTTTTCAACCAATTTACACAATAGCTCCAAATCGAATCTTGCCATGATAACTACAGGAATGACCTTGTAAAAGGCATTCAGCACTAGACTTGTTAAACCATAGATGTGATAGAATGGGAGGAAACCAAGAATAACATCATCGTCATGGCGGTCTTCCTCTGGCTCAGCATTGATTGTTTGAACGACTTGAGCAATAAAGTTCTTGTGAGTCAACATGACACCCTTGGCGAGGCCTGTAGTGCCACTGGAATAACAGATGAATGCGGTATCATTGTAACCATCAATGCCTTGGAGAGGAGTGTTTACAGGCTTGTTACCAGACAATGAGCTATAGGGGCGACATCCTTCAACTTCTTTATCACCAAACAAGAAGATGCGACTACGAGGAAGGCCAATCTTATCGGTGATCTTCAACAAGACAGGCAACAATCCAGGCACAGTAACAAGAGCACTGGCTTGACAATTGGTGATTTGATGCTCGAATTCGGCTAGATCACGATGTATTTAGAGTCTCCCTCGGATATTTTGATATTCTACAGTGATACTTACCTTCAGTGTATGCAGGATTGCCGGGAGAAATGGTGCATTTAGCACCAAGAAGAGAGAGATAGAGAATAACATGGTCGTATTGATTAGGAGCAAAGACAGCGACAGTATCGCCCTTCTTCAATCCAACATTCTCGGTCCAGCCGTTTGCCATGTAACTTGCTCTTTCGCGGATTTGATTCCAAGTGAGTGTTCTGCCAGTTTCTCCATCAATGGTAACGGGTTTATTCAAGTCTTTGGTTTGGTTGAATTCATTCGAGTTGAAGAGAAATGAATAAAGGTCGATGTTGGGAACAGGAATAGATGGAACAGTAGCTTTGTAAATGACCATTGTATGTTGTGAAAAATTAGAGAAAAAGAGAGAAAAAAAGAGAGATCTTGTGATGTACACAGGATTTCATCCACATTTTTATATAAACCTTTTTTTTTTCAGGCTAAAGAAGTTGAACGATCAAAGATTAGTGGTAAAGATTTTAATCAGTGGGAAAACCGTTAGTAATCCGTATGTAAATGCGGGGAAATGTATGTTTATTTCATCCCAAACTACAGAACACGCTGACTTGCCCATTAAATAGCCGCCTTCTGTGGGGCTGTATCACGAATATCTCTGTTTTTTTCCCACTTTAAATTTGATTTCATAATGGGATTTTGGCTTCTTTATTGTCCTGGACCGATGACACCTCTCACATTTCAATAACACGACAGTCTTAAATGACTAGCCCTGAAATTAAGGTACAAGACAAACATGCCTGTCAAAATATTGCCATCAACGGCTATATCAAATTGGATCTCCATGAGTTTAATTCAAGTGCAATTACCCAATAATCAATTCACTTTAGCCAAAAGTCTTTAATTTATCCATACACTTATGTCATGGCAGAAGCAAACTTATCTTTATTGCTGTTCAAGATAGCCTTGCAAAACACTGCCGGCTAAATCTCCCAATTTCTCAACGGTATATCCGCCCTCTTGCACAAACAAGACTGGACGATGCTTTGTACCAGTACAAGTCTTGAATAGTGCGCCCATCTTCTTGTATGTGTTCATGTCTTGAAGACCCTTCATGCCAGCGATAGGATCCTCAAACCATGTGTCCAAACCCATAGATACAATGACAATATCAGCACCAAAATCAACGACACTCTGATTGTTCAGCGCACCCTCAAGATGTTGGAGATAGATGCTGTCAGTGGTAACTGTGGGATCAAGGGGTATGTTGAGATTGTAACCTTTACCAGCACCCTGACCTGTCTCTTCAGCAGACCCAGTAAAGAAGGGATAATTAGGAGCACCATGAAGTGAAATGTAAAAGACAGAAGGATCCTCGTAAAAGATATCTTGGGTACCATTACCACTATTAAATGTGAGCATCGTCATTAGAAAGTTCAGGAAAAGGATAGGTCTTTGCTGTGGAACTTACTGATGGTAGTCAATGTCAACAATCAGGATCTTTTTTTTGTCTTTGCTTGTGCCCACACTGAATCGTCTGTTGCGAACTGCTTCCAAATCGAATCCATATGGCTTTTTGGCATTGTTCATGTCCTCCAGCGTGTAGTTTTGCAAGAAACGAGCAACAACAGATGCATTGTTGATAAAGCAGTAACCAGCAGCCATATGGTCAGAAGCATGATGTCCAGGAGGTCTGCACAAGGCATAGATGGTTTCATTGTGGTCAGGAGATTGTTTAGCTGCAATCGCCTCTGTCAATCGATGGGCTGCAGACAAGACAACTTGGGCAGAGGAGTATGCAGCGCGCCATGTATCTGATGTGAAACCATATAAAAAGTCAGGGGAATGACAATCATGCTTTGTGTATATCTACTTACTTTGAACGAATGGCGTGGATACATCACCAACATAATAGCCCATTTTGCCACTGCAACTTTTCGAAGCATTTTTTCTAATAGTTTCATCACCTAACTTTCCAACAAAGGAGTGTTGAGAGAAGGTATCACCAATGCACATGTCCTTGGTGAGTCCTGAATCGACCCATTCTTGATAGATTGTCTCTAAAAAGTCAACATAATCTTTACGGTGTACATCCAAGATAGGGCCTAGAGAGTAATCATTGGGCTCCACCACCTCAAATTCGGAATGTTCGTCAATAAATTTTTTGATATTCACCAATCGCTTGGGAGATTCTATACATGAAGGAGCTTACATAAGCACCTGGCAACATAAGCTTTTTCAGGCACACGTTTATACTTGCCAACATAGGGTTTGATATGGCCCAGCGTTACCTCCATAGGAGGATTGTGTAAAAGCCCGTCATCACAATAAACCACTTGCATTTTGGATTGAGTCATTTTTTTCTTTGCTGTTGCCGAGTTGAAAGATGATACAGCAACTATTTTTCGCAAGTGGAAATATATATATATATATGCAAATCATAGAGCGGATCACATGATCGTGGTTGTGGATAGATATGCATATTATACTCACAACCTAAAGAGGAAATTTGTTTAGTCAAGCCCAAATGCCAGCTACAGATGACACAAAATAAGAGTAGAAAAGATCGTTTAAACTTATACGCGTAATCTGATTTCTGAACAAATTATGCGAAAAAGTTATTCCTTTCATGCGCTCATTTTTGTATATGCGAGTTTATATTCAAAGTATCACAAGCTATTTTGATTACGATGACAGCTTTGCATCTTACCTTAAGAAGTTTCGTATTTGTTGGCGCTTTTGGCATTGATTAAACCGTCAATATCTCAGAGCCTGCATTTGAAGCCAAATCAATCAGCTATTTTATACTGTAGTACTCTTTGGTGCACAACTTCCTTCTTACTAGCTTTAAATTATTCATTACATTCATGGTAACTGCTGTCTGGCAAGCAGCCGCCGCCAAAAATAATTCCAACTCAGAATCTTGGGCTACTCCAGATTGGTGTAATCCGGACAATAGATAGGCCGTGGGGCATAGGGTGTAGGTAGACCTAGGGAGTACAGAGAGTAGGGTGGTATATAGAATGTAGAAGTGTAATGGCTGTCAAATTTTAAGTCTTATTCATGCAGATTTATTTTCTGATCTCGCAAGTCCAATTTTTTTTTAGCAAATATTTATACTCTTTTGTAACATGCATATACCGTGTTGGAAACATCTTTTAGAAGACGCTCTGCTACGTCCAAATCCGAGGTGAGTACCTTCATTTGTTGTTGCTGCCAATTGTCAATATCCACGAGATATACAATCCCACCAATTGTTTTATAACACCTCGTATAAAAGTGTACACCATCAAAACTAGTCGAGTAGATTCTACCATGCAGTTTATATTTTACGGTCTGCGAATCGTGGATGTATGTTGGCATATAGACATTGTTTCCGGCTGTTCTGCCAAGGACAAAGTTTGCACCATCTTGTACGAACATGAGCTTAGGAAACTGATTGTCTTGAGGTAATGATCTGAAGGATGTAGAGACTCCATCACATCCTGGAGCGTTGCATCTTCCTTTTTAATGTTCCTCGAGCACCTTCTCTCTGAACTAGTCATTGAATTTCGTATCCAGTGCCGCTTCATTGAAAACCCCACGGCGATCTCTCAATTCATTAATGACGTTTGTCGGGAGCATGTAGATAAATGAGAAAAAGTCATCTCTCGCATACGCATGCGCTTTTTTCTACAGAGCAAGGCACTTTTCTTTCACATTGCAACGATGGAAATGTGCAAACCTTGCTGGCAAAGACACTCGACAAACGCTCCAATACCATGCTCGCCAAATCAAGAATATCACCCTGACGACCTTTTGGGAATGACTTAACCAGCTGACGAACACCAGAGACAAGCTTGTATTCTGTCATATTCCAAACAAAGTGCCTCACAGTAGAAGTAGCAGCACGGATACCAGAAGGTGATTGCTGAGAATATGATTCAAAAGCATTCATGAGTAGACAATCATAGGCGTTGTTTTCATCAGCGAAAGACATATCCACAAATGGAAGGACAGCATTGAACAGAAGCTCAAAAAACGCATCGATGAAGCAGGAGTTACTTTCGTTTGACACAATATAGGTGGGAACGGGCAGAGATGGGTGGCTGTCTGGATGGTTATTTTGATCATCTTTCACGAGCCACTGATATTTCTGCAAGAGAGATGTTCTTTTTTTGTGGCAACAGGAAGCCAGCAGCGGTAGATGAGTCGTTCTCAAGCGAAGGTTGATCTGCTGTTGTGGTTGAACTGCTTGCAATAGGTTCAATTGCTACTGATGCCAAAATCTCAGGGAGCATTGGGGGGAGAGGAAAGATCTATTATAGTAGCGGATGTAAACTTTTGAATGCTTTGTATAATAGGATCAATGTGCTTGCCATTACTTGCAAGACAGGATAAGTTCGAGGAAGACGAAGACAATGAGAAATCAGAATCAGTTGGTGCTCTCATCTTAGATGCAGTAGGCTCAGACTTGGTCTTCATTATTGACGAAGAGGAAGAAGAGGAAGATACAAGATCAATAACAGACGATTCGAAGCTCTCATCAGAGTTGACAACAACATCTTCGACAGAAACACCAGCACCTAATTATTTTTGACATGTTACAACATGAGCAAGTAAAAACCACTTAAAGTATCCGTACCTTTAAGCATATCCTTAATGTCGTTTTCTAGATTCTCGGTTATATGATATCTGTCGTCTACTTCACCGTTTTCACCATCACTATCTGAGAGTAGTTCAAGGAAGAATCTCTCATCGCTGATATTGCCATCTGCAATGTCATCAATCTTTGGACAATTCTGCTCTATTTCGATAACCTCATCCAAATGTTCGTTGATCGCAGCGTTCAAACCAGTGCCGCGAGTTTCTAGTTTCTTGGCCTTTTTACGCTTGCCATTCTCCTCATCACCAATGATTACTACTTGTTGCTTTCTCTTCTTGGATCCAAAGAGAGCAGCGTTGTTGTCTGGCGCACGGCCGTCCTTGATTTCGTAAAGAGTCGCGTACTTCTTTGCCGTTGTTTTCTTCTGATTGTTCCCGTAATGAGGACGAATGTTGTTCTCATACAAGTCCAACATCATCATGCCATGATATTCGGCTACCTGCAATAACAGTCGAAGACTGGTGGCAACAGGTTGTCTCTTCTCAAGCATCAGCTTGTAGAGCGCACTGTGGAATGCCTCAATCGCGTTGGACATGCGACTCTTGTGCTGTCTCAATTCCTTTTTCATCAATGACTTGCATCTGAAGATCATGCTTGATACGCCAGGCTGTAACCACCATTGCAGCCACTTTTTGCTATTGGGAAATTTAGAGAGAATCTCTTGGCCGGTACGGTAGAATTCAATTGAACTGCTGGTTGTACGGAAGCGATGAACTAGCTTCAAAAAACAGATCAATATCATCTGGCTTGACAACTTGATGATTGTTAGACAGCCGTCTGACTGACTGCATCCAATGCATATAGCAACCTTTCAAAAAGGGCAATGCGTCGTGCTGCTTGACACCAAAAACCTCCCTAAGAGCTAGTATGAGCCCTTCGCGCTGTGCAGCTGAGAAATCCGTGATGGCTCCAAAAACTGCTCTAGCTTGATGTTGAACTTTCTAAACAAGGCAACAAAATACTGCTTGAAAACTTGAGCGCTGTTGCTTTTGATTATCGCTTGATAAAAGACGACATGCTTTTGGAGTTGCTCGATGTATATGACACTTGAGCAAAGATAATACTCCTTTGGGACGGCCTTGAATGTAACATCTGTTACGATGGGTTGGTCGGCAAAAGGCAGATTGCGTTGAAGCATTTCTGGTGAGCAAAAGCTTACAAAATAATTGCTAGGGAGAGTTTGGGCTGAATCCATGAAGTGTGGATACTTCTCATCAAGATCTTGGAACGCAGCTACAGCATCATCTTCTTTTGTAGTATACAGATCCTGTTGGATCTTTGATCTTTGGATCTCATACTTAGTACGTCCATGATTAACCATCAAATTGTTAATTTTTCTGACACTTTTCGTAATTTCACCAGTATAGAGATCAATGCCAGAAATGGCAGCAGCAGCAGTGATGTTTGGTCTTGTTTTTACCATCTTATTAAGCTCCCTCTTTTCGTATCTATTGAGATAGAGCGAATTGTAAATGGTGTGTGTGTGCTTCGTTTCTGTTATTTCTTGACGCATTGTTACGGTACTGCCTCTGTCTTCTCTGCGAGAGTCATTTACACGGAAGGTAAAAGTTACAGGAACACCACAAGGAACCTTCTCCAATGGCACCTTACAATATGGGCATTCAAACCTTTTGGAGTAGCCATAACTGTCTTTTTCCTTTGTGGGTGGCCGTTGATCTTTGTCCCCTTCAAGTCTCTTGCATTGCAAGCTTAAACATCGTAAAGCACCAGCGCACAACTTTCGAATTCTTCTGTCGTAAATACTTTCACCATCAGCGAGTTTTTCGACCGGCTTCTTCTCGTTGTAAGCTATGGTGTAGCTTTTCTTCAAAGCCCATCCAATATTCACTCTTTTGATTCTGAATGTATTGGTGGTGCGGTCGAATACAGCGGGAAGAACCTCTTCAACGGTTTCGTCAGGAAACTTATTGACAGAATTATATTCAATTTCATAACTTGAGTTATCCATATTGCTCAAAGTATCAAAGAAATGGAGTAAGGTAATGAACAAAAAGATGTGCCTGATCCCACGAGTCAAAACACTTTTGCTGCTTTCTCCAGTTGAGAAGTAAATAATGCACCCTTCCCTCTATACTCCCTCGGTCTACCTACACCTTATGCATCCTGTATCTACCTACACCTATACACCCTATCCCTACCTGCGCCCTATGCCCCACGGCCTATTTATTATCCGGATTACACCCTAACTTTTATACACCCTTTTTATCCTACACCCTCCAGATTGGACAAATCTTGATGCTTTTCGACTCGATTGAACTATCTTTGCATATTCGACTAAGTAAAATATGACAATCATCCTCTGCTTCTTTAAGCCTCCATTTGCGATACGGCAGAGACTATGCAAGATGCTGCAGTATGTTTTTATTGTAAACTATATACCACTGACCCCATAGATTATACCAGCATCTCTGAACTCTGCAACACCATCCCTGCCTCAACACAGATCCCAGTAAACAGCCAACCCACCTTGGAGACGCCATTTACCATTGACGAGATTATGACTGGTGCACAGCGGTCGCCCAGCCATAGCAGCCCAGGTACGGATGGCCTACCCTATGAAATCCTAGCGGTGCTACTATCCCACCAACAAACAGCCCAACTTGCCCATGCCGTCTTCAAGGAGGCTCTTACCCCTCGGTATCTTTCCCGACAGCTGGCTCACTATTTGCATGTGCCTGCTCCCTAAAAAGGGCGATCTCACAGACCTGAGGAAATTTCGTCCCAACTCGTTAATCAACTGCGATGCCAAAATCTTCACACGCCTGCTCAACCAGCGTCTGATGCCACATATGCAACAACTAATCAGCCCTCAACAACTTGGATTCATGCCGAACCGCTTCATTGGCGAGCACGGCTTCACATTACAGACCACCAAACTCCTAGCTACTACCAACCACTCATCCACCATTGCCCTTCTTTTGGATCAAGAAAAAGCATATGATCGTATTCATCCCGAATATCTTCAACACATTATGCTCCAATTTGGTATTCCACGATCATTAATACACTGTATCATCTCACTTTTCTTCTCCACTAACATTCAGATCAACATTAATGGCCACATCACCACGGCACCTCTTCCTCAAGAAAGAGGTCTTCGCCAAGGTGATCCACTCAGTCCCCTCCTTTTCAACATTGCTTTTGACCCTTTCCTCCGCTCCATTCAACAGAACCCTACTTTTGAGGGTTTCCATGTACAACAAGAAGCCCCACCACATCCATCACCTACTGTTGACATAGACAATCTAACCGAAAGCCTCACCAACGCATCCTCTCCGCCAGCCTCCCCTCGCAACACTCCTTCAGTCTCTCCCACCCATCGCAATCCAATTAAGTACAAAATTCTAACCTATGCAGATGACACATTAGTCTATTTGAAGAACTTTTCGGGTTTTCTTCTTCTGCAGGACTCTATCAATACATACATGAAAGCATCGAATGCACTACTAAATTACAGGAAAACTATAGCCATTTCGCTCTCTGGACACCCACAACCAGATTGGCGCGAGTTTCTTGCTACTCACCAAATCCACCAAATGCATGACCGCACCTCTCCTGATCCAGTAATATATCTTGGCTATCCCATATGCTCCAGTTTATCTCAACGCAACCTCGCTTTCCAGCAACTCTACAACAATATCCAACAATGCATCCATATTCCTCCATTCGTGGAAGAGCTACCGTTCTCAACACACTCATTTTCTCGAAACTCTGGCATGTCATGCGCAACTTTATTTTCACCAAAGCTCAATTGCTCTCCTTACGCAGCCTTGGGTCCTCCTTCATTAACTTTCGTATTTTCCCCAAACTATCCTTTAGAACCCTTCAACAGCCTCGCCGTCATGGCGGCCTCCAAGTTTTAGATCCCATTGTCCAACAACAAGCTCTCCAATGGCGCTGGATTTGCCCCCTCATTTTAGCCACCTGTCATTCACCACTATTACCGACATACACCACCCCAAACATTCCACTCTTTCAGTACACCTTGCAATGGTATTTCCACTCTACCGCTTTCTCTGATTACTTTTACTACTTACTCTTTCCTGCTGCTCGACAAACCATCTGGTTCCAACATCGACCCAGCCCACACCAAGCTTTCCTTAACATACTTACCAATGTCATTACCACCATGGATCAAGTACCTCGCTCCTTCACAACCTGTCACTTAGATTTTCATACAGGTTTATCATTACCTTTCCTTGAAATTATCTTACATACCCTTCCTTCTACTCACCCCCATTTCTCTTCTTTCACAGCTCCAGATCAACTGTTTGACCGACATCACGCCGTCCAGAAACTGCTCGCAATAGATGTGTTTACCTTTGACTTGGACTTACAAGTGATCCGTCTTAGAAACTGGACCTTCCTTGAGTTTTGCCATTATCCAAGAATATCTCATCGAGTTGCCCGTTGGATTGAGGAAGGCCAAATCTACCTCCAACCATTCTTTCTCGCTCTCTGCCGTCAGGCCCCTCGCCATTCATTTACCAGTGCCTCCTTTGGTGCCAACCCCCACAACATCCGCCCACTCATTCGCCGTCTTATCAAACCTATAACACCACTACCTTCAACAGTGCCACTCAACAGTATTCAATACTACAAACACTTGGTTTCCACTGAAATGCCCACCATCAACACTTCACCTCTTTCCCCCTCCCAATGGCGCCTCTTTTGGAAACTACCTATTCTCCTTCAATCCCGAACTGTATGGTATAGACTTATCCATCGAAAAATTCCCTCCAAATCGATCCTCCACCACTTCATCCCCACAACTCACCCTTCACCTTCGTGTCCTCTCTGTTTGACCCAGAGCCCGGAGGATATCCAACATTTCTTCTTTACTTGTCCTCTCAAACTCGCTGTATGGCGGTTCCTTGCCACTACATACCTATCCCACACACCGATGACCGACGACGTCCATCTCCCATTCCTCCACGGCATTCAAACTCTATCCTTAGCTGAACCCACTCGCTCTGCCTCCTTACCTTTTCCAGAGCTTACCGTTTACCAAGTTTTCGCTACCAGTCTACTCTGTATATGGCAAGCCCACTGGCGCTCCATCTTCGACCATGTCCCTTTTGTCACCCTCAACGTTAACACATCTATTGCCCGTTCTCTGTCTCGCTTGGAATCGGAATTACAGTTTGATTTGTAAGTATGTACCCCCACGTATTTTATGGTCGTATTCCACTTCCTTGCTTCCCTTCTTCATTTCCTTGCCTTTAAAAATATATCCAGTCTTCTTCTTCCCTCATCATGACATTTAGAGGACTTTAAATAAAAATGGAGTACAACTTCCCTACAAAAAGAAAATGCTTCTTTAAGTTTTCTTGGAGTGCTTTTCAAGGCGTATCCACTGGTACCAAGTAAGATAGATGTTTTGAATACACTTATTGAATGATTTGTAAAAATATGAAAAGAGGTTTCTGGCCAAAATATCGAAATTTTACATATCAAAGTCCCACAAAGATGATTTAAGGGGTTATGTTGGATCGATAGAAACATTTTGATTCAAGATATACCATAGTAAAAGTCTTCGTTATCAAGGTGAAAAATGCGGTCGTTTGAATTTTCAATGAAAACCATGAGGTATATCCCTCATGCTTTTTGGGTGGATTTTTGGCCATGTTTTTTGATCCCCAAAAAGTTGAGCAAAGGTGTCGGTAAGTAACTGCCAGATGAGAGCAACTGTTTGGTGCTATTCTGACAATCTAAAACGGCCTTGAACGCAAGAAAACGCAGCTCAAATGCACTCAAATTTTGCTGTATCAGGAACACTAAGGACTAGAAAGGGGGAAACACCAGTATGCTGCTTGCCCGTATATGAAGTAGCTACGTGTATATGAATGTAGAACATCACATAAGAATCAGATCCACAGATAATATAAAGGGGTTTCACGTATAAGTAGAGGGTCAACATGAAAATAGCAGTATTTTGATAAGGAACGCAAGGGCAATTGGTAGTGAGAACTACTGCTGCGCAGGTTGGTTCTCACCGAAGCGAAGCGAAGGTAAAGAACCATCCGAAGCATAAACACTCATATGATTAGTGATTTTATATCAATCAACAATCAAGGTTCTTTTAATATTTTAGCTATGTTAATATTGCGATATTAACCAATGGCCCGCGGCAGCGCGAGCCGTTTGAACGTAGATTGGTTTCCACCAAAGCGAGTAGGTCAGGAAACCACCCGAAGAGTCGAAAGGCTCGTATGCTATAGTAAAAGACTTCTTTTTCAAGGTGAAAAACGCGATCGCTTGATTTTTGATAAAAACTATGAGGTACCCCTTATGGTTTTTTGTTCAATTTTTGACAATGTTTCTTGGGACTCCAAAAAAGTCGAGCAAAGGTGTCAGTGAGTAAATGCTTGATAAAAGTAATTGTTTGATGCTGTTTTGGCTGTCTAAAACGGCTTCTAACGTGAGAAATTACGACTCAGTACGTCCAAATTTCGCCGTTTTGTTTAGTTTCGAGTAGCAACAGATAATACATGCTGTCTACTGGTATATATACTTTTTTTCATTTTTTTACTACCATAGGAAATAGTTTTAAAGGAGTTTCATGAGATAGCCGAAAGCTAGAAAGTTAGCCTTAGTAGAGTCTATTAGAGTGAAACTTTGAGATCCAAATTAGCCGTACGGCATGAGCAAGTATCATTCCATCCTTATCTCAAGGATGGTTTGTAGTATGCTCCGTCGTCATCGATTATAGACATTGGCCTATAATGGCCTACAAATCTTATATTTGTGTCGCCGCCGTTATTGTTGGATTTTGTAATTTCTCGAACTCTGCACCCAAAATCATACAGAGTCAATAGCATTGTGTGTGCAACTGTGTACAACGCATCCATTAGTGTGTTCATAGACTTATCTTGTACGGAAAAGTGCGAGAAATTCTAGATCTTCACTGGCCGAAAAAAAATCGACATCTAAAACTCAAATGTCAAATGAAAGGGAAGCAGAATTGAATTCTACATTTGATATGGTTTAGATATGTCTCACTAAAAAAATAACCTTATCAGTTGTGAAAAGAGTTCTGCTTAGTTCTATTGCGATGAAGTATAGAGTCTGGGAAAGGCCTCGATCCGTGTTATTGTGAGAAGAGAATGAAAATGCTCAAACCTTAACTCAAAGAGCCGTGTCAAAAAAAAAAAAAAAACGCCAATTGTTTGTTATTTTGCGGTTATGTGTAGCAAAGGAGAAAGGAGGTCCTTCTACGTAATTTTGCAAACAAAGGCGTCATTTCTAGAATCCAAATTGGCAATTGTGTGTTCTTGATGATCCTCATTTAATCATTCATGAGAAGAACCACTGCACTTCCTAGTGATTATAAGTTTATTTAGATTGATATACCCTAATTTTGAGACTATGCCGACGTTAGGACTTCCATGTTTATTATTGCATTCGCCAATAATTGCGTGCTTAGCACTTTGTCTCGCTTTTTTTTTAGTGAAAACTGACCAACGCAGACATTCAGCATAGCCTGGCTTGAGTACATTGCATTTGTTTTATGTTTGGAACACTGTCGACTATATTTGGAATTTCCCTCATAAAATAAAGTTTGATGCTATTGAATAAATTTGACGAGATTTCTTGGTTGTTTTCTGTAGAGCATTTAGACTAATGATAACATCAGGCCGATCATGTAAAATTTTCATTCCTTTTTGGTTTTTTCGAGAAAATATTTTTGTTCAATAATACTGAAAAGGGAATGTGTATCTTCGTCCAGGTGTATATAGGGGTATCTTATTAAACAACAGCGCTAGATTTCCATGGAATATTTTTATAAAAATGTACAGGTTTGATTTGCCTTACATCATGATGATTATATATCGAGTGGAATCTGAAAATGGAACGTAAAACCAGCAGTCTGGTTGATGATCTATGCAGAAAAAACAAAGGCGATAAGTGGCAAATCAACTCAAAAGTATATACTTCAGCATTTTCAATTTGTAGTCATCAATTTTATTTGGAAGAGCCAATTGGAAAGGAGCGAAGGGGTATGGTATAAAATAACATCATCACAATCATCAGATGTAAGCATAAAGAATAAGCTATTTGTTAATTTGACGTATCCACTAAAGTAATGGATGAGGCATAAAGGATCAGCATAAAGAGAGTGAGAAATATAGTATTAACAACAAATACAAGCAAAATGAGAGTAAGAGAAATCAAGCAGATGTGTGAAATGATAGGAGATCGCTAGAGGATTCAATATATTACATTTTTGATTTACTATGATGACTAATTACAATTATTTTTATGCTAAATAGGAGATGAGTTCAGGGTAAGAGTGGGAGATAAGTTGATTTGAGATTAATCATACAGAAAAGCTGATGCATTTGGATTGTCATTATACATCTGCTGTGTCTTCTTTGACATGGAGCTCATCGACGATTCAGAGCCAGACACAGAAGATGAAGATTCGACCAAAGTAGGCATACCTGAAAGGATAGGCGGAGGAGGAGCATTGTGTGATAATTGTTCTGATGTGCGACGCAAGTAGGCTTGCTATTTGATTCGGTAAAGATTAGTACTAAACACTAATTAGCAAAAATAATTATAGAAAACTTACCACAACATCACATTCACAGTTGCCGTGAGTTAAAAGAAGGTTACGCAAATAGATACTTTCCTCTCTTAATTGCGAAACTTGTTCTGAAAGTTCTCTATTCTTGGCCTCAGCAGATTGAGATCTCTCTTCAAGGCTGTTGACCCACTTCTTCTTCTTTTGTCTGCAACGATAAGCAGCTTCACGGTTCTTCTCGAGCAGTTTTTTACGTTGCTTCTTGGGCAACGTGTCTCTAGTAGGAGAGGGTGGCGTGAGTGGGATATGATTCGCCGGCAGAGTAGAAACCGTAGATTGTGAATCATGAGAAGGTGGAGATGCCATCTTGATATGGTTATCTTCCGGGCTAGGTGGCATCATCAAGCTTTGTTGGTTGAATTGTTGATCAAATATGTTTGTAGGTTGATTAAATGTATCGACACCATTCATGTAGGAATTCAATTCATTGATGGAGGCTTGATTGAAGTTCCAATCACTGTTTTGCATAGGATTCTCCATTAACAACTTGGTGGGTGTCAAGGTGGCAGTAGATGCGTGTTGGTAGTTTGTATCTAGCAGATTTATTTCCGATTAATATCTTCGGTCTAGTTTTAAAAGAGAATGAAGCAAATAAGATGTCTCATTTATATATACCTTTGAACATTTATATAGATTCTTTCTGCTTTTTCTTGGTTATTTGAAGATTTGCAATCTGCTGTAAAAAAAAAAATAAAAATAAAAAAATAAAAAAAAGCTAGATTTATTTTTCCAGTTTACAAAAGTGCACGAAATCTATGCCCCTTTTATAGGCTTTGAATTCATGGTTTTTTTGGTTTAGGATTAGGCTCTCTTTTTTTGGTTTTTATGATATAGCATTTTTTTCAAGTCCAGTTTTTTTTTTTTCATCATGCAGAACCGTCCCCATTAGCCCCAAGCAAGGATTTTCGGAATACCTCATGATGTGGTGCTAACTCATTTCGGAGGGTAATTTTGTAGCTTTGACTTTGGTTGGTTAGGTTGTCAGCTTGATGATATAAAGGAGCCTTGGGGGGTGCTGCTGCTTTGGGTTTGAAGAAAGTTAAATTTCCTGCCTGCCATGAAATTAGAAATGAATAATCCGAACATTTAAATAAGTCAACTACATGAAAATGTCCCGTTTCGAATAAAACTTGGTGTGATTTCATGTATATAAGAAGGTCTCTTTTTTTTTTCTCATTGATGAGACGGACACAATATTTTGGTTATTTACGTTTTTGTTCGACCAGAATCTATTATTCCAACATTCGAACCTTATTTGATTACACACACACACGTGGAAATAAATAGTAAAGTTATAGATAGCATGTCCATTATACATTTGCCTGGTATGCGATATATTCGAGACGGACAGATTGAAGATATTGAAGACGATGAGGATAGAAAAATCGAATTATTACCACAACATTGGAAGCCAATGGAACAGCATCCGCAACATCAAGCTTTCTATCAAACAACAGCTGATTATAACGAAGCGGCAACATTTGAATTATTAAGAAATAGATCTTACCTGGAATCAGCGGCACTCTCAGCAGGGTTGCCTCCACCTCCTCCACAACAACAACAACCTCACTACTCGTTCTCCCCGCAGCAGATTTATGCCAATGCTCCAGGCAATTACTATCAGCAGTCGCTGCCACCACTGCCACAACAACAACAACAACAACAACAACAACAACAACAACAGCAGCAGCAGCAGCAGCAGCAATTGGATTTACAGAAGCGTCCTATTAGAAAAAGAAGAAGGCCCCCTCATTCGTATGCCTCATTGATTGCACAAGCAATTTTAACATCAAGAGATCAGCGACTCACCCTGAGAGAAATCTACGAATGGGTTCAAACCAGATATCCCCACCTTTATGAAGCTAATGAAACCGGTTGGCAGGTAACCTCCACCTGATTTGGGCTGTTTGTTTCAGCTCTGGAATCATTAATCTCCTTGAATTTTCCCTTTAGAACACTATTCGTCACAACCTATCACTGAACCGATGCTTTCGAAAACTCCCTCGATTGTCACAGGATAATACAGGCAAAGGCAAAGGCAGCAAGGGTGGCTACTGGACAGTTGATCTGGAGCAACTGAATAATACAAACTTTGGACGGCAAATTCTTGATAGTGGGTTTTTGGGTAACATTGAGTACTGGCATCAGCAACAACAACAACAACAACAACAACAGCAGCAGCACCAGCACCAGCAACAGCAACAGCAGCAGCAGCAACAACAACAACAACAGCAACAACAGCAACAACAACAGCAACAACAGCAACAAGTAAACGACAGAGTTAGCTTAGTCGATGAAATCGATTTCAGCAATCTGGTCTCGCCATTCTATCAATCGAACGGCAATGCTAATGGTACAAATGCATCAGCAAACGGCACATCAGCGAGCAATGACAACAATAATGCAGTAGATCAAACAGGCAATCATCATCATACACCTGAACGATATACAACCGACGCCGACGAGAATGCAAGAATGGCCTCTTTCCTTGCCAGATTTAACAGCAATAAACGATCCATGTCATCATTAGGAAGCATGTCGAGCTCCAAAACGAGTTCAGTGAGAGGTTCAACATCTCCCCATTCACCTGCTACCACAGATATGGATGCACCTATTTTATCATCGCAATTACAGCAGCAATACCATCAGAAGCTAGACATGGATCCCTTATTAAATCCATCATTGATGAGAGTCAACAACATCTTAAACTAATAATAAAAAATTGGGGGAGGGAAGGGTCATCGTAAGGCTAATAAATTATCACACTATAATACGAGTTTCTATTCATCTAGTGTAAATCTATATTTATTGAGCTCCTCCATTTCGATTTTGTTCTATAGGTTACTACGCCAATTTGCTAAATTTTGCTCATTTCATGTCTGTTGCTGATTCGACAGGGCGATGAGTTTCTAAGCTTTTCTTGACTTTTTCAACGCTTTTAGGCAATTTCGATCTGTTGACCCTTCGCTTTTACGATTTGCGAGGCCATTGTATTGGGTATACACTCCTCGCTGGCTTGACTGGGTTCCAATTGTAATCAGAAAGCGTGGCTATATGGAGTCTTGACACTAAAGCCAATTGTTGAGCATTATGAAAACGCCAATCACTAAAACAGCTCAAAACAAAAACTATGGTTTTTATTAATTAGGAAAAATCCCATTTTTTTTATGGGCTGGGAATATATTTATTCACTTATAGCGCAGAAACTAGCACCAAAAAGATAAGACTACTTGATAAGAGTTTTTTTTTTTTTTTTTTTTTTTTTTTTTTTTTTTTTTTTTTTTTTTTTTTTTTTTAGTGTTGTCATATGGCTCAGAAAAATAAACATTTACGGAAACAAATATTTCAAATCTATTTGATAGGGACGTTCTTGCCAAAATTCACATACTTGAGAGAACAGAAGGATCGCTCATCAATGTATGGGGGATCAGATTCTCACGAACGGGACCATGAACCGTGAACTTTGGCACTAAATTTTTTTTGCTAAACTGAACCATTGTCCCACAAAATAAACAAAAGAATTTGTGCACATTGCGCCTGTCAATTCCCACTTCTGTATTTGTCATGCTTGATAGCTTAATTATGTAAAAATAGCCTAAAATACCTGTTTTGACCTTGAAATTGAATTATACATGACGCAGGTTTGAGTTTAGTGATTGTCCATGCATAGAAGAAGGTTGGCTTTTAAAGCGGTATTCACAGTTTGATATACATTAAGGCTATACAATTAGCAATATGGGGTAAGATTGTATTCTATTTTATCTACATGCAGTATTCATCAAAACTTGTAGCCATGGTTTAGTGGTAAATATCAATTGATACTTAGTAGCAATAGAAGCCAATAGAATATATTAGAAAGCAAATGCCTGTTGTGGACAAGCGCAAGTGAACCATAGTGTTGGATGTTGTATTCAGTTGGTGGCCAGTGATAGTACATTTTTAAATTGATAAACATGGCCATGCTTCTGAATTACATCATTCAGCAAGATCTTCTTTCCTCTGTGCTTTCCATTTACTAAAGATGATATGCATTTACCATAACTGTGGTTTTGTATTGACATTTACGGATAAAATGATCTCATTTAGGTAACACCGTCGTAACTATATTGGGCCATTCACATAATTTCATACTTGGATCTTCATAGATCAGATATTCTAATTTAATGATTACAAATTTATTCACAACATCAAAATAAATAATATTATGTGTGAAGAACTCTCTATGACTCATGCTGTATGATAATTTATGTGTACATTTCTAAAGGCTTTTCATGCAATCCATCGCCATCTCGTAAGCAAAGAAAGTTGCGGCATTGGCTGGGAAGGCTCTGACTAGTGTAGGCCCCAAACCATTGAGGAAGGCTTTGGGCCCACCAGTTCTGTACAATGTCTTGACAACTTGGCCAATTGATTTGTATCTACACAAAATTCGCCATGTTACATTGGGAGAAAATGGAAGAAAATAGGTTGTCTTACCGAAGATCATTCTGATAGTTACTCTTGATGACATCTTGAGGATAGGCAGGAACCCAAGCAGCAAAGCCGGATAAACCACCTGCCATAAGCAGTTCAAATGTACCCAACTCTTGGCCGTCCTTCTTCATGGATTGGAACAAACGTTTCAACCCCTCATAACCGACTACACAAAACAGAACAGATCAGACATGATGTTGACGCAATTTGTGGAATAATTACCAAAGTAAGCAAAGTAACTGGGAGTATCCCTCATCAAGGTAACGCCCATGCCACGATAAATGCCACTAAAACCTTGGGCGCGGACAGTTCGGATACCACAATCAATAACACCTTTATACTAGATTCGTTATAGACTATCATGCCAAATGTAACAGAATAAAACAGAATAAATTAGTTACTTACAGCAGGTTCATGCTTTCCACTTGCATTAACAAATCCTCTAGGATCCTGAGTTTGTAATTTAACCTTCAATAGTTCAATGGGACAATTGAGGAAGGCCATAACAGAGCCAGCCATTGATCCAGCAACACCAATTTCAACTGTAGAACAGTATGCATCAGCACGGTCCCATCACATCCAGCCATCCCAACTTACAAATAGACAATACTCTCTTCTCATCTCCATTCTGCAACATACGTCTGGACCAACCATTAGCGGTAAACATGACAGCATTACTGAAGAAACGAGTTAATTTTTGCATTGTCATACAGATAGGATGATTGATTTACCAAAAACCAATGCCAGCTAATGGAGACATGACACCTCTGTAAAGACCCTTGGGCTAAAACACATGCAAATCCAATCGAAATTTAGAATTCATCGTCCATGATTGAAATCTCGGGAAAAACTTACACCTTCTTCCTTGATGAGCTTGCGAACACAATCCATAGCACCGGAGTAAATGGGAGGAGTAGGTTGTGTCTGCAAACGAACCTTGATGGTGTCGGGAGGATGGCCTGTTCAATGATTTAGAAATCTCGGTGTAAGCTCTGTGAAAAAGCATGTAATTTACCAACAATCACTTGTGCCCAACCACCGATAGTACCAGCAATCAGATCCTGGGCGAGCTTGGGAATAGCAAGGCTCTTCTCTTGTTTCAAAGTGGCCATGATGTTCCTCTCTGTGTCTGTCTATTACAAAAAAAAAAGGGGTCGAGAAAAGACCTTCAAAGTGGGCTTATCATTGTAAAATTTAGTGGCGGACTGTGACCGTTAGGATTAGTGAAAGATGGTAAAGATCTATCAAATGACATCTTGTTGTGTGAGAACCATTCAGACCAACGTCAACAGAACATTAAGATAGCATTTTATGTTATTGCATACATTTTGGCAAGAGATTTGATGTAGACTTGAGATTTGAGAGCAAATTTTATTGAGGATTCGAAATTATATCTGGAACCACATCTTGGATGCAACCTAACGTTGAGCCTAGAAAAAAAAAAACAAACACATAAATATGTTCGGTAGCACACAACTTTCTCTCTGTACTGCACAAGGATAAATAGGAAGATGCATAAACCGCAAGGCTTTATATATCTTATTTCATTTAATTGTACCACAACGCTGAATCATATACGAAGAGACGATAGTCCAGATCCATTTAATCTAGAATCAAAGTATCGGATGATGTGATATATGATGTGAAGGTCTTCTGTAACTGTGGATCTGGCCTTGCTACGATACTGCGCATCTGTACCACTAAAAACGATTCATATACAGGTGGACAACACACTGGTATAACTTTCTACAGTTCAAAAAGATACAAAACATGGTACGCATTTGAGCCGTGTTTTCTTGTGCTACAAGTCGTTTTAGACAGCCAAAACAGCATCAAACAATTACTTTTATCAAGCATTTGCTCACTGGCGTTTTTTTGCTCGACTTTTTTGGAGACCAAAAAAACATGGACAAAAATCGACCAAAAAGCATGAGGTACCCCTCATGGTTTTCATCGAAAATCAAACGATCGCATTTTTCACCTTGATAACGAAGACTTTTACTATGATATACGAGCCTTTCAGCACTTCGGGTGGTTTCCTGACTTACTCTTCGCTTCGGTGGAAACCAACCTACGTTCAAACGGCTCGCGCTGCCGCGGGCCTTTGGCTAATATCCCAAAATTAATATAGCTAAAATGTTAGAAGAGGAACCCTGATTGTTGATTGATATATAATCACTAATCATATGAGTGTTTATGCTTCGGATGGTTCTCACCGAAGCGAAGCTAAGGTAGAGAACCAACGTGCGCAGCGGCAGCTCGTGCTACTGATTGCTCTTGCGTATTTTATCAAAACACTGCTACTTTCATGTTGGCCCTCTATTTTCACATGAAACCCCTTTATATTATCTGTGGATCTGATTCTTATGTGATGTTCTACATCCATATACACGTAGCTACTTCATATACGGGCAAGCAGCATACTGGTATTCCCACTTTTTAATCCTTAGTGTCCCTAGTACAGCAAAATATGAGTGCATTTGAGCTGCATTTTCTTGCGTTCAAGGCCGTTTTAGATCGTCAGAATAGCCCCAAATGGTTGCTCTCATCTGGCAGTTACTTTCTGACACTTTTGCTCGACTTTTTTGGAGACCAAAAAAACATGGACAAAAATCGACCAAAAAGCATGAGGTACCCCTCATGGTTTTCATCGAAAATCAAACGATCGCATTTTTTACCTTGATAATGAAGACTTTTACTATGGTATATCTTGATTCAAAATGTTTCTATCGATCCAACATAACCCCTTAAATCATCTTTGTGGGGCTTTGATATGTAAAATTTCGACATTTTGGCCAGAAACCTCTTTTCATATTTTTACAAATCATTCAATAAGTGTATTCAAAACATCTATCTTACTTGGTACCAGTGGATACGCCTTGAAAAGTACTCCAGGAAAGCTTAAGGAAGCATGGGGTGATTATCATACTTCACTTAGTCGAATCTGCAAAAATAGCTCGATCGAGTCCAGAATCATCAAAATTTGTCCAATCTGGAACAGACCATGAATCTGGGTTTGAATTGATTTTGGCTAGTGGGGCTGGCAGGCAAATTCAACGCCCCCCCTCTAACCATGAAGGCAATACAGTAATAAATGCCCTTGAATGAAGCGTATGGAAAGTAGGTGGCATGTCATAGCACTATCGTTTATCATGCTATTTTCTTGCATTCTATATTTAATAATGTTAGTCTGGACATTGACGATTCATGGGTTGCATAACATGTCTGCAGTAAGCAGTAAAATCTCTGAGGCTTCGGGTCGTCGTTCAAGGAAAACGATGACAGCATTGAGCAGAGAACAGAGGATAGAAATAACAGTAATTTTTGTTGATTGATTGTAAAATCATTCATCATATATGAGCCAGATCTGACAGATGATGCTTTGCACATCAGCTTCCATATTACGGTTGTAAAAGTGTCTAGGGACTGAACATTTATTATAATATGACAACAAACCAAAATGATTATTGTATCGATCCAAAGTAGCCCCTGAAACTTTGTTTATGAACCTTTATATGTACAATCTCGACATTTTGGCCATAATCGACCTTTTATATTTTATAAAATTGCTCAGTAAGTTCATTCCAGACGTTTTTTTCTAATTAGTACTATTAGAAGCGCCTTAAAATGTGCTCCAAGAAGAAAGCCTAAGGGAGTAGCCCATAGTTATCACAGCTTATATAGTCGAATCTTACAAAACAGATTTACAAAGTCGCATTTGATCAGAAATTAACAAATAAAGGGCAAAATATGTCGAGCGAAAATTCAATAAATTTTGGCTGTCCAGGCACCAGCAATGCCTCTTTCCATGAGTGTAATCAGTGTATTAAAGCTAGTAATAAGAAGGGGATTGCTACTTGGCAAACACTATACCTTGAATTGATTTTTTTTTTTTTTTTTTTTTTTATGAACAGTTTTAATGTAATGGCTGCAAATTGGTCACTCTAATGGGAATTTTAATGCGAAAGGCAAAAAAAAAAATGCAACCCTATCCCCTGTTGTTATCGAAAACAAGACAAATCAACTGACATACTATGCTTTGCTTAAAGACTAGGAGCATCTAAATAGTTCTCAAGTGCATATGCCCGAAATGCGATGCCGACAGCCTAAGCCCAGTGTCACTATTATCCAACGCCTATAAAGCTGCCTACATGTTTGCGCCACTGAATTAAAAGAAATTCGTTTTATATAATACAAGCTTAAATTATGGAGAAAAAGTGAGGGAGTGTTGTGTAAAGAAAAGAGAATGATACAATCCAATGTTGGATTGAAATAACATTAAATCAGCTTTACTTGTTTTCTTGTATCAATCAAACAAAATGTATGTATAAATCAATTTTCTTTTATGTGTGTGAGAGAGAGAGAGAGAGAGTGTGTGTGTGTGTGTATGTGTTTAAAGTGGGAGGTGTGGGATATCTCTATCTTGATGTGTCATACATATATAATTTACAAGACCTTGGCTTCATTACGCAACTTGTCAACCAATTCATCAACGCTTTCAACCTTACGGCCACCAACACGCTTAGGAGGTTCCTCTACCTTTAATGTCTCAATACGAGGTGAAATATCAATACCGAGATCTTCAGGAGTCAACTTGACCAAAGGCTTCTTCTTGGCCTTCATGATGTTGGGAAGAGAGGCATAACGAGGTTCGTTGAGACTAGGATGAAAGAACACAAGTTAATGATCCCATTGTTCCTTAATAACCAAGTCAATGCTTACCGCAAATCAGTAGTGACAATAGCAGGCAACTTGGTTTGGACAGTCTCAAGACCACCATCGATCTCACGGACAACCTTAAGATCTTGTCCATTAATCTCCACCTTGGAAGCAAAGGTAGTCTACGTGCAATGATTTTAAATTAGGAACCAAACTCTAATATCGTGGGAAAAATGAAGTTTCCAATTTACCTGAGGCCAGTTGAGCAAACCAGCGAGCATTTGTCCAGTTTGATTGGCATCATCATCAATAGCTTGCTTACCCAAAATGAAGAGATCAGGCTTGTTGGCTTCCTTGTCAGCATATGCCTTTAATAATTTAGCAACAGCTAAAGGTTGAAGTGTGCTATCATCCTTGACTTCGACATGGACAGCACGATCAGCACCCATTGCTAAAGCAGTTCTCAAAGTTTCTTGAGCCTTGGCAGTACCGCAAGAGATGGCAACAACCTCAGTCTTGGGAGCCTTCTCCTTGATACGCACAGCTTCCTCAACAGCAATCTCATCAAAGGGATTCATGCTGTGCTTTACGTTGCGATCGACATCAGTTTTGGCAGGGTTAACACGAACCTTGACAGCTAAATGTGAGATATGAGTCATCTGTTCCCATCTCAATCACCCTCTCTCTCTCTCTCTTCACAATTGAGTAGTGCTACATACCATAGTCAACGACACGCTTGACAGGAACAAAGATACGCAAAGGGTTAGACATAATGGTGGTTATAGTTTAATTGAGAAAAGAAAGGAACCGAGATGTTACGAAAACAAAATAAATGCTGACAAAATATAATAGCCATCAGCGGAGTGACATCAACCGTCCGGGGTAACAGAAAGATCCATTTTCACATGCAGCAGAATTCCCATCAGTGAAATTAGGCAAGTATGTGAGATACTACACATCTCCGTTTGGCTTGGATACACTTGCCAAGTATCCTTTGCGTCTTTCCAATGGGCTACTTGGTGCGCAATGTTAAAGTTTCATAGGCGGATCAAGCAAAAGAGGTTGGCATAATATTGCGCTACCTGAATTTCAAAAGAGATCAAAACTGGCTTTCAACAGATCCGCTTCATGAAAGAGGCAAAATGATGCTTCTTTATGTTAATTTGGTATTGCTCAACTATTTATTGTTGAGTCTTGAATGTTTACATAATATTTTGGAAAAAAAGCATTGGGCCACATGTCACAAAGATGAAATGCGGCCACGGCAATGCAGAAGTGTGAGTTTCAAGATTTCAGGGACAGGATTTTGGCCAACAAATGCTGGACACAAACAGAGATGTCAACTATAAAGCAGTGTCCGAGTAAGCGTGCTGCTAGATCAGGCACACATTGAAAGCTTTGGTAAAAGAGCAGACGGTTTATGGCAAGCTTGACTACCTGATGGTGCCTGGCTAACATTTAGTTTTAAGATGATTCAATTTGTTCAAGATGTACTAGAGACGTTTATGTTTGTGAAGCATGTTGGAGTATTTTCATGGCACATCAACTATAATAAATAGTGCTGAATAGCTTCTACTGCAATCATAACATTGGCAGCTTACATATGGATGTTTCTCACATCCTATTTGTATCTGATATATCAAACGAGCAATGAACCATTATGCAAATCTTTGTATCGATGGATACCGTACGTTTTCTTCAATGCTACGTACTCTCACATCTTATTTTGGCTCTAGAAAAAAGCAAAATGGCACCGGAAAATGATAGCCTAGTTGATGATAGCTTATTGGGCAATTGTGGCATCGATAGCATTGCCAAATAAGTTTGATATCAAATCCAGTACAATTTTCAGCACTGCTGCTACCACTGAAATCTTTGCTTTTCAAACAACACTGCTTAGAAAAAAGTATTTACGAACGAGGTGCTTTGCTGAAATGCAACGCGTGTCATGATGTCACACGCATCGTATAATCACTGACTGATAGAACCTCAGCTCGGTGCATTCTCTCACATGTACTCTCGCTGCATGAATAATAATAATAAAAAAAAAAAGCTTTTTATCTCTTTCAACGCATTCCAAGCTTCATCATGATTTTAAACGATAACAATCTTGCTTACTTGCTGAGCTTGGGATTTGAGATAGAGCTATGCAAACAAGCTCTACAACAGAACGCGACACTTGAAGACGCAACAGAATGGTACACGTTCACAAAAGCTGGAGAGATAATCTGCATAAACTAACCATGTAGCGCACCATAGGATCTTGAATCCCTCTCGGCCTCCTACTTCACCAGAGAGCAAATTGGACTATTCCAAACCAATTTCATCTTCTAGCAATCTCTCTGAACCACCAAAAATTTCGGTAAAACTACTCTACTGTAAACATATATGTGGTCCATCCTAATCACTCGCTTTTGTAGATTGAAAAAAAACAAAAAGAAGATCAAGTGACCAAAGATATGCAGAAAAAGAAGTTTGATCGCATAACCAATGATCTCAAGAAAGAGAGAATAGCAGAGAGAGAAGCGAGACGTAGAGCACTGATGGACATCAAGGAAGACAGAGAGAGTCGAAAGCTGAGAGATCATAGCAAGCCGGGTACAACTCAAACTAGACAGTCGTCAGCTAGCACTTTCAAGCCCAAAGAGCCCAAATCTGATAAGGACCAGTTTGCATTTATTCAGGTAAGCTCTGCATATAGGCCAAACGCCGTTTTTCAATCTTTGACAACAGAAATGATAGTTTAAATGGACAAATTCAACCACGTTACGACAAAAGTTTCCACCAGACACAAAAATGATGCAAATACTGGAATTTGTCAAGCAAAAAGAGTCAAAAACACCAAATGCAACTATAGACAACATATCACTTATCAGCGTAAGCACAGATATATCGCACCCAAGTGTTGTAAAAGGGATGCTTATATGTAGGATGCAAAATAGACGTTTCCCAAGAGAATTTACACTGTGCAGGATGCTGCATTGGATATGAAAGAAGCTGGATTTCTGCCTAATGTAACATTAAATGTAAATATAGCAGCACCCGTGATTGAACCGCAGGAAGAGGAGGAGGAAGTGAATAGCGAGATGGATATTAACGAGGCGGATATTGACGAGGAAGATGATATTGTAGGTATAGTTGGTGGGACATGATGCAATTGTGCTAAACATGTCTATAGGATGGCATGGACTTCGATGTCATTAGGGCTATTGATCCACATCGACCACCTGTACATAATGTCCGTCGCATTTGGGGAAGAATGGGCGCTGGGCATCATTTGACGGATCCTTCGCCTATTGTAAATACATCAGAAAGTAAGCTATTATTCTCTGCAGTTGACTTATCAGAGCACCACTGATTGAATCATGCGCTAGTAGTGGAAACAACTGCTGGATCTGAAACCAATGCTGATCAGGAAGCCACGAGTCAGCGTCGATCCAGCATTTTATCCGCCATGGAACAGCGTGCCTCTGCTAACGCTGCCACGAATATACCCTCACATCAACAGCATGCATTAGAGAGGCATACGAAATCCTTGCGAGAAACATGCTCAAAGGCAGTAGCAGGTAAGCCCTTATTATATTGCAGTATGTATCGTTTCTCATTGCAGTCATACCACTTAGGATTACTTTCACAGCACTCCTTACAGATGAACAGCTATTTGAAAAATCTGGATAGTCTGTCATCTGAAGTAGCAGAATCATTATTGGAATATCTTGTCAAGAGCGGTAAACTGAATGCAACCACCATGAGGAAGCTGGCAGATCACTGGTAAGAGTGGGATGGAGAGCTCTGTTGTTTGCCTTTTGCTCTGACACGGCAGCATAGTTATCTACAGAATATCAAACTGGATTCATACACTTATTGCACTGATTCATTGATTGGGGATCTGGCAAGATCCAGTTCCATCATTTCTGTTACCAAATTGAGTCTTCGAGGATGTGATGTGATTACTGACAATGGCATCCGTGCATTAACTGGCAAGTATTCCTCCAAGCGCGTGTATCAGTATCATACTAACAGATGAAGACAGGTCTGAAGAATCTGGGTTATTTGGATGTTAACAATTGCAAAGTAACTGACAAAGGGTTAAAGTCTTTGGAGAGTAAGTTCCATGTTAAATGAGCAGAGAAACACAAATCTTATATTTGTGTAGATTTGCACCACCTGTTTCATCTCAACCTTTCAAAGACCAAGATTACAGATCAGGGCATTGCATCGATGGTAGCAAACAGCAAGTTCAGGGATCAACTCGAAGTGCTGTTATTGGATGGTTGTACACGTGTCAAATCCTCTCGTGTACTAGTCCCCATTGTCAATGGTAATTAGAGCGCTTGTTTTGTGCTAGTCATGATAACTGATTCAATTCAACAGGTTTTGGCAATTTGCTGCAATTATCCTTGGCCAACACCAGCCTTCCAGAGCAAGAAATGACTGCAAAACTAGGTAGAAACATCAAGCTGGAGCAGCTGGATTTGACCAACACTTTTATATGCGACGATGATTTGATAAAAATTATCAGCCAAATCACAACCCTCGTTGAATTAAAGATGAGTGGTTGCGGCAATGTGAGCACGAGGGGATTGTCGTTTTTACCTCGAGGTAAGTGGGGATGACAAGGCTGTTTTTTTTTATGCTTGTAGTGATGCTAATATTAGTATCATTTTCTAGAATTGAAATGCCTCAGATGGATCCAATTCCCTGATCGAGAACTCGAGTTGGATGGTGTGTTATCCAGATTCAAAGGTAAGGACGTGGAGTCGTCTAACATAAAAACTTTGTTACTGACTAATTTGCCCACACACAATACACATAGATCTGCCCCTGGAACATTTGGATCTGACAGGCTTCTTGAATGTTACTGACGAGGGAGCAAAGCATATTGCAGAGATGAAACATTTGCGTTACTTGAGTTTAGATGGAACCAAAGTGACAGATGAAGGAGTTGAAATGCTGAAAGATCTGATCGAACTTGAGAAGCTCTACTTGGATCGTACATTGATCACAGATCAAGGACTTTCGCAATTGATAGGTAAGATACTTTACCATTCTCTCTCTCTTCTCAGGGCGAACCATTGTACTCATCTTTTAACATGCAACAGGGCTTTCTAAATTGGATACGCTGTCGCTATGTCACACTAAAGTGAGTAACGCTTTCTTGAAATTATTAGGCAATTTCGAAAAAACCAGCTTTACGAGAAATTTGAGAACATTGAACCTTGCCAAATGTTTACTTGTTACCAACAAGGGTGTCCGCCATTTATCAGGTAAAACCGTAGAACAAAAGCGAGATATTACAGCGATACTCATGCCATATTTGCCAGGTACGCTCAACCTGACTAATCTCAATCTGGATCATACAGGCGTGAGCAGAGGGTGCTTAAAGTATTTGAAAGGTTTGTTGGCCATCTGGCATTGCAAGTAGTCTGGTTATTTAAGCCTTATTTCTCGCAGACTTGCAGCATTTGAAGCCTGTCAGATTGCAGGGAATTTCAAATGAATCAGATCAAGAGGATGAGCTTGACGACGACGACGAGATGATGGGGTGAACCGAGTAAAAATAGCTCTTTATGTGTAACGGCATAGAATTTATTTAGTGTCACAAGCAGAATAATAAAGAGAGAAAGAGTGCCCTGCTATATGAACAAAACATGGATAATTTTTTAGTGTAGATCCCTTTTTTTTTTTTTTTTTTTTTTTCTTCTTCTTCTTCTCTTGTAAAAAGAAGCATCTAGGGGGGGAACTCTATGTCAGACTCATTCTTCAAATTGTTTGGCTCTGTCAAAATAGTCCAAGAAGTGACTAATCCCACATCCACATCCACCACCACTGTAAATACATTCAGCACTCACACCTCGACAACACTCGGAGCATCATCTCATACGCTACAGCCTTCGATCCCTGCCGCTACTACAACACCATTGAACTTCAAACCACAGAAAAAGAGACATCAGCACGGCAGAAAGAACTCTTACTACCCTTCCAAACACCTTCGCAAACTCAACAAGTTCAAACTGCAGCAACAACAGCAATTTTCCATCATCAAAATATACAGCAGTGGCCAACTCAAATGCAAATCACAGAAACTATTGTGTCTCTGGCCTCTGCCCACCATCACTCGCTACACCATTCTGCTGTCTCTCATAGTCTCGGCACTGAATTTCCTCAATGTAATCCAGCTCGCATGCTCTTCGCCTACCTATGTCATTCATCGGCTGGAAATCTTGAATCTACTATTGTCACCATTTTTATGCATCGCTTCTTTACCGAGTATGCTCATGTTTGGTTGGAACGTTTTGATCCTGGGCTTGTTTGAGGAATCCCTGACGCACATGTTGGGCGATACCAGGCGATTTGTGCAGACATTCATGGGCATTGTTGTGTCTGTGTGCACCATTCGTCAAGGCATTGGCTATGTGTTCTCCAAGAGCACAGGATGGGCAGTTCCCTCCTTATTTTTCAGTGATTCGTTGCATGAATGCAATCAAGGTTTGTTATTGTTTACAGCACTGCCTTATGCTCACAAAAAAAAAAAGCTGATCCCAGTCTGCATGTAGGCCTGGCTCCGTTCTTGTTTGCGCTGCTGGTCATTCAATCACTCAACATTGACGACAAATACATTCTCATGTATGGAAACAACAACAAACTGACAGTGCGAAAAGTGACACTACAGTTTGTCATGTGTCTGGTGAACTATGCAGTGAAAAACATCCTGTGGTGGTCATTGACTGGATTAGTGACAGGTTTCTTGGGCATGATTGTGATTCAAGCATGTCTTGCTCAAGACAAGCATTGGGACAATGATATGTTGAATGAAAATAGCCACGACCTACCGCCTGATATGACGCAAGGACGGTTTAGACCTTTGCCTCTGTGGAAGACGCTCCACAATGCCATCAAAAAGGGCCTCCTTGTGGTAGCCACCATCTTGCCATTTTTGTTGCTATGCAACAGCTACTACACTCGAGAACGATTTGTTGAACCCGCCGCATTGAATCAACTCTCTTACGACCGCTACCTGTTTACATTTGTCATCATGACAGCACCACGTAGAGGCGATCCTCCCTTTTTGACTCGCACACTCGACTCATACCTTCAAAATTGGCCTGAACAAGTGCCTGAAGCAGGCTCACTTTACGATCGCATACAAACCATCATCTACACTCACTTTACAGCCCATGTTGAATTTGATCGTGCAAAGCGCTTGTTACAGTCAACACAGCGTGGCCAACGCTACCTCAAGTGGATTCGAGAAGAAGGCGATACGCTGGATCAAAGAAGCCATGTGTCAAAAGCCCTCAGTCTGGCTGCCGACAACTACCAAAGCACCTACATTGCATTAGTGGAAGACGATTTCCCAGTATGTGGAGCAAAGCAGTGGCGACAAATTGAAAGTGTGATTTACGATGCCAACATGGCATCTCCTGGGCATTGCGGCGTGTTTGTTGGCACAGGTGGAAGTGGCCTGTTTTTGAAGCCTAAAATTGCCAAGCTGGCCTCAGGATTGCTACTGAAATACCCAAGCTTGCCCCCAGATATCATCATTCAACAGTGTTTGCTGGGCAACTTGAAAGAGTGCAGAGAGTGTAGCCAAACTCTTGTTACTAGCAAAACGTTGCTAATGTATCATATTGGCTACAACACGTCTACAAGTGCTGATCGATCCTACAAAAAGAATGAATTCCAGTGTGGTTGGCGCCATCCATTCGTAAGTGTGTCTTGATGTACACATCCCTCAATATCAACTCATGATTTTGATTTATAGAACGGTGATCCAAACGTGATAACTCTATAGACCCCCCATAGATTATATACATGGCAGTAGACTGCTGTTACTTGTACGCACATTGACCATGATACCACTAAATTCGCCTTAACGATGATACTACCATTAATACCACTTGTTGACACAGTGCTGTCCAACTCCCCCCCCCCTCCCCTTCCTCCCTACCATCTTCCTTTCATGTACCATAGATAGACTCTCTTTTACCCATATTATGCAGTAAATAATTATTATCGGCCCTCTACATTCGGGCCATGTGAGCAATATCTTTTCAGCATCCAGTAGTCTGTAGAGTGCCTCCAATACTTAGATTGCACTAAAAATGTCGATGGCAGCTGTATCATCATGCTGATGGCAATCTAATCCCAATTTTTCATTCAAATTGTATAATATAATAGTATGGATCTTGGCTCCTTTTTGACTTCCTGAGACATGTGAAGATTTCACAAAAAGCTTCGAAAGTGCCTTGGAAAGAAAAAAAGGAAAACTTTTTGGTAGATGCCAGCCTTTTATAGAGTGCTCAGTTTTCCGTGACGGTACAAACCGACTGCTAAAATTTTTGAGTAAAATGTTTGCGAGTTTGAGGTTTGCTCCAGAAAGCCACCACACTTGTTTATTTTAACTAACATACAGGCAACATGGCAGGCAGAATCACTCGCTCGCATAGAAAAGAAATTGAGAAAAAAACACATCAAAAGATTGATTTGGATGAGCTGGCTAAATCTGAAGCTGGCCAATCTGTTTCCAATATAAATGATGTACCTCAAATGGAAGCGATCAAAGAACAACAAGCTCATAAATTACAAACCAAGGGAGAGAATGCAGCATCCAGCGACGAAGAGGATGATTCGAGCAAAGAAGATGACGATTCAAGTGAGAGTTCCGAGGACGAGGAAGAAGATCTGGACGCTCTTTTACAGAAGGCTCAAGAAGCACTGGCATCACAAACTGCCAGCATTCGATTAGAAAACGACACATCTGACAATATCAACACTAAACTCTCGAAAATGGATGCTGGTATCACCTTGGAGAAGGAGCTTTATCTCAAGACTGTAGCAGGCCGAGCAAAATTGACCTCAGATGCTGTTGCGTTAGTCGATGATGGAGAAAAGGCATCTGCCAAAGCAACTGTCGTTTTGAAGCCTAGTAAAGATGAGAAGCCACTCACCAAAAAGGAGCGCCAAGCTGTAAGTAGCTATTACTCTGCAGATTTCTCATTTGACTGGCATACTGATCGGGTTGGATGGTATAGGAAAGAGAAAAGACAACTGGCTCAGCATGGTTCGATATGCCCAAGACAGAGATGACAGACGAGGTCAAGCGAGATTTGCAAGTGCTGAAAATGCGTCATATCTTGGATCGCAAGAGACATTATAAAAAGATGGGCAAACGTCCTGATCCCAAGTACTTTCAGATCGGTACCATCATTGAAAGCCCAACCGAGTTCTTCTCTGCTCGCATCAACAAGAAGGATCGCAAGCAAACTATTGTGGATGAATTAATGGCAAGCGACGAATTGAAGCAGTATTACAAACGCAAGCACAACGAAGTGCAAGAGAGAACAAACAGTGGAGGAAAAAAGCACTACAAGAAGCTCAAGGCACAAAGACAATGGGCCAAGTAAGCCTGTTTCATTACTCTTTCCCTTCAACACACTTGTCATATATGATCGTACATGTATAATACCACTTTAGCCCTTCCTCTACACTCTTTTGCATGCCCAAGCTCTTTTTCCTTTTTTTTTTAAAAAAAAAAAAATGTACAAAATAAAATGAATTCAAAGATTTATTAGTTCAACGCTAATCCGCAATCACTGCTCTAATTGTATCTGTTTGTGTTTGTCTGATACCTGCACTGCCAGCTGCCTTGACACAGGCAACCAAGATAACCACAGACAAAACGATAGAGAAATACAAGGCTGCAAGACGACATCTCTTTTGCCAGCGTAAATCGCTTGGATCAAGTAAACGAGTGCTACTGGAAGCTCTAATGTGAACACTGCCATAATACCATAAGAGAGGACACACAAATCCAGTCCAGAAAAGCCTCTTTTCAGTCCAGTAACGAGGTCTTTCCATCATAAGCGCCTCTGGATCAGCCAATTCAACCGGCTTATCATCCTCCATAGCATATACATTGTGATCTATCATTAAGGTGGGTTTTGTGGGTGTCTTTATAGTATTAGATTGGCTAGCGGATTTGCTGCGATTCAGTTTTCCGAGCAGCAATGCAGCTGCTAATGCGTGTCGCTTGAAGGATGACTGCAGATCTTGGGCTGTGTGTTGCTGTGTGTCTTTATTGTCGTCCATCACAGAAACACCAGTGGATTGCAATATGGAGCGACTTTCGTCCAGTGATGAGGCATTACTGCCACGGATCTTTTGAAGCATGTCGTAGTAGTACCCTTCTGCCACCCGCTTCTCGCATGAGGAGGATGCAGCATCGTTGACCAAAGTAAGGTCACTGCTGTTCTTTTCCAGCTCGTGCTCGTCTTCTGCTGATACGATTGTCAAGACAGGCGACGGTTTCAAAGGTGGGGTAGGCATGATATGAGGAATGGTAGCTTCAATCACTGTGCTTGTTAAATGCATGGCTGACATGTCGTCCATAGAATGCGAGGTTGGATGAGTGACACGTTGAGCTACCAGAGCAGCCGCTACAGGCAAATTGACAGAATTCCAAGCATAGTATTCAAGTTCGCCCTTGTTGTGCTTGAACGTACTGAGCGGATGGAATATGGCTTCCCAAGACTCTTCAGCTACCTCTTGTTGTTGGTGTTGTTCGTCGTCCTCGAAATAGTACACGCTTGTGGATGCACGCGGTGAATATGTCATGAGTGATTGCGCATAGTAAGACTCTTCCTCTCGTGCGTGGAGCCAAGGTTGGGCAGTGTCCTGATGATCCCACTCATAAATGTCGCTATAGGCCTCCACGGGTAATATGAAGGGGGGCGGACACGCAGGCGTGGTGGTGGTTTCCTTGGGCGGTGGCGTAGGTGGGGTCCATGTAGCTGTAGCGTAGGGTAGCTCAAAAGCAAGCTCAAGATACTCTTTGCTGAATTCCTTCTCTTGGTCGTTGGCATCCTCATTCTGCTGGCCTGCAACGGTTGGACTGGCATTGTTGATCCATTGATTATGGCCCATCACGACGTAAAGCTTCGACATGAGCTGTTGATACACCAATGCTGATTTTGGCTTGAATGCATAAGGCAATGTGTCTTGCTGACTGAACGGCATCATGGACTGAAGGTCACAGTGTTCTTCCTGTAGCTGCTGCTGCTGCTGCTGCTGCTGCTGCTGCTGCTGCTGCTGCTGCTGAGGAGATGAATGAGGTGGAATTGTTGAATCAACAAGACACAATCTCAATGGATCCTCTGTCCAAGTAGCCTTTTGAATGCTATGATGCATCAACATGCCCAACATGTTTGCCTTGGGTCGGTGCTCTGGTGCTGTCATGTTGTCTTGCACCGTATCATCTTGACTCATATTGAGGGTGATACGCCTTGTTTCACGATCTTCTTCCATGGCGTTGTAGAACCGTTGCATAGGTAGACTAAGCAGAGAGTTTAATGCCTTGCCGTTGTTCTTGATGGGCACTGTAGGCAGTGGTTTTTCAACAGGTTGATTTGCATAAAACATTTGGAAATGAGACAAAAGAGCATTCACTTTGTTAACTTGCTTGGGTTCATCTGTCATGTTGATGTGTCTGGTTTCAATATCAACCAACTGTCTACTCTTTCAAAGTTTATTCCATGAAATGGGCCCATTTTTTCCCCATATTTTTGGTGATTTTATGCAACAAACAAATTGGGATTTCAATACGAACCTTGCTTGTTGAGAAAGCCTCAGTCCAATGTCATGGTGAATAAGACATTTTGTATCTTAAAGTTGGCTTTCATACAAAATCAAAGGTGCCCAATGCCTCGCTCATCCAAGATTACTGGAATCACATGATATTCACGTAATGAAAACATTTAATAGGTTTTCTTGAATTTAGCAGAGCCCTCTTTTTTCTTTGCCCCTTTATTCATCTGATATGCCCCTCAGTCGTTTGAAGAAGTTTTCTACCTGTGAAGTAAGATGATTTGAGATCAAGTGTCGCGTGCAAAATGGAAATGTATTGATCCAATGTTAGATTGCAGATGCTCTTATCAAGCTCGGTAAAGGACCTTGGGCAGGTTATATCCCAGGCATCGAGCTTTGGTCACCAACTTATTGTGAAGGACATACACGCATTGTGGGACCAGCTTTTACTGTCAAGGTATGAAGAAGAAGAAAGAAAGAAAGAAAGAAAGAAAAGAAAAAGAGGCACGGGATTCATGCGTATACATGTCGAAAGTATCTTACTCTTTCCTCAATGTAGATGGTAGATAAGTCAGACACCACCTCGCCCGTACCCACAGAGCATTTCGTAAGATGACATGTACATTGGACGACGGCAAACATCTTTATTTACACACATGTGGTTGTACTTGTAGGCAGATGCAGCTCATGAAGGATCGGTTATTGTTATTTCAGCCCCACCAGGTATACAAATCGAGCTTTTATAAGCCCTGAAATGGCTCTAGTCACTGATGAAACCTTGTATACAGGCGTTAAAAATGCTGTTTGGGGTGGCCTCATGTCAGCTAGAGCACAATCTAAAGGATGTCAGGGAGTGGTGATCGATGGTAATGTGCGTGATCTCAATGAGCATCGTCAAATGAAGTTTCCCGTAAGTGGTATTGTATGTTCTTTAAGCGTCTTGTACTAACAACGAGATGAAAAGGTCTTTGCAAGGTCGCACTCCATTCTGCCACAAAATGCCTTTGTACGACCTTCTGAAGTCCAGGTTCCTATCACACTTTCAAGAGAATCCCCCGTGGTTGTGCAGCCAGGTGACATCATTGTAGCTGATTTAGATGGCATTGTAGTTATTCCACAAGACTTGGTGGAGCAAGTGATTACGAGCTGCGAGAAATATGTAGCCATTGATGATCAATGCATGGAAGCGTTGAAGGAAGGTCATGGTGTCAAGGAAACATTTGCCAAATACCGAGGTACCTAGATTTAGATTGCGTGCTTGCTGGAACGCTCGGGCCCGACATTCACAGGAGATTTGTATTCCCGTTTGATTGAAATAAAATCAATAGGTTTGACAACAAAAAAAAAAAACTTTGTGCTTATCATGTATACGAAATGGAATTTTTTTATTATTATGGTTTGTTTGTTGTTGATTTTTGTTTTTACAGTAAAGCATATATGTATTTATATAGAAAAGAAAAATAGTGGTATGAAGTTTATATATGTATATGATGTGATTTGGGAGAGGTATTCTATACAAGGAGAGAGAGAGAGAGATTTAATAGCTATAAAAGGATTGAACCGTTCTGGAAGCGGCAGTAGATGCTGATGTGGATCGATGATGGGGATGATGGGGATGATGATATGAGGAGGTCAAGGCAGGCAATGATATTTTATGAGATCTCTTCTTTGTCATTATTGTCTGTACTGCAAAAGAGAAATCGTCATTGTCATCAGATGATGAATCACTACTGCTACTACTGCTGTTGATATCATTGACATAAGAAGAGGCTGGGTATTTTTCAAGAGACATATGTTGTTGTGGGTCATAGATTACATCAGCAGCAGACGAGGGAAACCAGCTGGGCTGTGTATAAGTGGAGCTAGGTGGTGTCTTTGGATCACTGAAGCATGATGTAACAGGACTTGCAGGACTGAGCGATGAGGAGGATGACATTTCTGGAGAGTCTGCTTCCGATAGTTTACGTGATTTGCGAATACCTTGCAGGGTTCTGTAACGGTTGAAGCAAGTTGCACGCTTACGATGTGGCAAGAGATCCGAGATTTGGCCCCATGTTAATCTTTGAGCAACACCTTGGCGTATGATGTTGTCCTCGTATTCAGAAAATCTGCTACGTGGTTTGCCAATGACATTTTGATGTTGGAGATGTTGCTGATGAAGATGATGGAGATCCATGTGCTGACTAGGGTCATAATAGTGTCTTGCAGTGGTTGAGGAGGAGGAAGATGAAGGAATTACAGGAGTAGAGATGCATCTTGGGCGAACAAATTTGGTGTTATTGTTGCTGTTGCGCTGAGGCAAAGGGTTGAGCAAATCAGAGACTATACAATATACAAATGTGAGTTGCCATGACAACAAACAAAATTTTCAATTTTGGTGCGAGCATTTACCATTCATATTGATTGTTTGGATAGAATCAATTGGTATATTATTAAAAGAGAAATAGGTAGAGCAAAAGAGGATGAACTTTCGAATCATGAAGAATCATGAGCCTTTATATAGAAAATTAGGTTTCCCTGTCTTGAAAAGGTAATAAAAACAACATGAAAAAAACAACAGATTTTTTTTTTTTTTTTTAGATGTACACAGCTTCTTTTAAATTGAAAATAATAACAATAACAACAACATCAGCAGCAGCAATTAAATCATAAAATAGACCTGCTTGCATGTCTAGTATTCAGTTGTTAAAAGCTTCAATGCTGGCTGGATTTCTTCTTGACATAAATTTTGATTACACTTAATTAATTGTAACTGACTACATAATATGCAATTATGTCTATATCATATGGTGTTATAGCCCGCCAGACAATCGGGTCTTCAATAGCCTATATTTGATTATACAAACACATTGGAGAATACAGGAATTGCGAAAGGGATTGACGACAAAAAAGCAAAAAGTAAATATAGAAAATGTTGTAATTCGTTGTTTGTTTATTAGCTAATAAACTTGAACAGAATTTGTTGTTGTTTTCGTATGAGGTAATAGCTTAAGCATACTAAAAATACTACTCTTTCGATTTACTGCAAATCAACGAGAATCATTTTCTTTTGTTTGAGCAATCTCTAATTTACACATTTCGACAACAATACATTACTACTTTGGTCAGATCCAGTAACTCCGACTCTCTATGCGGAACACTTTCCGCGTTGTTTTGCTGTGGTTGTCGTGTGTGTCTATTCATGCTGTCCGTTGTTGTTTGCAATGTTTTACAGCAACAACAACAACGCTTGTATGTATGCAAATAAAAAAAAGTAATGCAAACGATAGCCCTGCACTACATACTCGCAACATAAATAGTCATTACGTGTGATGTGTTCTGGGTGGCATGGACGAACGATAACGATGCTATGATGTTGATAAACTCCACCCACATTTTCTCCATCTAGTGCTACCATAACACAGAAAAAAAAAATCTTGTTGTTGTTGTTGTTGTTGTTGTTGTTGTTGTTGTTGTCTTTTTTTGTGTATATGTTTTGTTCATGTTGTTTTTATACATTATGTCTATTTTTGCAATGCCTTTATATATTGGGAAATGTTGTCGATGAACTATGGAAAATTGTAAAAAGTGTCGTCCTCTTGAAATTAAGCACTGTGGCACAAAATGATGCTTGACACATAGAATCCACACTTTGATATCCTTCGTTTGAAAATGACGGATTGGCATTGACTCATATAGAATTCATCCAATAAAGGTATATAATGGCATCAGTGTGTCACCATTTTAAATGTAGTCAAATGCTGTGCGTCGCCTCATTTAAGAAGTTTGAGTATAAAACAATGAATATTTAATTATTGCTGCAATAAATGAATTCATTAAATGAAATTTAGATTGCAGAAGTAGTAGCAACAACGACAGTAAGATGCAGCAGTTACACCCTCTAATTTGAATCGAGCATATTGGTGTAACAGATGTTCATGCTTTGGATTTGGTAACATTGGCACAGCATTGACTTTTGTGTAAGCGTATGAAACATAAGATTCGTGCTTTACAGGCGCAGGAGGCTATTTATAAATAATGGACCTTGATCTGTTCAAGATGGTTGCAACACAAAAGTGCAATGTATATATCATTTTCCTTTCAAATATATTGCCTCTATTGAAAAAGGTAAAATGATTGACTCAGACATGTTCTCGATCAAGGGCGGCATTGCCACACTTGCAATCCAATTTATGAGTGGTATCACTAATATATTAAGTTATTTGCTAAAAGGCCGGTGCTTTTCATCTTTGTCCCAATAGTTCAAAGCAGGTTCAAGTGATTCAAATGATGACAATGTGCGCGATTTTTTTCTCGATGGTTGTTTCTAGTCATCACACCGATCTAAGAGAGCTGCTGATTGCGTTGATGATCCCCATCCTCAATCATGTTTTTACCAAACCAATGCAGCATTACATAGGTGTTGAGCATGATGTTCAATGGTTTATGTACTAAAAAAAATTGTGGTTACTTGGCAAATGTCTCTGATCATTTGCTTGAGCTGTTTAAAGCTACACGTGAAGAATAAATCCAAAGTTCGCCTCTCTGAACAAGCATGCCAAGTGAAAAAAAAAATGACCTGACAGCAGGACTTTATCGTCCAATCTAATTTAAGCATCTGGTTAATGTTGCATTAATGTCTACCCAACTGTGTGGCTCTCAGGTTACAAAAGATCACTGGAACTTCGGTGATGTCGTCGCTGATTTTGCATAAATCATTGCATGAATCTTATAATTATCATGCACAAAAGGTATGCCATCAGTTTGTATGTGCCTTTTTTGTGATACAGCCTGAATCTATAAAATTAGTGCAATTTTTTTTTTCGTATGTCAACAGCGGCATTGGGGTTTTTAAGGTTGCAAAGCGCTTGATTTTTCGATTATTATGCTAGAGTTCTTATAGCTCCACGCATCAAGCCCCTGTTGTACATCATCATGCTTTATTGTTGTGATTCCAAAGGCGTATTTGATGGTGGTCAATTGGTTCTCGCTCATTTGAATACCAATTGATTGGGAGTTTTTTGCATAATAACTCTGAGATGCACTCATCTACAGTAAAAAAAAAACGGCCTGGAGCTGCGGATCTAACTCTTTTACAATGGATCATGTCTGTACCTGCGGGAGCAACTGAAATACGGACCGACAGTATACTTGCATTGCCTCTAACAATTCAAAAGTATGCAAACTACAGCGTAATTTGGGTGCATTAGAGCCGTAATTGCTCGCGTCAGAAGCCGTTTTAGGCCATCAAGATAGCGCCAAACAATTGTGCTCGAGTAGCAGTAACTTTCTGACAGCTTATTAACTCGATTTTTTGGGGACCTAAAAAAACATAACCAAAAGTTGACTCAAAACCATGAGGTACCCCTCATGGTTTTCACCGAAAAACAAGCAATCGCGCTTTTCACCTCAAAAATGAAGAGTTTTATTAAGGAATATATCTAATCAATGTGTTTCTTGATCCAAAGCAGCCTCTGAAATTACTTTTGTGCAACCTTAATATGTAAAATTTTGACATTTTCACCAAAAACCTCAATTCATGTTTTCAGTAATCTCTCAATAAGTTTATTCAGAGTAATTGTTATAACAAGTACTATTAGATACGCCTTGAAAAGTACTACAAGAAAGCTTAAGGAAAGATGAGAATAGCATTACAGCTTACATAGTCGAATCTGGAGAAACAGTTCAATCAAGTCGAAAAATACCAAAGTTTGGCCAATCTTGAGCAACAGGATGTAGCCTGAGTTTTAATATGTTTTGGCTGGCAAAGTGCATTGCGTGAGTGTAAATCAGTGTTTAGAAGCTAGTAAGAAGGGAGTTACGCATTAGAAAGTATTAAAACACGACTCCCTCACTCTCTTTTGCTTATTTTGCATCTTTATATTTGATTTGTTTAATTTCATAAATGCGAATTGCAAAGTGATTGTTGCATATGGTGACGCCTCGTCATAGTTGAGCTATATCAGACCAAAGTAAGCTACCTCAAACACTTTTGGCATCCATAAAGTCTCAAGTGATGGAACTTACTAAGTCAAATGCCATAAAAAACGAATATCATTTCCAAAAAAAAAAAAAAGTGCACAAGGGAAGATGTATTATGAGCTCAGGTACATCACATCATAATCTGTAATTTGTATATCATTTGGTGATTACTTTAGATACAAGTAAAGTTGAGCCATTTCATTACTTGGCGGCACAAATTTAGATCAATATAATGCTCGAATAGCACCGTTTTCAATACATATAAACAACGTTGGAATCAAAACGTGTGGAGTAGTTATCAGCGATTGGCCGGTCTAGTGATTTTGTATGATTGACAGAAAACGTCAGCCAGATATAGTACGCCCCACCCGCATTATGCACTAAAATATGGGAACGCCTTGGATATGATATTCACTCAGGTAATCACACTCAGGTACATTTAGAAATGGCAGATGCTTCAGTATGAAGAACAAGGCTTTGTTTTTGAAAGAAAATACCAGCTTACGTAACAATTATCTATCGTATTGTTTGACGGATGATTTTTATTGTCTTGATGTGATCATGATGTTTCTGTAAAGTTAGTTACTCTCCACATATTCCAGACTCAAATATACACATCAAAAAGGCGCTAAGACTTTTAGCACCAAAGTAGATGTCGGTTCCAGAACAACGACTTTAATACAAATATATAATGATGGTATGATGAAGATCATTCATCATCAAACAAGGGGGGGATAGAGCAAAATAGAAACCAAAACACGTTTTTATGCCACTTGTTGTCCTACGCTCGTGGCTTCAAGTTGTGTAGTTTCTGGGTTCATCATAATGGTGACACTGACCAATCAATAAATATAATGTACAATAAAGATCTTTGTGCTGCTCTCTCTTTCTTCTTTGTTTAAACATTTGCCAAAAAAAAATGGGCCTTTTGAAACTAGGAAGTCTCTACAAAAAGAAGAGCAAGAAAGATACATTGCCACCACCGGTGCCTGCCCCTGTTGCACCTAAACTGGAGCCGATTTCATTGGGATCGAATCTTGGCCTCAACAACTCCTCCTCAATTCATAATACCAATACAATAACAACCACAACATTGCCTCAACAGCAGAGAAATATCAATAACACACCTGCTGGATCAGGAAGTCTATTAGACGATATTTTTTCTGAATTGACGACAACAAAGCCGGTAGCTCAACAAGGTAAAAAAAAAAAGCTGACAATGACAATTCAATGTAATTCTTGTCATATTTACTTGCTTTCATTTTAACAGATGCCATGCAGAACGACATTTCATTGGCTGTTGCCCTCTCACAACAGCTTCAATTAGAAGAGAAGAATAGCACAAATGGGATGATGGGCACTAAGAAAGGAAGCAATACCATGTCGTCGACTAGCAACAACAGGAATGAAGCATCTTCCTCTAGCGTAGCAAATTTCCTTTTAGGTAGTGACAGTATCTACAGCAGTTATCTAAGAAATATATCAGCATTGGATCAGGATCCATCCACCACCACCAATTCAACATTCTCCACTTCCATGTTTGATAATCTACTTGGTAATAACAGGCAAGCAACCACCACTACCGCGTCTGCTGCTGCCACAAGTACCAACAGCAACAACAATAACGCCAATGTGCCCACCACTGCTACCAAGATTGTACTGGATTCGGATATCTCGGACTCTGACGAGGATTCAAAAAATGATAGTGAAGACGATAATACGAGTCAACTACTAAACTACGATGGAAATCAACGTATGACAAGAGGTGTACGACCTATTATGGAAAGACGAACGCAGGACAATCGACTTTTGGTCCAACGTAAAATCGACAATTGGGCTAATCGGGTAGATCCTGAAGCCAATCAAGTAGAATCCAATGAATCCATGATCAACCGAATGAAGGATAGACATAGAAATCAGGTCAAATTAGCGGCTTTGCGTCAACAGCAGCAAGATCAGCAGCAACAACATCCACAATACAATATGATGCCCCACCATATGGTAGCACAGCCTTATGGCCCGGCTGCTGCTATTCCTCTGTCACCAAATGTCGTATTACCACACCCAGGTATGCTGATGGATCCAGCCCAAATGTACTATTCGACTCCTATAAATGAGTATCCAGAGACGCCCGGTTCTCATACGCAACCAACGCCACCACCACCACCTCCACCTGTACCATTGCCTTCTGGCTTTTTACCAAATCCATCTCATGCGACTTTGGCTATTCCTCATAAAGACAAAGAGGACAAGAATGATCAGCACATGGCAGCAGCAGCAGCAGAGAGACCTTTCCCCTCAAAAAGCTATTCCACTCCTACATCGAGTTTGGGCCGTCCAAAACCATGCAGATCGCCACCAGCGATGCCAGTAGCAGAAATGACCCCTTCTTCAGTCAACAATAGTGTGAGCAGCAGTAACGTAAATATCAATGCTGCCAATGCGCAAACACAGGAACCATCACCTGTATCCTCATCTGTCACTTTACAATCCTCACTTCCAACCGACGCGGAAGATGATCCCACAGATGACACATCTGCTATGGTGGAATCGCCTGTCAAGCAGGTGGATGCCCAATCTCCCACCTTGGAAGACGAAACAATGGGAGCAGAAGCTGACGCAGAGAGCAGTGATGATGAAGAGAGAAAATCTGTTATTTTTCGCAAGAAAAAGTCCATGAAAAAGCTGCGTCAAAAGCAGCAGCAAGGCAGTGTGGATGGCAGTAGTGATACAAACCAACGCCACATACGATCCTCAAGATCAGTTCCCAATCTGAAAAAGAAGCAATCATCTAAAAAGATGAGCAAGTCCACCAGCCGATCCAGCAGTAGACGCAATTCACAAGAAACGTGTACACCTCCCTCTGAATTGGTCAGCACGCCTCCTCCTTTGCCTTTGAATTATGAAGAAGAGCATCATTATCAGCTACCACGTTCATACAGCCATCAGCAAATGCATCAAATGGCTTCTCCTGTTCCTCCTTTACCACACACACAGTATCATCACCAGCATCCACAGCAACAGAATAGACAATACCAACGTCAGTCATTGAGACACATGAAGAGCGAACCTGAGTTACCTAGAAAAAGTCAATATCTTCCAGCTCAACAGCAACAATTGAATAGTGAATGGGAGCGCATGCAAGTGCATCAAAGAGAGCAGCAACTCAAGAAGCAGTACCTTCAAGGTGGCCATAGCAACAGCTTACCGGCAATTTCCACTAGCCATCCACAGCAACCAATGCCGTATATGCCCATGTATGCTTCTCCCGTGTATTACCCCTCAATGCCACCACCATCTATGATGCCGTACTCTGGAAGTAGCGGCGTGGATGCTTATAACACACCACCACAGCAAGATGCTGCTCATCGTGCTAGTATGATGAGTAGCTATTATCAACAGCCACCTCAAGGATATTATCATCCCTCACATCGATAGATCTGCTTTTTTTTTTTTTCTTAATCAATAAACGTCCTGAATTTTAATGTTTGCTATGCTTAATTATTTGCTTTTAAAATCTGCCTAGTCAGCCAAAGGATCATGCGTGTCTATTAAGTCTTGTTTTTGTTTTATTGTTTGAGAGTGAGAGGGAGAGAGAGAGAGAGAGAGAGAGAGAAAAAAGAGGAAAAATAAGATTGAAAAAAAAAAAGAGAAAAACTTAATGAGTGCCACATGTCATCAAAGACATGAAACTATGCCAAAATCCACGATGTTCATGCTTATTTGTTTCTTGATCATAATTGTTGGTAACGCCATGCGTGGGCTCAGGCATTTTCGTATAGGCATCATTGGCATTCGTTGTTGTCATGGCAGCAGTAGGTGTAGTTGGCATATTGTTGGCAGTAGTAGTTGTAGTATTAGTTATAGGTAAAGGTGGAATATTGGTATTTTGGGATATCTTTGGGTGTGATGCATGTCGTTTCACAGAATTGGGCGTATTGGATCGACGAGATTTGGATTGCTGTAGCTGCTGTTCCTCTCTGGCTTGACGTCGGCTTTCGCGAGTCTCCATCTTGCCATTCAGCATCCAGTCGTATACGCCATCATCCGATTCTCCCATGCGACGCAGGACTTTATTAAAGAGCTCTCTTAAAAAGTCATAGTCTGGCGATTCCTCAAATCCTAATTTACGCACATATTGCAAGTAGATGCCGAATTCCTCTGGAAATCCATCGCATAGCTCTTTCACGGGTGTCGTTTGCTTCTTTTCACCAATCCTCTCGTATTTCTGCTTGTTGGTAGCTGCTTTGAGTCCTTGCCATGGTAGTGAACCTCGCAAAAAGTACATAAATACATGACCTAATGATTCTAAATCATCTCTTCTTGATTGCTCTATTGGAAATGAGGAGGAGTTAGAATATGCCTGCAATAATTCACTTTCAAGAGGAGATTGCGAATGAAAAAGGTGGTGAGGTTTTTGATCTAGTAACTAAATGCCTTGAATCTGATTTGTGAAAAAAAAAGAAAAAAGTGCTTGTTGTTGTACACCCCTTTATCATTATGTAAATTGAATGTTTCACAAACTGAGGTGAAATGAGATGATGAAAGGTAGGGCATACATCAACAGCAGGTAGAGAACGAAGAAGGAAAAAAAAAAAAATAGAGTACAGAAGGGTATAGCACATGTAAGAAAAAAAAAAGGAACAAGCGTATAAGCAAAAGAGAAGAAAAGTATTTACCTCTTCCTAAATGGGTATTGATACTCATGTATCTAGCTGTTCCCGACAAGCTTTTACGTTCTCGGTAAGGTATATGTTGCTTGGTTTTTGGATCACGATACAATTTCGCCATTCCGTAATCAATCATGAACACCATATTGGCATATTTGGTTCCTGGACGACCAATGAGAAAGTTGTCTGGTTTGATGTCTCTATAAATCAAGTTTCTTTCATGGACACTCTCTACACGATTGATCTATACAATAACAAGAGTGAGTTGAATGTGTATGCGTTGTCATGGCAACCAGACAGAAATTACCATTTGCTTGGCGAGCATGGCTACAGTCTTTACGGAATGCTTTCTTCCACACATGTCAAATAAATCTTCTAAACTTGGCCCTAATAAATCGATCACAAGAATATTGTGCAATCCCTCTTGACCAAAATAATAAGCGTTCGGAACACCGGCTGTTTGAAGTTACATTTAGTTCTTCTCTTTCACAAATAGGAATCCATTTATAATATCTTACGAGATCCTGCCATGATTTTATAAGATCGATGCTCATCTCTCAACTAGATGTGAAATATAATTAGTCAACATGTACATGCTATAAAAGTCAACATCTGCAATGGGCTACCTGAGGGGCATCGCTTTTTCTAGGTTCAAACTTGATGGCCACTGGCTGGTTGTTGAGTAAATTGATGCCTGTTTGTCATCTGTTAGTAATGCGAGATGGCATAGAAGGTGAATGTTACATGTATACCTTCATAAATCACACCAAAACTGCCTTCGCCCAGCTTTTTACCCACTCGGTAATGCACGCCCACAATGTTGGTGGATGATTGCGATGAGCTCTTATGTACTGATGAATGATGTGCAGTCATTTTGATACAAGTCTATATATATATATACGATCTCTCCAATCTATAGATATTGATGCTTATTCCTTGGTTTTTTTCTGGGTTGAATTATCTTGCTGCCTGAAATTGGCTGCTTCAAATTGCTTTAGGGTATTGGAAAAAAAGAGACAAGGAATCAAAAGGATATATGTGATATAAAATAAAGAGAGAGAGAGAGAGAGAGAGAGAGAGAGAGAGAGAGAGAAGGGAAAAGAGAGGAAACAAAAAGTGAAAATAAAAAAAAAAGGGAAAAAGAACAAGAAGAAGAAAAGGAGAAAAAAAGGGGATAATGTCACTTTCTCTCTTTTTAAGTTTGTTGCTGTAGAATTATTTCCAGTAATCAAGTTGATATATTAAACATTGGAGCGGGGTAGTCGTAGTATCAAGCAAAAGAAACAGGCATGAGTGAGCGAGGGAAAGAGAGAGCAGGACAGAGAGGCGGAGAAGGTAAAAATGATCCATGGCAGTAGTGGATTTGAGCAGGGTTAAAGAGGTCTGTTGTGAGTTACACTTTGTGGGACAAGTCCTTGATATTAGACGTAACATTTACATTGCACTTGTGGCTCCCTATCAAGTTCAATTTAACATTTGGACTTTATACATATAGTATTACGATAGAGGGAGTAGTTAGATTCTTGAAAAGTATCTAAAATACAAATCATCCGTGATGAACTGTATACATGTTTGTTTATGCATCAAATGAGTATATACAATCAGGGCCATATCTTATGTGTGTGTGTGTGTGTGTGTGTGTGTGTGTGTGTGTATTGGGTTATCCAATATATAAAAATAGCTGCACTAACGAGACTAAAGTATCTTCCATGAACCCGCCTGTTGTTCATGCCTGTTGTTTTCTGTCATGTAGGTTGAGATCACTCGGCTTGCATTCCATTTGCTGACCTGCTGTATACTTTTCTACCAAAGAGCAAACCCGCTATGGCTAGTTTTTCGCTCTATCGATACGCTATATAAACAATACAAAACCTTAATCCGACTCCTGCTGCTATTTTACATGTATTCAGTAGATCTATATCCTGTAGTCGCTTATGTTTGTTGTTACACTCATTAATTTTGATGAAACTTGTTGTTTGAAGAAACCCTTTTTAGTATATCGTAAGGCTGCAATGGAATTCTGTAACAAACAAAAACCTCATGTTCGTAGGACCCGAAGAAATGATGTTGAGGCCCGTACTTGTCATTGAAGCGCCTTTTGTCAATGTCTTGTCCTACACAAGCTATAGTTCATTCAGTGAGCGTGCGGCTGGGTCATGATGTTTCTTCATGACGCTAGTAAAAGAAAAAGAGTGAGAGAAGCAGCCGTCGGTTCAAGGTCCAAGCGTGTGACAATAAACAGGCAATGATGAGAAGAGCTCAAGGTGCATTTGTGTATCATCATTATGGATTATGTATGTATATGAATCACGAGGTATTTTATTAGGCAGATGTTTACATTACATTTAATCTGTTTGAGGGTGATCATCATCATCATCATAAAATATATTGTCTTGTAGGTAATCATCACCACTGCTTATCATATTGCACTCGGATAAAGAGTATTGTTCTTGCTCTAATAGGTCAAGCAGCCGAAAATAGTACATGGCATGCTTGTTGCCATCGCTTGCTGCTGCTACTGTTGTAAGCCATTTCTCGGCTGCTTTTTCTTCAATCAGAAACAAGCGAGACATGAGTTCATCCCGCGTCTGAATCTGCCACTGCTCGTCCTTCTGCTCTTCGTCTTGCAATGATGATAGTGGACGCAGATAAGTTACGCTTCTCTCACTACCATCGTATCGGAAAAGAGGTGTCAATTTCTTGGGCGCAGGAGGTGAGTCCCAAGCTTTATCAGGTTTCTTGACATCGCTATTGTTGTTGATGGTCAGTGGCATTGCTGGCTTGAATTCCGCATTCAGTTCCTGAACGTATAATTTGTTGATTTCAAATGTCAACTCTTCAGGTGTAAAATGGTGGTCATTGCTGTTGATAGGATAAGGTGTCGAGGGGATGGGAGTGTCAGTGCCTGGCTGTGGAAGCACGCTGGGCCCTTTGCTATCGTCTTCTCGGTCGTCATCAGCATGGAACACCTCCGTTTCCAGCCATGCACTGTAGTTGTTGATGAATTCTGGCTCCAAATCAATGCAATCATAGTCGATGGAGGCATCCAAATCATAGTTCTGAAAGCCATTCAGCCCAGGTCCACTTGGTGTGCTGTTGGTGTCAGAATATACTTCATCATGAGGTGGTAAGAAGGAGGGCATGTACCTCTCGCCGTTGTAGATACGCGTAAGTATCCTCAGATGCTGCTCTTCCATCTAATACACGTAGCACATTAACGCAGTATATATACTTGATGAAAACACGTATGCATACCTTTCCCATCTCTACATCTTCATCAGCAGTTGTTTTGCATATCCAGTCGTCTCGTAGTACGGTCTTGCAATGCAAGTAGATGGCAGAAATAATCCTCATGTTCTCTGTACCGTATAATCAATGCTTGTTATCTCTCCTGCCTTACTTTTTGCACTTACGAGATTTCCATTTACGCCCGAGGTAGGGCACTTGACTTTTCAGTAGCTTTAAAACGTACTGCTCCAATACGGGATGTGCTATCTTTAACAATTTTTTGAGTATAGCCTACAGTTTTGAATAACATCAGCAAGTTGAATACACTCAAATTGGCTTGTTCAGCTTACCGCTGACTTGTACTGAACTAGCAGCATGATCCGATGCGGTTTATGTTTGGTCAGCATTTGTAGTATCCTCAAAAAATTGATTGACCAATACATGTTTCGACGATTGGTATACAGGGTTGTATCTTTTATGTTGGCTTCAGGATGATCGGTCCGGTTGACATTGTAGTCCAAAAAGCTGTAATAGGGCACATCTGTATGCGCAGTGACCATATCAGTTACCTCTTGCAAACCGATCATTTTCAAAATGAGCAGCATGCAACTGGAATCTGCCAGCAACTGAGAGATATACTCGTACTTCAACACGTCTGCACACATACCGTCAGTCAAATGTCATTCGACTCTCCAATGCTGACACTTACGAGATGATTTTGACCACTTGAGCAGCAAAAGAAGTAGCCCCGATATCGCCTTTGAAATTACTTCCCTGTTGCGTTTCGTGTCTACCTCTTCCAGATACTCCAATGTCACCGTATCGTGTACATCTCTGTCCTCTTTCTCGCTACTATCACTACTGCTACCATCGCCACTGTGTCTGTTGTTTGCATTAGGCGACACGGACATCAACAGTAATTTAAGAAGCACCACAATGACATTTTGCAATTCAGGCAGCATGTTTGCATACAGTCCTTCCATCCATCGCTGCACGTCGTCGTCTGCCGTGTCCTTATCCTTGGTTGACGTGTACCTATTCTGCCAATGATGAATGCCTTTGGATCTCTCTCTTATGATTTGAAAGTTGGAAAGCGAGACATGCAGATTGGCCATGTAGACGTTGCCTGCCTCTGTTATGCTTTGCGGTACATCAGACCCTGGAGTATGCGATAGTGGTAAAGGAAATGCAGGAGATACGTAGGGCGATGAGGAGAAATAGTTTTGTAATAAATGGTGCTGCTGTTGTTTGTTTTTACTGGCATTGCCAAGTGACTTTGGAGGAAAGAGTGTGTGGTACAGCAAGTCGACATGCTCCATGGCGTTTGAATAGCCCAAAGCTGTTGCCAGTGATGGAGACGCGCTGACAGTCAGGGGATTGGCTTCTTTTAGAGGCAGGTTGGGCGGTGCATAGCCTGGATACTTTTTCGTGATTTCCTGCTGGAATACGAGTAGATCTTGAGGTGAACACTTTGCAATGACAGAGGCTAAGGGCGAGCATGAGAAGGCGCAGACATGAATATGCGGTATCATATACCTTTGGCAGGAATGCCTAGTGATACTTTCAGTCTTTCTGCTGAAGATGCAATGCTGTCTAATCCACCAGACATGAATAGCATGGACTTCCATAGCAAAAGCGCTGTCTGTTTGAAAGGTAATTAGCTTCATAAGAGCATGTTTTAGCAGCAATTGACTACCTTTCGCGTTGGGAATGACTTGCCTGGCAATCTCTCTCGAAGCTTGGAAGTGAGCAAGAGCAAGAATTCAGTCAGGTTTGGCTCTAATGTCACTAATGCATCTATTCAATACACACAATCACATTCTGCCGCAACCACTGATTTACTTTACCGAGCTCTTGTTTGAACTTTTGACTTGATTCGGATAAAGATTGATATCGTTGTGTTTCCAGTACAAGATATAGTAGTGTCATGTAAAGATCTATCTCTGTGTAGAGGGCCACTGTATTCTTCTGGCTAGTGGATTGCATGACTATCATGTTGCACAAAGCTTGCTTATCTGTAGCTTACTAACCTATTGATCAAGTATTCGTTGCAAGATTGCTGTAATTTTTGAAAAAACAAGAGAAATGCACCGTTGGATATCAGGACGTTGCAATTCTCTATCAACCTGTTTGTTCGCTGTTGTTTTGTTTCGTTTGGATCTGCTGTAAAGCACCCCAATGCAAAATAAGCTACATGTTTGCAAGCCTGCAATCGTAAATCCTGATCCTCGTATTCCAGTCCATCCAGCAATTGAGTGATTTGGTAAGCTTTGTTATCTGGAAACTCTTTTTCAAATGATCTCCTATACTCTTGCAACTGGACAGTGACTTCGGTATAAGTAAAGAATTCATTGATCTCATGCTCAAAAGTATCAGAGTCGCTGTTATACTGATAATCGCTGTGCTGGTGCTATCGTTTTGAGACAATAGAGCGTTCATTGAATAATGAAATCTCAGGCAGAGCAACAAAAGGCCTACCTTGGCTTTTCCAGGGAGATTTTCAACAAATTTGCGTAGATTTCCCGGCGTCAGAATGGGATCTAGATAGTCCTGACCATTCTCTTTTTGAGCCATGATGTGCAAAAAGAAAGAAAATGGTGTATCATTTCCCTTGTTGGGTGCATGATAAGAGAGGATTAAGGAGACCCAATGTTGGATTTTTAAGGGCCAACTCATCCGTGACTCTTCAGGTGATACACCTTTGTTAAGTTCACCAATTTTTTCAACATCACGCAAGGCACCAAGAGCCACACTATGGAAGCTGCTGTCAATGGCTGTAAGCTTATCATGTTGAGAATAGACTCCACTATCAGATCAATTAATCTTTTCCCTTACTTAGTGTCTATCACAAGACAACACTCACAAAAGGCTGTAGATGTAAGCCAACAAACAGACACGAGTTGATCCACTTTTGGCCAACATCACCTTCATAAAACAGGGCCACCGATTCATAGAGAATGGACAGATGATATATCAGGAAGAACGACTAAGGATTGAGAATCACAAAGTATTGAGCAAGGGTAACTTGACAGTGACCAAAGAGGCATCACCAGCAAATATTGACATACGACAGCCATCATCCATTTTAGAGAATGGAGAGCCACTGTTGAATCAGCCAGTGCCACGATGCGTGCCTCAGATATACCCCAAGAATACACTTATTTAATAGCCATGTTGGCGCACGAAAGGTATAGATCCATTGCATTCTCCCCTAACAGCTGTGGATCACACCGAGTTTAACTACTTTTTTTTTTTTTTTTATTCACAGCGATGAAAGCTTAAATTCATTAGCAAAGCGATTAAACGATCTATTATCACCTTTTGACAAGAGCAATGAAGGTATAGCATCAATCCTCAGATAGATGCTGTATGAATACTGACAGTTTCGAAAAGCATCCTTCTCGTTTTTCAAGGCAATCAAGCAGATCATCAAATCAGCGGCACATCAGGAGCGATATGGATTAGCAGATGTTGTGTTGTTGATGAAAGGAGCTCCTGCTACGATGCCCAAAGTAAGATTAGGCGAAAGTGAATGGTATTGAATGGGCAATGCTGATGATGCATATACAGAGATTATCCATGTTTCGATGGCAGGTCCACGATATCTCCAAATTGCCAGCAGATGTGATGAAAGCAGCGACCAGGAAACGAGACAAGCGAAAACTAGTAAGCTCTGCTGAATGGGATGCTTGGATCTATTCGATAACCAATATGAAAAAAAAATAGTTCTCTACCATGTTTACAAAGGCATTTCTCAGTTTATCAGAAAGCGAGAGAATGGAGTTACTGTATGACGAGAATGGAAGCTTCATCATTGAATCATCTGCAGAAGAAGCGATGGCCGATACGCTGTTGTCGCCATTCAAGCAAAGAGATTATGTGACACTAGCACCTTTGATCCGACAACCACGAAAGCGGCTCTGCTCTAGCTTTGATACCCTATTCTACGTCGGATTAAACGACACGTTCGATCTTCGCCAGCGATTTCTAGAGGAATTGCCACGCAGCGCCAAAGCAAAGCGAGGCATAGCATCGCGGGCGATGGATTTACACAAGGCGTGGCTGGACAGCACGAGAACAGGGGCAACCACGACACGGCAGTATCCTGGACTTAAGATGAAACTACTGCAATTCCATGAAGATGTGCGTCCTGCTTATTACGGAACCTGGACAAAGGAGGAAAGTGTGGTGATGGGACGAACTCCTTTTGCTAAACATGAGGCACTGGATTACGAGTACGATAGTGAAGCAGAATGGGATCATGATGTGGATGGAGATGATATTTACACGTTGGATCCTGATGAAGATGAAGACATGTTGTTTCCAGATGATGAAGAAGAAGAGATGGCTGGCTTCTCTGTTACCAATGTAAGTTGTAGCTGCAATGAGGTTGTTGTATGTTCTTGAGACGCTGAAACATTGGACCTCTAGGGAGAAGAGGACGAGCATAAATGGGTGGTGCCTGAAGGATATCTCTCTGACGATGAAGGTATTCATGTTGTTGAATTCTCACAGAAGCACAAGCACGGTATTGTTAGTCGCCCTGCAAAGTGGCCCATCGCAGGAAACAAGGTAATGGTATCATTCATTTGTAGGCATTCCATCTGCTAAAATTTGGTCTTGACACAGCACTTTCCCATGAAACCTTTGATTCTCGGCCCCTCTGTTGAAACAACAAACGAACCTGAGAACCACCCACTATCCGACTTTAGAATGCATCTGTTGGTTCATACAGACATGCCTGAAGGCTATTCTCCATTTACTCCACTTGACGACGATGACGACGATCTTAGAGAAACGGCAAATACAGCTGCAAACGCTACATCTAACATTTGCTTTGAGCCCGACAAGTCAAAATCGCCATTATATCGTAGAGAGATTGATAAGATGCAGCAGGAGAATCGACAGGAATTAGTTAATGTAAATGCCTTCATCATATATAGCCATAGGTTGCTAATCTACGTTACCCTTGTAGGTGATTGTAAACAACACTTCAAAGACAATGATGGGCTTGGTCACTCTACTAAAGGCCAAGACCGGGTTTGAAGAGTATACGATTGCTCAGTTACAGGCAATGATTCATGATTTAGCCATTCAAGAAGTGAGAGGGTCCAGCAAAGTGTGTATTCTTTTACTACGATATAACTGACATACTAATATCGTTGTATAGGAATACAATTGGTACCTACGATCGTAAATAACGTTGACCGAGCAAAAGATGATGAATGCCCTATAAATCCTGTTTAGTTTCCAATAAAGTACCCTTTGAGTTTTGCCAGCATATACTGAAATCTTATCTTTTAACTCTTTGCTGTTATGTGCGAAACTTCCATAAACGCTCTATAGTTGTAAATCAGGTTCTTTTTGCAGCGCTCTACTTTTGTATCAATGGAAACTGCTCGTATAAGCTTAGACAGCATACTTTCATAACCTCTTCTTAATCATAACTATGCAAACCACAACGAAATCAGGGCGCATTTGAGCCGTTATATCTCGTGTCAAAAGTCGTTTTAGACAGCCAAGAAGAGCACCCTAAAGCTGCTATCGTCCAGCGCTAATCTGCTGACACTTTTGTCCGACTTTTTTTGCGATCTAGAAAACATCGCTAAGAATCGACCAAAAAGCATGCGGAGTACCTCATGGTTTTTACCGAAAAATAAACGATCGTTTCAAAATATTTGTAGCGATCCAAGGCATCCCCTGAAACGCTGTTTGTGAAATCTTCAGATGCAAAATCTCGACAAGTTCAGTTAAAAAGCGTTCTGTAATTGACACTATTGAAAGCGCCCTAAAAAGTACTTCCAGAAAGCCTAAGGAAGCAAGAGAGAATTATGAAGAGTTACATAGTCAAATCTTGCAAAATAGGTCGAATTGAGCCTCGAAATAATGATTTTTCCAGGTATTGAAAATGTAAACTTTATCATTCTATGGTTGTCACCACCACCCTATGTTCTTTGAGATTTCCAATAAATCAGTGCCACCAAATAATCAAACTAGAGGATCATCACTGCTGCAGTTACCCCAGCATACCAAGTTTTGAATCTATGTGGTAGCAGTTGAATACTAAAGCCATAAGATGCATTTTGATCCACATCGGTACAACAATTATGTAAATGCTAATTCTGTGGCAAATCCAGCCTATATCTCTGCTCACCACAACGCAAACAGTAACCAACAAATTCTCTCCACCCGCTATGTCAGTTCACAAGTCTAGATACCCTTTGGTTTCTCCCTGCTCTCCCCCCCCCCCTTTTCAATGCAAAAGCAATCCTCAATCCATGGTTTCAGAGTCTAAACAATTTGATTTATTGCTTGTTGTCGTTTGTATTGGTATTGGGTTCAATCAAGCTAGTGTTATTCTCGAGTGCCTTCAACTGTCTAGTAGTACCAGTATTATTGTTCATTTGCTGTTGCTTTTCCAATCTCTTCTTTTCAAATTCTTCTCGAGCTTTATCCTGCCATCTTTGTTGATTTGCGATATCATGTACTTTGAAGCCAAAGATACGGGGTACATATCTCTCTGTGTTCTTGGTTGGCAGATAATTGGAATGAACTTGGAACAACATGTGAGGGAATGAGGTGCCAAAATAAGCGCCATCTATTGCGCCATGGCGGGATGATTTAGGGTTATAGATATCTTCGCATCGAGGACAGTATAATTTCACTGTTTTTGTCATTGGAATATCGGATAAGCCAACAGGTAGCAATGATTGCATGTTGCAGAGTACACGAGGACAACGACCAAACTCGCCTCTCTTGTATTTATCAAGCTGCCATGTCATGAGTAGATTAGTTTCTTTTTCTGTCGTATGACTATTCAGCGGGCTGTGCATACCATTTTCATCAAACCGCGGCTTGTAATAACGAAGCGAGCATGAATCATTCCAAAGAGATGGCGAGCTGATTTTTCGATTTGTTCTCTCACTTTTTCATCCAACCCATCCTCGTCTATATGGACGGTTAATCTAACAGGTCAGCTTGTACATGAACTCACACTTACCAAGATTATCTGTGATCATGTCTAGTGCTTCCAAGTAGTAGTGAGGAACTTCGGCGCTTAGTCCAGTCAAGTTGAATCTGTCGAGGATGAATTCTTCATCAACTTCACAAAAGTATTCGTTGCCTTTTGTATCTAGAAACCAATCAATCCAGTATTTTGCATATTCGTCCTCGGAACCACTACTCATTTTCTGGTATAATTTAGCGACTTTGTTGTGTTGTAAACTGTTGCAAACTGTAACAAATTTAGCTTGGAGTGTGTATGTAGATATTTATATGAATATACCTGCTTGAAGTGCGATACTCAAGTATAGTAAAGGGGGGGGGGAAAGATGTGTACAATAACATTTGAGAATGTAGAATTTATTTGATTGGGGCACGCATAGTGTGGTGTCGTAGAATAACACAGCGCCTATGCTGTTCAGTTGGCTCTGGATCTTATGACGTTGCTCAACTCACATCAAGATTTGACTATGGAAAGATGATTTAAGCTCTTTATGGGGCAGTACGATGCAATTGCGAACAATGGTTTCGTCCAAGACAGACACCTCTTTTCCGAGAATAGTGATACTTTGCACCTTGACACCATTCTTCATCATTTCTTCATTATGGTCAGAAACAGCGGTGCCTTCGACACGAGCCCAAGCACCAATTTTACTATTCCAGCCAATGACCGAATGAAGAACACAACTAGCATGCTATTGCACAAGAGATAATTTAGCGTGATTGTATACACTGGTGCTGGTCTATACATTACGCCTATAGTCACATTGTCTAGAATGATGGCATCCTTGATGCGAACACCTTTGCCCAGAACAACACGCGGGCCAATGGATACATTGGGGCCAATCTTTTTTAGGTTAAATTAATAACGATAAACAATAGCAATGCAAACGTATGATATACCTTGGAAGTAGGATCAATCTGGGCAGAGGGATGAATATAAACAGCTCCAATGATTTCAGGTCCACCCTCTTCGTTTCTAGCAAGTCTAGTATCGTTGTCGTGATGCTGCAGTTCCAAATAAGCGGCATTGGCCGAGATGGCTGATCCAGCGGTTTTGATCTGTTTCCAGAAGCCTTCAGTTACATAAGAATATAGCTTTCTTGATTCAGACAAGGGACGCAACAGGTCTCTTTCAAGACTGAGTCTATCATCCACATTGGTTGCAAACGAATCAATCAGATTGTTGTTGGATTCTTTCTTCAAATCCATCGCCTTCTTAATTTCGTCAAACACTGCAATGTCAAATAGATAAACACCGCATGAAATCAAATCAGAAATGAACGTTTCAGGTTTTTCAACATAGTGAAGGACTTCGTTAGTTTTAGCATCTCCAACTAGGCAACCGTACTTTTTAGCTTGTTCGCGAGCGATCTACATCAGGCTTCAGATTAACATATCATGCCGAAAGAAAAAAAAAACACACACAGAGTGTCGTGTTTACCTTGGTGCTCAACATGGTGCACAATCCACGATGGCCCTGATGAAATGCTGCCATTTCTTTCAGAGGAAAGGAACAGGCAATATCCACATGCATGACAAAGAACTGCTGAGGATTACCACGAATAATTTCGTCTCTAAAGTGATAGATGCCACCTGCTGTACCTAATGCTTGATATTCGCGTAGGTACCTAAATAACTTCAATTAGTACAAATGCATATATTAAAAAAAAACAAAACAAAATGCCTTATTACTTGATGTTAAGATGAGGAAATTGACCACTGGCAGTTTCAATGTAGCTGGAAAACACAGAGTTCTCAAAGAACCCCACAATCAGCACCTCTTGAAGGCCATCTACTTTGGCAAGTGCCGCCAAATGATGAGATATAAGCGGAAGTCCAGCGACTGGAAACAAAGGCTTTGGCACATCTAGTGATAAAGGTCTAAAACGAGTGGCTCTAGAGGGGCCACCGACGAGAATGATAGCTTTGTATTGATGCTGTTGAGTCATTTGGATGAAGAAAAGAGGGAAAGGGCAAGTGAAGCAGAACACGGCGCTTAAAATGAGATTCAAGAACGTGTGTGCCTCAAATAACATTCTCGTATAAATGAAGCATCCCAAGGCCATTTACTTGTTTCTTCCTTTCTCTCTTTTTTTTTTCTTTGTATTCGTTTTTCCCTCCTTTTTTTCTTTTAGGCCTTCTTTCATTATCCCTCTCTACAGCATCATCATTCATCATCATGGCAACAGAAAGAATTTCACAAATTTTACCTACCGTCAAATGCTCAGACTGTGGACGAGATGTCCTCATCCGCCGTTTGGGAGATCACCTTTGCACAAGTCAGCCTCCAGTGCCGTCGCTACCCATCATTCCTCAAGCTAAAGGTACATAGTCAAATTTTCAAGGAGAGTCAGAGAGCCTCGTTGTCTGAATGGCAATGTTTATTTTAGATAAATTCAACAAGACGGGAAACAACATTAGCAAGCCAATCTCGCCATTGCAGAGCCCCAACGGATCTAGCTATGGTAGCAAGAAGAATGATTTCTACTCTTCCAATGCAACAACAACAACAGCATCAGCAGCAGCAGGATCAGTTACACCGCCCTATTATAGTGGGATGGCGAGAGATCTGCAACGTCCTGTAATGAAGGACACCTATACTGACGACTCATACTCTGACGATTTCTACAAGGCACCATACAAGAGTTCTTACCATAGCAATAGCAGCAGTAGCAACATGGATTTACCGAGAAAAAATAGCACCTCTCCTGCTCCCTCGAGTCCGAGCTCATATCGGTAAGTGAATGTTTATTAAAAAGCACTCAATAAGTTAGATTGGAATCTTCTTTTTTTGTAACCATTGCTCTCTATATTTGTAGGAACAGAAATGATTCTAATCCTGATTTCAACACTCGCTATGGTAAGAGATGAAGCACAATAGACTATGATAGTAGCACATACTGATATGGGCCGTAGAAGGAACCAGAAAGCAATCATTAGGCAACATTTATCAGCAACAACAGCAATCTTACTCCACACCCACTGCAAACACTTACAATAGTAGCAGTGGTGCCCTGGACAATTTGATGGCCGATTTGATGAATTCCATGAACGATGATATCCACTTGTCTGCTACAAACATGATGCCCTCACCACAGAGCAAATCTTCGCACTGTGATGTTTGCAGAGAGGATTTTGATTACAGAGACGATGTGAAAACTGCTGGTGGAAAGGTTTGCTTTAAGGTTTTACCAAAATATATAACAAAAAGCACTAATAATATAATACATGGATAGTGCTACCATAAGACATGCTTTACTTGCCGCCTGTGTAGCACTCCCTTTGATCAACGTCGCACACATCATGAATACGAAGGCAAACTCTATTGTGAGAGAGATTTTCATGTGGTCAAGAACCGTATCATGTGTGCTTCCTGGTAAGTTTCTTGTTCGCACCTGTGCACAATATAGAAACTAAGCCGTACATTGGTAGTGATCGAGCCATTCCACCATCAGTTGCACCGATTAAGGCATTAGGCAAATTTTATCATCCAGGCCATATCAAGTGTTACCATTGTTACGCAGGCATTGATGATCGCACAGGCTGGAAGGAATATCAAGGCCGTGTGTATTGCAGACAAGACTTCAAATCACTCTTTTTACCAAAATGCAGAGCGTGTCATAAAACAGTTGAAAAGAATGCAGTATCTGCAATGGATGGAAAACTACAGGGCAAATGGCATTTGGAATGCTTTGGATGTCACACCTGTCGCAGACCCTTTCCCGACAATACATTCTATGTGTTTGAGGATGCGCCTTACTGTAAGAGGCACTATCACGAGCTGAACAATAGTTTATGCAAACGATGCTCGGATCCAATTGAAGGGTACTGTGCTTATACCAGTCCAGAGAATTGGAGGTTCCATCCCAATTGCTTTACATGCGAGGTAAGTAGATAATGAGCGAGTGTATACGCAGGTGCTGATCAAGGCTCTCTTTAGACTTGTTATACAAGACTAGACAATGAATACTACGTAACAAATGGAAGAATATACTGTGAAAAAGATATCAGACGCCAATACCACCAAAAGAACTACAACTTGACCAAACGAAAAACACAAATGTACAATATTTAAATCAGCCAGCAGCCTGTTTAGTTGTAGATATATATCTTGCTTCATCAGTTACCCCACCCAGACCACTCCTTTTTGTTATATCTTTTTTTAGATTTATTATCCTTCATACATACAATTTACTCTACTATTAATATATAATTCACAAAACTCTACTGCCTAAAATTGACATGGACCTTGAACGATGCTTTTGATGCATGTGCATGACAAAATGAACGTAAGTGGAGATGGAGACAGGTCTTGAGGTCTTATTTCTTCAATGGATTAGCACACAAATATCGACATTCAATCAACGTATCAAAAACTGACAGTGTATTGGAGAATGGCATTGTACTATCACATACCTGCTTCAATGTTGAGAACACTGAATTACATACTGTTTCTTAAAAAGCCCTCATAAATGAAGCCAAATATCTTGAAAGTCGAAAGCATTAGAATGTGAATGCATCCATCATCTTATGCCAGTGTTTGGGAATTGTTGATTGGGCCATATTATGTAATGCAATACAAAGACGAATCTAGCATACTGTCATCATATGAGCAAAAGATGTGTGTACCTGTACACAGTGACAAGAACCAACTTCCGGGCAAATCACTTTTTGGATTTTCCCAATATAAATATTCGCGCGGGAAAATTCATCTTGTTTAGTTATTAACAGGCATTTTAGGAGATGCAGTGTACGACATTGATAAACACAGATCTGATTATGTGCCTACTTGTTCATATTCAACTAAATGGCCAGGTTTACATATACAATAGCATGGAGAAGACTCCCCGTTTAGGAGGCTTCCGTGTCGGCGGTGTGTATCATGTAACGTCCTTTCAAAGGTTCATCCAAAAGGGAAATTAGGAGAGAGAGAGATATTGATATCTATAAATAATGGCTCTATTTTTCTATTAAGAATACATTTAAACGGATAGTTGCTCTGTGATACTTGACGCATGACGAAGACATGTAAGTATTCAAGTTGGTGCACAAGTAGTGTGCCTCTGCGTTTCGAATGGCATCTCTAGCAGGATATGCAGCATGTATAAAATCAATCGTCTGCAGTTTTGCCATAGTAAAAGGATCAAGTTGGTTATATCTCGAGCATGATATCTTGTTTGCTCCTTATTTATATGAGAAAAATAGTAATAATACAACATGATTTATGAACCATGAGGAGCTTTTCTCATGATTGGCTTGTCAGACTGAAGCTAATACAAGTATTATCAACATAAAAGAACGTGCTGACCAGTGTTTAGATTATTATTGCTTCATTTGTTTTGTATGACATGAAACAAAAATATAACAATTGTGTTGGAGTACAGTTATATTTATATGTGTAATATGAATAGAAATTAAATATGGTATTTATACAAAATGTCAAAGAAATCAAAAGGTAAAGCGACTTAATTAATGCCAGCATGATCAAATCCAAACCACCAAATCAAGATGCCGGCTACTATTAATAAAATAATGAAAATAACAAAGCAGATCCATTTTTTCTATTTCAAGATGATTAGTCTCTTTCTTTTACTTTCCTCCCCTTGAAAGTGGGTAGAGGGGAATGTAGATCCTTTTAGTTTGACTTACAGCACGTGTGCTTCTAGCAATGACAATGGCTTTACCAATATCCTTATTACCCTGCTCCAAATCAACAACGGTAGTCTCAGCATGAGTCTCAATTTGGTTTATTGTTTCTGCTTGTTGCTCAACCATCATTTGCATATCCACAAACAGCTGGTGTAATTCCAAAATGGTCTTTTCAATCTTTTTGATATCATCGTGTCGAGACTGCACTTCAGATAATACAGCTCTTGCTTGGCCAGATCTATTGGATTGCATCAAAGACTGAGCAAAGATTTGATTTGGCTCATCAGAGTCTAAAACTCGCTCAATTTCATCTGGGGTTGCGTTGGGTTGAACAATCTTGATTTGTCTCTCGACTCTTTGTCTGTATTTTTGCTGGTATGTTCTTTCAATATCTTGATATCTCTGAATCGTCTCGATAAACTTCTTTTTCAATGCGGCATGTTGAGTTTTTCGCATAGGCAAATCACCAGAATTCGCTGGCATACGAGCAATACTGAGTTCGATGGCTTTGATCTTTGTTTTACATTGATTGTTGAGTTTGGTCGTTTGTTTGACAGCTTTTTCCAATCTGTAGGTATTCTCTTCAGTTTGCTCGTCGTTGATGTTGGACAATGCTGAGCCATGCAGCTCTTCAATCAAGGTAATATTGTTGATAATCTTACGATTGATGTCTTTAACTTCCTCAACCTTGATCGTAGGAGACGAGTCAATACCTTATAAGATGCACACCGAAAGATACCTACCTCCTGAAAGAACTGATCTGTAGTGATGATGCCATCAGATTGGACGGGTGTAGTGCGCTGGCTCATTTCGTAAGCCTCTTTACTGTCTGCATGTCGATCACCACGTGAGTCATTGTTATATGTTGGCGAAGGTGGTACTGGTGGACGATATCCAGTGTCGTGTCTACCAGTTGGCATAGGAGGCATCTGCTCATAATCATCACTAATTTAAAAAAGGAGGGAATCCGATTAGCTTCTTTTGCATTCTTTATGATTTGTGCCTGAAGACAAATTGCTGTACCTGAGACGACTAAATTGCGAGCAAAATGGGTCAATATCTTCGGATGCAAACCATTTCAAACAAACACTTACTCGTATCTCTTTTCATTATTGTTGGAACCCTAACAATGATTTCAGTAATTTGGTGGCTGGATATGGATACAATTACTGCTTACACGAAGTTCGGCCAAACGATCTCTACTCATAGTAAATCTTGATCCAGACATTGTATATCAAGTATTGAAAGAAAGAAAAGAGTGTAATGTGTTGAGTGAAAGATAAAAGGAAGGGGAAAGATGAGAGAAAGAAAAGGGAAATTGGTAAAATTAGACATAAAGAAATTATATCTTGTCTCGACGGTTGCACAATGCAAATTAAAAAAGCTAAAAAGTCAATCTATTTTTCATCCAAATTTTATTCACTTTTCGAAAAAAATACAAATCTCCAGAATCTAGACTTGACTTTCAGCCTTTTTCTTCTTCTTTTCCTCAATCTTATCAATATTCTCTTCGGGAACCTTGTAATAAAAGCACATGAGACACTATTAAAGAAGCAGAAAGAGAAAAAAAAGGATACTTACATTGGGCCAATTCTTCAAGATCATCTTGAGTAATTCGTCACTGAAATCACCTTGAACAACAATTTCATCTTGACCTTGATTGTTCTTTGCAACAGAAGAACCACATGCAAATCTATTAGCAAACATCTTGGCTGCCTTCTTTAAATCGACTCCAAAAATATCCAGACCATAGATGGTGGTAACGCACTTTCTCTTTGTTCTTTCAATACGTTTGATAAGCACACGGGAAGCCTAGGTCAATAGACTTTTCAGTCGTCCATGCCATCAAATGTCGCATCCTGTAATTGCTTACCATCTTCTTTTTATTTTCACGCTCCAATTTGGCTTCGAGTTTGGCTGATTTATCCTTGACAACTGTTCTGTCCTTCTTGTCGCTAGCTTCATCTTCAATGGTTGCCTTTTCGACACCTTCGGTGACAGCTACCAGACAACATGTCAATCGCTACAGTGTAAAGTCGTATCACTGTCATCGTATTCACCTTTGACACCACCATAAACCTCCTCGTACATGTCTTCGTCCTTTTCCTTCAACCATAATTTACATTTTTCCTGTGTACCGCTGAATTCACAGTACTGTTAGATATATACATTGTGATTAGACATCGACCACGCAATATTCTGATGTGATTTTCATATTTACTTCCAGAGGCATGGTACAAACTGGATGATAATAATGATTTGTTAGATATGTATGAGCTGTTTCAATATGGCTGGCCTAATCGTTAATACTTACTGCCACATAAAAAGACTTTACGTGGTTCAATAGACATGATTGATTTGACTGACGAGAGAAAGAGGTTCAACGAAAAACAAACTACGTCTTTGAGTGTGTATTTATGAGTAACAGCAACTTTTTTTTTGTCATAATGTGTAATTTTAGCAGTCATTTTGTATTGAACTGCAGTTTCCAGAAATATTGCCTCCTACGCATAATTGAGGTTAGGTGATCAGCAACCAAAAACCTTTATAATCCAATGGGTTTATCTTGCTGTTTTTTCTCTTTTCTCCAAGACTAAGCCGTACAGGATATAGAATAAAGCAAAATAGGGAAGAAAAGAGATGTGAACAAAAACCGATCACGTGACTACCTAAAAGAGTGGTATGCCCTATAAAAGCTATTTATTGATTATCAAAATATATCAAATTGCCTAGCTAGCTCAATCGGTAGAGCGTGAGACTCTTAATCTCAAGGTTGGGGGTTCGACCCCCCCGTTGGGCTTTTTTTTTGGAAAAGAAAGCAAAAACGTCTCATCTTAATAATTTTTCGTTGGAGTTGCCAAACCACGAGTAGCGAAAATAGGAGCTTACTATTCAATATAACCCAAAAGCATCAAGGCGTTACGAATAGTAATATTCACTTTCTTGTCATTACATACTGTTACAAGTCGTAACATCCACTTTTTTTTTCTACCACCATATATATAATCATACAATCTGCTTGTCCCTATTATTATACAAATAAAACACATCACTTATTTTATCGTTCAAATTTCACTCTGGACACAACTCCATCTCAACCCAAAATGCCGCATATCAAACGGGCACGAATTAAAGACCCAGATCAACACTGCAATGCCATTCGTATCTCGTATCTAAAAAGGACAACATTATATTAAACCTTCCTTCTTAAACCCAAGAAACGTAACTACATAATCAAATCATACGAAAACATATATTGACCCAAGTAAACTAAATAAGCAATTCCTCTTTCATCGAAGCACATTAGAACAGAAATATTATCAAACTTCAATTCAATCGTTGTTAGCCAGGACATTATCACAGACATAAAGAATAGCAAAATAGTATAAAAAGCATAAATCTCACTATGAATTAATAAGATCATCTTATACTTTACCAATATTTCAATACACATCTTATATAAAGCTCATTAGCTGTTATATTTACTTCTTTTCTTATATCAAACATCTGTTATTTGTAATGTCCCTTGAATTCCTTATATATATCATATATAATAATCGATTCATTGTAAACTCTTTTATATACATCTCTATAATATTTTCTGTTTTTTACTTTTACTTCTGTTTACTTGTTTATTCTATGTAATAAAATAGCCACCTAAACGCAACCTGATTGAGAACCAAAATTCATCAAATAGCACTCATTCAAATTCATGCTATTTGGATCTATTAGTAAAAGCGCTCATTTGTATATCAACAACCATTTAAACATACTAAAGTAAAGATACACGCTTATATCACACATCGTGTGAATGAATCACTCCTGATCACAGTGTATTCAATCACACCCATGATGGTCGTAATAAGAGATGTTATCTTTATCCAAATAAAACCAAATCAATAACAAGCATATTCAAATATGACAACTATGCCCTGCTGCCATAGTTGCACGATATCCCAGATAAAGGGTTCCATACTTCAATAACAAACATCACACTTTAAACCATGCTATGACGATAGCTCACCCAAGCCCATCAAGGTTACTCAAATCGACCCTTATGACCAGTGCTCTTGCATTGATTACCACTTTAAATCAAACGTCAACAACATTTGCCAGATATCGCAATAGAAGAACCTATTGCTCTCTATCATCACTAATCCTACAAGCTAGTTGCAAACGTATAAATACTCTTCTTTTTTTTTTACTCAATTCCAGGATCTTCAGTTCATTTTATACACAAATAAAATACAGCTGATTTCTATTGTTTTTTACTATTGTTTTTTTTTGTGCAATCTCTTCAAACCTGGTTTCACTGCATTCTAGTTGGACAACTATAAACCTGGTGCTCATTTGATAGTTATATCTGCTTTGGCTAATTTACTATCTCCTTCATATTCTTTTATCAAAATTATATCCACTACTACCGACTCACCTGTAACAATACAATCATCACATTTGGTACCGCTTAATTTACACTCCAACCACAGCTCAATCGACTCGAAGATGGCGCATAATACCAAGCGGATTTTGGGTTTGAATTGATTTTGGCTGGTGTGGCTGGCAGGCAAACTTCAATACCCTTGAAGCGTATGAAAAGTAGGTAGCAAGCCGTAGCATTATCGTTCATCATGCTATTTTCTTGCATTCTATATTTAATAACGTTAGTTTGGACATTGATAATTTATGGGCTGCATACAATGTTAGCAGTAAGTAGGGGAATTTGTATCATAATCAAAGTTTCCCTCAACGAGTTGGTCAGTTTTGTTATATCGGTCGCTATCAATAATATCAGCTTATTTGGAACAAAATAAACATCAACTCCACGTTCTTTAGTATTTCAAACAGTATATTACCTAGGTTTCTATTACGGCATGGTCTTCTCAATGGTTGAGTACGTTGTTTGTTTTATTGTTTCGATCGCAGCTGCTGACTAAATCTCTGATAAGGCTCAGGGCCGTCGAGCGAAGAAAATGTTTACAGCGAAAGTGCCTAGTTACAGAAAGAGTAGAACACTCTTTAGAAATAGCGTCTCATTTTGCAGCAGTTATCTATTTGAAGACCTTTGACATGGCCTTAATATTGCGCAACATTGGCAATATATTGAATCCTTCCAAAAATATATCGTATCAGGAGAGACCCAAAGAACTTACTTTTTACAAGAGGTGCCTGTAGATCAGATGCATTTGCTCGCCAGCATTCGGGATGTATAATGATTAAATTTGCTGGCATGGTCAACTTGCAGGTAACGTTTGTATACAATGTTCGTTTTAAGCACAAAGAATAAATGTAGAATAGTTATCTGTAGCTTCTTGTAAACAATGGTTGATATCACAAAAACAAGAAAAGACTTATCTGAACAAGGTTAGAAACAAAAACTAAAGATTTATCGATGAATAAGACAAGAGGTATCCTATTTATACTAAATTCTGAATACCAAAGTAGCAATTTATCTTGTACAACGCTTGTACGTGTTGTTGCACAACACAGACATATCTACCCATCAAGAATACCTTAATCTGTATAGACACTTGTAGCCCTTAATCCTCTACCATCTTTTGAAAAGGCCGCTGAATTTATCGATATGTGCTCCCATGAGTTCAAGCAAAAATCTGTTGACTGTATCTTACCTGTGCTTTGTATACATTCACCTATTGCATTTTTGCCGGATTATATTGATAACATGAGTGCTTATGTGAAAATGCCTGAGCAGTTGATTTTTTAGCCGGTGAACTCAAAAACATCAAGATAATGTTGTGATATGGTCGTTTTTCTTGCTTGCTATTTTAGTGCTGCACTTCTTGAAAATAAAAAAAAAGTGTATGCCCTACAATCTCATATTCCATTTTAAATAAAAGGAGGCGTGTATGACATATCTGGGGCAAAAATTATTTTGTAATTAGAGATTTTGATTGGAATATATGCACGTAGAAAGTGGTATTGCTCTGATATTGGCAAGATTATTATCCAAGTTAAATTCTTGAATTTTACGGTTTTAATCCATGTAATCGCCTCATACAGTAAATTTAACGCCGAAGCAAAAGATGTTCATAAGAGTAGTAGGTGTCTTAATGACACGGTGCTTATGGTACTAGCAAGTATATTTCAAAGTATCCGAATACGGAATAATGTATACGTGTGCTTTATAGAAAGGTTGGCTTTAATTGATGACAATATATCATTTTTACAATCACCTGTTGCAATTTTTGGCATCCCAGATACCTGGACAGCCAGATGTCACAGCACATTTCAAACATCATCTTGGACTACTACAGTCTGTTCGTTTGTTTTTACCATTGCAGACTTCACTTCCACAACCTTTACACTTTCTTGCTGTAGCCCTTTTTGTTATTACTGGCGCTTTCTGGTAGGGATGTGGATGGCACATCTGCAGTCGAGATGAGATGAACCTGTGTGTTGAGACCAGCAAGGCAGTTTGGGGCCTGTGGTCAGGAACGGGCAAGACATCTTGTAGTCTGTGGCTAGGAACTGGCAATGGTGGCTGGAAATAGTAGCCAGCAGGGAGGACGTTGTGCTGTGGGTGTGGATGTTGTGGTTGCGGTTAAAGCAGTTGCGATGAAACAGATGGCGACGGTATTTGTGCATCAATTGTGGCAGCAGAAACGACAGCAAAAACATTGTTGATGGATGGTATCCTTGGTGATGCTGCAGGCAGTAGTTGAGAAGGCTGATTAGTGGAGACGACTTGATGCTCAATAAGTTTCAAAGCTAGTTGATGAATCTCCTCTGTTTTGGATACTCCGTCTTTTAATTCGAAATCTTTATAATACTTCTCGAGATGATCTGTGGTTTTTGTTATATCAAATGTCATAGCAAGGTCTCACACTGAAGGTTTTAGGCTATTCTTAGGTCCTTTGGGTAAATCATGCTAATCATGATTTACAAATCAATTGTTGGGTAGATAGTATACCTATTTGTATTATAGTTCATCATCATGCTGTAAACCCTAGCATAATGAAAAGTATATAAATGCATCCTTGGGATGCATTCTCAATAAAAGTGTAATTCTTTGGCAGATTCAATTTTACATTGTATTTTGACATAACAGCTTTATAGAATATATCAATACCGTTGGCCTTTTCATTGAACTTGCTGGAAAAATCAACAAAATTTATCCTTCTATTGTTGCTATTCTTGTAGTGAGTTTCATAAATGACCCAGAATTCGGATTTCTCCTTCATCGCATCGACAGCGAGCACGGCAAACTTTGTACATTGATTGTTTGCAACAAACTTGTAACGGCCAAGATGTGAGCGCAAAGTTGACCCAACTTTCATGATGACAGTGTCTTGGAGCTGTGGAATTGTTTTGTCTACAAGAGGCAAGCTCTCCTCCGTGATCTCAGAGGGCAAGATACCAATTTTGACCATCTCTTCATTTGGTAAAGGGCATATACCAAAGAGCTCACCAGAACCGCAATATTCCAAAGCATTCACAGACAAAGCGATGTTTCTTGTGCCAGCACTGAATCCCATTTTTTGACGCAAGAGATCAATATGCTGAACTAGCCAGGGATCATAATGGCTTTTGTAAATGACTGAATGCCTGTTCTTTGAACCCACGTCGAGATTATGTCTCAGCCTGTATTCAGTAAACATCGCATTAGCCAGCTCTGGACCAGCACCAAACGACCCAAACTTGCGAATCAAGTTCTGGTGGACTCCGCCTTCTAAACAGTTTGTTCCACGGATGCATCTATAGAGTGTCAGCTTGAGATCGTCCAATTGTCCTGTCTTAATGTACAATTGTACATCTGGCGGATCAGATACATGGCCTAACTGCACTGTTCTCAAGACAGCAGCTGCTTGATCCCAAGATTTTTTTATCAAACAGTGCTCTTCCAGATTTTGCGCACTTCAGAGGGCCGTAAGAAAGAAACAAGAGTTTTAAAAGAGGAAGCAACACTTCAGGAGCAGACACCTTTCTTCGTACTCTTCTCCACAACCACGCACGATCGTATTTCATCTTCGAATCCCAGGCGTGTGAAAAACTTGGATTCTTAAGTCTTTTCTGTGCAAATGCCGCGATGACCTTTTCTTTGTCAGTCTCATCAATCGTAAATAAGCTTTCACTAAATTTTCTAGTGAACTGCTTATACAAGGTGTGTCTCTTATAAGGCTTGATCATATCCATCGAATAAAAAATGTCTTTGACGACGCGAGTAAAAGCAATTTTGGGATCATCAGCATTATACCAAGCAAACTGTCGATAGCCACTGGTAAAGCCAGCCTTGTCAACCCTGTCTATAGCATCACCAAAAACCTCTTGCATCTTTGACTGAATTTCTGACTTCATGATAGCATTGGGATTGCTTACTGGCGTAGCTATTACAGGATCGCTAGTGGCGGTAGGATTAGCAGAGGAAATACTCGAGGCTTCAGATGGTGAAGCAGCTGTGATGAGATGAGCTGCAGGAACTCTCAGTTCAAATGGCAGTTCACCATATGTTTGCAAAGCAATACCATTTGCCAGATATCCAGGAACATATACTTTTGTAATTCTTACAGTTGCTGTGCTACCATTAACTACGATTTCGCCGTAGGCAACAGCTTGACTGTTTCGTGGAGGCATCACATCTACAAAGGAACCAACTGGATAGGTAGGAAGCACACGACTACCGACAGGCAGATGATTCACAGCAACACTGTAGATGGCCAAACTAGCCCAAGCATCAATTGCAGCATAATTTAGAAGATCTGGCGAGAGGTCAGCCATATTCCATGCGCTTCTTTGAGGGCCTTTATCAAGAGGGGCACCAAGTATACATAGCGAAATGTCTGACAATGACATTGTACCTGTTGAGATTAGCTGCCGTGCAGAACAGAATGATCCTAGCTCCAACTTCGTTTTGCATTCAATTCCGAACCGATTATTGAGACGAGAGAAATCAACACCAATGCTTCTTCCAACTTTCGTGATATCAGCATTTACAAGCTCCTTGGGAAGTGCGAGCCAGGATCTATCAATATGCAGGACGTCCACTGTATTGCCATGAGCAATCTGAATGACATCAACTTGATCGTAATGCGGATCGTCATTCACATTCCACTCTGTGTCAAGTCCAATAACCGAGGGCTTGCCAGCGTTTCTCTCGACTGTCAACTTGTCATTCAGATCCTTCATCTTCCTAATAATCAACCCTACATCACGATTGAGATAGTCTACCTCAACATCATTTGGCAGCCTGAGGAATAACCGGTTTGCGTTGCTGTTTGCAGTCTCTTGCTGACGTGGGACCTCTTGAATAACCTTCAAAGAGTCGAAGATGCTCTCCAAGAATCGTTTATCGCTTTGCACATTATCAGTGAAGAAAGCTACCGGCATCTCATGTCCATAAAGTTCGTATGCTTCTTTCATCTTTTGCAATGAATGTTTCAGATAGATAAGGGACTTTGAGGGGACCAGAACCTGATGTACGATCTCCTCATACTCATTCGTCACGGTGAACAAGGCAGTGAATACACCAGCATCCTCAATTTTAGCGATATGTTTCGGGAATTTGAAAGAGTGATCGCACTTAAGCACCTTGCCGTCAAGAAGCATGGCATGTTTGTCCATCTTTAGCTTGAGTTCCTCGTTCATTGCTGTGTACAAAGTCCTGAAATAAGTGGCACTTGGTACATAATCAGCATACCGGTGACGGTCTTCAAAATTCGAGTAAGGGAGGAACGAATAGCTCCGGAGGAGTCCTTTCTTTTTAGCCAAACATGAGAGTAAGTACTGGAGTTCCAGCTAATCATGACGAAGAACATGCAATTCTCGGAGTAACTTTTGGAATCTCTGAGTACCCATTGAGCTTTGCATGCACGGACGAAGGAGATTTGCGACAGTTTTGGAAACACCTTCTTTGCTAGTCAAAACGGCAGGGAATTCCATCTGAAGCTCCTGTGGCAATTGTCGCATAATGATGGGGTCGTGAGATTGCCATGAGTCTTCAAATCCAGGCTTTTTGCATCCAGTCACTGTACATTCGTATCTGCATGACAACAGATAGAAACAACAACTAAATTTTATATTAGCAATCAAGCCAACGTTTCAGCCTTTAACTACTCTACTCTTACTTACCTTGCAAGATCAACGATTCTTCTAGCATGCGAACCCTTGTTGAAACCTTTGCTTTTCAATGGAGATTTACACTTGGGGCATTCTAAAGACTTGGACCTGTGTGGAAGCAAGTGATGAGGTAGCCACAGAAATACTCGAGGTTGATATAGGCGTTTACTGGGTTCCTCTTTCGCCGGTATCTTCTTCAGCAGTGCAAAATAGGGATTAACTGGCTCCACCCAAAAAGTATTCCTGTCGTATTCAACAGGACGTCCGTCCTCATGCAAGCGGGCACAAAGAGATTCGAAAAAGTCTCTGTGCTGAGTGTTGAGAGGGAGATCTTGGACAGTATCATTGACTTCAGCCTCGTAGTTCTCTTTGTGGAATACATCCACTATGATCTGCATTCCGACAGTTCATCCAGTTACCAGATTTAGATATAAACTGTATGTACACTGGATTAGATGTACGATATCGATTTATACTATAAGAAGATATGGACTTCAGATACGCTAGTACTATAAGATTCATACTATATAAGATATAGGCTATAGATGGCACCACGGACATGGATGGCACTATAGACTTATACTTGTATTCCGACATTGACTACGGATGTTTACCATATCTGGTTAGGCACCAAGATTAATGCAATATGAGCTTGTTGCTTCAGATGTGCACTTTATGATCCACGCTATAAGACACATGCTTATATCCGTGATACTAGCTACAGATACTTTATGTACTACAGACTTGTACTATATATGAGACATGCTATAGACATGCATACGATATGCTATAGACATGCCATATATCCAGATACATGCTAAAGATGTATGCTCAGCGATATACACTCAGATATGTACTATTGATATAAACTAAGAAGACTGTTGTACCTATCGGATACATGCTACTAGATCGATATTAATTATCCTTATAGAAAGGATAGATCAGGGTACTTCGGATGAGAGTCCAATTATTCATCCAGACAGAGCTAAATCATGATTAGCTTGCTGGAGTTGTCTTTTAGCATGATTAGACATTAGTTGATCTGAGTTGACTTATTTGTCAATCTAATTAATAGAACTTTTATCCATTGTTATAGTATATAAGAAGGATCATCTACCTGCTGGCCAGTAGAGAGACTTCAGTTTTACTTTACACATGTCAGTTTGATAATAAAACATACCTTTATCAAGTTGACATTACTGTTTTTTTTTATTCTTTTTTTTCCGTGAATTTTAGTCTATCAAGCCTCAAATTCCACACTATTAGTAAAAGCACTCAATTGTACATCAACAACCATTTAAACATACTAAAGTAAAGATACACGCTTATATCGCACATCGTGTGAATGAATCACTCCTGATCACAGTGTATTCAATCACACCCATGATGGTCGTAATAAGAGATGTTATCTTTATCCAAATAAAATCAAATCAATAACAAGCATATTCAAATATGACAACTATGCCCTGCTGCCATAGTTGCACGATATCCCAGATAAAGGGTTCCATACTTCAATAACAAACATCGCACTTTAAGCCATCAAGGTTACATTAAATCATGCTATGACGATAGCTCACCCAAGCCCATCAAGGTTACTCAAATTGACCCTTATGACCAGTGCTCTTGCATTGATTACCACTTTAAATCAAACGTCAACAACATTTGCCAGATATCGCAATAGAAGAACCTATTGCTCTCTATCATCACTAATCCTACAAGCTAGTTGCAAACGTATAAATACTCTTCTTTTTTTTTTACTCAATTCCAGGATCTTCAGTTCATTTTATACACAAATAAAATACAGTTGATTTCTATTGTATTTTACTATTGCTTTATTTTTTTTTGTGAAATCTATTCAAACCTAATTTCATTGCAGTAGGGTAAAAATATGGGTAAAGTGTACATATCACCCTGTTGGGTATTATATATGAGGAAGTTATTCTGCTATTTACTGCTTCGGTTTGATTGAAAATGTATTCAACAGTATCTATGTATCATTCAGAACTTAGTTCAACTTTAAGATTTTCAAAGGCATCTGTTCCTCAATCTACAGAGCTCTTCAAAAACTTATCATCTACCTGCAAAAAGAATATTCGTAAATTACCCCTAGGGTAATATAGGGTAGTATTTCAAAAGGTTGCAGTAATGATTCTTCGTTGATTTTTTTTTTCCTTCATGAAATATATTTTTAGAGCAAAATTTTTTCCAAATTAGGAATTTGTAATTATATTTTGTCTCGCACTCGCGGCGCACAGTCTCGAGCTGCGAAATCGAAATTCTTTAATGTGATGATATTTTTCTACAAAACTCCATATCCAAAAGTATGATGGTGGTTTACATGACTACGATGGTATCTGATGAATTTCCTAATTTTTTTTTATAATTGTTTTTTATTCTTTCAAGTTGCTTGATTTCTGTTGCGTTCACATCTTCTACATTTGATGATGTTTTATGTCATTTTTGTTATTTTTTTGGTAAGCATCCCTCAAAGAAAATGCCCTTGCTTGAAATAAAGAGAAACGAAAAAATAAGATTGATTCATCGATCAATGGATTCAATCAAATGAATGTTCACTGCATTGTTTATGGTTCCAACGACGCTTGGCAAGAAAATGCTCAAGTGTGCTCTTCATCATCTACTACTTGATCAATGCAGTCACTGGTAGTTTATCTGAAAAATGTGCATTTAATCAAAAAAAAAAATATATATTCGGCACCCATCCTCTTTCACACTCTTTAAAATCGCACTCATGTCATTTCGTATGGATGATCACGATGAATTTGAAGACGACTGGGATGAGTTTACACCAAGTGCACAAGATACATTATATGAGAAATTAGAATCAATAGAGAACAACGCCGCAGCAGCTAAATTAGAGGTATGTTTACCTCATGAAAGAATTATGTCGTTATTAAATGAATCTAGAGGGACAATGAAATAGAGGATATGGATGGCGACTTCAACGTCTTTTTGGATGAACTGTTTGAGATTCCTTTCAAATTTAAAGAAAAGACAAAAAAGCAAACACCCCTTGGAGAAATCTGTGTCAACAAACAGCATAAAAATACTGTTGGTAAGAGTATCAATACAGGTTTGAAACAGGCCTGTATTAACACTTCGCATAGGCCCTGTTCAAAACAAAGAGAATACAGCAGATGAATGCTCGCTTGTATACGATTCGCAAGATGATAACATGTGGAGCAACGTCGACTTGGATCTACTATCAAATATAGAAACAGACTCAAAAAGTGCAATCAACAATCAAAAAGACATTGACACAGCTGATATACGCATACGTCCGTCATCCATATCACCTCCACTGCCAATGAAATATGAAAGCAGTTCGACTACTATGAAAGGATTCACAACAGCTTCCGGCAGAGCATTGAAACCAGTATCTGACCAAGCCAAGAGGATGGCATTAGCGCTATTCAACGAGGATGGGGAATGCAAAGAGGAAGGAAAAACTGCTGTGATGACTGGATTCTCAACTGCATCTGGAAGACCACTCAAGCCAGTTTCAGAAAAAGCACAAAAAGCAGCTTTCGCATTGTTTGAAGAGGCAGATGATGAGTTGAAAGAAAAGCCAATTGCCACTTATGGCGGGATCAAGACTGCCTCTGGCAAATCGTTAAACAAGCCAAGTAAAACCAGCATACAAGTAGCATCTCGATTGTTTGGAGACGAAAAGGCGCATGGATTGAAACGACCTAATGATCACCTTATTGACCCAGAACTTAAATATGAAAGTGTGTTGGACAAATACGGCGGATTTCGAACAGGAAACAGCAAGAAGCAGATTACCGTTTCGTCTCGTGCCAAAAAAGAAGCCATTTCCATGTTTGAAAAAGACTCCACTGTGCCTGATAGTCCTCAAAATGCATCGATTGTGCCCGATATCACTGCAGCATCGAAGCAAGCTGTACACAATACCCCAGTCAATGCACCAAGCGACGTAAAGCAATTTATACCTAATCAACTTGGACGCAACAAACGATTCAAGACATCTCAAAAGCAAAACAAGCCCTTCAAGTCACCCATCATTCGATCCAACATTGAGCTGACCAAAGCAGCCATTAGCAACAAGGGCAACTCTAGACTGAAAGGACAGCCAGTGTTTGATCTTACTCGTAAGTTGATTAATGTAGAATCTCGTATTATCAGCACACACTCATTGTTCGTTTTCATAGCTCCCACACACCGATACAAACTGTCATCGCTCGGCAAGCCCTTATCATACAGTAGAGAACAATTGATCTCAAAAAATATGTAAGTGCATAATAGCCACAGGGCATCTTTTTCATTGTTGATGAACTCGTTTTCTCTCTTGCATAGACCACATGCAATTATCGACATGACCATAGACAAAGCAGCACTGTACAAATTTCAAAATAGCTGGGGTTGGAAAGAGGCTCAGCATGATATGATTGATTCCAATTGTGTTCCCAGTCGATTGACAACTGCTTGGGTTCAAAATCATTATGCATTGATTGTGTGGAAGATTGCCTGTTTGATTCGATCCTACCCAGATCAGTTTATAGATCAGTGGCAGACCCAATCAGTACTCAATCAGTTGCTCTACAGATACGAACGTGAAGTGAATCTGGGCCAGAGACCAGTACTAAAGAAAATCTTGGAGCAAGATGATAATTCAGTCAAGCACATGGTTCTCGTAGTTGCAGATATTATTGAAACGGAAGCCTCGTCGTTTTACAATACGTGTAAGTTCTGAGTTGCTGAATCCGCAATTGGCTTTACTGAAACCTATTTGAATAGCAACAAAATATCGACTTGTTCTGTCTGATGGATGGTACACAGTACACTCGTGCATTGATCTGAGGATGGAGCATGCCATTACGAGACGCAGACTCAAAATTGGGCACAAATTATCGATCTGTGGTGCCCAAATTATTGGCGACAAAACTGCACAGTCACCACTCAGCATTAAAGCGAACGATACGTTGCTTTCCATCACATCAAATGGATGTTTACCAGCTCGGTGGGACGAAAAGCTGGGCTATCACAAGAGAAAGCTCATGATCAGGCCGCTCCCAACTATTTTTGACGATGGTGGCACGGTGACAGCGATCGATATCATTGTTTGCAGAAAGCTCCCTATACTGTACAGCGAGTCCTTGTCCAATGGTGCAACGATCACTCGAACAGCTAAAGAGGAAGAAGATGCTCTTCGCCGAATTGAGAGCTGTGATGGATTTAACGGGGTGCAGCGCCAACAAAGTTATGCGGTGCCAAACTTCAGAGTGAACCATAGATCCAGCAATGCCCCTCATTTAGATCGAACAGTGAGCGAACCAAAAAATCCTGAGGAAAGAAGAGTATCTGGCTTTTTCAAGGTGCGTATTTGTGATGCAGCTTCCCGCGGAAACGATCAACCCTGGGCTACACTACTATTATCAAACGCAAATGAGTTGAATCACATGGATATTGTGGAAGGAAATCGATTTAGAGTGTTCTTTGTGCAGCCTTATCATCCTAAAAACAAAAAGTACGCTGGACTGGATCTCAAGACAACCAGAATGACTCGATGGGAGCCAGTGCCGTCAACTACAGCCGCCAAAAAGACAGCATACGTTCCTCGATTTGTTACGCTGTGTGGTGATATCCGTCATCAAGACAGATTATCAGACTTTGATATGGTTGTCTATGTTTTACGTAAGTCTATAACAAGCCTTTTTTGGCTGATGAAATATGTAGCTAACAATTTTATGGGTTACCCAGAAACTGGATCGCCCACGATTGAAAACAAGAATGGTCGCAAACTGTGGCATCAAACGCTTTTAGTGACAGATCAAAGTCAAAGTGTCTGCCAGATTGAATTTCGCTTGCCATTGAACCATTTCCCTGATATCACTGGCCATGTCATTTCAGTTGCCAATGCTCGATTCGAAATGTATGATGGTAAATACGACATTACCTGTCTCAAAACTACAGACGAGTCTGAAGTCACCACCAAGCTGTCCTCATCAGCAGAGTATCTGCAAAAAAGTATGCATGAGCTTCGAGGCTGGGTTGAGCAGAACCATGATTGTATCAAATCAATTGAGGATCGAGTACAAAAAAGCGTTCGCTAATCACATCTAATCAAAAAGTAAATATAATTATATACATTGTAAATAAACACGCAATCTTCATTATCAACATTAAAAGACGTTTTATTATTAAACCAGTATTACAGATGTCTAGACAGTCTTTCCTCTGACATAAGTAGTTACAATTTTGCCAAAGTTTTCACCCTGAGTGCGAGCAATCTCCAGCTCCTTTTCAGTAGGCTGACGAGAGCCGTCACCGTTGGCTACAGTGCCAGCGCCATAAGCAGAACCACCAACCACTTCAGAGTTGTCGAATAAATGAGCGCTAGCAAAACCGAATGGAACGTAAATCATGCCATGATGAGCAAAATAGGTCACCGTGGTGAGAGCAGTGGTTTCTTGACCACCGTGTTGAGAGGCAGTACAGAAGAAAGTGCCAGTAAACTTTCCAGCAAGAGCACCCGTGGCCCATAGTTTACCTGTGGCATCCAAGAGGGCCTTTAACTGAGCAGGCATTGTACCAAAACGAGTGGGGATACCAAAGATGATACCATCAGCCTCGGTCAACTGATCTACAGTGATGATGGGAAGATCCGGCTTAGCTGGAGCGTGCATCTTTTGAAGAATGTCATCAGAGAGAGTTTCTTGGACTGTATAGATAAAAGCTTTGCTCAGTAACTGAGTACATGAATGGCACGTGTCTTAATTACCTTGGAACACCTTGACATTGACGCCTTGAGTTTCAAGACCCTTTTGGATCTCTACGGCCAACTTGTAAATGTGATGATAAAGAGTGTAAATAACAATGTAAACAGTTGCAGCCATACTGAATATAAATCTCTGATGCAGATTGAAAGAGAAAGAGGAAGAAGAGAATGCCAAACTTTTATTTTTGTAATGTCAATGTGTTTGTTTGTTTGATTTATATCCTGTTTTTTCCTGTATTTTTTGACGTTTTGATTTATTTGTTTACTCAATGATACTACAAAGGAGCATTTTTTTTTTTTTTTTTTTTTTTTAATCCATCATTTTGTCAAAGTCGAGCACAACTGTCAAGCTTATTTTTTTTTCCTTCTCTTTCATCTACTTTCTTAACAATTGCAATGGCAAAGCCAGTAGTCTACATTGTTCTGTACTCGTTATATCAGCATGTGTACAAGCTATCTCAATCCATTCAACAAGGTTTAGAAGAGAAGGGTGTTGAAGTCCATGTTTTTCAAGTAGCAGAGACGCTTTCTGATGAAATTCTGTCCAAGATGCAAGCACCTGTCAAACCTGATCTGCCCATCATGACCGTTGACAAGCTAGCAGAACCTGATGGCGTTATCTTTGGTCTTCCTACTCGCTTTGGCCTCTTCCCTGCACAGATCAAGACATTGCTCGATGCCAGTGGCGCTTTGTGGGCTAAAGGGGCTTTGGCTGGTAAATTTGCTGGTACTTTCTTCTCAACTGCCTCACAGCATGGGGGTCAAGAAACCACTGCGCTTACTGCTGTCACTTACTTTGCTCATCATGGTATGATGTACGTTCCATTTGGCTATGCCAATGTTGCTTTACAAAACAACAACGAGGTTATTGGTGGCTCTGCTTACGGTTCTGGTTCAATCAGTGGTGGCGATGGATCACGTCAGCCTACACACACTGAATTAGCCATTGCCAAGAATCAAGGTCAAAATTTTGGTGTGATTGTAAGTACCTTTGTCAAAGGTAGAGATGCTATTGAGGGTGCCGCTCCAGACATTAATAACAAGCTGGCCGACGGAAATGTCAATGGTACCACCGCTTCTGCTGACCCTGCTGCTACCACCACCAATGCTACTGGAACTGGAGCTGCTGCTGCTGCTGCTGCTGGAGCTGCAGGTGCTGCAGGTGCTGCAGGTACCGCTGGAGCCTCTTCTGCTGTAGGCAATGCTGCCCCTACGAACGCCATAGAAGGCGTCCCCAAGGATGCTGCAGGAAATACCTCTACTGCGCCTGCAGACATCACTTCAGATGCTAACAATGGACCTGCTACACCTGTTCATGGTACAACAAACGAGGGTAATGCAGCTCCTACCAATGCCATCGCCGGTACTCCTGCTGTTCCTGCTGGGAATGCTGCTACCACCACAGCCACTAATGATGCTTCGACTGCTCCAACTGGAGGCAAGACCACTACTACTGCAACTGAGCCAACGACAACTACAGCTGGCGACACTGCAAACACAACAGCAAATAACAACGCATCCAAGGTGGGTGCTTCTGCAGGCGCAGCTGCTGCAGGAACAGCAAGTGCAGTGCCCAACCAAGTCAAAGACAACAAGCCAAAGAAGAAAAAGAAGTGGTTCTGTTGCTAGGCAGCGTGGCTGTATAAACATGGCACTTTTTAGTTTAAGGCTTTGAATAAATATAGTTTATATATACAAATAATAATAATAAATGCAAAGAGTAAAATACATTATATATACATGCTGTGTGTGTGTGTGTGTGTGTGTGTGTGTGCGCAAGAAGCACTAATTGTTCTTTTTGCTGTCTTGAATTCTATTAATTGATAGTGACGAATTGAATGTACCGCTGACGGCTTTGATCATGAAATCCATGAATCGTTTTCCATATACAAATGGATGTACAGAAGAGATGGTGTCCTTGTCTTGCGTGATGCTCTTCCAAATGTGTTCTGATCGTTTGACAATGTTGTAAGGTGTTAAAATGTCGATAATGCCAACATAGTATAATTTGTCCGAGGGTCTATCTTCTTCATCGCTCGATCTAAAGCCTCCATCGTCAGCATAAAATATGCACCATCGACGTCTATTGTTATGCGAGAGAGAGTAAGGCGGGATCAGTATCTAATGTGGATCATAACACACACACACATTATTCGACGTACTCTTCAGAAGGGCTAGCAGGTAATTCTGACGTATCAATATGAACTGGATTGGCATTTCTCAGCGCTTTCCTTACGATCTCTGCCTTTTCAGTTTTAGTGCGTTTCACGGTAGATGATCGTCTCTCCATTTTATCAGTTCTGGGCGTGACCATATGTAGGCTTTGATCTCGAATACATTCCGTATTGCCCTTTTTAATGTCGTGTATCCCCACTAGCAAGCTGTAATCCATAATGTTCAATCGCTTCAAAATTTCCACATCTCTCTCCAGCTGTGTCAAAAAAAGGGCTCGTTTTGCTGACCCCAATTGAATTTGCTCGTTGTTCTTGACCCAATTCTGATCCTTCATCACTGCGTGTGGGTTCTTTCCTACTTCCTCGTCTGATGTGAGACGGCCAAACAGCGATCCCTTCAAATCAAATGTCTTGTGAATATCCTTGTTGGATGGCAACACATTGCCCATGACGACGAAATGGATTTTGCGGCCTCTAGGCAATTTAATGCGATGCAGGCCATAGAATCTACACAGTAGCGTGTTGGGATTATTGGCAACGTGCTACAAATCAAGTTTGTGTGGCATGAATTTCACTGCAATTATCATGCGCATCATTTATTGTGATTTCTTACCTCATAGTATTCTTTCAGTATTTTCCTCATAAACTTGTGCTCTCCATGGTGAATGGTCTTGATGATGAATCGATAATCTCTTGAATAGTAAAAGAAGCTGCCGCTCTTTCCGGGGGAGCCAATTTCGCTGAGGATATACTTGTTGGTGAGCGACATCATGTAATCTGCTGCATCCACATGAAACTTTTCTCTCAAATTTCTAAATACCCATGGCGCATAATCCTTGAATTTGAAATCATACTTTACACCAGGCGTTAATTCGTTTCCTGTACTACATGATATGCGAATGAGTAAATTTACCTATACTTATTGTGTTGTATCCCACAAACTTACATGTCAAAGACCAATTTGTGTGCTGCAGTAAAGTCATCCAGGGTCAACGGCCTTGCAATCTTTGCTGATACTCGACCCACTGCAATGCGAATACCAGTCAGCATATCATACATCATTTGGTAGTTGCGATGTCCCTCTGCTACTCTTGTCCCAATAGCGATAACAGTATCATCTTGTTCATCCTCGTCTCTGTCATCTGCATATGTCTTTTGTCGTCTAGCCAGCCGCCTTGCCTTGATCTCTTCTTCCAATACATGTTCTTCATCATTATCCAAATGCCCCAAGTCCATGAGTCTAACTGGGGAAGAAGGGGATTTTAACGTACGTTTCAAAGGGGTATTATTTTGTGCATCTTGTTGTATATCGATAAACAATGGAGGTGGCTTCTTGATGACCTTCTTTAGAATGACGGCAGTGGGCTGTGTTTTATTATCCGATACCACTGTAGGCTGGTGGTTGATATAAAGAGGATTCACCTCTGGCTGTTTGGTTGTTGAATCATTATCGTCGACGAATGAGGATGATGTGTACGAGGAAACCCTCTCTTTGGCGCTTGTCGGTGGCGGTGTTTGTGGTAGTATATCAATTGACATGCTATCGGATATAAATTACTTCTTTTTTCTAACAAGGTATAAAGAGAAAGAGAAAGAGAAAGAGAGAAAGGGTAATTTTTTAAAAAAGAAAAAGGGAAAGGGAACAGTGGAAAACGAGAGATTCAAAAGAAGTAATGCGGAGATTGCTTTGTTCAATCCAGTTGTTACATAATCGAGTAAAATTATATGCAATGACGTCTTTTTTTGGCACATTTTTCTATGCTATTTTAATCTTGTGCGAGTCTTGATGCAATAATGTGGTTATGTGCCTGATTGTCAGCATGGATATGCAAAAGAGGTTTTTAGCAGCAATGCAAATTCGATATTTCCCGACCAAAAATTGCTGTTTGGAAGGAATTAGGCATTGTAGTGGTAGTGTGAATTACAATCGTTGTGACTGTATACCAGCAAGTAGTCAATAATTACCATCTTGTAGAAAGCAATTGAGCTTTTTTTTTTTTTTTTTTTTTTTTTTTTTTTTTTTTTTTTTTTTTTTTCTATGCATCTTTTATCCTAACAAAATATAAAGGAATCCAAATCATGGTCCATGATAGCCAACCTTTGAAGAACTGGTAAAAGGAGTATTTTTGAATACTAGCGATCCATACTCATGATTCATAGGAACGGCGGAGCAAAGCCCTCTACTCGAAAGAGAAAGACTGTGGACGTCTCATTCCCTTTGAGCCAAAACCATGATCCTGCCAGACAAAAGAGAGCCAAGACATCAAACGCAAGCCAATTCCTGGTCGATGGATTCAGTCCAATGAATCACCTTCCTCGAATCGTTGCCAACAGACACAGCATTGCCTCTGTGAGCAGACTAGCGAGACGTAAATCAGTGGATGTCAAGGGTCTCATACTGCAATTGATTGATGAGATATATCCACCTCTGGTCTGTCCAGAATGTTGTCATGTGAGCACAGCACGCTCAGAAGCCGATCAACATTTAAAATCAAAACATTTCGGACAAAAGGTATTCAAATGTGTTTCCTCAGGCTGCACACAAGTATATTCATCTAAAGCCGGACTACGATATCATATGGAACATGCTCATAAAATAAGTCGCATAAGCGACATCAGGTAATTGCATTGGGTGATGAAATCAAATAGAGTTCCATCAACAAAGTAGATTGACCACCAGCTTAAAATTTGATAGCCAAAGTCCCTCCTCCAATAAGAAGGCAGATCGACAACAACAGGCCAGAACGACTTCGTCGCCATCATCAACTTCGATACAAAATGACACTAAAAAAAGTAAAAAGCCTCAATTGTCAGCACCGATGGAAAACAAGCTCAACGAAGTCTATCCCCTCACCACTTGTCCTGCATGCAGCGAGGAATTCATAAAAAAAACGCACGTTATCAAACATTTGGTGCAAGTCCATCATGGGGAGGAGCCGTACAAATGTGTGGTATCGGGTTGTAAGCGCTCAAGAACGTATGCGACAAGGGAAGGTCTGATCTATCATTTGAACAGCTATCATGATAACGCTCTGCATTGATAATCATGGGAAAAGATCGCTGCCTGTGCAAAGACACATGCGAAAATAAATCAACTGTATATTAAACATACGAGACAAGATAGTGTAAAGAACCACTCGTGGGAGGGTATTGGGCCAATGAGAGAGGTGTTGTACCTATAGGATAAGCTTTGATTTCCAAGATTTCATTTACAAAAGATGATAGAGCTAAATAATGTGATGGATATCATCGGCCAAGTGACAATGTAGTATCTCATATATTATCATATTTTTGTTTCGATCTATATCTCTCACAAGTAGCTTTACATTTTCAAGTTGGCTATACTGAATGAAGGTTGCGTAAACCTGTTTCGTATATATCAATTGCTTGTTGTTACGCCTGATTTGCCTCAGGTTGCCCAGAGCTGTAATACAGCAAGTAGATCAGTGCTACTTGATCCCATTTCTTGTAAATCCAACATGTATATAAGACAAACTCTTCAGAAGCATGCAATCAGAACTCTTCATGTCTGGTTTCTTGTCTGAAAATGCATAATGCGTCTACAGTAGATCGAAATTCTAAGGTTCAGGATCGCTGTTCTGTACATGTTCCCTGATCATCATTCGCTGGATCTGCTCTAATCATGACACATACACTCCCCATCTGACAGGTAATAATATAACACTTTATGTAGAGTAATAGGGTATAGTTAATGTAAGGGAAAGAAGTCTTATGAATTTAAGAGTAAAAAGAACCCAACAGTGAGTTGTTATGCATATCTATTTATTGTTCTTTAATAAAGGAGCCGACAATGAATGTGATAGTAGTTTTTTGCGAGACATACCAGATTTTCTACTTGTCAAAGTCCCAAAATCGAATCCAAGAAATCCATTTTCATAGCTCTTGGAATGCAACAGAGGTGCATGATAATGCGCTTTATTTAATTCCGCGCCTAGAGATGTCTCCCAGACCTTAAACATGGTGTCTGCTAGACCATCAAATCCTGATCGAGAGACCTTTCTGCTGGCCATTTCACATGAAAACTTTAGTGTAGTTAGCAGTGTGTGTCCTCTGCTCATACAGTAAATGACTCCTGCAATGAATGTGTCCCCTGCGCCAACTGTATCCACAACTTGAGCTTGAGCTAATGCTGATGAGTGTAGGATCTCCCCTTTAAACAAACAAGTAGCTCCCTGTGCTCCCCATGTACAGAATAAAATTGCTCTAATTTGGGAGGCAGTGTAAGTATGAGGTTTCTATCGTGCGGATAAGTAAAATTCGCTTTACCCAGGTTTACACCTTGCTTGAAAATCCTTCAAAAAATCTGTCGCTTCGTCGTAGCCACGCTTTTCTGCATAAAGTTTAGAGAAGAACACTACGTCGCCCTACATCAAACTTTGAGTATGTTATCGATCGACTTTTGCGCAATATAGTGTTTACTCTTGTTAATAGTATATCAATATGGGGTCGATCTGGCTTTTCCAACTCGACGGATATCGTCAATTCATTTCGCCACCCTTCGCGCTTTGCTTTGGCTTCAAGCCAGTCTATCTGAGCAGCAGTTTCGTATATATTTCTTCCTTCAAAGTGGACCCAAGAATAAGCGGGACGAGCATCGAATTCAAATGACATTGTTTTTGTGATGCTGCTCATTTCTACTTTGCGAGCAAATTCGTCTTTTGTGATGTCCTGCGTTCTGCGAGAACTATGGTTAGGATCCTAGCATGATGCACATCAATTCAAGAGTATTTACGTATTGGAAGATATGATTGTTCGTGAACCGGTGTCTTTACATTGAATAATATAGCATGAGGGTGTAGGTGACTTGCGGTAGAAGCATGATGAAGTTTTCACGCCTTTTGATTCCAATTGAGCTAGCAAGTTGCTGTATGAAAGTATTAGAATCAAGTTGCATATATAGATTTGAAATGTACCTGGATGATTCTTTTGGTCCAACGGCGGACATTATGAATGGATTCATTTTGGGAAATTGAGCCAATACCTCTGCCGTGTTGACACAATTTCCTCCTCTTCTCTGCTGTGTATGACTGGATCGAACTTTTGTATCTTCTCCTGGGTAATAATCAACGGTCATGATTGTATCCTGGTAAACTTGGCCGACAATGAGTACATTGACAGCTTTTGAATTCAGTGTGTCAGGCAGAGTAGGTGATAAGGGTTGGTCAAAGGAACTGGAGCGTGATGCTGAAATGGATGATCCTGAGGACGATTCATCAATGACAAGTCGACTGTTTTTAGAGCGTTTACTGAATGAAAAGACCATTTGAAATGTGGATGATGGTTAAAAGAAAGAAACTGAAAAAAGGAAAAGAATAAATTCTAAGTTTTTATCATATTTTTATCCCCACGTGTCGTCTCTCACAAGAGAAAAAAATGTCAATTTGTGTGCCTTGATGTCTCCCTTGAAATCAAGGAGGGCAGAAAAGTGGAAAGGAGGAGGCGAAAAGATCAAACGACAAAGCTATCAAGTATTCGGTTTGGCAGCATTTTCAGGCATGGTTCGCTTTCATTAAAGAAAAGCATCATGATGATAACAGTCAAATGTGTCCCGTCTGCTACTCGTATTGAAAATGATGGAGAGTCATCACATAGATCCAAAAAAAACAGTTTACATCATGTATAACACTATCTCATAGTCGATATCTAAATGCAATACATAGTAGTTCTAAAGCCAAGGTCATTCCTTTATGCTCATTTTCAGTGATCAAGTAGCTAATCGGCCATGCGGCGAAAGCTATATATATATATATGCATACGACAATGACACAGGACTATATGTACTCACATATGTATTCCACATGTTGGAAAAATATTAAATCCTCATTTGTATTACACCATAATGTAGAATCCAATTACCTTCAGCCCTTACTTGAACCGAAATCAGAAAAACTTTCCCTTACATTGCTTGCAGCATAAAACACTCCTTGACCCCCCCTTCAACCCAGCAACAACCTCAGTTTCACCATTCAACAAACAATCATTGATTCCAGTTCGTTACGTTACAACATAACAAATTCATGATGATGACGCCCTGTTATCCTGGTAATACATTTCAATGACCTCCTTCTATCCAAATAAACTTAGTCCATGAAGATTGTCCTACAGCCGTTTTCTTCACTTTTGCATCAACATGAAATCGGGCTCTGTCATGCGTGCCTTTGAATCAAGCCATCCATTCTTTGGAAGGACTTGAACACAGCACTAAGCACGATGTAAAGGCTCATGGTTAAAATGCAAATAATTAAATCATTCGATTGCTAGGTTATCCGTATTGTTTTACCGGTGATTGTTTAATATCAAGAGTTTGTTTTTGAATAAATTCGGATGTGTTTAATTGTAAAATTAGATTACTGGCCACGAGAATGGCTTCTCTGATTTCATAAAGTGTTGTAGTGCTGTTTTCACTTTCCTCTTCATGCTAATTAGACTGCATAGTGATCAAGTTACATAATAATCCAACGATTTGTTTGAATACACTGCAAGGTTGTATGTCGACAAATGTTACGAATTATTGTCGTGTTGACGACTCTACTATATTTGACCTTTGAGTTTTATTGTCTTTTATATTGAGATATAGATGGCTAAGATTACGCACAGTAATAGAAACGTTCGACTCATAAATATAATTGACTCGTATCGAGTCTCGAATGCAAACAAATATACTTGCCACTATTAGCGTTCGTGTTAAAGTGATAGTTAGATGGTGGCTGTGTTAATGTACTTAATACACTCCATGTATTCTCTCCTTGAAAATATGCATAAAAGCATGCCCCGTGTTTTAAAAAGCACTTCGTTCTTGAACGAGAGCTCAGCTTTGCCACTCAATTTTGTTTTATTTAACAGAGTGGTAGCCCTTCACGGATATTCAGTATGTCAGCAACGACTAGTATTGAGCCTATAAAAGAAATCAAACCACGTTAAGTTGTCAACTTTGGCATTCGAGGCAAGTTCTGATTCATATGACCGAGGCTTTTAAACCAGCAATTTATTCTAGAGATGACCCTTTGATCAAGCCAATTACCAGTTGATATTCACCGCTTCATATGATGTTGCTGCTTATTCGATTCATATGTTCATTGCGGCTATGTCACAAATTTGTATCTCTTCCAGTTTATCGTAAGCTCGTCTTTCATAACGTATTCTCCAAAGAAATACAAAGCATCATTGATGAACGCAATCGTTGTGAAGCTACCGCCGAGAATGGACTTGGTCTGCCAATTCATCAGAAAAGCTAAGACGTAAAATATCGGTGACTGTACAGCAGAGAGTAGCTCAAGTTCCCTGCTTCTGTAGCCAATACAGCATAGAAAATAAAGATGCAAATCAAACTTTCTATCATCACGATCGCAAAATGACTCACAGAGGAAGGTAGTCTGACATAACTGAGAAAAGAATGCTCATTTTCAACAAGAGTCGCAAGACAAGCATCGATTTCTGGAGAGATTTTGTGATTTTCCATTTTGTTCTGATTGTTAAAAAGGTCTAGTCATTAAAAGTTGCTCAAAGTCTCAAATGCCCTAACGCCAACAAGCATTTCAGCCACCACAGCTAGTTACTATGCTATGCTCTGTAAATTATGTCACCATGCAAAGATCAACAATGGCATCAACTTGGACATCTTCTGTGTTCTTTATACCGGCTTTGCACGGAGGGGAGGAACTCTGCTAACAAAAGTACAGCTGTATATCTTGGTGACAGAGGCGTGGGTTATCAATTGAGGTTTTAATGAATGGTCTTGTTGTTATGCTACAGCAAGAATCTTGGCCTCAAAATTTGAAGGCCAAGAAAGGAAAGCTCTTTATTAGAAATGCAAAGAGCACTTCTTTTGTAAATACCAATTTTAAATAATATACGTTGTTTCTATAGAGCAGAACTTATCATAAAGATTGAGATCCTCTACTTGGATGTCTTTTTGGGTGCTGCTAAAAGTGATGCTTTGTTGGTTATTTTCGCTCGAGAGTTTGTAAAATAATGAGTTTTGACGATGATTATCGTCAGTATTGTTGTTATTAGTTATTATCGCAAATTGTTCGCGCCATAACAACATAGAAAACGGTACCGAAACGCAACAACAAGAAAACTATGCCTTGGGCTTTCAAATTTCGTATATTAGCGTGTTAAGAACCAAAGGGTTGGATTTCCTTGTAAATGGCTATAATTCGACCAGCTTTTTGTAGCAGGAAATGTTTTTGAGTACCTCACTTTAGGACACTTCAGGCTCCTCCAACGCCTGTTCCATCCTTAGCACTATCATCCTAGTCCTCCTCCACTGCGTCCAATTCACCATACTTCCACAATGCGCTTTTAACATCCAAAGCGCTCGTTCAACAATTAACCAACATTGTCAATCAACTCACAGAACGCATATCCGTATTAGAGTCCACTATCAGTTGGCTCACGTCCATCAATAACGAACATATCCATACATTCATCACGAATCAACAGATACCTTATGACAAGCTTCTCACCCTTATTGAGTCATGTGTTCCTGAAGGGCCTCACTCCATTAGCGTCCACTCCAATGAATCCTAACTACGAGTTCCAAATTCTAAATGTTCCTATCAAAAAGCGACTACCTTCCTCCCACATGATGAGGCAACAACTACGGGACATAGGTTTGCCTTCCCATATGGCTGTTGATGTTCATTACCCGGCCGCCAACATCCTGAGCCTGATAGTGCGTAACAAACATTTTGTTCGCTGTCAGAACACCCTCCATGCCGCTCATCTTACCACAGTACCAGACTTTATCCCTCTAGATCCCGCCCATTCTGATCCATCATCAGTTCAATAACCTATCCACGGCTGATCGTACTGTAGAAATACAGTACGATCAGCCGTGCCCAGAAGATGTCCGTCCTGCGCCACAGCCCCCCTCAACAACAAATAAAACTAGCTCAATTCTTTCACCAAAAATCTTGGATCCTAGAGGATGATCTGAATGAAATGATCCACGCTGCTCATGCATAACTAGAAGAACCATCCATCTTCCTTTGACTACAGCTCCCATCTTTTGTTCCTGAATCATCTGCTCCCATATTTAGTCCACTGCTCTTACATTTACAATTACATTTAGTCCATTACCCCCATATTCATAATCAGCTTACAGCCTATATTTTTAGTCCAATGATCTTATTCAGTTCTCAGCTCTTCACTACCAACAGTACCCCTATATTTAGTCTTGAGCTCCTCTTCCCCACTTCGGGAACGTTCCCAGGACTTTAAACAAAGAAGTAAAATACATTTCCTTAAAAAGAGAAAAATCAGGACACCCTTTTGCTGTAGCGCCTCATAATAGAATAAAGACATAACAATTAAGGAAAGTAAAGATACCCAAATGAACGTAAACAAGCGAACTTCGAAATATGCTATGGCTTGAGCCTAAAAAATGGCTGTAGGATAAAAAGGGTGGATAATAGACAGACCGTGAGGGGGGGGGTACGGGGCGTAGGTAGAGGCAGGGTGGATATGGTGCAGGTAGCAATGAGTGGATACAGTGTAGGTAGCAACGGGTGGATATGTATTGAATTATAATACGTACCGCACTTCGAGGAACTCCAGAAGCATCTCGTCTTTTATCAAGCGGTAATCAAAAGCAACACCACACATGTTTTCGAACAGTATTTCGTTGCTTTGTTTAAAAATTTTAATGTCAAACTGGAGAAGTTTTTGGGAGTCATTATGAACTTTTCAGCTGCCCAACGCAAAGGTTTCATACTAGCCCTCAGGGATAATTTTGGTGTCAAGTAGCACAATGCATTCCTTTTTTTTAAAAAAAGATGCAATATGCATTAAATGCAATTAGTCAAGCGCATATTCAACAACCACCAATTTATCAAACCAGGTGAGATTGACGATTGTTGTGCCAGAAGGGCTACAAGCGTCTATAAAGATTAAGATGTTTTTGATGGGTATATATGTCTGTGTTGTGCAACAACATGGAAAAGCTATGATAATTGAAGTGCATCTCGGCTATCTAGATGTTGAGGTTCACCAGATGTGATAAGCGTTGTACAAGATAAGTTGCTATTTTGGTATTCAGAATTTAGTATAAATAGGATAACTTTTGTCTTCATCAATAAATCTTTAGTTTTTGTGTCTGATCTTATTCAAATCAGTCTTTTCTCGTTTTTGTAATATCGGACATCTTTTATAAGCTACAAATTATAATCCTTTTATTTTTTGTGCTTAACAATGATGAATTCGTAATAATAAGTCGATGATAATAATCAGCTGTCAACTGTAGTATCTAAAACGAAAGCGAAAGCTTCTCTATTACAGGGCATCTAACTAGCTTAAATATGATAGATCCCTGGTCAATGATTGCTATGTTCAGATGGCATATAAATAGCAGGTCTCTGGGGCCTTATTGATTGTTGGTATAGCTTGTTGAGAGACCTCCTAAGTCGATATGTTTCGTATTATAGAGTAGGCGGATCTGGACATCTTGACATTGGAGAAACTGAATCTATTGTAGTTCCTGAGGCATTAGTGCACACACAACTGACTGGACTTGTAAACATAGACGTGATATGATACGATAAATATCATCTACCGTATGTTGCTACATAGTAAAAGTGGCTTGAGGAGAAAGCGAATATAGCCTAAGGTGCATGCTTGTATGCAACAATTGGTACCTTCTTGGAGCTGGCCCATTGGTTCTTTATCAGAAGAAACAGTATCGAGTTCTTTCGAACTGGTAAGGAGCTTCTGGCGTTGTTTCCCACCTGTAAAACGTCGCTGCCGTGGTGATTCCAACCTTGTGTCTTAAGTATAATGTTCCAATGCAAATCTTTGATGAAGGACGGTTTGAGGCAACGCAAGAGCCACACATCCAATGCAACAATTGAGGCGCTCCATAGTGCCTTATACAAGCTGGTGCTAGAAAAAGACAACCCGATTCGACAAGCCTAAGACTTTTGTTGCAGGTCGTTAAGCGTGATCGGATAAAGTTGATAGATTTTTATGACAACAATATCCGACGGGAACAAACCCAAGAAGCCAACAAAAAAGTATGCAACTTTGTATGAAATTAATGACGGCCATGGACCAGATAACAACATTGCACTCTTTAGCACCAAGAAGAGAAAATAAGAAATGGTGGTCATTGACGATACTGAGGAGGATGGCAAACGCAAGGCCAAAAAATCGAAAACCCGTGATGCTAGTTTGAATGCTGCGGTCATTGAGCATCTGGATGAAACTGATGAAATGAAGATGAGTGATGCTATGAAATAGCTAATCTTTATCTTAGTAAAAAGGAGTTCCTAAAGTGAGATGAGCCTATAGTATTTTGTTAATGATGTGGCTCCTGATTCTAAATGTTATTCCAACAAAAGCTAATAAGAAAAATATCTTACTCGATGTCCATACTAAGGTTGCTCTGGCAATTTCTGAAAGCTCTTATTCACCGAACTTTTCTGAAGCGCACCAGACTAGATCCCCATCATAAAAATACCCAAAACATATGTCATCTCAAACAAGCCTTGCTAGCATCATATTTAATAGCAGCTTTAACAAAATGATAGCAAAATTAAAGTACTCTAAAAATAAAAGGTGACAGATACTAAAGTAAATGTCAAGGGTATCGTAATGTGTTGTGATTAACATAAATAACAAGCCTAAAAAAGATACATGCTCAACAATGAAGAGCTATTCTTTACAAATGATTCACAAACCATCTATTGAAATACCGTTCTTCTCCATCAGATCAACAACTAAATAACCCAACAGTTATATATAAAATAATGGAACCATTGGCAGCTACTAAATTGCTGCCAGATAAGAGATATTATAAATCAAATAATACAAAGAAAGACATGAAATATACATTTTATTGTACATTGTCGTAATTTGGAATAAAGAAGAATTTTAACAGTATTCTACCTGCTTTTTCAATCCCTTTTTACAGCAGGCCGCGTATTCATCACTTTTTATAAGTTTTCGATTACGCCATCTTTGAACAACGATATCTCGACAACTAGGACACATCCATCTTACATCCAAGTATATTTAGATACATCCATTTTAGCTCTACAACATATCTTGATTTCAGATCGATTCAACAATTTTTCGTTGAATTCATCTTTTTCACTACTTTTTCAACAACGCGACTTAGTTACACTCTAGATTACAAGTTACACTCTACGTCTGTTACACTCCATGTCTTCCCAATCTGAATTGACTTGGGCTCAAAGAGCTTCACGTCAAAAGGTGGGTCGATTTCTCCAACCCAACAAGCGACGATTGGACAATCCAACTGATGTACCACTGGTGGGTACTGTTCTCTATGAAGATGATGACCTGAAGGGTCAAATTTTGGCAAGCAAGGCTATGGCGATTATTCAGCAATCCCTTTCTTCTGGTTCTGTTCTGTTCACGTTTCAGAAAACTTTGTTTCCTGATCGTATTGCCGCTTACAAAGTGATTCAAGATCAAATCTCATCTGACGTGGAATTTCGACCTCTTAGTTTGTATAATTCTCGTGCTGATGCACTACGGCCCAACTGATGTTCTCATGAGAACATCGATGTTCCCAAAAGAGCACATCCATGTTCTATGAGAACATCAGTTGTTGGGACGTAGTGCAAGCACAACAACTATTCTTACAAAGATTGGAGAACATTGAACAGGAGTTGTCCAATCTTAGCAAACAGGTCAAGGAATGTAATGACAACCAGATCGAAGTAAAAGCTATGCTGCAGCACATTGTTCAACAATCTACCTCTTCGAGCACGGCCAATGTTGCGAGACTAGATGGAGTGATATGCCGTCCAAGCAAAGCAGACAACAAACATCTGGAGGAGCTTTCTGTTGAGCTATGCATCAACGTCCTTGAGGAGCATCGATTAGGTGGAAAGAACCTTGATGGCAAGAAGGTCTGGGAGCTTGTCAAAGATGCAGCATACAACCAGGCAAAGAAAGCTGACAGACAGTTCCCGAATATCACTTTCAGCAAGCTGGACGGCAGGTTTTAAGCCTTGTTGGCCAAGACCGTCGTTAACGATGTAGCCAAATGGGGCGTTGACATCTCTGGGTTCTTCAAAGATTGGTTGCCGCAGTTTGCTGTCTCCAAATCATTGTCTGGCATAATCGATTACAAATACAATGCCAGTCCAAGCAATGACACCGCAATTCACGAAACCCAACTCGATGATGATCTGGTATTTTTTGAGGGATCCCAAGTTCAATCCGAAGAAGATTCTGTCGACGATGACGAAAATTCGATTGTAGACAAGATCAATTTTCATGTTTCTCGAAATACTGGATCACAAAAATAAATGCTGCCTAGAGAAAAGTGCTCTTTGATACTAATCGTAATATTATAGAAGAATCAGCACGCAACATATGCCTCTAGTAGAACAAGTAATTAAGTTTTCATAGATATAGCGCAGTAACTCACATTTCTTTTCCATTTTATAATGTGCACTATCACTACAGCCAATGCAGCCATCTCCAGTATCAAAAAATGTATCTGCATCAAATAAATCAAAGGCAAAGGAATATGAAAAGCACAGGTCTTCATCACCAGAAAGGCAAGTGTGGAATACATCCACTATGATCTGCATTCCGACAGTTCATCCAGTTACCAGATTTAGATATAAACTGTATGTACACTGGATTAGATGCACGATATCGATTTATACTATAAGAAGATATGGACTTCAGATACGCTAGTACTATAAGATTCATACTATATAAGATATAGGCTATAGATGACGCTATTATATAGACTTATGCTTGTATTCCGACATTGACTACGGATGTTTACCATATCTGGATAGGCACCAAGATTAATGCAACATGAGCTTGTTGCTTCAGATGTGCACTTCATGATCCACGCTATAAGACACATGCTTATATCCGTGATACTAGCTACAGATACTTTATGTACTACAGACTTGTACTATATATGAGACATGCTATAGACATGCATACGATATGCTATAGACATGCCATATATCCAGATACATACTAAAGACGTATGCTTAGCGATATACACTCAGATATGTACTATTAATATAGACTAAGTAGACTGTACCTATCGGATACATGCTACTAGATCGATATTAATTATCCTTATAGAAAGGATAGATCAGGGTACTTTGGATGAGAGTCTAATTATTCATCCAGACAGAGCTAAATCATGATTAGCTTGCTGGAGTTGTCTTTTAGCATGATTAGGCATTAGTTGATCTGAGTTGACTTATTTGTTAATCTAATTAATAGAACTTTTATCCATTGTTATAGTATATAAGAAGGATCATCTACCTGGCCAGTAGAGAGACTTCAGTTTACTTTACACCTGTCAGTTTGATAATAAAACATACCTTTATCAAGTTGTCATTGCTGTTTTTTTATTCTTTTTTTTTCCGTGAATTTTAGTCTATCAAGCCTCAAATTCCACAGCAAGATTTGCAAAGACAGTAAGTCTCTCATCATCACTTGGAGTTAGCCATTTTATGCTGATATTCTCTCTATCTCTTAAATTGTAGAAACATAAAGGTAATTGTAAGACATTGATATCATAGATGGAGCTACTTATCTTTGTGTATTAGGGACCCAACAATAAAAGAGTGCGCAAGTCGTAAGGAATTCTGATCTCTATGCTTATTCTGATTAGGCTACGCTTCGTTGTTATTGCCCGTAATGTAATATCATCATGTTTCTCTGTAGTAGTAGCGCAATTATTATATGTCAAGAAATAAACAATGGTTTCTATTATAATAGCACTAAATCCTATTATATTTCTGATTTATTTTTTTATGAATATTTTGCAAATCAACCTAAACTACATGAATTTTTCTGAATTTTTTAGAATGAATTTCTCTGAATGCCATTCAGAAAAATTTCGGCAAATTTTTCCTAAAGTGGCAGTTTTCCGAAAAATGGATTCAGAAATATTCAGCAATATTCAGATCTTTTTTAGTCACAGTAAGAGCTACTCCCCTCTGCTTTTTCTATTTGGTTGGCGCTGACCACCTTTTGTAGTGGTTCAGATTTGTTGGTGATCGATGAGGATGTTCTGATTGCTCTTGGTGCTGCTTACAGTACACTTTGGTAGTATCATTGGCGATGCGTCATAGACGAGGAGCCTTGGATAGCTTCTGCTGCTATCAATATGGTCCGTCAAGACCATGGTACACTCTTTTCTTCTCTTTCTTTGGCAAGTGTTCAAGCTGGCACCTTGTCCTTGCCTGTAAATTCTGTATAGATTATAAACTTTAAAGCTAATAAAGATACACTTTAATACAAAAAAAATTACAGCAGGTACCATTCATGTTTCTTTACACTGCTTGAATAATAAAGAGATCTCAATATACCACCCATCTCTGCTCCTGCTCAACCCTTCTCATGTACTAAACATTGTATAATGTATTTGTCTCTCAGATATGAGATCTATATTCTTAACAAAGGTTAAGGCAATCAAAAGCTGGAGGTAAAGAGAGAATTGGGGTATCTCCATGAAAATGAACCCTTTTACAAAACTCAAAAATAACAGAAAGATACCTCTTAGTGTCTCAATTGAAACAAATTTCTTATTTAATATTCTACAAATCAAAATGTCAAGGAAAAAAGCATGGAAGGTGAGGCTACCCTGTCATACACCTTTCAGCCGGTTATCAAACCAGTGTCCAAGCTTGAGCGTGAAATGGCATTTTGAAGCTCGTAAAATTCACCTTTTTCCTCATTATCTCTAGATCTTCTAGCAAGTAAGCTGTACTAGTTCATTGAATAAGTATTGTAGCCCTCAATTAGACAAACAGGATGGTATACTTTGTTGGATAATCTACTGCTTGAGTCGTTAGTAAAACGTCCAACGAAACCGGGAATTTTTCAGAAACCGTAATTTAGTAAAGGCTGGCATATCTTGCTCAGAAATGGCTCTTTTCTAAAAAAAAATATAAAATAAAAGATGCCTTTTAATGCCTCAGATTCAAAATATCTCTTCACACATGCAGTGAAATCAGGTTTGAATAGATTTCATAAAAAAATAAAGCAAAGGTAAAATACAATAGAAATCAACTGTATTTTATTTGTGTATAAAATGAACTAAAGATCCTGGAATTGAGTAAAAAAAAGAAGAGTATTTATACGTTTGCAACTAGCTTGTAGGATTAGTGATGATAGAGAGCAATAGGTTCTTCTATTGCAATATCTGGCAAATGTTGTTGATGTTTGATTTAAAGTGGTAATCAATGCAAGAGCACTGGTCATAAGGGTCAATTTGAGTAACCTTGATGGGCTTGGGTGAGCTATCGTTATAGCATGACTTAATGTAATCTTGATGGTTTAAAGTGTGATGTTTGTTATTGAAGTCTGGGACCCTTTATCTGGGATATTGTTCAACTATGGCAGCAGGGCATAGTTGTCATATTTGAATATGCTTGTTATTGATTCGATTTTATTTGGATAAAGATAACATCTCTTATTACGACCATCATGGGTGTGATTGAATACACTGTGATCAGGAGTGATTCATTCACACGATGTGCGATATAAGCGTGTATCTTTACTTTAGTATGTTTAAATGGTTGTTGATGTACATTTGAGCGCTTTTAATAATAGATCCAAATAGCATGAATTTGAATGAGTGGTATTTGATGAACTTTGGTTTTCAATTAAGTTGCGTTTGGGTGGCTATTTCATTACAACACACACCTTATTAACAAGGATATGGAGAAATCAAACATTAAACGTAAGAGGACCCAGCTAGACCCCATTTAGTCGGACAATTAAATGAGTCTGGGAGAGAACTCCAGAATGACATTCTGAGACTCCAGAAATTTACTTTGTCCTTATTATTGAAAGAGCTAGTAAGTAAACCATATCAGACCACTACATGAATATTGTAGCTCTTTAATGTACGCATCGAATGGTATAATTTGTTGGATGCTTTGCTGCTTCTGTATCTTGTAAAACGCCTAAAGCCATGATTTTTCCCTGAGGGTTGGGGTCAAAAAATCATGGTCAAACAATGTATTTGTATATTTCGGTCAAAAGTGGTTTCTTTCTCAAAATACATAAACTAAAAAGTACCTTTTGATGTTTCAGTCCCAAAGCTTTTTTTAAATTGCCTCTTTGTGATAAAGATATAAAGAAATCAAGCATCCGACATAGGAGGACTCAGCTATACTCATTAAGACATTCAGCCAGATGTTGTTTAATATCACATTATTAGTATAAATATCCAAGTACAGTGCTTCCGATACCAATTGGTCACTTTTTTGAAAATTTGGTCGCCCAAAAATACTAAAAATAGAGCTTCAATTGGTCACTTTTTTGACTCTCAATTGGTTGCTTTTTCGAATCTCAATCGGCCACTTATTTGGACTTCATTTGGTTAATTTTTTGAACATCATTTGGTCATACAATAGAGACGCTGCTCCTTCTTAGATAGGCTCTTTATTCAAACACTTGGGTAAAATATTTATGGAATGCTGAATGTAGTTTCGTATGTTCTGAAGCGTTACCTTCTCACAAGCATCCATCATTCGCGAAGTAAGAGTCTCATTATCTTCAAGTTTATCTCTCTTAACATAGTCCTTAAGATCCTTCCAAAGTTGCTCAATTGAATTTAGTTCGGGTGAGTAAGGCGGAAGATACACAGGTATATATTCACGACGGATTATAATGGGATCAACAATGTTATGGACGTGGATAGGAGCGTTATCCGTGACAATGTGATAGCCCCTCATTTCTGGAAACTGATCCATAATATCCACCGTATCCACAGCAGACTGCATGAAATGGTTGCCAGTAGTACCCTTGGGCAAGTTGAGCCAATCTTCTGGAGCCTTTCTTTTCGTAGCACCAGCTACTTTTCTCTTCACATTGCCAGCTTCTCTGATACTTACATTGACAACGCCAGCAGACGATACAGCGCCGAGAGCAGTCTTTGATACTGCTTTTGTAGATGGCGTTTCTTCAATAGCTGGCTCTCCTTTCTTTGACCAGGCTCTGCCTCGAGTCATGTTGACGTTGAAGCAAGATTCATCAACAAACATACAATTGTTGTGGTAGTCGATTCCCTTTGCAACCCATTCAGCAACCCAAGCTGCCCTAGCCTCGACAGTCTTGGTACTGTTTTGTTGAACTGGATTGCGAGCGATACTCTTCAAGCTAAGGTTACATTCATTCTTCATGAATTCAGCAACTCGCGTCTTCTTAATTGTCAATCCTTCAAAGCTATTGGTGAGTGCCTCCACGCCATCCTGAATAGTTGCTATAGGCTTTTCGTCATAGAAGCGTATCAAGATGTCTTTATGTTGCTCGTTTAGCTGCGATATACGCTGCTTTCCTGTCTTGTTTGTCTTCTTTTCAGGAACACCAGCATCAGGGTTGGACTTGTATTCAGCCCTCCATTTTCGAGCTGTGTACTTGTTGACATTTGCAAGTCTGCAAGATTCATCATGAGTCAAGCCTTTCTCGAAAGCGTAATGTATGTAAGCCTCTCGTTGATAAGGAGTATATTTCGTATACTCCGCAGCTCTATCTTTCTTCTTTGGTGCATCCTTCATGGTGGTGTCATAGCCTTCGGAAAGACCAGACATATCAACCTCTGTATGTTTTATGAAATTTTGAAGGATCTTCAGCTTTGTAAGGCGAAATGAAGGAATCTCATCAACTGCCATAGCCTCTCTTCCATCTTCATCGTAGATGTGTCCTTGGCCATCTTCGTTATAGAATCTCAAATCAGATGCCATCTCAAGTCTGAATTATAGGCGAAATAACCAAATGATGTTCAAAAAATTAACCAAATGAAGTCCAAATAAGTGGCCGATTGAGAGTCAAAAAAGTGACCAATTAAAGCCCTATTTTTAGTATTTTTGGGCGACCAAATTTTCAAAAAAGTGACCAATTGGTACTGGAAGCACTGTATCTACATTAATATACATCAGTTGGTCTTTCTTCATCTTATATATCATAGTAGCCCCGTTATTCCTGAACAACGCACAGATGTGCCTGAGCTTGAACTGGTAAATGGCATTTTGATACTGCAAATTTCTACTTTTTCTCGACATCACAAAAGCTATCAAGCAATAGCACCATGCTAAACAAACATTGTAGCCCTCAACTAGACATAAACAACGACATAATTTGCTAAATGCCTCGTTGCTTTTATCGGAAGAAAAACTCCAAGAATTAGGAACTTCCTTTAATTATTTGGGTCAAAAAACGATAGCCAAACTGAGAATTAGCGTATTTCGTTTAAAAAAAAAATATTTTTTGATTTCGTAGTAGCCACGAGATGTCTTAGTATGCTTCAATTGCGAAGCCGTCTTTACTTTTTTGTGTCCCAGTATGAATGAGCAAGTTGATTATCAAATGCAGGAGACACTAGGTAAACGTGCAAAGTTTAACTCTGACCTTGTTCGTAGCCTCCAGTTATGAGGAGTCAAGATATAGAATAACAACGAACCCATCAATGGCTTTCAGATGTATAGAGACCAGGACTCGTAAGGGCTAATGTGGAGAATTTGTTTTCGTCTTTTTATCATAAAAGTAACTCAAAATTCCATTATCCGTATAGATTTCACACACAATAGTTACAACGGTAAAGTTACAATTTACTTTTTTTTCTGTATTTAAAGTTGTCTTTTATTGAACTGATAAATCGAAACTCTAAGAACTTTATATAAGAACTGTGACCCGAAGCCAGGAAACAAAGAAGGATTTACCGCCACCCGCGGCGCACGCAGACTTGACACACTAGTAGGTCAGCTCGACCAAGATGCTCCTTACATGCAAATTGTCATGAGATACAGATGAATGAAATTAGGAACTTGAACCACTACATATGAAAAACCAAGGCACTGCGAGATTTGAACCTTTTTTTTTGTATTAAAGTGTATCTTTATTAGCTTTAAATTTATAATCTATACAGAATTTACAGGCAAAGCCAAGGTGCCAGCTTGAACACTTGCCAAAGAAAGAGAAGAAAAGAGTGTACCATGGTCTTGACGGACCATGTTGATAGCAGCAGAAGCTATCCAAGGCTCCTCGTCTATGACGCATCGCCAATGATACTTCCAAAGTGTACTGTAGGCAGCACCAAGAGCAATCAGAACATCCTCATCGATCACCAACAAATCTGAACCACTACAAAAGGTAGTCAGCGCCAACCAAATAGAAGAAGCAGAGGGGAGTAGCTCTTGAAGTGACAACAAAGAGACTACATCCTGCCAGAAAAATGACTTGACATGGCAACCACCACGAAATGGTAAAGGTCCTCTGTAGCAAAACCGCAAAGAGCACAAGCAGGAGACAGAACTTTTGTAGGCATAATCTTATGGCACCACGAACGGTGCTGGACACGGTCATGTAGCAATCGCCACTAAGGTGTGAAAGCCTTTGCAGGCATTTCCAGGGACCAGAAAGTACGCCACAAAGCAGGAGACAGCAACAAATGAGCAGGCAACTTCAAGGGAGGACCCATACGAGAGGTAATGGTACCCTTTGCAGGGTGCCAATACCTTCGCAAAGCACCAAGAGAGAGACGAGCAACCGGAGCAGCAGAACGAGACGAGTTGGAGACAGTCTAATGTGAACAATCTGGCATCCAAGAGGTAGCACCATCAGAACGGGGCATAGTAAAATAGTCTGCTTGAGACAAGACTATCTTACTATCCATGACAGGCGGGAATACCAGAGAGACAGGACCACGATCACGGTTCAAGGCAAGAAAAACAGGGCGCAAAACACGAGATGACCAAGCAAGATGAGAGGTGACACCATCAACTATACCTAGATCAGGTTGCCAGAAAGAGACATCCGACACCAAGAAACGAGGATCAAGAGATGATGGATCACGAGGAGGACGAACAGAAGGCACAGTACTGAGTACAGAACACAAGGGAAGATCAAGAAACCACCTAGCAGACCAACCAGAGGAAGGAACTAACTTTGGCAATCTCAACAAAAGCTTTCCAAGATGTGTTAAAGCAGGCACAGATGACACACGAGACTGGTAAAGACCAGGAAAACAAAACCATGGCAAGATGGACTTATGACCAGTGTAAACTTGAAAAGCATACACCAACCAAGAGGAGACAAAATCACTAGGAGAGGGTGGACGCAACAAACGTTGCAAATAGACAAGATGCAAAGCTAAGCTCTGATCTGCTATATCCACGAGACCAACACCACCAAATTTGCGAGGAAGACACAAAGTAGACCAGGCAACACCAGGGCGAAAAGACACCAGATATTCACGGACCACCGTAGTGAGAGACTTCAACTACGACGCAGTAGTAGCACCACCAGGAACAACACGCAACAAATGATATACCTTTGACAACAGTAACGAGTTAGCCACTAGTCCTGCTCCCCTATTCAATTCCATTCGCTTCCTCTGAGAGGCATAAAAAAAAAATTTTTTTTTTTTTTTTTTTTTTGTATTAAAGTGTATCTTTATTAGCTTTAAATTTATAATCTATACAGAGTTTACAGGCAAGGCCAAGGTGCCAGCTTGAACACTTGCCAAAGAAAGAGAAGAAAAGAGTATACCATGGTCTTGACGGACCATGTTGATAGCAGCAGAAGCTATCCAAGGCTCCTCGTCTATGACGCATCGCCAATGATACTTCCAAAGTGTACTGTAAGCAGCACCAAGAGCAATCAGAACATCCTCATCGATCACCAACAAATCCGAACCACTACAAAAGGTAGTCAGCGCCAACCAAATAGAAGAAGCAGAGGGGAGTAGCTCTTGAAGTGACAACAAAGAGACTACATCCTGCCAGAAAAATGACTTGATATGGCAACCCACCACGAAATGGTAAAGGTCCTCTGAAGAGAAACCACAAAGAGCACAAGCAGGAGACAGAACTTTTGTAGGCATAATCCTATGGCACCACGAACGGTGCGGGACACGGTCATGTAGCAATCGCCACCAAGGTGTGAAAGCCTTTGCAGGCATTTCCAGGGACCAGAAAAGACGCCACGAAGCAGGAGACAGCAACAAATGGGCAGGCAACTTCAAGGGAGGACCCATACGAGAGGTAATGGTACCCTTTGCAGGGTGCCAATACCTTCGCAAAGCACCAAGAGAGAGACGAGCAACCGGAGCAGCAGAACGAGACGAGTTGGAGACAGTCCAATGAGTACAATCTGGCATCCAAGAGGTAGCACCATCAGAACGGGGCATAGTAAAATAGTCTGCTTGAGACAAGACTATCTTACTATCCATGACAGGCGGGAATACCAGAGAGACAGGACCACGATCACGGTTCAAGGCAAGAAAAACAGGGCGCAAAACACGAGATGACCAAGCAAGATGAGAGGTGACACCATCAACTATACCTAGATCAGGTTGCCAGAAAGAGACATCCGACACCAAGAAACGAGGATCAAGAGATGATGGATCACGAGGAGGACGAACAGAAGGCACAGTACTGAGTACAGAACACAAGGGAAGATCAAGAAACCACCTAGCAGACCAACCAGAGGAAGGAACTAGCTTTGGCAATCTCAACAGAAGCTTTCCAAGATGTGTTAGAGCAGGCACAGATGACACACGAGACTGGTAAAGACCAGGAGAACAAAACCACGGCAAGATGGACTTATGACCAGTGTAAACTTGAAAAGCATACACCAACCAAGAGGAGACAAAATCACTAGGAGAGGGTGGACGCAACAAACGTTGCAAATAGACAAGATGCAAAGCTAAGCTTTGATCTGCTATATCCACGAGACCAACACCACCAAACTTGCGGGGGAGACACAAAGTAGACCAAGCAACACCAGGGCGAAAGGACACCAGATACTCACGGACCACCGTAGTGAGAGACTTCAACCACGACGCAGTAGTAGCACCACCAGGAACAACACGCAACAAATGATATACCTTTGACAACAGTAACGAGTTAGCCACTAGTCCTGCTCCCCTAATGGAGAGATTCCTTTGTTTCAACAAGTTACTGTGTCGCTGGACCTTCACCAAGACACCATCAAGATAGTCTTGAAGTTGACTTTCAGTATGATACAAGGGATAACCCAAGTAACGTACTGCACCACGAGAGTGAGCGTCATGCCACTGGAGACCAGTAGTTTCAGCCAAAGCAACCCAAGCAGAGTGGGACACACCAGACAACGACACCAACACTGTCTTGCTGATATTGACTTTCGCATTAGATGCTCGGCCATACAGATCAAGAACAGACAACAACACAGACCACTCTTCTGGCGAAGACAAAAACACCTCAAGATCATCGGCATAGCTCAGAATCTTGACAGGAGGAGGAGCAACAGAGCCACTAACAAAGTCCAAAGTCCAATTCCGGGCACCAGTACCATGATCCACACGAACTTCAACCGGTGAAGGCTTCCATTTACGTGGGATATCAACAGGAGACAGAGTAACACCAGAAAGACCAGGACAAGCAAGAAGAGAACGAAGCAAAGGCTCAAATGCCAGATTGAATAGCAATGGAGAGAGAGGATCACCTTGACGAAGACCTCGCAATTGAGGCACAGGAGCACCAAGCCAACCATTGATAGACACTGAAATCTTGGTTCCAAAGAACAAAGAAGACAGACAAGACACCAAATCACCAGGAAAACCAAACCGGAGCAACACACGACAAAGATACTCAGGGTGAACCCGATCGTACGCCTTCTCTTGATCCAACAAAACAGCCACTTGAGGTAAATCAGGAGCAACAACACGCAAGTGAGACATCAACAACTGATTTAACCAGCCATTGTCAGAGATCAGACGATGAGGGAGAAAACCAGTTTGATAAGGGTTGATTAACTTTGGCAACACTTTGTTCATACGATTAGCAATGAGCTTTGTAAATAACTTGGCATCACTGTTAATTAAGGACAAAGGTCTCCAGTTAACCAACAACTGAGGGTCACCCTTCTTGAACAATAAGACCATACGAGTTTGTTGCCACGAAGGAGGAAACACACCAGAAAAAGCTGCACCCAACACATCCACAAGCAAGTCAAGAAAATCAGTTGAAACACCAGCAAGATATTGATACAATTCAAAAGGCAAACCGTCAAGACCAGGACTTTTAGACTTGGGAGCATGAGTGAGCAAAGACAACAAAACATCGCGAGTTGGAAGTTCCATTAGCATATCACCATCCAAAGATGATAGACGTACATCAGTTGGAACATTCCCCAGGAGAGTATCGATAGCTTCAGCATCGACAGCATCAGGGGTATATAGCCTTTGGTAAAAACCTTGTGCCTCCCTGTTGATAGCTGCTGCTTCCACCAAGATATCCCCAGTAGTAGAGCACTTTAAGGATTGAATTGTCTGTTGAGACTCTCGCACCTTGATCGAACGATAGAAATACTTGTTGCTACGTTCTCCCTGTTCTAACCAACGAGTGGCAGAGCGAAGCATATTCTGACTAGTCTCTTTCTGTATCTGATTCTCAATCAAAACTTCTAGTTGCCTGACCTGCTGCTCAGCATCACCTGTAGCAGTAGACACTCTGTCAGTTTGATCAATAGCATTCCTAGTCTCAACACCTGATACAGACGTTGACAGAGCCCTAATACGTTCCAGTTGAAGCGTAAAAACTTTGTTCTTGAATCGTGCTTTCATGCTTCTAGTGTACTTTTGTGCACAGCACTTTAGTAACAACTTGAAGGATTCCCATCTAGCCACCGTGCTTTCAGAGTCACCACTACCACCTTGACTAGTATTGACACCCTTAGACCCACCACCAACAGCACCAGAGAAGAACAATGACACCGTGGCATTCAACAACGCAACAAATTCCTTGTCATCAAGCAGAGTTGGATTGAACCGCCAACTACCAGGACCAATACTAGCTGTCGCAGGTAACATTTCAACAGTCAAAAGAGAGTGATCCGTCCACCTACTAGGCATATATAGTAACTGACTATTAGTCAAACGAGGAGCAAGAGAAGAGTGACCAAAGATGTAATCAATACAAGTATTGCTCTTTGGAAACGTGGCTAGACCATCCGGATGACAATTGACAAAGTGAGTACGCAACCAGTGAACAAAAGGAGCGACATCGGCTTGACGAGAAGTAGACAAAGAGTGCAAGTGAATGTTGAAATCACCCATAACCATCCAAGGTGTGTTGAACACATCAGACCAAACAGAAAGAGAGAGAAAATCAGAGATAAATGAAGGACGGTCAAAAGACTGCGCGGGACCATAAATATTGGCCACTTTGCACAAAACATTGCTTGAGGCATCTACGACAGATGCAACAAGACAACGTTCATCCAACAATACCTCCGTATCCACCAGGGAAAACCGAGAATTAAGACATATAATAGCACAGTGTTTAGACACAACGAGAGAACAATTAGGAAAAGCAAAAGAAAAGGAACGGACTTGAGATTCAGTAAGAGTAGATTGAGAGCGGAAATGAGATACCTCTTGCAAGCAAAGGATATCCAGATGGAGAGAGGAGGAGCGAAGATAAGATGAAAACTCTTTGAAATTTGTAGGATTAGACTGCATGAACAAGCTACGCGTGTTCAAGGAGCCAATCTTGATGCCTAATTTTGTACTCATTGAGCCCTACGGGCGTCTTGCTTAGTCTTGAGAGGCGCACGGCCATTAGTCTTGTTATTCTTGACAACACCAGAAACACCACCAGAAACACCACCGGAAGCAACACCAGAAGCAACACCAGACTTGTTACCCTTAGCACCAGTACCAGAAGAAACACCACCAGAGTTACCCAGCTTGCTACCACTGTTTACACCAGCACCAGTAGTACCTTTCAGGTTTGCATTGAACTCCATTCTTTTGCGCTGAGCAAGATCCTTCAACTTGGTCAAATTCAACATCTCCTCAGGCGAGTCAATGTTCATATTCACAGCCACCTCAGCAGACGCATACTTGGAGTAGGCAGAACCACGCACGGTATCCAGCTTCTTGGGAGCTCCAGCAAGCACAATCTTGTCGTCCTCCATGTCCTCATCCTCATCCTCATTCATACTTACCTGGTGGTTATCTTCACTCAGAAGATCCAAATCCTCGTTACCAGTGGACTCATCATTTTCAGATTCGTCAACACTTTCACCCTGAAGAGATTCATCCTCGACTACACGATAATCGAGTTCTTCTTCTTCTACCTTCTCCACCTCCTTACCTACGCCTAATTTTTCCTTCTCAATATATTCCATCAATTCCACAGTGTTCTTACGAGCCAGAGTGACATCCTCAGAATTCTCAGAATGATGGTGAACTTTGTGCTTCTTGGTGAAATTTGCAGACTGAACCTCCTTTTCAGGACAAAAACGCAACATGTGCCCTTGCTTATTGCACCTAAAGCAACAACGTCTAGCCAATTCAGGACATTTGGCGCGAACATGACCGCTGTGTTGACAGAAATG